CTCGCTGCTAGTGCTAGCTGTGCCAATACTACCAGTTGGTCTCTTAGCATTAGCCCTTTGGATGTTAATTTCTCCACCCTCAGCACACTCAATTTCGTTCCCGCCTACCACTACTCGAGCCTGTACTGTAACCTTGAACGGCACATATTCGTCATCTCCGTATTCTGTGGGAGCTGTACTGGAAGATTTCCACCCATCGCTACTGGAGCTCTTTGTGCTGCGACTGCTGCGGCTGCTGCGGCTGCTACGACTGCTGCCGGCTTGCCGACGTTGCTGGCGACGAAGGATCTCGGCCGTGAGAGGAACTGTGGAGTCGCTTACATCTTCTGCGTAACTCGCGGCATGTCTGAGTTTGGCTTCATAGTCTTCCATGTCGTAGTGAGGGAAACGCTGGCTATAGTAACTCTGCCGTTGACTTTCCTCATTACTGATTTGTGGATGTCTTTCTCCGAGCGTATCGAAGTAGTCTGGATTGTTCGTGCGTGGACGTCTTCGAATTCCCGTTCTTGAGGGAGGAGGCATGGCAGCATCGTCGACGCCGCTGTTGGACAATACTAAAGATGGGCGTGTCCGTGATCGATATTTTGTAGATCCTTCTGGTGCAGAAGCATATCCATCGTCATCTTGCGCCTCTTCAGCGAACGAGTATCCCAGCTCCGTTGGTGGTCGGAAATCTAAATGTGCAGCCATTTGTGGAATAACATCCTCAATAAACGGGAGGTCTCTTTCTGCGGGCTGGTAATTGGCCCATGCAGAAGCGGACAAAGGAGGGCGGCTATATCCATCCGCGGCCCTGTACGTGGCATGGTAGCTTAATGGGCGTGTTTGGTACATATGTGCAGTTGTTGCCCGAGGACGTATAGGTATTGGTGGAAGCGTGGGGTACCCGGTATTGAGTGACGGCGGGATACCGAGGGGTTTGTCTTTCAATTCCAATAGCCGTGGTCTCGCTTTCCTCTTCGATGGGTCTTTGTTGACTCCACCCTCCATCTCGTCGTCAACCTCTTCTATATCTGGAATATAAGTAGACACGAATGGAGCGGTAGAGTTTCGCGAGGATATCGATGCATATCCCGAGCTATTGCTCCGATTGGATGCCAATGGTGTCTTCGAGCGGGCATCATAACGGGAAATTTCTGGTTTTGTTTCCACCCTGTCCTTCCCCTTGGAGGATTTTGTCGGCTTGGATTTTTGCTTCTTTATGCTGGCACTTCTTCTAGTTCCGCTTACTTCCTTCCCGTCGTCGTCGGCGTCGACCACATATGCTGGCCGAGGAATGACGGGTGCTTTGGCAGATACTTGAGGAGCGGGAGGTTCTGTTTCGCTCGAGTGGTTAGGTTCCGGAGGTTGACTTGGGAACCCATCTGCATGCTCATATGTGTTTGAGAGTCTCCTCCGTGGTCGAGGAGGATCAAAATCGTGAACGATTGTCTCGCGTATCGTTGAATCCGAATTTTCAGGATCATTAGCTCGCGATTCAAATACTGTATGCGCGAATAGCTCAACAGGCTTGCCAATCCAGTGCTGAATGTTCTGGAAGATTTGCACCGACGGCACAATGTAAGCCATACCAGTTGATGGATATCCAGACACAACATGTCCGTATACATCTCCAGTTTCTTTGTCAAAGACCCAGGATCCACAGTCCCCATCGGCTACGCCCGTTAGCATTCCAAATATCAGTATGGAAGGGCTTACACATACAAAATTTGCCAACTAAACGTCGCACCGTCAGCAATGATTGAAATTTGTGAGCTTTAGAGTTGAGTGTAAAAGAAGTGACCCCAGATAGGCTTCCTTCAACAACACCATCTGAACCAGTGAAAATAAGAACCCGCACATCGGATGTGGCATTTCCAATGGATCTTGGGTATATCGATTTCTCCCAAAACATGTTGCTAATAAGTTGGAGATGGGTAAATTGGGATATAAATGGTGAATGCCGGATCTTGATCAGAGCCCAGTCAAGACGGTCCCCAGCTTTTGTAGAGGCAAAGAGCTCACCAAGCTTTTGCCTCACTGTCTTCTCCTCGCCATTTATGTCTATATAGAGTTAGCATATAGAATGATATATATTAAAAATAAACCCACTAATGACTGCTTTATCTCTCGCCGGCATTACCCTCTCATTCAAGGTTGAATCCGAACTTGAGCTGACATATCCCTGAAAACTGTACTCGCTCTCATCCATGCCCGGTGATTGACTGGATCCGGAAGACATGCTAGCTACTCTCGGTCAGTTGGTACACTTACCTTTCAAAGCCGTAAAAGTGTCACTAACCCTGACTAGTCAATTCAAACAGGTCTTCGTCATCCCCGCTGTCGTACGGCTCTTCATCACCGAAAAATGCAAACTCGAGGTCTACACTGCCACTGTCCTCTTCCTCCTTCGTCGGGAAGAATGCATGCGCAGCTGTAACGCCGAATAGTTCGTGATCGATGGTGACAATGCCGCCGATAGTTGCCTTTCGTGGTAGCTTTCCCTCTTCCGAGTAGATGAGAACAGAAGTGCCAAAACTTTGTAAGGGTCCATTCAGATAAACGCCAGGAGGCAGTCGTGGCGCATCAGTTTCCTCATCTAAAGCCAGGGGCCGTGGCAGTTTCGAACACTCTGCCATCAAAACACCCGGGTGGTCTGCCAGTATCCATTTCTTCCGAACTAACACCATAGCTTTTTGACGACAAGTTTTGCTCTCGCAACTGAATAGAATCGTGGGACTAGAACTTGTCGGTTTGCGCCCGATCATAAACATCTCCACCATCAAGTCCGAGCCCCCAGCATCGAGGTGTTCGTACCGATCTTCAAGCAGGCTGATAATGGCTTTGGACACCGTCTTCCACACAATATGGGCGGGACTTTCGTCTTTGAGCGACCAGCATTTGTATCGGCCCAAGATATCAAGAGACGCGTGCGGTGCGCCGACCGAGAGCTGCGGGTTTTCCCAACGGGGTTGAGGCATGATGGACAACGATAACCTCGTAGTCGGCTGCGCAACCTTTACGAGGGTTGAAGATGATTGAGGCGGCATGAAGATCACAAGTTGAGCGCTTATGCCTTAAGAGCTATGTGAAAGTGTGTTTTATCTTCGAGCCCACCGGTCATAGTGCAATAATCGTTGCAAGAGGTAAAGCTGGAAACATTGAGGTTTTGCGCAGAGATATCGATGAGGATGGGCTGTGTTGCCCCGCCTGCAGTTCATGAGCTGAGCTGCTGGTGCAGGATAGCCAATCAGTATAGTCCCATACCCCGTCTTTTGGGCGCCAAAGGCTGAAAAAGAACCCGCCTTTAAAAGGTAGAGCCTCGCCTCAAATTTTGATGGACTTTATTAATATTTTCTCTTTTGATTTGTTGAAACTAGCGTAAAGTGTTCGCAGCGATGGATTCGCGAGACTTCCCTCTATCGTCTCAAACTAAACAACAAATAATATCGAAAATATTTGCTAATTCCGGAAACATTTACGAGTTGATTGGAACCAGCCAGAGCTACTTTTCATACTACCAAAGATCGATAGAAAAGTACGAAAATAGCCTCACTCAGTCCCACCTTCGAATCACAGAGCTCATAGCAATTCTCAAAGACTCAACACAAACTCGAAATTTGTTGCAGGATGCTCTGCAAACACAAGTTCAACAAGAAGAATTGGCCGATAGTGAGGACATTATCGAAGAGTCGATCAATCTCGCGGTCCGCCTTTTGTTAATGGTGCCCACTGGAGGATTTGCGACAGTTGGTCGTTCTATTACCTTGTCTGGGGAGACGAAGCTAAGCTGGAGCGACGGCACAATCAGAGATTTGATCGGCAAGGAATTTGTACCGCAAAGTAGCATAAAAGAGCGGGTGAAGCTAGAAAGGATATTCAATGCGGCAAACTTGGAGCAAATTGGGGGGATTGAAGTGAGATGGACGAGTAATTTCGCTGATCACTTGAGGATGAGAGACGATGACAAAGCTGTGGAAATATTCCATTATGCGACATTCCTCAAGCTCCATGAGAACTGGTCGGTATTCTATGTTTGGAGTTCGAATACCTCAGCTGACGAGATAAAGCGATGTTCTCCCAAAAGACTTGGTGGAAGAAACGATACGAACACTTGCACTTCTCCTCCCCGAACACGATAGAGAGGTTGAAAAATGGTTCCATTCTCACGAATTAAAAGTTGAAAAACGAGGGAGACTACCCCTGGACCCTTTGGCTCGAGAATGTGGACAATTGAAGGCCGAGGTACGACAGATCGACCACTTCCAATACTGGCATGACCGGCTTGTCATACTAAAGCAAGTATTCGATCAGGCAGAACCCAAGAACATAAAGCAATGGTGGCGAGATAGAAGAAGACGTGTACAGTGGTACACGTTCTGGGTAGCAGCACTCGTGCTGACTTTAACAATTGTTTTCGGATTGATTCAGTGCCTCGAAGGGGGACTTCAGGTATGGCTGGCATTCAAGGCTTTAAACTGACGCATTATTGTACCTGTATTGTGCATCGAGAGTCAAGCGCCCTTCTAACTCCTCATCACACTTCATTCCACAATCCCAACAAGCTCCATCCAACATTCCCACCTATATCATTGTGAGTTGGAAGTATGTACATGAAAAGCTGTCTATCCCTTGGGCCGGCACGCTAGTACACAGCGCTAGTAGGGGCAATAACAAGGACTTGTAAAAGACGTCACCCCTTATCGTCGCGATAGAATTACCTTATTTTACCCTAGAATTTAATTAATTTATATCCTATTAATAATCTAGACGCTCTATATAATTTAGAATATAAAGGTTTCTTATAAATCTAGTAGTTAGCTCTAAATTAGTTGAGAGCTTTGTACTTACCTAAATGCTTATAGTCTAATATGGCACTGAAAAATGTCGCTTATAATTTAATAATCTTATTATCTAATTTATTATAACAACTTTACTTCTATATAAAGAACCTTTTATAATTTTATCTAACCTCTCTTATATAGTATATTTGAGTATACACTAGTGGCAGGGGGTTAGAACATCAGATAAAAGGGAAAGGGAAAGGAAAAGGGTTTAGAGAAATGAGGGGGGAGTTGGGTGAATGATAGTATGGTACGGGTTTATTCGTGGGAGTAGTTAGAACTTGGATGTGCGTGCATGCTGGGAATGGGAGAATTTTGGCTCTTGGTCAGTGTTAGGCATGAGCAACACCACTACGGGAGTGGGGATATAAATATGCTGGATGCCGGTTGGTTATGCTTTAGAGGTGTTATTCTTTAGAGGTGTTATTCTTTAGAGGTGTTATTCTTTAGAGGTGCTCATTTGGTGGGGGGGTGATATTCAAGGAGTATTAGATGAAGCACGTGAAGTGTTGCGCAGTGTGTGAATTAGAAGACTCGCTATAGAAGTTTAGTAGGATATTGTAAATACATCAATAAGTAAATTATAGGTATAATCCAGCCTATATGATAATATTTTACATAGGAAAACATAAAATCTATCTCGTATCTCATCTAGACAACCTCCCTATTACCCACTACAGCATCCCCACCTCCACGCTTCTAATCTTGAACCGTGACTCTATTTGCGTTTGCCTCCCCATTTTCTATCCCCTTCTTTACCCTCTTCGTCCCAGTCCGCCCTCTCAAAACTCCAAGCAAGAAAACGCCCTCATACGTATTCTCACTCCAATCCACCTCGCCCTTCTCATCCTCATCCCTCTTCTGCTTCGTGATATTCACATTCCCGAGAAACAAGGCCGCAATGACACAAACCCACACCATCGGCAGGAGAGCAATAAAAGCCCACACAACCCCATCTCGAGCCTTGCCCCTCACGAAGTCCTGGATATCCGGGGAAAGGCGCGCGATAGCCTCGATATAATTGGAATCGATCCCGCTGCCCGTGGAGTTACTAGCGGAATCTGGGGCGAGAAGGGAGGACGGCGAGAATTTGTTGTTGAATACCGTTCCCATGATCGTCATGCCTACGGCACCGCCGAAGGGGACGGCAAATGCGAATACGCTGATCACGGACGCGATGTGGTTTGGGAAGAACCCGATGCCGTGGAGGGTGCCGGGCATAAATCGAAGACCCGTGCCCGCGCCCGTGAGCGCCATCATGCCGTAGATCGTGGGGATGTGGCCTTGATGGAGGGCCCAAGTTAGGACTGTGACGCCGACGGCCTCAATGACGGAGCCGAGGAAGAGAGGCGTGAAGGTTTGGCGGGGGTAGACGTTACACATGTACATTGCAGAGTAGACGCCAACCCCTAATCCGGGCGTGTAGAATAGAAGCTGGACGCCGGCCTGGCTGGCTGTATAGCCTTTTGCCATTGTGAAGTATATATCTACAAAGTAAAGGACGGAGGTCATTGCTAAGAGCTGTTAGCCATGTAGAACTAGTGGGGAAGGCTTTGAGCGACATACCCATGCCTGTGGCGACATCGATGTAAAACAGAAGCCCAACGTTCCGTTGCGTTATAAGGATCCATGGGATAGTAGGACGTTGAAGCGGGAACTTGCGCGCCAGATATCGTCCTGGGGCCATTAGATATTCCCAGTAGATAAAACACAGCACCAATAAGCTGCCCACGACCAGTGGTATAATCACTTGCCCGCTCTGCCAGGAATAAGTTACTCCTCCCCAGGTCAACGCTAATACAACGAGCGCCATGCCCACAAGAAACAGAAACTGGCCACCAAAATCAATCATCGATATTCTGGCCTTGAATCTTTGCTGTTTGCTGGAGACTTCCCAAGGAGTCTCCTGGTCTGGGACCCCAGGCAGCGGCTGAGGTCCCATAAGCTGGCCCCTGAGGAGCAGAAACACCGAGACGATAGCCACAAATGCTATAGGCAAATTAATTCCGAAACACCATCTCCAATTATGCGACGTAAGGTAGCCGCCTACGACAGGACCGACGGCATAGGAAAGGCCTGCAACCATAGAGAAGGTGCTCGTGTTCTTAGCATTCTCCCCCAGGGAAACCTTGTCGGATAGGATGATTCGAACGACGACTGTAATTCCTGCAGCTGACAAGCCTTGGAAGGCTCGACCAAGGATAAGGACGGGAAAGGCGTTCAATGGCGCTGCTGTGCATAATGCTGATCCAACCATCATTAGCAGCAATACGGTTTCCAGAACCGCCATTCGGCCAAATATATCTGCCATCGAACCCCAAAATGGAATAAACGTCGCCGAGGTTAAATTGAACGAGGCAATAAGCCAATTCATTTGAGAAAATTGATCTAAAGACTAGTTAGTGAGTAACTCTTTACCGGGAGGCGTATGATCGACTTACTAAAGTCAGAGGCTATCCATGGGAGAGCGCTTGCAATGATTGTAAGATCAAGTGCTTGCAGTGCAAATGGGAGGAAAAGACCAATAATCAATTTGAACCGATATCGCCTGGCGTCCAAACGGTCTTGTCGGCATATCTGGCACTCATCTCCTGGAGAGGGTGTTGTGCGAAGTTCGCTTGGGGAACCTTGGGACGCATGCGTTGGCCCTTCAGTTTGCTGTCCTGGGGGGTCAGAACCAGACAGCAAAGGCGCCTGTTGTCGATGGGGACAGGATTTGTTCTTGGTCTTGTGACTTTTTAATTCTATGCCTTCGGTCCTCTCTCCCTCCGTATCATGACTTGCAAGGCCCCACGGCTCTTGGGCCTTCTTCTCCCTCCGGTATCTCTGGTACCTCTGATAACTCCATACTATACCCATATTCGCAGCCGTCGAAGGTGGTGATGCTCAGTATGTCTCCTCAGGCCGGATGTGCGACGATGATGCATATGAAAGTTTGAACGCCATTTCTGTTATACAGTTCGCCAATACTTATATGAAATCGCTAGATCGGATAAGAGGGGACAAGACGCGCAGGACAATTCAAAAGCGTGGAAGTAATTGGCTGAAACTTCCAGCTGAATCCAGCAGTTCTCTTAAGGCTCTGTATAAGGCGCCCTCAAGCTTTCTTCACCGTCACTACGTACTTCGATCAGCATAGTGCATACCTCTTTTGGGTTATGGCTCGCGATTGAGTCGGGGTGATTACCTGTGGCTGTGTAAATGCCGAGGGCCATCTATCGGCAGAGCTATTCTACCTAGAATAAAGACTCAATGCGCTATCCATATCTACTAGATATGCGGCAAGCCGAGATCGCTTTTACGTTTGTGTTTGAAGTCTTGGAGTTTGAGCATCGAGTATACCGCATCCGGACAAACTCGTCATCAGTACCAGGGGGGGGGGGTAGCATCACACGTGCCTCGCCTACCAGGTATCATACATGGTAGCAATCTTCTTTCCAAATTAAGCTGGTTCTGTCGTCGTAGATGCCAAAAAAGGTGTGTCTTGTGTGTGTTGGCCTCTTATCATTGTTGCGAATCGGCCTGCAGTTAGCCTGCAGTTAGCATCGACGCGTACACTTGTATCGCCGTGATCCACTAAATCTTGTTTAGCGGGAGGTGGGGGGACGGCAATGCCGCGATCAGCCTCCTAAGGCTTACTGTTTTGGTATGCGCGATGTAGGTTCCTACGTACCTCCCTACTTGACACAGTACCTGGGTACTCTGGAGTCTGGACAAACTGCACATATATCACCGTCAACCTCCCGACATCCCTCGCGAAAATCTTTATCGTTGAACCGTTTTTAGCGCCTTGGGGATTTCGAGACGCTGTGGCGCGCCCATGATAGGCCATCGAAGACTCAAGCGCCTGTGGTGGCCGCCACACACTGCAGGTTCGAAATGGAGCCAATATTAGGTACTGATTAACTCAGGTGCCAATGCTGCTCCGACGCCTCAGCGTTAATCCATTTGCCTTTAATCCTATAATCTACCTCTATAAGCGTGCGCGTGCTGCTTGTTTTTTCTAAAACCCCCTCTTCTCACTTCCATCCCTCTGGAGCAATTTCGTTCGTTCATGTTTATCTCAATTTGATTCAGTTTGCGACTATCTTCCATTTACGATTCACGAGCGGAATCTCATATCCCTATTATCATCCCCCGCAACCGCTCCCCTCCCAGCTCTTCGATACAGTTCTCAGAAGACTTTCCACCCAAACGTGCATCATGGCCGACAAGAGCGCTTCCCTCCCACCCTACCAACAATATCAATCACCACTACCACAACAACAGGGCAGCATTCCTCTTAACAACGGGGCACAATATCCCCCGGTAGCTACGAACCAGGGCGGTTTCTATGCTCCACAACAACAACAACAACAACAACACCACGCGCCTCAAGGCTACCAACAGGGCGGAGGCGGATATGTGCAAGGCCCAGGGCCTACCCAGAGCCAGCAGCAACCGCAGAGAGAAGTGGTAGTAGTGCAACAGAAGGGTAGTAGTGGGTGTTGTGGCTGCCTTGCTGGGTTCTGTGCTGGTTGTACCGCGTGCTGTTGCTGTGGGTGTACGGTCATGTAAAGAAAGCTGGAATATAATATCATCTTGGGATGGAAAAGGACATAGTAATCATTCTCCCATCGACTCTGAACGGGCGTTCACGGTATGAGGGATCTTCGGTGCCTCGAATGAGGGGAAAGGAGTAGGGGTGGAAGGGGTGCTATTTTCTGTGACGGCCTTGGAATTTTTGGCGTGGATATTGCCGACAACTGAGGTTGCAATTCAGATATTGCCCTAACTCTATGTTTAAGTTGGAAGTGCTGCCATAAGGACTACCTTATCTAGCATCAAATTTCGGGTTCAAGTGATCGCAGTAGGCCACGCGAGACATTGAATGTGAAGACGAAGCACCGTATCCCTTTACAATGTTATGTCTAAATTCTAGTATAAAACCAGTATGAGGGTTTTCCATTTTGGAGTTACGCAGTGTGCTCTTAGAAGTAGAAAGTTTCATGATAGTTGGATAAAGGTTGAGGAGATGCGATATTGATAGAGCAGTTGGAGCTGCTTAAATGGTGCTCTATTTCCGATATTATTCCACCAGTCTTAGCTTAATGCACCTGATAAAAATGCGTTGGATCCTTCCATGATTAATTATAAGTTATCCCTCGCCTTTTATGCTTGATCGCGTGATAAATATCCAAAAGATGACCTTAAAAAGGGTCTTCTTGCCTTTGCCTTGTTGTATATGGTTTTGCCCACAGCGGCTTCGCTTCCTCAAACCAAATAAAACCTGTAGTATAGCGCTGCAAGAATCAATCCACCAGCAGGAATCAGGGCCTTTGCGATGACTTTCACTCCTCGAGCAAGTTCCCTCTTCTGCATGTTGTGCATCCAAATGGCAAATTCCTTACTCTCATTCAAGAAAGGAAACTCGACATCAGGGATATCCTTTCCCAAAAACGTGCAAAGGGGCTCCCAGCCGCTTCCTAACTTGTACTCAAGCAGATTCTCCTTTGGAGTCAGTTCGCGCACCTTCGCATAATGCCGTCGATACGTGTCTCGCGCACTAGCCTGGAATTCTGCTTTATTAGAACAGTTGAACATTCCATATTCCATTTTTATTATGGTGCCTGCGGGTCGAGTACGTATAAATGGCTCGACCATGTTGAGCATGACCCAGGTCATCCAGTTGTACATGGCGGTAATGATATGGGTATTGAACGAGTGATACCATTTTTCAATATCGCGTTCTACAAGAACGACCTTGGCCTGTAAAACGCACCAGCGCATCAGCATGGACTGATCATTTTGCACCTAGTCGGATAAAATAAACTTACGTCTGGATACATTTCCAAGAACTCCTCAGTGAAACCCAGTACGGGAAAGTCCGAAAGTACGGCATATCCGCCGAGGAAATTGTCAAAATCGGCTCGAGTATAAGGCTTGCCCTTGCCATAATACTTCGCATCGCACGCCTTCTCCCATTCGATCTGATCTGCACCGTTCTCGATATAGACGAAGCCATGGTAGGTGGGTAGACCGAGGATCTCATACGCCGCTTTCATGGACACAGAGCCTGTCCTGGGCATGCTTAAATGCAAGACCTCGAGGGGAACCTTTCGAGGTTCCAAATCTGTCGCCATTTTCCCTCCTTGACACCTGTCTAGTTCTTGACTCCGGATGAAAATTTCTCACTCTCTAGGACGCGGATCTTGCGCTCTAGTAACCCTTTTCGGATGTTGAAAGATACAGGGTGGTACGAACTACGGAGATCGAAACCCACCGTTCAACTCAAATAATTAAGATATATATATGTGGCATAGTACAAAACCTCATAGTGGAAACTAGCTGAAATATAAACATAAATACCGTCACATCTGACGTGAGAAATTCGGGCACCACTAGTCAAAAGGGGTATGCGATAAACAATTGCTTTTGGCACTACGTTGCACGGCCTGTACGAAGTCGAGAAACGAGATTATCTTGCAAAGCCGGCCCCACTTCACGATGCAAGGGCTCCACGTTTCCTCAGATATAGTTTGGTGGTGGATTGGTTGGAGAGATGCGAGATGCGAGATGGTATGTTATTAATTTATTAGAGTCTTGACGCTATGAGGGATTGGAAATCTCACATTTCAGTATCATTCGAGTTTTCTTGGCAGCATGACCACCATATTCTCGGCGGAGGCATTATAAGTCTACCCTCCTCTCTTATGATCGAAACATGTACAAGCAGATTTTTCTCGTGGACTACAGATACTCTCGGCATCGAAAAAGCACCTGACCTCGCAACACCCAGGAAATGATGCTCTTTGCCTTTATTGATTGGGCCAGACGACAGATCATTCCTATGGTGCTGTAACGCTACTTTGTGTCGCACAGCATTAGGCGATGTGCACAATCTTTGGCATTTCAACTAGCCAAAGAACCATTGCTGAATATGTTTTGTGCCACGAGTTCGAAATCCCGTTCTCGCCCTCTGCGATGTGTTCAGCCATTTGGTGTTTGGTGCTAGACTATTGGCTGCCAAGTCAACTAATAAAATCACATGATGGGTCATATCGGGCCAATTACATGCCGGAAAGGTTGAAACCACACCATAAAGTTGTCCTTCTGTTCATAAAAGTCTTTGCTATCGTTCAGTTGATGGCTTATATAATTAATCCAGGTGACGACTCTCCAAAACCGTCCAGAACAAACCCTCGTTGAACTACTCTCACATTCCGCACTGGTATCAAGATTTGACGCAAAAGCAGACGACAACAATCTACACATTCGCTGCCCATTATGAACCACTACACAGCTTGCCTCACCAGGCACCCCAAGATCGTGGCCTCGGTGCTTGTCATAGGCTGTCCAGTTACTTACCTCCTCTACTTGCACCGCTCGCTCTCCCGTACAACTTCACGCACCTCTAAGCAGGGGCTCCTCACAGAATCAACATCCCACAGCATATCCTCCATCCCTTCCTCCGATCTCACGTCGGAATACTTCATGGTCCATGACAGGGCATATAAATCGATTCCCGCGTCTCTTTTCCCTGCGCTTGGGCAAGAAGAACTACTTACTACGTATTTGAGACATACTTTGAGTCTCTTCTCCAGCCGTTTCCCTCAGGCCTACCTTATACGTATGGTCTCTACCCCAGAAGAGAAACGAACGTTTAAGCATGATTACATCCGGGCCCTGGACTTCAAAGAGGGGGACTTGGTGTGTGGTGCCTACCGCGTCGCTGTCCGCACCAAAGGCAAGGTGGAGTTTGAGATTAAGACCATGGGCATTGTGAAAGGTGGACGAATGGTGATAAGTATAGAGGAGAAGGCCGACGAGTGGGAGTGTAGTAGTGAGACGGTTATGTGGAAGCGTGTTGGAGAGAAGAGTCCTATGCCTTTGGAGAGGGGTATTCTAAAGTGGAGCCATGAGCTTGCTTCTTGGTGGTTGTTGGATTCTGGGACGAGGTATTTGATGGGGTTAAAGAAGCAGTCTTAATGCTACAGGAGGTTGTAGGAGTTTGTACGCGTTCCAATGTTTATGATTTGCTGTTTGATGGATTTCCACAGCTTGGTAAGCCAATGAAAGTTATGTTATATAGTGTCTCAGTTGTGTGTTATAAAGAGACAGGCAGGGGCCGTAGGTGGGGTTTAAATAACAAGAAGTATTAGTCAATTGTAATGCAGGGCGCTATATATATATATATATGATTTCGGCTTCGTCCTCCTAAAAGCAGACGTGGGTAACAAATGCTAGCCCATCTATGTTTGTGGTGAAGAAAATATATGAACACCAGAGACTCCAATTTGCATGGATCACACCTAAGGCTGGTCACATGTCTGCTACATTCCTCGTTCTGGCATATATAACACAAAATAAGCAAATGTCTGCTACCGAAGTACAAGGGCGTGACACTTGGTCAAGTGGTTCGGGTCAAATTGTACTTACGGGGTCGCCAGGGACGATGGGGGAAAAAGGGGAAACAACAACAAAGCAAAACAACAACAATAAAAACGACAAGAGATGTAGGCATTCGACACCGGGCCGAACTCTTTTGCTTCCGGGGTATACGATAGTATTTTTGCTTCTTTTTCTTGCCTTTTAAAATTATAATAGATCTTGATATTTGTTTTGGGGGATTTCGCTTATTGTGGTGGGTCAAAAAAGCCCCATGATGAGTTTCGCAATCGAAAGCGGTCGAGGATGCCTCTTTTTTAGGAGTGAGTGAATGTTCTGCCGCTAGAGGAAGACGACCGAGTGTACCACATCGTCTCAATAAATGTCGACACCTCAACCACCTCGATTCAGGATTTGTGAGACACACCAATACAGTAACGTTGAATGATTAGGGCTGATGTGAGATTGGATGAAGCACATTAGGCCAAAGGCATTTTGCCACCTTAGGAATCGAAATATGGCACGTCGCCCAAAGGGAGCTCACGGCGGGATAGTCCGCAACATGCAGCAATCGTAATGACTGTTTTGCAGGCTAGTGGCAGACTATCGATGATAAGAAGCATTATTGTACTTATAGAGGGTTCTATTCCGGGGCAAAACGATGTTGTCCGATACTACAATTCGTGGCATGTGGTATGTTACGTGTGAGACATACGATTTAGTACCTAGGCACCCCGTACTCTTACAACTAAGGTACCTAGCGGTATCTACCTACCTACCTACCTACCTACCTAGGTAGGTACATAATTAGGCACCTTCTCTATCAAAACTGATAGATACCTAGGTCGTCTTTAATAAACAACCTCTCGCTTCTAGTTTCCTTATTGCTACAGGCTCTTGTGGTAGAAAGAGCGAGCGAGTTGGGGTCCCAGTAGTGATTATTAGCGTACGAAGTTCAGAGGCATCTTCCCTCTATTGGTCCTTATCTCTCCGGGGAAATGGAAATGATACTTCTAACTCGGTAACCTGATCTGGTCTGGTGCCGAGGTCTTCTGGTTTGCCACAGCTCTCACTCTCGCACTCTCAGGCTGCGGATTCGCCGCTCCAGATTCCATCTTTGCGGAGGCGATCCACCAGACCCAGATGCCATAACCCCCCGAGTATCCACATCCACATCCCTATCCATAGCCATAGCCATAGCCATAGCCATATCCACAGCGCCCTTATCCGACACAACCCCAGTTTCTCAGCGAGAGTTGAAAGCTGGAACAACAACCGTCTCCACCACGCCGGCAACGCAACGCAACGCAGCGCAGCACAGCACAACTCGCTCTCCGATCCATCCGTCACCTCTGCTTTGGCGGACCTATTGCTTGCTATTTATCATCTTTTATTTGTGACCTCCCTGCGTCTACCTGCAACGTGCCCCGCCCCGGTCTCATTATTCATCGAGAATAAGAAGAGCATCCTCGCAAATCCCCACTTGCTTGCGTTGCCTTGCTAGCCACGTCCCTCGCCCCAAGGCCTTCGAACCTCCGTTCCATTGCGCGCCAAAAGCTTGTCAGCACCCTCTCGGAGCCTTTCGCCATCGCCCGCCTATCCACTCTCGCCTTTGCTCCTTCGATCCGTGCTGTGGCCGCGGGTGTGCGTGCATTTCGTGGTCGCTTGAGCTCTTTAGTCGCGGCAAAAGGCGCATCCAACCACAACCTCCTCTGGTCCGAACCACCAAAAAGGCAAGCTTCGACATCGTCTCACCACCACGGCGCTCGCCCCCAATCGGCCCCGAGAACGATATTTGTAACGTGGAGACTCCCAGACCAGGAGAGCGCAAAAGGAGGCAAGCTTCAGGCCAAGCCAACACTACTCCAACAGAGGGGAGCATAGGCGCCGCTGCCGTCCCTCCTGTTCCAAGTCCTGACGTTGAGGTAACTGAGGCGCATTGAGATTGAACCTAACTCTTCCTTCCAGAACCCCGCCCGATTCGAGCTGCACAACCACGGATTCGGGATATTGTATTCCGTTTCGAAGTCTTGTAGCTCTATGCGAGATTGTATTTATATTAGCCACAGCGTCTAGGTACGTCGAATTGCTTTTATGTCACGTTGTCCAACTCGATGCGGCCAAGATATCAGTACTCGGTGGTACGGATATCTAGCAGTTGTCGGCACATGCAACCCTAGCTGATAAGTGGATGACCGCGGAGCTCTGTCTTCGCATTCACGTTGCATGGGCCTTCTGGCCGATCTCCAGTCCAATCTACTCCATCTACTGTCGGCCACTTTGGTAACAAATGGGGGTCGGTCCCCACTACGCTGCCCTCCGCTTCGGTCCCCAGATATAACCAAGGCGCCCGGCTACTGTGTAGATCTGCTTACAATTCCCGTTTTCTTTCTTCACAAATATCCACCAGCAACTCCAGTGGGATGCCGTCCTATTGCTTTCAAGACTGCCATTATTTCTACCGTACAGCCTTGCGCGGTTTGAATATCAGCACCTCTGTTTCGCCGCTTTATTGTTGAAGGCACCAAGCTGACCACGATGCCGTCCTCTACCGCCTCAGTCCGCACCTTTACGATGCCAAAATCCCTCAATGAATCTTTGGCAGAGCCTGGTGTCCCCCATCTGGCTTCAGACAGCGGTCGATCTCTTGACAAGGCCAAGCGGGTCAAGGATGAATATAATAAAGACCAGATAGACCCTCTCTCCAGCAACCAACCACACCCCAAGCCAGGCATCACCTTCGCCGCGCAGGATAGTCTCCCAAAGCTGCCCATTCCTGAGTTGGAGAGTAGTCTGAACAAGTACCTCGCTGCTCTTAAGCCATTACAATCTTCAAGAGAACACGCAGAAACCCAACAAGCGGCGGAGGAGTTCCTGAAGGCCGAGGGTCCCGAGCTACAAGAAAGATTGAGGAAGTATGCCACGGGAAAGACGAGCTATATCGAACAATTCTGTATGTGCGAGTGTATCCTGGAAGATTATCACTGACCTATTCTAGGGTATGATTCCTACCTGAATTATGATAACCCCGTTGTCCTAAATCTCAACCCCTTCTTTCTCTTGGAAGATGATCCTACTCCGGCCCGGAACCATCAGGTCACTCGGGCAGCCTCCCTTGTAGTGTCTGCTCTATCATTCGTGCGCGCGGTCAGAAAGGAAGAGCTACCGCCCGACACTGTCAAGGGTGCACCACTCTGCATGTACCAATACTCTAGATTGTTCGGCACCGCTCGGGTACCTACCGAGCATGGTTGTCATATTGGCCAGGACCCAAACTCAAAACATATTGTGGTCCTTTGCCATGGTCAATTCTACTGGTTCGATGTCATGGATGACAACTCGGATCTAATCATGACGGAGAAAGATATATCACTCAACCTCCAGACTATCATTGATGATGCACAGCAAACACCTATACAAGAAGCCGCGAAAGGTGCCTTGGGCGTGCTCAGTACTGAGAACCGGAAAGTCTGGTCTGGGTTGAGAGATGTTCTGACTAGAGATGAAGGTTCGAATAACGCAGATTGTCTGGGGATAGTAGACTCTGCCTTATTCATCCTTTGCCTTGACTATACAGAACCAGCTTCTGGAGCAGCGATTTGCCAGAACATGCTTTGTGGGACTAGTCTAGTCGAGAAAGGCGTGCAAGTGGGTACCTGCACAAACCGATGGTACGACAAGCTACAGATAATTGTTTGCAAGAACGGCAGTGCCGGCATCAATTTTGAACACACTGGTGTCGACGGCCATACTGTTCTGCGGTTTGCAAGTGATGTCTATACGGATACCATTCTTCGTTTCGCTCGGACCATCAATGGCCAAGCTCCGAGTCTTTGGGCATCGACAAGTCCTGACCCATCGAAACGGGATCCTGATAGCTTCGGAGATGTGAACACTACTCCCCACAAACTTGAGTGGGACATGGTGCCAGAACTAAGCATTGCTCTACGGTTTGCGGAAACTCGTCTGGCTGATTTAATTCAGCAAAATGAATTCCAAACGCTCGACTTCGGGCATTATGGAAAGAACTTCATAACGGCGATGGGCTTTTCGCCTGATGCATTTGTGCAGATGGCGTTTCAGACCGCCTATTATGGACTCTACGGCCGCGTTGAATCCACATACGAACCTGCGATGACCAAGTTCTACCTTCATGGTCGTACTGAGGCAGTTCGTTCCGTCACCCCCGAATCAGTAGATTTTGTCCAAACATTCTGGGGCGAGAATCCAGCACAACAGAAGGTTGACGCACTGAAAAGAGCTTGCCAGAAGCATGTTACCAACACCAGGGAATGTGCGAAAGCTCAAGGCTGCGACCGGCATCTTTACGCCCTTTTCAGCGTCTGGCAGAGAGAGCTTGATGAGAATGGAGCAGAGGCCGCAAGTAGTAACGGTTTGAGTAGTAATGGTTATTCGAGTCCCATAGACGGAGGATCCGAGAGAGATCCAGCTTCGATTGTTGGCAGTCCCAGCAGGAATTCTATCCTGTCCACCGACGGTGACGATATTCGTTCGGAGCAGTCAAATGGAAGACAGCGTGGGAACTCATCCCCATCCCGCAGTCACACCCACAACCACCCATTGCCATCACTGTTCGCCGATAGCGGATGGGACAAGCTGAACAATACGATCATCTCTTCGTCGAATTGTGGTAATCCCTCGCTGCGACATTTTGGCTTCGGGCCCACGACGGGAGACGGATTTGGAATCGGCTATATCATCAAGGACGATGGCATTAGCATTTGCGCTAGCAGCAAACACCGACAAACGAAACGATTCGTTGACGCCTTAGAGAGTTATCTCCTCGAAATACGGCGCATCCTCCGCACCACACAACACCGCACTTCAAGCCCCAGGACCAGTCGAGCGCGCGAGGCAAGTGCCAGCCGTCCGAAGGCAGGGAGCCGATTAAAGCCACGGGGCCGCGTGATCAGGGTTGCGGAGGCGGGTAAGAGGACACCAGGATCGGTCACACCGGTGGACGATGGGTCAGCAGGGAGTGATGATGAGGGGTTGGGGGGCTGTGAGTATTCTTCACTCATCGAAGTCTGGATCGAGGCTGATGAATGTTCTTTTTCGCGTACAGATGGGTTTTTTGATGCCGGGATGTTGTTGCAGGCGCTGAAGGCGCGAGGTGAGGGCCTGGATGATGCGGGGAGTATAGCGGGGCCGAATGGGGTTACGGCCAGTGCGAGAAGGAGGGAGATTGGGAAGAGGCTGAGGTTGAATGAGTATTGATCGGTTTTGGGGGGCGGAGCGAGTGGAGTGTAGAGAAGCGATCCTTCGACGAGAATTTCTTGGGTGCATATGTTATGGGACACATTGCGAAGGTGGATACCATTTGATTTTGATTAGAAGTAGGAGTTTGATTTCATCAGTTGAATTTTGCATATTTTCATTTTATCAATGCATTCATCTATAGACTGTACATACGTACCTAGGTACCTGCTCGAAAGATAAATGTTTGCATAGCCTCTTGTTTGCCTTGGCATTTACTCCGCTGCCTGTGTACTAACTGCCTCGCATGGATAAATTATCTGATCCTCGGTCAATCCTGCACGTCACAAATCACTTGGCACATGTACATCTAGATCCGGATTCCGTAGGCGGCCTACGAAGTACATACCTGAACTTCGTTCGTGCTTCCTTCTATTTTTAGTCCAATGCCATGTAACTCTGCGATCCTTCGAAGTTTTCCAGTGCAACACAGCGATATCACATGACGACGATATGCTCCCATTATATTTCTTCCTTAGGTAGGTATTATTGGATGAAGGTAGGTTCTAGCACTGTATATTTCTTATAAACGTGGTTTTTGATACAAGAGGGCAGCCGCTTAAAGCATAAATTGATTTTACGTGGTACCCTAACTGGTGTTGGAATTACAATAATGCAACAAATCGATGTAGTCAATGACAGTAGATGATTCACGAAACACGTAATCTCGCACACAAAAGCAACATTAGTATGAGTGACGATTCCGTACCCCGGCGTACTACCTACATCGATGCTGTGGGTGGCGTGGGTGTTGCATTATTGTACGGAGATACCTCAAGACGTGCCGCTCGGCAAGCAAATCCCAATTCCTGGAGGATTGAGGAGCGCAATAAAAGCACTCAATATTGGCGATTTACGGGCAACTGCCAGGATGTGGGGGCGATTGGGGGAAATACGAAATAAAATAAAACCTGCTCAAGGGAGGTTTGTAAGGAGTAGAGGGACGTGAGAGGATTGATGGTGGAGATGGTGGAGATAGGGGGGAAGCAAACACTCGATGACAGTATGTTTGTTAGTAGCAAACACGTAAGCATGTGGAAATGAAAATGATATAAGTGAGAAGCAGAGAGAAGAACTTCGTAGAAAGAAGGAAAATAAAAAATGTTGGCGTGTTTCAAACTCTGTCAGCGCCCGCGCCTGAGAGAAACCAATATTGTTTATTGATGAGATGAAGGGGGCGTCAGCAGCGTCGCTTGTTGAAACTTGGCACCGACCACTGAGCGATACTATCGGATGTAGAGGACTTTGCTTTTCATCCGTAGGTGCGTAGTACATGTGCTGGTTTTTGTAATCTGGCGGGAATTATTATTGTGGGCTTCTGTGAGAGGCTCCGAGTTGTTTATTGCAGCAACTCGGCGTGTCCTGGCGCTACGATGGCTTGTTTCGTTCCGGAGACTGCGTTATCAACTTCGATGGCCACGTCATTCTGGGTAATGAAATGCTCTGTGGATGTGAGGGGCGAGGCGGGCGGTGACTTTCTCTAAGACTGGGTAAAGAATACTCGTATTGTCTCACTACATTTTGTTATACGTATGTTTGTTGGTGAGCCCCGAGGAGGGTGCACAGCTCCGCAGTCCTAACACGGCATTACCGGCAATGGACAACAACAGCCCCCCAGAGGGAGTAGTTGGGTCTGCTGGTCTTTTGCAAGCAATAGCGAGAAGCTTGTTGAAATTAACAAACAGAGGGTGGTCAGAGCCAGAGCCAGAGCCATCACTGCTGGAAACCTACCCAGGTACATAGAGCGTTTAGGTTTGGAACGGGGATACTCCACGTAGCTGAGACCATGTTAATATAACCGCTCTGCTGGCAAGTCGGCATTCTCCCTTATCCTCTTGCTTCTGCTGCTGCTTATCGTTATCGTTTAATCTCGGCGGAGGATCATCATTGCCAAGCCGAAACACCTTGCTGCTGGCCCCTGCATGCTGCACGACCTCAATCCCAAACATCAAACCGCCCACGAGGAGCAGCCTGCCAATCGCGGGTTTTAGGGGGCGTTAATGTCGCTATTGTGGGCTCGGTGGGCGCCTTTGCCCCTGGCGACACGCTGTGCTGGGCTCTCGTGGCGCTGGCGAGGTTGCGTGGCCTGCGCCGTCGATTGGCCGCGGGCGTACCCGGATTTAGTTTACGAAAGGATTATGTTTACTGTATGGCCCCCAGTTTCAGGAACAGCAATTGCCCCGGCGGGATGGACATGTTGCGACTTGCAACTTGTGGGTGCAGCTGGAGAACGGGATGAACTGGCGGACCTGGTATTGGCATATCCTTCATGATGGTACTCTTGTAGACAGTGTAGGAATCTCACTATCCTTTGAGGACGAGAAAGGATCCGCCTAGATGTAACAGGTGGGTGGTAGGTAGGTACTAAGTGCTAAGTCAGACCACAGGTATTATGAGCTCTAAGTACTACATTAGGAACTTGGCTTACTACGTACTGTACGTGTAGAGAGGCCCAGGTTCAGGTCTAGGTCCAGGCTTGTCACCTTGTAGGTTCCCCTGGATCTCGTTCCTGACACCATCCCGACTCGGTCGCGCGTGGATGTACATGTACATGTACCTGCAGCTTGGGGACCGCCAGGACGTTGATTCGTGGCTGGCTGCGTGTACGAGGATTATAGGTAGGATGTGTGTAATAAAGGTTCGTAGTAGAGCGTAGAGTGCAAGGTACAGGAAGTACGAAGTAGCATTGTAGCTCCTCCTACGCCCAAGATCCCCCTGTTCGCTACGCCGTATATAGATAGGATCCAACCCCAACATCCCTTCCGACCCTCTCCTCTCTTCTCTCTCCTCTCCACCGCCCACTACTTCCGGTGAAGCTTTTCGTTCATTCACTTCTTCGACTATTTAGTCACTTTCGCTCCTTTGTAAGGCTGCGCCGGATCGTCCACTATCGTCACGTTCATTTTCAATTCCCACAACAGTCCTGGATACTTGTTGTTCATACCCCCCCATCACTTACGGACAGTCTGTCCCAGTCACATTCACATTCACATACACCCTCCGTTCATTGATTGAGATCGAGTCTCATCACAATCTCTGCCATATCCGCACCGACACCCGAAACGTGACGCGATATCTATCACAAAAACACAACAATCAGCCCGTCAGGTCAACATGCGATCCGCAACATTCTCCAGTCTCGCCATTCTGGCTTCTTCTTTGCTGGTCAAGGAAGCATTGGCCGGTCGATACGATGTCCGCAAGAGAGCCAAAGTAACAGAGCTCGTCGTCATCTCAGAAGAAGTCTACGTTACCGCCGAACGAGATGGATCATTCAAGACCGGTGCACATATACCAGTCGCCACAGTTACTATTCATGGCTCAGCTGGCTCAGCTAAGGTCGATCATGATCCAGTCGAGGTCAACAAGCCGGTAGCCGTTCCAGTCCAGGCCAACCAGCCAGTAGCTGATGCAACAACCTCCGCCAAAGCCGTACAGAAGCCTACCCAAGCTGCAGGTGACAATGGCGCTGCGTTTGCTGAGAAGCCTAAGCCCGACCCCCCTTCCACTCATACCCCCAAGAAGACCACACTTGCAACCGTCAAGGCACCAGCTGCCCCCACACCTTCAGCTCCATCAAACACTAGCCCATCCTCTGGCGTGAAGCGTGGTATCGCCTACAACGACCAGTCACTGCTCAGTGCCTTCACCTCAAGCGGGAAATTTGGCTGGGTCTACAACTGGGGATCCGCACCTCAATACAACGGCGCGACTATCCCATCTGGACTCGAATTCGTCCCTATGCTCTGGGGCAACACGACCGATTACACCCAGAGCTGGGTCTCGAATGCTGAAAAGGCTATTGCCAGCGGCTCAAAGCACCTCCTCGCCTTCAATGAGCCTGATCGTGGCGATCAAGCCAACATCGACCCCGTAACTGCCGCCACCGGCTACAAGAAGTACATGGAGCCCTTCGCCGGTAAAGCCCAGCTGGGCTCACCCGCCGTCACCAGCGATCAACAAGATCCTACGAAGGGAATTCCATGGCTCAAGAGATTCCTCAGCGCTTGCGACGGCTGCACTATCGATTTCATCAACATTCATTGGTATGGCGGCGGTGACCTTGCGCTGGCTGTCAAGAATTTCCAGGATCAGGTTCAGGCTGCATACAAGGCGGGCGGCAGCAAAAAGCCTATCTGGGTCACCGAGTTCCGATATGAAGGAGCTGATGCAAATGGTTTCCTCAAGCAGGTTATCCCATGGCTGGACTCGCAAGCATCTGTCGAGAGATATGCTTACTTCATGGCGGCGCAGGGATTCTTGACTGACGGCAAGGCACTCTCCACCACCGGAAAGACCTATGTTAGCTTGTAAAATGTGGATTTGATGTACCACCAAAACAAAACTTCTTTCTTTGTACATATTGAAATGGTTGCAGGGCAAATATCGGATGGGGTTTGATGGAAGGAATTATGGCCGGTGAACCAGTCCATCTACATAGAACAGAGACTACAATGCACTTGCATGTCGTCTTTGCAATAGCAATCAAATTTTGCTCCTTTAACGCTTGATAAACTATAGATGAATATGACTTGTGACTGACGAGTAGAGATGCCCCGAATAATAACGACTGATACTTTGCGCTACATCTAGTGAATATATACACACTCACCCCATATGATAGAATTATTCCATTGATGGCAAGCACTTCTGGGATTCTGATGAACAGGACAAACTCTTCCCGATAACCCTCCCGACTATTTACTCTGCTTGTTATTATCGACGAAGCCTGCCGCCTTCGATCATATTCCCGTGAACTATGCTCCCAAAAAGGTACCATTCTAATTGTCCCTCTGTTGAGCGACACATCCAAACAGTGGCCCGGGTAGACTTCAGCCAAGGACAGTCTGTTAATCTGTGAAGCAAACTCAACTTGGCGAGTTGCTATGTTGGAAGGACAACGTGGAGACTTTGAATGGAGATTCAATCTCAGAAGGAGTATGCGGAGTTAGGGATGTCGTCGTTGGATGTTGGATGTTGGACGTTGGTGGCGTCCTGATTAACCAGGCAGGCGGCAATGCCAAGCCTTTTATCGCAGAGCACGCGAGGTTCCGTTTGTACTTCGTATATAATCCGCGGCTCAATATTCATATTCATCCCCAGGTCACAATACTATTCCTTCACCCTCGAGGCGCAGCACAACCCATACAGAACACGGTATTCACATCCAACAAACAGATATTTGAGTTCCCTGTCTTCTTGATGCACTTTCACATCATATCACACCGCCCGATCGGCGTTGATCTTTGTTGATTGTCACTTTCCTGGTCATTCCAGGCTTTTTCTTGAATCCTGCTCGGACCCCCCCCCCCCCCCCCCCCTCTCACGATGCCGGTATGTGCCCTTCCGTCGCCGTCGACTTGGAAGGATAATAGTTACTAACCTGAGATATTATCCAGATCGGTGACCTCCTCGCCCAGATCTCTGGGGAGCCAAGCCCCACGCAATCCACCACACCCCTCCCTCTCCCCTCTCAGCGCAAAGTCCACGATGCTAGAACCCCCAAGCGTCCAGAGACTGACATGCAGAGACCAAGCACAACTTCAAGACCTTCTTCCAACATCTATCGGCCAGTAGGGCCAGGCAGCAGGCCGGGAGTGGGAGTGGGAGTGGGAGATGTGTCGATGGCGAAAGCGAAGCTTGGCACGAACGGTCGCACCCCATCTGCCATGAGCCCTACCCTCTCCTCAGCATTCAAGAACGGACAACCCACCACGCCGCCCACCGATGGGCCACCGAAACCTCCAAAGAAAGGCTCGTTTGCTGAGATCATGGCCCGGGCTAAAGGGCTCCAGTCCACGGCTGGGCAGATAGGCAAGATCCAGCACAAGCGCATTGAGAAAGCTCCCAGCAAGCGGGAACGCGAGGAGATGAAGGCCCAGAAATCCTCACGGCTACAAAAGAATGTAGGCCCGAATGGAAAATTCCGTAATGCGCCTGGAGCAGCGACGATTAATGGGAAGAAGGCTAGAGTTGGTGGGAAGGCGGAGGAACCTATTCCGGAGAAGAAGGTCAAGAAGGCTGCGTTGGCTACCACGGGATATGCTGGGACTGCTCGGCCTAAACCTGGTTCTGCAAAGCAACCCTCGAAGTCTTCTACACCGTCATCTTCGCGCTACGATAGGGATAGGGATAGATACGATGACGACCGAGCTTCATCCTCGAGACGGTACACATACGTTAGTGAAGAAGAGGAGGAAGATGACTATGCGTCCGATGTGTCCTCTGACATGGAAGCTGCCGCCTTCGAAGTGGATGAAGAAGAGGAGTTTGCTTCTAGGATTGCACGGAAGGAGGATGCACTGGCGCTCGCTGAGGAGAACCGGTTAAAGAAGGAGAAGGCGGAGAAAAAGAGGCGACTAATGGAGATGGCGAGGAAGAGACGCTAATTTATTTTGTCTCTGAGGCTTCCACTTCACACATTTAATAGTCGTGTTGAAGTGTTACCCATTAGCTATAGTGGGGACGGGAGGCTGAATGGCGTGAGAAGAGCATAGCAATTATGACGATTGACGGATAATGTCTTTTAGGGGGCGCAATAGCTAGCCAGCGAGCGCTTCCCATAGGGGAGTTAGATTTCTACAGCATGTTGCTTTGGGGGTCGGGGCAGGAGTGTGCATTGTTTGTTTATTAGCGATATGGCGTCCAGGGAACCGCTTAGGTTCATCAGCATTGGGGTGTCATCGAGCCATCCGCATAGTCATAGTCACATTCATAGATCAAAAAAACTAGTTTTAAGTCGCTTTTAGCCATTTGCTAGCTATGTACAAGTGCGCTAATCTTTCACCCCAACGCTGTCGAAACCATTCGCTACAGGTACAGTGCAACAAAACCGGTCATATAAACATAGCAAGCAAGTAACTTCTACCCATCAAACAAGCCTCCATCCAGCATTAGAATTCAGTCAGGAACGATAACGATTCCCCCGTCACGAGGTATTTCTCCAGGATTCGGTATTAAGCCGGAATATATTGAACGAATCCTTTCGTCGCGAGTAGGAGTACGCCAGCGATCGCGGCAAGTGAGAGCTTTCCAGGTCTTCTTGCAGCCGTGCTTGAATCGCCTCTAGAGCACCTTTATCTTTCGTTCCCTCCCTGCCTCGTAAACAGCCCCTTCCCCTATCTGGTAAACAGGTACTTCCTCTCCCGGAAAGTCCGATTCTCGTTCTGAATCAAGGAGAGAGCTGACGTCTACTGGTAAGATCGCCGGTGGAGCATCTGGAGCATCTGGGGCGTCTGGGTCATCTGGGTCATCGGGATCGTCTAGCGACGTAGATAGGTCATCTGGCGACGTAGCTTGGTCGCCTGGCGACACAGCTTGCCCATCTGGCGATGCAGCTGGCTCATATGGCGGAGCATCTGGCTCACCTAGCGCATCTAGCGCCTCACTATCTGTTTCTATACCCAAACATGCATTGCACCTGCATGCAAAGCCGTATTTATCTTCTACCTGTGCCTTGGGAACGCCGAGCGATAGGTAGTGGATGTGGATTTGCGTGCCCTTGGAGATAGGGTGCAATGCGTGGACCTCACCGGCCCCATCCTCCTTATGGTGGAGAACGGCGTTTGGCTTGCAGGCGTGGTTGATCTTGCAGATCTCGCGGTACAGTCGTCTAACCATGTATTTCCCCTGGAGCCAAAAGGCGTTCGCGTCGAAGATCTCAAGGATAGAAGCACTGGGGTCCAGACTTTCGACATGTCTCTTATCTGTTGGCGAGAGACGGTGGAGGCATATGGCCAGTTCACGTTCTCGCATTCGATGATCTTGGAATTTGAATACTTCGAGGGTGATAAGGGAAGGCTCGGAGAGGATAACAGTGCCGGGCTTGATGTTTTTTGTTGCAAACATGCCGTCGCCGAGCGGTGTTCCCGTGGGTCGAATCTCATAACCACAGTCATCCGGATCTATTAGGTAGCATTTAGTCAGGGTATCTCACAGTATGGCAATTCCAACTTTACCATCAGGGGACTCTATCTCGGCCTCCCCAGATCCAGTAGCTTGTACGATTGATGGCATTGATTCCCCTTTTGGCTATTTAGTAGAGTTAAGTGTTTTGGGACACGTAATACCTCACCTTGAACAACTACGAGAGCATCCGTGAGTTGTCCTACAAGACCCTTTACACTTTCGGCTGCTGAAGTAAGATTAGCAGACTTTTCTTATTTGGGTTGATGAAATGCAACTTACAAGGTTCGGAGGGTTCAGAAGGTGGCTTGGCCCTTAACTGATGATTTTCGAAATCAATGGGGGCACAAGGGGTGTCCATTTTGGCAGCGAATGTTTTCAGCGATAGTGGGAATACCTGCTAATTAATGTTCGTTGCGGATGGTTTGGTAGTGGGAGTCTCAAGCGAGTGATACTGTAGATAGAATGATAGTGACCGTGTCTAATGCAATTGTCTGCACTGGATATGATGTCTGAGCAGTGAGTGATGTTTTGGATAGAGACTATTGATGACGGACGAAAACGAGCAGACTTGGGAAAATAGAAGGAACTCAGCAGGAGAATACCTACCCACTTACCTACCTAGGTAGGTAGGCACCCAATGCCTATTCGCTTCCGCATAGGGTAGGAACATTCGACAACGGACAAACCATGATAGACAGGATTAAGACCACACTAGGGAAGGAGCACAACGAATTGAACACAGTAAAGAATTTATATGTACGGGTATGGTGTCTTCTTCAAAAATCACCCACTTTTCTCAGCCAACGCCTTCACTTTCCGCTCCTCATTCTCCGTGTTCAGCTTCTCATAATGAGCCACCAGCTCATCCATATTCCTCGCTCTGTGTCCAGCAACCCCATTGTATGGCGACCCCGTGTTAAATATCCTAAACCACATGTCAACGCAGTGATCCCGCCGCACCTGGTTGGATTGACTTACTCGGGGAATCTAAGGTCTATATGCTTAGTGCCGGTTGAGTTGTGGTATAAATTCTTGTCGAAACCCGCTTGCTGAATTGCAGCAGTATGAAGCGCGTTTTGTGCGGCCCATTTCTCTCTGTAGTATGAATAGCTATCGATGAAACTCGAAAAGCCTGCCAACTTCCCATCCTCCCCAGGCCTCGAGGCCGTGTATACTCCGATCGATACGGGGATTGCGACTAGCACGACATAAAACCCGACCTGCAAATCTTGTAAGCATCCGACAGCTCCCGAACATCGGCACTGGTGTACTGACTCCAAAGGACTCGCTCTTGGGCCCAGCCGAATGATGGCCATGATCTGTGCTCGATCCGGCGGAGTGGTGGACGTGGTCTCCGGTCTTCGCGGGCTGTTTCGCTGAGTATTGGCGTATAGTCCTTGAGGCAGCTACAGGAAGGCGCTCAGCGGCCTGAACAGCCTTTCGCCGGAGTGGAATCATGTTGTTGCTGTTCAATTGGTCCTCAGATACCTACCTTGCAGCGCAGCTTCACAACTGAAGTTGAGATGATGCGGGTCGCGAAACCAAAGCTTAGTCATGCGGAAGGCGGTGACAGACTGTCCCATGCCATCATCGGCAGAATGTTTATCGAACGGGGGGGCGGCGAACTTGAAGACGACGTGCCACCTGTCCTTAAAATGGCGCTCAATAATGCACAACAGTCCCTCAATTATTTAGAAGACGATATATACGAAGACGACGGTGACGAAGAATCGCTTGCTTCATTAGAGACAGACGACGGCCAAGACCACCCACCTGAGCGGATTCTAGCCCAAGTCAAGGGTAGGTCGAACTCCGGTTACTACCTCGTCAAGTGGCAAGATTGTCCGATTATTAGATCCAGCTGGGAAGTGGAGGATCTCTTTTCGAATTATCCTTGGGTTTTGGATGCCTGGCAGATCGAGAAGCAGAGACAGGCAGAGGGCTTAGCTAAACCCTTGGACTTAGTTGCTTTCCACAAGGCAGTCTCTGGTGAGGAAGTTGCTCATACTCGAAGACGAGCCCTTCGACGCCTCAGGAGGAAATTCAAACGTGTCCTTTCCATTGTTAGTACCTGAAATCTGGTCTCCATAGGGTATATATCACTGCCCTTACCTCTATTTTATGAAAGGAACAACGACCAGATATCGACATACCCATAATACACAATGGTTCGCACACCTGTCCGCTGCCTTCTAGGCGTAGCGTGTTTAATCTTGCCAATATTAGTGCAAGCAAACCCCTCTTCCCCTTCAGAGTCGCCATCCAGCGAAACAGACCTCATCTGCCCGACCGACAACCCGACTGAATGCTATCCCCGCGTCTTCCAACCGACCAAGGACTTCCAGGTTATAAGAGAAGGACAGGATATACCCGGGGGCCTCCATGTTCGAATGAATGTCTATGAAGGGGTACGAGAAGCACGCCTAAATATTCCAATGGAACGGGAGGAGGAAACCATACCAGAAGGAGTCTCGATGGAGCAAGCCGTGGCTGTGGTCGAGCACCCTGAAGCAGAACCAGAGCCAGAACCAGAGAAGCCCGCCCTCCGCGACCAAGTCCCCATCAAGCCCCCAGGTTACGAATCAGCGGGCAAAATCCCTCCTCCGATTCCCGACGCAGAAAACGGTGACGACATGGGAACGTTTCAAAAAGCACTCCTTACAATCAAAATGGAAGCGCGAGCTTTCGATAGCGCACTGGGCGATCTCTCGGATCTAGCCCATGATATCTACTACGGCGTTGAGATAGCAAAAGACGGGCCAGTTGTGGAGAAACTCATATGTCTGACCGTTGGGTCCGGCAGTGAGAGAATGCCATCCGATACGAACGAGCGAGACCGTAAAGCAGCTTCTATCCTTGGGGCAGCAATCCAGAACAATCCCACTGCGTTGAAAGAAATAGCCCAGTTTCGCAGTTCGGTCATGTACCCGACATGCGGCTTCGAAGTACTAGCGGACAAAACGCAAAAACAGGGGAATTTCGTGGGTATGTTGCGGAGCCGAATTGGTCGAGAGAAGAGCCCGAATGCCCTGAAAGCAAAACTCGGCGCTATCAGTGGGCTGCTCAAGGAACCCGGTTTCCGGGATGAATTCCTCGAGAAGGGAGGTATGGAGCTTTTGCTTGCCATTTTCCTGAAGAACGGGGAGCAATTCGATCCTGTGAGGAGGAAGGTCGGACAACTCCTTATGGATAACTTCCTGGACGAGGATCTAGGCGCAGTGGTTGGGATTTGGCCGAAGGGTCCAGTTAGCGGGAAGAAGACCTGCGAGACCAAAGGCAAGATGTTAGATGATGGGTGTTGGGAGCATCATATTGAGGCTTTCTCGAATGCTTCACCGGATGAAGCTTGGGCTAAGGAAGTCTTAGTTGCTCTGACTGGGCAAACAAAGAAGTTTGCAGAGCCAAAACCGCATACGGAATTGTAAATGTAACATACATAGATTGCTATTAGTAATATTGACTTCAGCTATGTCTAAGCCACTGGATTGCGTAGCTCGTTAGGTGTACAACTTATTCTTTCCTAGACTAATTTGGATAGGGTATTGATCTCTCTTCAACAAAGTACTAGAATGGCGAGTAATTGGATAAGCATTCTCCCTCTAAATCCGTTTCTTCTTCCGTAACTTCAAAACCCAAGAGCGTCCAGTTAACCCCTAGCTATAACACACCAGCCAATGCACGCTATTACGCTCAAGCTATGTAAGATAGCGAAGTATCGAAATGCATTCCCCAAAGCGATGCCTTGCAATCCTGGAAAATAAAGTAGAGATAGAAGCAAGAAGTGGACTTTAAGACATTAGAGTTCTCTCCTTCGCTAATCAAGTTAAAAACCAAGTCCATAGCGACAGAAGGGAGAACCAACCATGATTTAGGGGAAGGCTCACTTCAGAGCATTTATTTGATAATTCATTAGTCCAGGTTATTATAGCTTTGACAACGCGATAATTTCTTCATCCTCATATCAAAGCCATTCAACTTCCAGTCTTGGCCTAGTTATATTCCTGATATCTAAGAGGCATTCTCTCACTTTACCAAAAGACATATAGTTGTTCTGTTAATTGTTAACTAGCTGAATCATCTGTCTGTGATTCACAGCCTTTGGTGCTTGTGAATTGCAGAATCCTCTTCTAGTGAATTACAACTTCATATCCAAGCGCGGTGACTACCTCACATTCATTCACTCACCCACCGACTATCTATAAAGCTCTCTCTCCTTCTCCCCAATCACAACAAACTCAACCCTCAACTCCAAACCGATCTTCGTCTTACCCAAAGCAACAACCGTCAAGAAAGATTCCAAGCCCCAAAGCAGACTCCAATAACTATCTTGAACTCCAGCTCACCCTCCAATAACCCTCCAACCCAACCTCGTCAACTTCATAAACCACCTACTCAACTCACCTCTTCTTCAAATCCAAAAATGAAGCTCATCACCACCATCACTCTCCTCCTCACCCCCCTCACCTTCGCCGCCGTGCTCCCCACCTCCACCCAGGGCAGCGACATCGTCCGCAACGATGGCATCCTCACCCGCTCCGTCCTCAACCTGTACTCGCGCCTCATTACTCGAGGAGGACCTAAACTCCACCATTGCGGCGACAGCGATTTCATGGCCCCGTACCCAACCTGCAACGCCGGCGGCCAGCTATCTGCCAGCACCGCCAGCGCTGCTCTCCTCGGTTCCATGGCCATTGGTCTGGTTATGCTTTGAGTGAGCTAGCAAACATGGTGTTGGTGATCCCATGGGTATGATGGGGTTATTGACTGTTGTGCGTGCGTGAAATGGTTAGTACATCATTCATCTGCCCCCCTTCACTTTCTTGAAAAGTCACAAGCTATTTTATTAACCCTACTCAACAGCGCTCCGTCAACAACCGATAACTGACTACACTTACTCGATTACTGCATGCACACACAGACTTGCAATTTGTTTTCCCGCGCGCAAGGTTTTGAAATCGGATAGAACGGAAAGGCAATAAATAAAACAAAAACTTCAACCCCTCTCTACCAATCCCCATGGTTTCCGTATGCTCTATACTGCCTGTGACACTTTTGCTTGTGAATTGACACACTCTCACCTCTCTGTTGCCCTCTATGATATAACATCGGAAAAGTGTGATACCGCTGGGTATCTATTTCACTTGCTGTATATATGTGTATCACCAACCCAAACCTTCCAGCTCCTAGCACTCCTGGAAGACTTAGATTTTTAAAATACAGTATCTCGCTCATAGCACCTTACCACGCAACTGACTTATCATTACCGCTCTTCAGGGGGTAAGCTAGTGCAGGTTCCACAGATAAAGACAATTCTCGCTGTACTTTGAACGTTGGAAGCATGCATAATGGCTAAGTACCTAAGTAGCGCTTGCTGGAACTTAGAATGAGAGGGAGAGATAGTAAAGTGTTGCTGTAGTTTGGAGATGCGGGACTTTTATCAGCCATGTATTCACAGACCATGTGTGTAACCCACTTAGGTATTATATATTCACGCAGTAGTTCATGCTCTTGACTTGATTTCTGAACAGATATATTTAGCTCTATAGAACTATTGTCTATACGAGCTTCCCAGCTCGACCTAACCAGCAATTTCTGGGTGTTTTATCCCGACACCCAATCCCAATGAAAAATCCAACCCCGATACTCCTCGCCGGTATGCAAAACATTAGGTATCATATGTATGCACCATTAACAAAATCCAATCCAAAACTAGCCAGTCTATCTATCTAAGAATGGGAGTCTTTTTCACTGATCCCGTTGGTACTCGAATCGCTGTTCCCGTTGGGACTCCCGTCACTGTTCCCAGCGCTGGGCGTTTGTTTGCCCTTCGATTCAGGGTTGGAATTGTGCTCCTTCGCAAAAAAGTCGTGCACCTCTGGTGGTAGCTCGTCATCCAATTCGCCACAGGCCGCCTCGTCATGCATCCTTTCAGCCTGTCTTTCTTTCCATTCCTCACGAAGGTCTTTAACCTTGCTCACATAATCGAGTTTCGGGTCATAGTGTTTACCGGCACCTCGGAGACGCTCCCACAAAGAGAGATGGTGAGGATGGACCGCCACACCATGATACTCTTCCTCACGGCCAGCTCGGATATATGAAAATCGGCGCTCCTGCTCCTTGAGGTCGAGACCGGTGGTATCCGGAAGGAAAAGCCAAGTTACCAGCATACCTGCCAGACCAAACCAGGGAACGACATAGAATTTCGTCTGTGTGTCGATGTAGTTGTAGAGGACCGCAGCAAGTAGGGCGCCAAGTTTACCCACGGCGGCGGAGAAGCCGTGGGCGGAAGCACGGACGGGTGTCGGAAAGACCTCAGCGGCGACGAGGAAGGTGGTGCTGTTGGGACCGAATTGGTTGAAGAAGGACGAAAGGAAGTACATGGCTTGAAAGGCTGGGATGTTGGCTTTCACTTGGGCATAATAGTAGAAGTGGAAAGCCGGGACAACAAAAAGAACGAAGTCCATCAGGAAGCCAAGTTGTTGCATCCTCTTTCGTCCAACGAACTTGATATCGATGAGGAACGTCGCGAGATAGTATCCGCAAAGGGAAACGCCAACATTGACCAAGTTCCAGAGCCAGTTCGTCATGATCGAATGCGTATTCGGCGAGAGGACGCTAATGAACTGAGATTGGAAAAGCTTGTTGCCATAGAAGAAAACGTCATTGCAGAACCAGGCTCCAGCAGTTGCAATAAGACGGCCGCCAAAGTGATGGCAGGTAAGCTTTAACGATTGCATGTCGTATCCAGTCACGCTTGACTTTTTCTTGGCTGCATTTAGCGCCTTGGACGCAAGAGGCATTTTATAGTAGCGGTAGTAGACCAGCCACAGCGTACCGACGGTTGGAATAGCGAAAGAAATGCGGAACGTCCACTGCGCAGAGACCGCTGAATAGGGGGGGTTCCCACTACCGTGATGGAATATCAAGAGGAGAAGGATGAGGACGGCTTGGTTCATGAACTGCCCCCATCCTTGCATCAAGAACGCCATGGTGACCTTGCGACCACGATGTAGGCGATCATCTTTGGTAGAGACCCTCCCCGACCCGGTAGCATTCTCCATGGCGGCGGTGGCTGTCATTGGATACTCCCCGCCGACGCCGATGCCATAGAAGAACAGTGACCAGGCATAGCAGATGACCCAGCCATTCAGAGTGGTTCCCCAGGAGGCAACGAGCATCAGAAGGCCAATGAACATAATACCGGCATCTTGGATGAGACCCCAACGGCGACCGATACTGGAGAGTGTAAGCTTTTATCCTTTTGATTTAAGGGAATGGAGAGAATCTTACCCGTCACCAAGAAGACCAACAAGGATCTGGCCGACGATAATGCCAGATACCTCCAGGTACTGGACCGAGTCGACCCAGGTTTTATTACACACCTTGAACGTTTTCCAACAAGATGGCCAAACGGCGGAGAAAAGCGGCGTCAAGTTTCCGATGGAGAAAAGAACATAGCTAATGCAATCATCAGCCTGTAACTCATTTAATAATTAAACGCGGCGGACTGACCCTTCAAGACCGAGACCGGCACCGGGCAAGACGGCATTTCTGAAGTACCACCTAATGGGCTCCAATGGGTCCTTTTTGAACATCCTCCCAATGCTGATCAACTCGCTCTTCGCCTCCGCATTGTCGACTTTCCGATTGAAGGCAAGCTGCTTCGCCCAGGGGAGATCCGCCCAGTAGGTGCCATCTTCTGTGTGTGTATCATCGGGATAGATGACGCTCTTCAAGACTCGCTCCTCGTCGCTCTCCTGTGGGAAATCCCGTAGAGACACATGGTCATCACCTGTTTCAGGGCCATGGGGGACGCCTATCATGCCCTGGTTGTACGGGTCATGGTGATGATGGTGGTGGATGACATCGTCGGACATGGCGTCGACGTACAGAAGTCTTCCGACGGGGACCGGCAGAGGGGTTGGGAAGGCGGAGGTAGCGATAAGCAGCGGTGCAACGCGACACCGAGAGGGTGACGCGAGCCGTGGCTATAGAGATACTTCTCTGGGTAGTTGATTGCTGCCGGTGGAATGTAGAAATAGAAGTGAAGAAGAAAAAAGGAGGAAGAAGAAGAAGAAGAGGAGCACCGAGATGATATAATAATTAACGGATGTGTGGGCGGTTTCCGCTCTGGCTGGGAGTCCGGGGCGCTGGTTACTGTGGCCGGGGGTCTCGGTGGACATCCATGACATCCATGGGTGTGGCGGAGGGCATCTGCATCTTATTCGAAGAGAAGGAGCGGGTAGCAAAAGTTACTGCAAGTGGTAGGTAGAGAGGGTCGTAGTGAGTCTAGGTGGGTAGTTCGCGGGTGGGATGAGATATCTAGTGAGTGGGCGGGAGCCGTGGGATGGTGGATGGCGGGTGGTGGGTTGTATGCTAGCGCCGTGCTGTATTTTTGCACATTTTTATTTTTGCGTGGGTACAGTAGAAGACAGACAGACACCTGCTAGTACTGCGCTGCATCGCTATCATTACCTCGTGTACGCGTACGGCTGAGGATCCGACGGGGATAACAAGACAAGTGGACGGGGGAATTGTGTATTTCCGTTGCTTGTCTGCTTGTTTGCTTGTTTCGCTCCTCCCTTTTTGAAGTTTGCCCCTCCGTCCCTGCCCGGATGCGTATACGTCGTAAAATGACCCTTGACTGATATTGGATCAGATCACTTGATTAACGCATGCCAAGCCGGCGATCTGATATGGCACTAAGCATTTCGCATTCTCTTGGCTTGGAGCACGGGAGCCACCGCCCAGCCAGGAACACACTCAAGCATTCTGGCTTCCCCCCTCCCCTCCCCCCCGGGGATGCGGTCGGAGAACATGTGTATTGTATAGATAATACATAATACATAATAATACCCAATACTTGTACATAATACATATTAACCACTGCCATGGCCAGGGGTCCTCCTGCAAGCCATTGCTCGCATATCCCGCGCGATTCGTGCTCGTCGGACTCTGGAGAAGATCTGTTTGCAGTCCGATTTCTTGGGATGTCGTCGCGCGCAGCCAATCAGCGGCCGCGGATCCAGCACGTTTCTGTGATCGTTCGCCTACACGCTTCCTTGGCCAGATTCCAGGATGGCCAGGGTCTGGAGTTCCGAACAGAACGTTCCGACGCCACTTCGCGCACCTCGGCGCTGAACGCTACGAGGTATGGGTGTCTCGCTCTGTTTTACACGGAGGAGTCCGTACTTCGTAATTGTAATGGTAATAGCAACAACACACACGCGAGCAATTGCCTACCTGGGCATGTACGTAGGTTAGGTGCTCGTAGTACCTTCGTTTCGTGAGCACGAGAGAGTGTCAAAATTGGTGGAACATTCAAATTTCAATAACCTCCATACCAATAGCTCTTCGTTCCTTTCTACTGCGTACTTGGTAGGTGTCTTACGGCACCGGCGGCTGCTGGTGCTGGTGCTCTATATTGCCCCTCGCGTGCAATCATTGCAATGTTCGCGGCCCTCTTTTCTGATTAGTCATATGTACTCTGTAGCTGTGCCAGCCAATCAGAGGTCGTAACGCCGAGCACCAGAATCTAAGGTGGGGTTTCCACATGACGATGATGCTGGACTTTCGTACCTCGATTTTGTTTGATATCAGCTCAATATCCTCCTTGCTACTTGCTACTTACTACCTTAGGTCAATATCAGCTCAAGATACCACTTGCTACTTACTACCTCACGTAGTACTACCTCCGTCACATGAGAACAGCCCAGCTGATTTGCCCACCATGGCCCCTCCCGCCATCATTGCACCTTCAATCCTCGCCGCCGACTTCGCGAATCTAGGAGCAGAGTGCTCTAATATCATCGACCAAGATGCTACGTGGCTTCATATTGATATCATGGACGGCCACTTTGTGCCAAATATCACATTCGGCGCCCCTGTTGTTACCAAGATCCGCAGCCATGTTGCGCGGCCGACCGAGAAGCATGGCAAGGGGACATTTGACTGCCATATGATGATTGCGGAGGTACGTACCGCTTCCCCCACCATATCCGACCCCGCGAACACCAATTGATATATTCATGGGATATTACAGCCGAAAAAATGGGTCAAGGACTTCCAAAAGGCCGGATGCGATCTGTACTGTTTCCACTATGAAGCTGCAATCTCGAGCACGGCGGCCGAGAGCCCAGAAGAGACGAGCAACGCGAAGACGAACCCTAAAGAGATGATAAGATACATTCATGACTGTGGCATGCTAGCCGGTATCGCCATTAAGCCCGATACGAGTGTGGATGTTTTGTGGGATATTTTGGAGAACGAGAATGCGAATGAACGGCCGGATGTAGGTTGCCCCCAACTTCCTCCTTCAACTTGCTTCTTAAAAGAGCTTACACTGACGGGATACAGATGGTGTTGGTCATGACAGTTCACCCCGGGTTTGGAGGACAGAAATTTATGGCTTCCGAGTTGCCCAAGGTTACAGAGCTGAGAAAACGATACCCGGAATTGAATATCGAGGTTGATGGGGGGTTGGGTCCTGGAACGATTGACCAGGCCGCGGATGCTGGCGCAAACGTTATCGTTGCGGGGAGTGCGGTATTTGGGGCGCAGAATCCGGGCGAAGTTATTGCTCTGTTGAAAGACGCCGTTGAGAAAAGGAGAGGGAAATTATAAGAAATGAAACTATCGATTAGGTTATGAAGATATATTAGAAATGAAACTTGCTGACTCTGCTCCCGAGCATCACTGCAGTCTGCACAACGAATGATGGCAAGGATGGACACGGTCTATTTTGCAATGGCAACACACTCGTGAGTCTCTTACTCCGTAGGGCAGGCACCTACAAAGTACCAAGGTACTGTACATAGGTACGGTACGAAGTACGGAGTAACATAATAAAAGGCATCTAGCTGGTAAGTTATGTTACGGCAGGGGCTAGAATCTGGAGACCTGTATTACCTCAGCAACCGCCCACGTGCATTGTTCTCGCTTCTGATAGGCAGGTTTACCACAACCCCTTTTCTGTTCGTCATCTACAACTCATACCTCATTTGACTCGTTTTACATTGGAAAGTTCCAAAGTGGAATTACCACCTGCATCATGATTTCATCTTTCTTCTCTCCTCCCGTAGGAGAAAACTCAAGAAAACCCCCCCAAGGGAAATCAGATATTCCTGGTTTCACATCTGAACAAGTTAGTGCTACCGTTTTAGTGTCAGGAAGCGTGTTAATTGCTTCTAAAATTCTAAATACAATCCCCATGCTTTACCCACGTCATTTCCTCATGTACAAGCCTTGCCAATGCAGAATCCAGCGCGGCACAAGCTGCAAGGATCGACGAGCTCCCTCGCTCCTCCCATCTGCGGCCCAGACGCCAGTCAGCCACGAAAGCTTGCTTACACCCACGAGGGGGGATACGATCCATGGCCAAGGCGTGGGCGTCGGGAGAGGGGCGTGTTACGGCTCTTGGCGCTGAATGGTTATTTGGACGTCAAGTTCCTAGGTTTCGTAGGGGTTCTCGTCTTCGTCGGAAGGCCCGAGGAGCGGAAGAACCGGAAATCCCAGAGTTGGGGTTCTTCGAGGGATGAATGGCGTAACCATGGATGTGGAAATAGTGCCGTGATCCTGCCCTTTGGATCCTGTGCCGCGTGGCCTGGTTCACAGCATGTGCATTACCCTTCCACAATCCAGTTACATCCGGCTAACTCGGCTTCCCCCCTTATCTCTATCCTACTAAGTCACACTCAACCATCTCCGAGTTCGATCTCCAGTGGAAGAATGGATCCAACTGAACAATTTCTTTAAGATCCTTGACACTCGCGCATCTCCGTATATCCGCGTCTGTTGTATTAGCAATGACAATTTGTCATTTCAAGTCTTCAGACCTTCCTATAATTATACTTCTTTAAAGAAATATATAAATTTCAGCAGTGATAATACCGCTTATACTTAAATATCCCGTAAATACCTCTAAGGGTATGATACTTTCATCCGGCTCACTCTGTCTAGTGGCAGATAGTATGTGTTCAGACAACTCCAATCTAGAAATTTTACTAGCCTACCATTGTCCGCTTTTGTTTAGTACGCGTACTGTTTGAATCATTTATACCCCTCAGGAAGCTCAAGCTTAGAAGCTGCGAGAGTTTTCCTGATTCTATTCCTCTAAACAATTTAACTCGAGATTTTGTTCTCACGTTGAATATGGCCGTAGGTAAAATTCTCCCTTGAGCTAAATCATAAAATATGCAGATTGACTGAAGATGTTTTAGTCAACCATCCCTGCTCAAAATATACATTCCTTATTTTCTACCAGATATTTAGCTGAGTGAGCCCAGCTACCCTACGATAATAGCGATAGGCTGATAACGGCCAGCGGGACTACGCAAAAGTACATCCACAGTAGTGTCAACCAAAATCGTCAGGCTAGCTCCTGATATGCCAAAGGAGCTGTATCCGCGTGGGCCTGCCACCTCAATTGACGAGCTCAAAACCATTATTGAAGACGTCCGCTTGGTTCTAGTTACCATAGGGATCCCAATGACTGAGTAAAACTTTGTCACTGTTATTAAACCGAATCAACAGGAGATCAACAAAGCTTTGGAGTTATTCTTTAAAGAGTCTTTGTAGGATGGCTACTAGGCAGCCTGTCTTCTTGCTCGTCATATACACAAACAACACAGCTGTCAGCTGCATTCCTGCCGGCCTAGGCGAGCGGGCTGCTGTACTAGCCCAAGATGAGAACGTAGCTGAACTTAGCCGGTTTTTGTCTATCCTGGCCTCTTACTAGGGGGCCTCTTACCATTCATGATCGGAGTATGCCTAAGAAAAACATTCCGCGGATAAATTTAACTTATACGCCCATTATTAGGAACCACTACTACCACCGCTGCCAGCTGCTGCTTGTTCTAGTGCGGCTACTACTGTTGCTACTGCGTGAGTAGGGAAGAAGACATCACGATGGGCCACAGTCTAAAGCGTACAGCTCTAAGAGGACTAACCTGTAAATCGCCGTCCTTGACTGTGAGACAATCATGCCTCTACCAAAGCGTGATGATTTCCTAAAAGATATTCTTCAGCTACGAAGTCTTCGTTCCAAGAGAATCTGATAGATACTCGTGGATAGCAGTTGCCACTCCACGGTTGGTCAACAGAACTTGCCTAGTATCTTTTAAGAGCCTTTGGAGCTTGCCGTACTTAAATTTGCTTACCGGCTACTACCAACCAATGCCTTCCCATCGTAATGCCAGGTGCAGATGGTGTACGAGTATCTACGCCCATTAGTAGCCTTAGATCGGACAACTCTATCAGCTAATCGACGACCATGTTCTTGAACCACTTCTTAGTAACTAACCGATCCGCCCTCTACATCCCCAAATGTTCATCAAGGGGACGGCAACTTTAGGATCAACCAGCAGCAATAATCAGCCGGGAAGCATAATCGGGATCCCAAGCAACGTGAGCTATGTGTGCTTTATTCTCTGCCTAAACAATATTTCACAAGAGTAACAAGACCACCGTTAAGTCATCCTCGATTTTATATACTAGAACGCACACTAAATCCTCAATACTTACTAGTTCGATAGTACTTGGTTAAACTTCTATCTTCTATTACAGCTGAAGACATAATATCTTTCACTATAGCATGTACACCTATAAGTGCTGCTATAGTGGCAAATAATTTAACACGTGTTTCATCTGAAAACTTTATACCTTGATGTGAGCTAAATATTTTCTTTATGTCTTCTTTAGTTAGGCCAGCTTCTACCTGTTGCAGATTATAAACTTCGTTCTGATTCCTCATCTACTTCGCTATTATTCCTTTTAGAAAGAATATGGTGGAAGTTTTTCTGGCTATGTTTAAGTGCCAAACTCCAACGTATATATATATAGGTAGGTATTACATGCACGAGTACAAGAATCGGGATAAACTCTAACTAGATGAAAATTCTATACGGTTATAGCTACTATTCTGTACTATTACAACTGTAATTTCATTTAAAATATATTTCCCTTCCGGTTTCTCCCATAAAGATTTGTCCCGTTCCCATATATGACGAACCTCACTCTTGGGTAGTGGACTCAATAGTTTTAGTTCCTCCTTTGCTATTTCTACCTTCTGGTCTCCTGTATTGGATATAATACGATCCCTCTTCCTAAGTTATTGGTGCTCTCCACATCCGGCCAGCGGACCAGTATCAGAAAGCGGAAGCCTATGGATTAGCTCTATTTCGGAATTTAACAGACCAGCCATGTAAGTGGGCGTCTCTTTCAGGCATATATTTCCAAAGAATAGAGCGATATCACTCCGGCAGTTATAGTCTTATTTTATCTCGGAGAACTACCTGGCATTCTTCCCTCCGAAGAGAGCTTGAGTAAGAATTGTCAGTATCATGGCAGGTTAAACACCTCGCCGGTCTTGTAGATCTTGGCTAAAAATTTAAGCTGGTACATGCAGCCTGGAGGCTCTTGAACTAGGCCTAGACGAAATATATAGAACGGTGAAACCGGCTTGTTCCGCCTCCACACCCAGCCTTCAATACGTTCGATGTACTCCCTAAGACAGACTTTGGGCGGTAATTCTCTGTACGCCTCTGCTAGCTAACAGGTTGAGCGGGTGACTCTTGGAGGTCTTGAATATGTTTTCTTATGACTTAGGTTGAGAATCGAAGTGTGCTGATTTTTAAATCGAGATGTACAGGCAGCTTCGTACGATTGATTCTGTGAACAATATCATTTCATCGCAAGGGATTGGATGATGTAGATAGGTTAAATGAACCAGCTGACTTCGCAAGTTTTGCTATACTTCAAGTTTTCTGCTTTGCTGCAGAAACAAAGTGTTCGATTATTGAAGTAGCCCATAACTGCTCTATAATTCGCATAGCATCATGCTACCCTGACTCAGGCGTATGCTGAAAAAAGGCCAGATACTCGTTCTCTCGTGTACGCGGTGTATTGGTTAAGAGTGACAATTGCTGCCACATTATCAGATTAAATCTACGCTTCTATTATTACTCATATAGTCCGCCGTCAATGCTGCTAGCCAGCGGTATACAGCAGCTCGGCAGAGTCCCAAGCCTAATCGAAAATATAATCTACTATTAATAAGATCTGTAAAACACACCATCTAACGAGTCCCTGTCAGATGTTATAGGTATTCTAAAGCCTTAGTAAACGAAATGAGAGAAATATAATACACTATACGAAATTAGGAATAGATAAGCCATATACGTAAGACGTTTTATTATCTTTATCGATATTTATAGAGCGTCTATAGACTCGCCTATTCTCTCCCCGATTGGAAATAAACCAAGCAAAGGGGTCCCGTGCTTGGTAATGGTCGTTGTGAATTTATTTGAAGGTCATTCTACATATTTAGCAGTTTCTAGATCGGAAATGCAGTCTAGCCCTCATATCAATAAAAACGGACACCTCTCTCGGTCTTCGACTCCTATATAAGGAACGGGAATATAATTGGATCTATATATTCGCTGAATGTACTGATCTGGGTATAGTTTTGAACAAATGTTCAGAGGCTACTAATAATGCAGTCATGAATGACCTCAAAGCTCTTGGTCTGCTACAAGCCGTACGTCTAGTCTTGTTTGTGAGGCTTGAATCTAGATACAACATCTCTGCTATAAATGATCAAATTATCTACTGGGTCCGCGAACACTCCATTTAAAAGGCGCTTATAAGTTATTTCTATAATGTGGTAATAAGAATTAACCTTTCAGGTTCATTGGATAGTGTATAGACATATTCTAAGGTTTTATTTGCGCTCTATATCGTAGCCTCTACTCTACCCCTGCATGTATGTATGCTTGACGACAACGCCTATCACTACCTCGAGGCTAAGGCAATCGTAGATCTCCATGTAGGTTCTGTTAACCCATCCTTAGTCAGATTATGCTTTGCAAGTGGGCTCCCTTGTCCGTTCGTTGACACAAGGTCCGGCAGTGCAAGTACCAATTTAAGCAAATAGCTGTCACATACGACCATAGACTGAGGAGAAATGGGCATCCCGTCCGCTCTGCCATACACAAGCCTCAGATCGGCAGATTAGTAGTTGGGTGGGTGACCACCAGCGAATACCTGCTGTTGTATGTTTTTTTTTTTAGTTTCTTTTAATTAGTTTTATCAATCCTCTTTTGTCGTTCGCTTTGGTTCCACTTAGTACTACTATCTTCCGATAAAACTTTATGCTTAACCGTTCAATTTCAAGATCAAATCTCTTATATACTATATATTCAAGATGGAGCCACCATTTTATTTCTAAATAATAATTTCCAACATTCCTTCTAGCAGTTTAGACAAGGCGCTGAGCATGATCTCTGATGAATGATTTCTAATGTATCTCTGGCTCAAAGTGCGTTCATGAGCTCAGCAGTATAATAAGTAGAGAAATCTTGGGATCCAAGTACGCTGACTTGTTCAAAAGCATGGATAATGCAGGTCCTCTAAAGTGAATGTTGTACTTTCGACAGAGTCTCGTATCTTCTTCTCCCCGACTACGCTCACTGTCTTTCACCATAACCCCAAACTATAAGGGTCTTTGCCAAGGCTTCTCATTTTTTAAATAAAGGAAATAGAAATTTCTGCGGTCTTTAATTCTGACTAAAGCTGCAACAATCGAGATGTGCTACGGTACTCGAGTACCCAACTGTTGGTTCATGGGCAATAAAATCGGGTGGTGGGTATGTTATTTACCGCAAAGGAGAGGGAAGCTATACGAACCATAGGTTACGACGACACGCAAGATACAAACTGGTAGTAGCAGAGGTAGACGGCATTTTCACCCGGAGTGAAGCGTGTGGCGAGTCAGGAACCTGCTCCATCTGTGTATGAGGTATGAAGAATGGCCAAAGGAAATGTGGGGGGTTGAAATGGAACAATCGGCAAAACATCGCAAAACGTTGTCAATGTTGTCATAGATCACATGGCGGCCCGCAACTCGCGAGTCGCCATGTCTTAAGCAGCTTGTCAAGAAGCATAATAACAATAAGGTAGATGGGAAAGTTCCGCTGTTGCCAAGCTAGCACCTCCCCTCGCCCACCACACGGGTGCAAAACAAGGGAGTTGAGATCGGGCGTCCAAGAGCCCGCACCAATTGTGGCTCAGCAACCCCGAGCCATCACCGACTGCTGCTATTAATGCGCTCTCTGCCATTGGGCCACCATGGAGCAGCACTCGAAGATCGAAACTTGGGGTTTCCGCTTGCTGGGGTAATGCGCGGGGTGGTTGGCAGCTAGAGGCGCCGGAGCGAGGTGTCGGCATTTCAGCCCTCCAAATGCTCTGAATGGGATATAATTATAATAACGCTGGATTCCTCCTTCGGTGGCATGTTTTTAAAGACCGTACGACTTTTATGTATTAACGATTGCATTGACCACCCGTTTGTGTCTCGAATTCAACCTGTGCGAACCCTGCAACGATCTTAGGCTCGGCAGTCTTAGAAAATGGCGGTCGTCGATTTCCTCCTCACTCCCTGGACAATTCCAGTCGCGCTGCTGCTATTCTATCTCGTCCCCTATCTTACTTCGAACGCTGCGCTCAGGAGCATCCCAGGGCCACTTGCGGCGAGATTCTCGCGCTTATGGCTTCTTCTACAAGCTCGACAGGGAAGGCGATTCCTGAGTGTCGACGAAGCTCACAAGAAATATGGCAAGCTGGTCCGGATACAGCCAAACCATGTCAGTGTGGCAGATGACTCTGCGATCAATGCTATATATGGGCATGGCAATGGATTTTTGAAATCGTAAGTAGCTAGTTGGCTCCACAAGACTCGTTGCTGATTTCTCAAAAGAGAATTCTATGACCCCTTCGTTTCCATCCGGCGAGGTCTCTTCAATACCAGAGACAGGGCGGAACACACCCGCAAACGAAAGACTGTCTCCCATACCTTCTCTACCAAGAGCATCGCCCAATTCGAAACCTATATGCACGATAACCTCCACCTATTCGTGAAGCGATGGGACGAATTGTCTACGAATGCCCATGGCGGTTTTGCGAAGATCGACTGCCTTCATTGGTTCAATTACCTCGCATTCGATATGATTGGTGACCTTGCATTCGGGGCCCCCTTTGGTATGCTGGAGAAGGGCAAGGATATTACGGAGATACAGTTGACGCCTGGTGGTCCCATCAGCTACGCACCAGCGGTGGAAGTTCTAAACAGACGTGGCGAGGTCTCAGGAACGCTCGGTTGCCTTCCTCAACTCAAACCGTTTGCTAAATATTTCCCCGATCCCTTCTTCACTCAAGGCCTGGAAGCTATACAAAATCTTGCTGGCATGGCTGTTGCCAGAGTGGCCCAACGCCTTGACGGCAAGCAGGATGTGGACCGAGTCGACCTGCTTGCAAGGTTGATGGAAGCAAAAGATGAAAGTGGTAACCCTATGGGCCGCGAAGAGCTCACAGCCGAAGCACTCACGCAACTTATCGCCGGTTCGGACACCACCTCCAATACTTCCTGTGCAATTCTCTACTGGATCTTGAAGACACCAGGCGTTCTTCAAAAGTTACAAAAAGAGCTGGATGAAGCAATCCCCGATGGGACCGACGTGCCAAATTTCGAGACAGTTAAGGATCTAAAATACATGCGTAATGTTATTCAAGAGACAATGCGCATCCACTCCACCTCGTCTTTAGGCCTTCCACGCGTGGCGCCCCCAGGACCAGGTGTTGACATCCTTGGGCACCATTTCCCACCCCACACGGTTCTATCAGTTCCGGCTTATACGATCCACCACTCCAAGGAGATTTGGGGCGACGATGCTGATGAATTTGTGCCTGAGCGCTGGGACAATCTAACAGAGAGACAAAAGGGCGCGTTCATTCCCTTCTCACACGGTCCTAGAAGTTGTGTTGGCCGCAACGTTGCGGAAATGGAGCTGGCTCTCATTGTATCGACAACATTCAGGAGATATGATTTCGATCTGTATCAAGATGTTTTGGAGACCCGGGAGGGCTTTTTAAGGAAACCATTGGAATGCATGGTGGGCATTAAGAAAAGAGTGTAAAATATTTTGGCTCCGAAATTGTCATCGAACTTCAAGTTGTCTCGAATTTTGGGTAGTGAAGCTCAGAGACCTATAGGGACTGACTGCCGTAACCAGGCCGGCGTGTTAAATATAGAGATATACGGAAGCTCTTCGAGTCGGAAGAACAAAGTTGTACAATACTAAATTCGGTTGTTTTAGCCATCGTCTAGTAATCGTGCCACTATTGCTGCGTGGTTGCAACGGCTAGTGACGTGAAGTGACTGGATTATCTGGGCCCCGAATAGGATAGGGAGCTTTTTGACAATCTTTTCTTTATGTTTTTGCTTAGTTGTCTGGGAACTACGGTGTTTCTGCAGAATTCTGGTTGTCGGTGTGTTCCTTGGGCGCTGTCTCAAGTTGACTCGGTGTGTTTGTTCTGCATAACTCGGAGTAGGAGGTTCTTGGCTGCGAAATGGAAGCATACGAGTAGCCTGTTATTTTGTTTTGTTTTACTAAGTATATATACCCTATAATCCTAATCATTTAGGAATCTACTTTTTCTAGCGTACCAACCTTGCACAACTTTACGATCTCCTCAGGGGTTTATATACACAGTTCCAACCGCTTTTAGTAAACTCCATATCCGAATCCTATAAAGCTACCATCGCCAATGGCCATGATATCCAAGTCTCCCATTCTGGACCAATGTATCTGGCAATACTACGCACAATGAACTCAGGCTTATCTCGCCACCACCAGTATTTCTCATCATCAGCTCTATTCAAGACCACTTTAACAGCCGCGTAGTAATATGCTAAGATTGACAAAGCAATTGGATCGTTATTCCCTAAAAGATTCAAGAATGGTACATTTACAAATGTTTGCCAGCGCAGAAAGCATAGCAATATTTCCTCTAATACTGGTTTCTCGGTGATACAAGTATCGGAAGGAATGCAAATGGCGAGATAGAGTGTAAGAGACTCCATTCGTTCAACGTATATATCCTTGTTCCTGGTCCATTTCGAATTAATTGGGAGCTCGTCCAAAATATTCATGAAGATTGCGCCGGGATTTTCAAGAGATGGCTTCGCATGGGGAAAGCAGATAGGCATGGATAATGGTGGGGATAGTAGAGATGCGAACACTCCTTGGTGTGCTCCAAGAGGGCTGGCGATGACGAGGGAGCGGATTCCTCGAAGAAAAATGAATGATGTATCTCCACACCCGGACGGGTCAAATTCTAGGGCTGAACAGGCATGAAAATAAAGTAGGAATGAGGTTGCGAAGTGGGAGGACTGGATTGAGCGTAGATAGTTGTTACTGTACGATTCAGCTAGGAAAGTTGCGCGGAGGAGAGAGAGCGATCTTTGATGGTGTTTTGATTCGAGGGTGGCGTAAATTTGGCCAGATGGAGAAGGATGAGCAGACGTACTCTGGCGATTGCTGCGAGTGTGAATTGACTTGAAATGAAGATGCCGCGCAGAGAGTGAAAGGATTGCGTGTATAAGGAAGGGATGCTAAGACAGGTAAGAAATAGTGTTTTGGCTATGCAAGGCAAAATGAAAGAGCTGTCAAATTGCAGTGATCGCTATGACATACATGAAAGGCAAGTTGTAAAACATCTACTGCCCAGAGATTTTCATTCCCGATCAAATATTTGCTGGTTTTCGATTTGAAATACGTCAAGAGATGCATGTTCTCTTGATTGTCGAGAGCCGGATTATCTTTCATCCCTATAGCAGGTAAGGCATGTGCTCTTGACTTTGTAAAATCGCTGGATAAGCCAGGGAATATCAGGCTACTATGCGAGGGTTCCGGACACCCAGCTGCACGGGTATGGTCCACGGGGTCGGCGGCTGGGGAGGTCTTGATCTTAGATTTTGAGACAGCTGGCGCTCCTATTGTGAAAGTGCTGACTTGACTGCTCTTCCAATCAGGCATATTATGACCTGTATAAACGCAGGTATAAGATAGAGTTCTGCACCGTTTGCAGATTGGTTGAGATTCATCACACTAGGGAAGGCTAGTTAGCCAACTACTCTGTTGACAAGAAACTTACGAAACTAAAGAGACTGTCGAGGCATGTGTATCAGAGCTTTCAAACATCGCACTTATAAGGCGGCAAAGTAAGGTATTACAGGACAGAGCATACCTTCTTTCTTCTCTTCTTGCACCCTTGGCAACCTAAGTTGGACCTTCCTTTCGATTGACGAGTTGCGGCACCTCTAGTATGAGCCTGGGTATTGGTGAGAAGGCGTCCAGGGCGTTTAGGTGGCATGCTGATAGCGATGTCGCGATAGTGAATCCTAATTCGGGGCAGGCTCAGGATGACTGCACTCCCAAGGACGGAATATTTTACGATGCGGGGTGCTTGTAGGCAGGTCTTATCACGAGAATGATCGTGATAAATATCAATGTATATGAATCTATAGCTTATGAACGACCATGAATTGGCAGTGGGTGAGCTCCTGATCTGACAGAGCTAGCCCTGAAGCGGAAAGTTACGCTCTTAATTGCCGGGCAATTTCTAACGACGCTGGGTGAGATGCAATACTGCGCCTCTTATTCTACGCCGGCTCCGCAGTGAGATCGTCAAACTATCCCGATTTATTGTTGCAAAGGACGTATGCATTAGCTGGTGACGCGTTTGAACTGTGCGTAAGTTACTGTATTGAGATACACTCATTGCTACTGGCACTAATGAAGCTTGGAAGGTACTCGTATCGTATCTCATCTCTTACAACACGTAGCACAAATATGAAAATGGCTTAGAAGCACTCCGTAACTCGTGGTCCCCCTTGACACGAGAATATCAAATGAGGAATAAGCTTGGAGTCTCTCACGAAGCACATTTTTTCTATAAGATACCGTGAGTTCCCGTAGTACCGTTCCCTCCCAACCTCGATCTAGTATCTATTCAACTTCACCCAACTTCCAGCTAAGAGCCAACATGCTTCTGAAACTATTGCTTCCACTCGCGTTGAGTAGCCTGTCGATTGCGTCGCCAATGCCCGGTTCCAATGCATATAATTACAATTGCACCATCGATCGAGCAGTCGACGGGGCTTTGGTTAATGGCTCAGTTCCCATTGACACAAGCCCTATGACTGCCTGGGACGGGCCTAAAATCGCCGCTTTCAACAACACAGCTATAGAAGATTGGTCCTTCGATGCGGTTTCGGACGACGCCCTCGCTGGCATCACGATAGCCTTCAGCCGCGGTACAATCGTTGGTCGGCCCGCTGCCCAGCGTGTCTACCTCTTTGCCGCCTTCCCAAACGGTACAACTTTCTCTGATATCACCTACTTTGATTTCTCAACGGTCAAGCAGTGTCGTGGCTCGACTGTCGGTACCTGGACAAATGTTACTACCGGCTCGACTTGGACTTTCAATGCTGCAACAGACCTGAAAAGTGCGAAAATCACCATTGACTCACCAAGAATTAAAGGCGTCTATACCATCAAGTCCAAGAGCCCCCCATTCTTTCCCAATGGCAAAGGACCCGGCGACATTGAGGGTGATGTCTTTTTCTCACCCCTACTCTACTGGCAAGAAACAGCAGCTATCGGCGACGTCAAGGCCACCTTCACACTCGATGGCAGCCAGCTTGAATTCCGCGGAGTTGGAGGCCGAGAGCGGAACTGGATGCCCATTGGTTGGGCTCAAGTATCTGATGGTTGGCATATGTCCCGTGGTGTTGCGGGGCCTTACATCTACGTTATCTGGACGCTAGACTCCAAGATTGACGGCAAGAAGTATGACCATTTTGTGCTGATCAAAAACAAGAAGATCATCTTCCAGTCGGCGTCTTCCGAGATGTCTGATACTGAGAAATATGGGGTTTATAACTTCCCCATTGAAGGACTGATTAAGGGGCCTTTTACGGATAATTCTACAGGGCAAGGAGCGGACTTTATCAATCCTGTTTCGAGAGAGCGCTGGAACTTCGTGATGGATAATACTCAGGTTGTGTACTCAGAGAGAACCGGTAAACTGACAGGATATAATGGGTTTGTGGGAAAAGTCTCTGGAGGAAAGGTTGGCGGGAAGCGATATGAGGGATAAGGGACTTCGCAACAGTATCAGTTTGTTTAGAATGACCTGAAGGAGAGATACAAAGTCGGAAACGTGTAGCGGGCTATTGAAGAGGGGTGTGGGATAAACTGAGTTAAGCTAGATGTAAGAATAGGTAGATTGAGGTAAAGTAATGAATTACTTGTCTTCATGGTGGTGTATTTCGAGCTAACTTGGTAGGCATTGTCCATGTCTCATCAGAGGATTGAGGGGGGAGTGAAATACATCATGAATGGATTCGCCTGTCGCAAGTCGGTATCAAATTATCAAAGGCAGGATATCAACGTCATACTACCATGCACGCTAATATGTTCATTCTCCTTTCTGAGCACCTCAGAGATCAAGCTTGTAACTCATTCACATTATGCAAAAGGGGCAAGCCAAGCGGTGCCAAACGTTGGTTCTCTTGGAACCCGTTATCTAGGTGGCCGTACAAGTCAAGCAAAACTGCGAACTCCTCGTCCGCAAGCCCTGCTAGTAGACCGACTTACATTATGCTACAGAAGAGGATGGACAGAGCACCAGATCACCAACATGCTCAAGGGAGGCAATCTGAACAATGGCATGAGCCCCTGCCTCGGTAATACCTCAACTCTCCCTCACACGGGCTGATTGGCGGACAGAATGCTCGAAAGGTTCAGCCTAATGCATCGACTTCCTCCTTAATGCCGATCCTGCACGCGCAGCTTACCATACCACTCTCTTGGTGTATCTTCGTACGAATATGACGACGTTCGGAGGGAGCATTGTGCCATGGTACGAGCTCCTTTCTCCTCAACTGGATGAATCATGCCAGTCGTTGTGCTGGCCCTGCTCTATATAGATTTCCCAGCTATGCAGAGCAGATAGAGTTGTATCATCCTTTCCCAGTGTAATTTCCTCCGCAGTTTCAAACCCTCCACCAGTATAGGTTACCGCCAGGGTTACTCTGGTTTGTATTGCTTGGATGACTCTCCTGCTGATCCTGGCCATAAACCTCCCCTAAGACAGGTCTCGCCGTTACATGAATCTCACGACAGCGGACAGGTGTTCCAGTAATCATAAATCCCTGAGTGGATCGGATGCTAGAAGCCAGCCTAATGCGTCTGCTCAATGGCAACTCTACACGCATGGCCTGCCATCGGGCAGCACTTCCTCCCTTGCTGCCGGTATGTTCCGAGAGGCATCTGTAGAACCCCCCCCCCCCTTCTGACTATCTCGATCAAACTGTGCAAATTTCTTCATCATTCTCTCCGCCATAAAACCTTCACATGTGGTCTGACTATGCCGAGTAACAGCAGGAGCTAAGAACCATAACACCACCTTCCAGACGATACTATCCCCGTTTTCATAAGGGTCATGGTGCCCAGGACCCGCCAGTGGGCTTGTATTCAAACCCCTCTGATCAATACAACTCTGTCACCGACATGATTCTGTCTTGTCTTGCCTTGATTGTATGAAATTATCTGCTCCTCGTGCAAACGAACCCTTTGGGATGGATCCACTGATGTGATTTCGCACTTGCACGAGTCTCACCATGCCTATTAAGTAGACTAGCTATCGTAACCTTCGATACAATGCTATGCCTGGTATTTCATGGATGATACCACGGACGTTGTATTCCTATCCTCTAGCACAACTTTGCTGCTAAGATGCCCGTCTTGTATGAATGGTAACATGTTCGTGAGAAGCGCTAGACGATAACACCTAAGATTCCTGCTGTCGGTCTTCGGACTTTCGAAATCATATAGAAGCATTTGTTGACGGCAATTGCGAAGGAGTATCGTGCGTATTTAAGCATAACTTTTTGTGGCAAAGAGAATTTGAATGCACTCAACTTTGTCGTTGACAGCTTGACAACGAAGTTGAGTCGGAGGCTCGGTCATACGTCGTTTCGTGCGACTTAGGTTGCATCTTTGAGGGTGGATGGCTTGCTTCTCATGAAGACGGGGGACGGAGAATTCAAGAGCGTTGGCATGGCAAAGTTGAATTTTTGGGGAGACGAGGGAGATGAGGGAAACAGAAGTTAGGACTGGACCATTGTCTGAGTTTACAGCCTCAGACTAGAGGTAACTTGAAGTCTCGGAAGCCTTCCTCGATATTGTGCGGATACATACTGGGTAAACTTAAAATAGGGTGGGTTCAGTGACATAGAGTCCGAGGATATTCCCTTCATACTTTTATCAAACTACCGGAATCCTGTAATACTCATCTACGCTCTACCCCTATCTAAGCGAATTGTCCACTGCGAATCTTGTGAAGCCTATCCTTGTATCAATAAGAAAGCGTGATCTGCGAACGCCGCCCCCCATTTGCGCATGGGGCTGAAGATAGTCCCGGTGATGATGGCATTGTTCTACGAGTATCGGCTATCGATGGAATATTTGAACCATTCGAAGGTAAAATACAAGAAGATACTTCGTAAGCCTAGCAGAATAGAGTACAGGTGGCTAACAGAGGGTTGCGGGATGTGGTTGACCCGAACGCCGCCCCCTACAAACGCCCCGACTCGCCATCGTTTTGACCTCTAATTTCCGAGGCAGTTCTGATGTTCTATGAGCCACCACGACAACTCAAAGCGTGGTAGCGATGTACAAAAGTATCTCGATAACGCGACATGGACGAGCAACGACTAGCATATGCCCCTGACCTGCTTCGCGGCGGTCTTGAAACGCGACTCACTTTGCTTGGGTAGGTGAAGCGAATGCGAGGTCTTAAGGACAACACCCTTCACGCTACTACTCTATGTACAGTACATGGGTAAGGGGTATTAGTATTAGCGAATGCGATAGATTGCGCAGCCCCCATGTACGGTAGCTACTAGGCAACCGACAAGTTGTTAAATCGAAGGCCATATAGTAGCAGCGACAACCCATCCGCAACATGAGGATCAGTAGTTGAATTTGCTACTAAGCTTTGCCCCTTCGAAATTCTCGTCTGCCATGACAGCCTTTATGATCAAGGAAGCTATTGGGCTTCTTGCAGTCACCATCGTCTTTTTTCAATTGAGGAACTTTCTCCGGTGGCGAGCTCTAAAGATATGGGGTCAACAACATGGTTGTCAAGATCCAAAGATTGTGCCCAATAAATTGCCATGGGGACTTGAGAGATATTCCGTTCTTATTACTGGCTTTGATGGTTGGTGCCCTCACCCTAATTTTGGATATTGCTATTCCCTCTCATATCTCTGTCACCCTTTCACTTGGAAGGAGGAGCTGCTTTGGCACGAGTAGTAAACTAAGACTGACTCAACAAGGTATCGACCCCCTCGAGGATATCATACGCAAACGGTCAGAAAAGATGGGCTGTCATACGTATCGTACTTTCAGCGCATTCAATAGCAGCGTCGTCGGTACTTCGGAGCCGGAGAATATCCAAGCCGTTCTTGCAACAAAGTTTCATGATTTCGATATAGGAATTGCGAGACAGAAGAATTTCTTTGATATGCTTGGAAACGGTATCTTTACGGCAGAGGGAGAAAGATGGTCGCACTATCGACACCAGCTCAGACCTCAATTCACGCGTGACCAAGTCAGCGACTTAGATTCCGCCGAGAAACACTTCCAAGTTCTCCTCAAGACACTGCCCGAAGAAAATGCGCTGGGGTGGATCGAAGGAATCGATATTATGCCGTTCATATATCGATTCACGATGGACGTCAGCACCGAATTTCTTTTCGGTCAGTCCGTGAATAGCCAGTCTAACACTCTAAATGCTCTCGATTCGGGGAATAGAAAGGACCTCAAAGAAGACATGGATTTCGCCGAAGCTATGGACGAAGCTCAGAAAACCATCCTTTTCCGGATTCAGATGAAGTCTTTTTATTGGCTGTATTCGCCCAAGAAATTCAAAAAGGCATGTGAGATAGTCAAAAGTTTTGGGGATCGTTTCGTCCGCGTAGCACTAGATCCGGACTATAAGCGTGCGCCTGTGCTGCCCGGTCAGAAGCCAAAGTTCGTTCTGCTCGAAGAACTGATTGAAGAGACAAGGGACCCCGTCGAACTGCGAGACCAGATTCTCCACCTTCTGTTGGCTGGCCGAGACACCACATCCGCCCTAATATCCTGGACAATTGCTCTGCTCTCACGCCACCCAGAAGCGTTTGATCGGCTACGCCGAAGTATAATTGAGCACTTTGGTACTGAGATACAGCCTACGAATGAATTGACCTTCACATCGCTTAAAGGCTGCAAAGAGCTCACATATGTGCTGCATGAGACACTTCGACTATATCCCATCGTACCAATAAATGGAAGGAAAGCAGTTCGAGATACGTTTCTCCCTACCGGCGGGGGCCCAGATGGCAAGAGCCCCGTTGCAATTAGGAAAGGGGAAACTGTGGGGTACCATACCTATGTAATGCAGCGCCGAAAAGATATCTGGGGAGAAAACGCGGATGAGTTCCATCCTACGAGGTGGGAAGGCAGGAAGCTTGGCTGGGAGATGATTCCATTCTCTGGTGGGCCACGAGTCTGCATTGGCCGTAAGTTTCCGCCTGGGGAATGAAAGGGCATCTGGAGGGTTGCTAATTGAGAACTAGAACAATATGCGCTGAATGAGGCATCGTTCGTGATTGTGAAGATGCTACAGCGGTATGATAAGATCGAAGCTTTGGATATGACCGCACCCCTTAAAAAGTCGCTGTCATTGACCCTTGCGCCTGGGAATGGGGTCAAAGTCAAGTTGCATAAGGCTGCTTCATAGTTGTCGGGTCAGGGATTCGGGCCTTCTTCTTCATCGTACTCTTGTGCTTCAGAAGACGACGCTTTAGTGTTACTCCAGAGTTGACAATCCCATGGACGGGTGTAGGAAGCGACGGTATGTAGAAGCACTATGGCTGTGCTTCTTTTCCAATCCTAACGTGCTACGAAGGTTAATCATGCGGTCTTGCCTGTACGCCCGTTATGGTGCCCTCCGAAGATGCATTTGTACAAATTACGACCCATTTAGCATACCACATAATTTTATATCCTACACCGCGGTTAGTCGGAAAGTGCTAGGCTTCTCTCGAAAGCTATTCAAGTTGGACAAATAATATACATTATGTTTAACTAACTACTGGAGTATAACAGTGGATGTGTAGGATTATGATTGGAGTAGGTGTGTTATAAGTTTCCTTCAATTAACTTAAAGTCAAGGTTAAAAGGAAGAGAGCCCAGAGCGACAATAGGAATTCAAAAGACTCTCAGACCAATCAACCGACCAGGGCCAGGGTCCGAGCCAGGGTTCGAGTGCCGAAGTTACTGTTACTCGAGGAGGCACTCCCGAACGCAGTGCGACTCCTCTAGAACATACATTACTTAGGTACCTTACACAGTATATTGTTTCGTGCCACCTACGAACAAGTTTTAGGGCCGTCCACCTGTTCTAGGAAGTTTGCTAGATTATAAATGCATCGCTGTCGTACCTGAATATTGTGACTTAGCAACACTCTCACGGGTATGGAAATATAATACTTTGTACTTCGTACTTCCGTGGGAGGAGTCGCCACAAGTCGGAGCTAGAATTGCCCCGCGCTACTGTATTAATAAGTACTGTAACGCTATGTCATGCGGGGAAAGATCGTCTGGTCACAAACTAGTCGTCGTCGCTCCATTACCCTTCTTAAACCTAGTGATTTCATTTCAAAATAAGGATGTTGACATATGCTGCTTCTCGTTGTACGCAGTCGCTCAAATACGTGAACCAATCAGTCGGAGCCAAAGTCGAAGCCACGGTTGAGGGCGTTGTAGCGCAAGGCGCGTATGGTGTGATATCTATCAATTACTCACCACTCATCACACATACTGGTGGAAGGCTGAGACACTCTGGACTCGAATGAACGAAAAAGTAAGAATACATCATATCAGTTGAGGCCACGACAGCCAGCTTCAATACACAAAATATAGAGAGGGGCCACCATGTCATAATAATAGGTCACATCTCTTCCTTCAGTTTCCTTTGCTTTGCAACGCAACTCTACTTTTGATTCCCCCGCGCACGCATGTCACAAGACTCAGCTTCAGCTCCAGTTGAGCAGAAAACCCATAACCCTTCAGAGCAGAGCACTATATCTCGGTCGAGACTACAAATACCCTATCCATATCCGTATCAACCTCAGCCTTGCCAGCACATCGGAGACCATGGGTCGACAACACACATCCAGCTTCCTCTTCCCTTACCGCGAAGACGACAACACCATCAAGTACGCAATTCTCAGACAGCCTCCCCCGTCATTCTCTAGCCCGCCCACCCATGACTATGAGTCCGACAACGAACCACTCATGCCAATCAGTTCCTCTCTTCCCATAGAGGATCTAGACGACGATGCTCTCCTCCACTTCACGGCAACAGGGCGTCCCATCCCTCTATTAAAACCGAACGCCCTGCAAAAGATGGGCGGGGATGCATACTCGGTACAGCAGTTTCTACCCAAGCGGTACACCGACGACTCCATCATACCGGCAATTATTACAAACGCAATCCCCTCGAACTCATCTACTACCTCGCCTCCCTCGACGGGCAAGAGCCTGCTCAAAAGGTTCAAGAGGAAAAATAAAGAAGGGAATAAAGACAAGGATAAGGACAAAGGCATTGTGAAAGTGGTATTCATGCCAAGGGGGGAGTATCTGAAGTACTTTGCTCGTGGCCTCAAGGGCGAGTACGTAGGGACGGAGCCGTATAGGAGGTGGACTGAAGAGGAGCTAGATAGGGAGTTTAAGAAATATCGACCTTGTACCCAGGGAAGGAAGGGGCACTGGCCGCCGACGTACTGATTGAATGGGACCACCTGTGGTTTTACTATTTTAGGGGCGTTGCTATTTTGCGGAGTTTCTTATGGAGTTTGGGGGAAGGGACCGGTGTCTGGATTGTAATGAGGACACTCCTTATGGACAGAGCGGCGAGCGGGATTCCCGGAAATATAACTGCATGTGGTAGCTGGTCTCTTATTAGGGAATAATAGGAACTATTTATTGGCTTACGAGTGATATATGAGTACTGGAGACGTAGCTCGAGCTGCTTATAGCTAAAGCGGCTATATCCAACGAAGGCCATGAAATGGGGGAATCCCCCCAATTATGTCTCCTGGGTATGCACTTTGGAATAATAGCGTTTTCCCTGGGCTGAAGAAACTTGGAAGTTTAATGAAGCCCATCGCGCCTGCATCGTAAATAGAAGTGAGATATTTGACTTGCATTCCAAAGGGGGTCTTTTAACAGATTTTGAATTCATTATTCGTAAATCATCAGCTCATGCCTACACTATGCAACATGTCTTCGGAAATTTAACTAAAGTCTGAGCATCAACGCCACCGCCTATTAATTAGATGTGACATACTTGGTGGCGGTCGCATTCGGCTTGAACGGCTTTGCGCGGGTGTTGAGAAGAAAATCCATATTTGTAAAGCATGATAGAGGTTTTCCAGTGGGCGTTAAGTTGGACCAAACCGCCGACACTATTAAAACGCAGATTTTTAAGGCGAGCATCAATTGTTTGTCGATTTCGGGCCTGTACCGGGACACTTAGGTCATAGACGAACGGCCGTCGTTGAGCCACTTGCTCAATCAGAATCACTGTCCTCCGAGTCTGGAAATCCGTTGAACACCTCCTCTTCACTGCTCTCCAGAGACACCGTTTGTTCCTCATCTCCGCCCTCTTCATCATCCTCTTCATCCAACTCTTTCACTCCAAATGCTCCAGAAACGTCCCACCTATCCCCTTGGGCACACTTGCTAACGTATTTGACAAACTTCAAGACGCCGCTGTCCCGCAGAACAATACTCATCTTGTTCCATGACGCTGGCATCGTGAAGAGGACATTATCATCGTCGGCATCAGAGGAGGTCTTGTAGATTGCTGCGTCCCCGTTGGTATCGTCATCGTCCCCAGCCATGTAGACTTCATGGCCTCCAACATCATCCTCCTGCTCCTGCTCCTTCTCTTTTGCTTTGGCTATTTCCTTTCCATTGGCCTTGGACTTTCCATTCTTCTTTTTAGAATCTTCCGCTTCGTCGTCGGCGTTATCCCCACTCTCTTCCTCCTCATCTTCATCAGCGCCCCAGCCAGGAGTTGGGGTCAAGCCAAGACTAATTTCCAACCTTGGTTGGCCATCATGGCTGGTTGCGAGAGCATAATCTCCACCCTTGCGGAATCGACGTGCTAAGATGTCAAAGTTCTCGATCTCACATTGCGTAGCCAACTCAAGCCATTTTCGGAATTGACTGCTAGGTAAGAAGACTTCCAATAATTCCTCGATAGGGTTCAAGGTTCTCGAAGCATCTGCTGGCTTTTCTTCCGACGAGGAAGGCTGGAGATATAAGAATCGGTGTTTGTGTGGCGGCTTCGCGACCCTCCAAGACCCTTTCTCAATCTCCGCAGTGGTACTTGGCAGAGACAATGCTTCCTGGGCCTCGATATACTCGCGGACTTTTTCGGAGTACTTCTTGGATAGGAGCCCACCCAGAGTAACACTGGACAAATCCATGAACTGCTCCACAACTTGCTCCAGAGTGTCAGGAGTCAAATACGTGGGTGCCATATACTTCAGCAAGAAGTCTAGATCAGCTTCTTCAAAACTTTTCTCTTCTTCCGCCTCCTTCGGGGCTTCGATATTGATAAATTGCGATTGAGGGAAGTCGTATCGATCAGGGTTCCCTTGCAATTGCATCAAGCTACTATTCTTCCCCCACGCCTCCTCTGCCCCTTCTACATACCCCTCTTCCCCGATCTGAGGGATATGAAACCAACCACTGATAGCCATTCTGATTCTGCCTCCATCTTTCTTCAATTGCTCCTGGCTCTCTGCATGGTAAACCTCTTGAACATCGTGGAAGCTCTCGCCCGGCTGAACGGCGAAAAAGCTCAATTGATTCCAAGCTGGGGGTATAACCTTCGTGGGGTCGGGACTCGGTGTTACGGTCTTTCCCCCATCCTCATCCTCAAATGTCTTCGTCGGGAACAATCGCAGAGCCCCACCCCATTCCTCTTTCCAGGGCAGATCAGGGTCCGTCAGGTACAAGATATAGCTAACTCTCCGACTACCGATAACGTCGTCATGGCATAGCAAATGGCAACCAGGAGTATAGACATTGATAGCCATGTCCGTTTTTCTACCACTCAGCTCCCCTGACCCGGTAATTGTTGCAACGTACTTTCGAAATGAAGTGGAATACATCGCATCTCGCAGTCTAAGGAGGGAGGGTAGCTTGTCGAGGGCGCCATCATCGAGCCCGTCGAGGTTGGCTAGGTCTCCAGATTGGTGGATCTTATAGATATCGGTTTCTTTCGGAGTGAAATGCACATTCTCGCGGATTTCGTTCCGGACAGAGCGGAGGAGATTGTCGTCGATTAGAGAGCTAATGACCTGGTGTTTGTAGGGTTCTGAATCGGCATATTCTTTGGTGTACTTTTTGAGAATGCTCTTGTCAAGAAGACCTTTGCGGAAGCTCTTCTGGACTTCTTCTTCCGAGAGAACTGTTTGACAAATTTGTCAGGCTGTGCCACAGGTGCAATATGGGACGTGGGATGTAATTGTATGCGTACTGGTCTTTGCCCGCTTTTTGAGGATTCCTACGCCACTGCGGCCATTCGATTGGGATGCAGCCTTTCTCTTCATGTTCAAATATTCAAATTGATAAGGTTATTGGTAAAGTTGTTTGTCAAGGCGCGAGTTATCAAATATTATGTGGGAAATCGTTCCATTTCTATCGCCTTTTCTGCCTGGCGAGTTTCTCACCGCCCTGCCAACAAAACCAGCGCATGAATGGATCCATTTCATGGGAATAGGGGGCGCATGTGAAATTCAATTCTAACTGGTAAATTCAACACGCTCTTAAGGCTTCCTAACCGCGCTATGCAGTGTAAGCGCTTCTGATTCTTCACCATCCATCAGCATTCGTTCAGCTTGGGATGCATGACACCACCAAAAAATGGTATGCATTGCATCGTTGGTTGGGGGCATTAATGGGAGTTGGCTGACCAAGCGGTCCATTACCCACTGTACACAGGGGCTAAATCCATATGGACCGAACCTATGAGCTGCGATGAAGCCGAATACAGTGTGAACATAGTGACATAAACAGTACAAGTACAAAACTGTGTATTCAATTCCGATGAGGAATTCTCCTTCATCATCCGTTTGTTATCTTGGCGAATTCCCGTCAAGTCCACCGGATATACACAAATCCATCATGGAGTCCTTCGACATCACAAGCGCCCGGGAGCGCTTCCCCGCATTGAAGCAAAACCAAGTGTTTTTTGATAACGCCGGGGGAAGTCAGACTCTGGGAAGCGTGATTGATTCGTGAGTCGCTGGAGGCAAGCAGCGCCGATCATAGCCATGTCTAATACTATTATCACTCAAGGATCTTTAAGTATCTCAGCGAGACAAATGTTCAACTTGGCGGCTCCTATGCGGTAGGGAAGAAGTCCACTGCCCTCTACACTGCCGGTTACGAGGCGGCTGCGAAGTATATCAATGCCAACCCAGAGAATATTGGCAAGGAACTCCTTCACTTTCCGGTTTCTGTATGCTAATATGTCGTCTTATAGTCTTAAGCTCCTCCACCACACAACTATTCCGTAACCTCTCCTACGCGCTTAACTTCCCGGAAGGCTCAGAACTTATCGTCTCCGCTATTGATCATGAAGCAAATATTGCCTCGTGGGTAGACATAGCTTCCCGCCAGAAACTCGTCGTAAAGTGGTGGCAACCTCAGTCCAAAGAGAACCCTAAGCTCCTAGCCTCAGACTTGCAGGAGCTACTCTCAGAGAAAACAGTGCTGGTCACTTGCACTCATGCCTCAAACGTCCTCGGCACCATTCACGACATCAAAGCCATAGCAGATGCCGTCCATACAATTCCCGGGGCACTGCTATGCGTAGATGCTGTGGCCTATGCACCACATCGAGTTATTGATGTAAAGGCGCTTGGGGTAGACTTTTATGCCTTTTCTTGGTACAAGGTAGGTTCAAACCTAGTTCCTAGTGATGAGATGTATTTACCAGACCAGGTCTACGGTCCTCACATCTCCATGTTATATGCCTCTTCCCGCGGCCTTCAAGCCATCAAGTCCCTCGGTCACTTCTTCAACCCCTCAGCTACTTTAGAAAACAAACTAGGCCTGGCGGGTGCTTCTTACGAACTCTTGGCTTCAATTCCCTCCGTGGTCTCCTATTTTGGTCCCAACCCGACAGACTCCTGGATGGCGATTGGAAAACATGAGGGCGAGCTTCAAAGCCAGTTGTTATCTTACTTAAATGGCCGCCCAGATGTAACTATCTACGGTGAAAGAGACGCAGATATAAAGAAGAGGGTCAGCACGATTAGTTTTACAGTGAAGGGATGGAAGAGCCAAGATGTAGTAGAAGGTGTGGATAAGTTGAGTAACGGCGAGGTGGGTATCCGGTGGGGTGCGTTTTATAGTAATCGGCTAGTGCAAGACCATTTGGGATTGGGGAGTGATGGCATCGTGAGAGTCTCGATGGTGCATTATAATACTTGTAAGTTGCTTTCTCATCGCCCATGTTTTGATTTATTTTTAGATCCTGGGCTAATAATGGGTAGTGGAGGAAGTGAAGCAGTTGATTGGAATATTTGATCAGGTGCTTGGGAAGCAATAGGCGAGTCAGAATCACGAGGAGCTTTTCTCCCTTAGTATCAAACAGCGTTCAATAAACAAGGGCGGAAGATACGAAGGCTAAATTTCGAGCCTATGTGTTGCCTTTTGCAAAGCGGATATCTCTATTCCCTGCCGAGTACGAAGTACACTAGCTACTATCAAGCAAACCATTTCAATAACCACCAACACCACTGCATGCCTATTCTTTTGCACGGATATCATAGTATCATAATTTTCGTAAACGCTTGTCCCTTATAATCGTTTCTGCCCCAAAAACCCCTTCATAATTCATTTAGTCCCAGTTTTTTTGGGGACCTTCGCACTGGTCTTATCGATCTTGTCCCTACCAGGTTGATAGGGGGCTGCAACTCCCATATCCGACACCCTCCTCTGGCCCTCGCCGCCAAACAAAAGCTGCCCATCCGGGCCCACCTGCTGTGGCATTCCTTCCGACGGCCGTGCCTGTTGTTCCTTATGTAGCTTATCAAGGGACTCGCCCACAACGGCGTACTGAGTCCAGTTTATCGGCGCACATCGGACGATATTCTGAGGCGTCGGAAGAGCAGGCCACGAGCGCTTGCCAGTTCCCTTTCTTTCACCTTGGTCTACATCCATTTTCGTCTTATTATCCCCTTGCTCGTGCTCTTCATCCTCGTCGCTATCATCATCATCCGGTGAAGGGTTAAAGAGCTTATCGCCCTTGGACTTGAGTTCTCCTTTTACCAACGCCTCCGTAAATCCTTCCGGGTCTTGCAGTGCTCGCTCTTTTACTTGCTGCAAGGTCCTAATATCGCTTGTCGCATTCCGGGCCTGTAATTGTAGTATGGCGATTGCGGATTTAAGCGCTATCGCATCGGGGTTCTCGTCGAGTGCTATGGGCACGGGCGCAGGCTGTGGGATCGCCGCCTGAGGAGGTTGCGTATGGGTATAGGTACGTCTAGGAGGTGCTGGTGTTGTGGCGGGTGTAGTATTAGGGTGGCCATTGTCAAGGAATGAGGACGAGGATGTGCTCGGCGCGGCGAGGTGTGCCGGGCTGAGAGTAGGCGTTATGGGGGAGTAGGGAGGCTGCACGGGCGATGATGCGCGTGAGTTTGTGGCCGTATGGGTTTGGACTTGGCCTTGAGGCTGGACTTGGACTTGTGGAGAGGCGTCAACGGTTAGACCTGGCATCTTTTGCTTCGGCTTCTGCTTGTTGTTTCTGCGTCGAGGAGCCATCCTGGAGATTCGCAATGGCGTTCTGGATATACGTCGGATGAAGCGGCCGCCTCGATCCGATCTGCGAACCTTGTGGCTTTGCAGGATGTGGGGGTGGCGTCAGTCAAGAATGGAGGCTGGGTACAATGTACGAAGCGCGAAGTATTCTAACGTGACTCCGTTAGGCGTCTCGGGGGCGTTAGCAAGGGCCATATCATGGATAAGGCGCTCTTGAATTGACGTTGTAAATGGAGCGATCGGCGTTTATGTGTAAGGTCTGCTAACCTGTTGCTTAAGTTTGTTGATGCTGCCTAGTGCTGCGTCTTTTACTGTTGTACCTGACCGCTTTGCAAACGTGCAACCACCGATAAGGGTGATGTAATATTTGCCACGAGCTACTGATAACCTAACAGCACCAGGTCGGTGGCAGCTTGTTTAGAATATATGGCTTGATACAGGGAGGAAGAGCTTCGCGCTGTGAATCAAGGAATTATCAAAGAAGTGTTTGACCAGGTGCAGACCAGATAATCTAGAAAGGTATTGGGTTACCATTTTCTCTTGTTTTCCCTCTATACGAGGGGTGCCACTCAAAAGACTATAGCCACTTTTGTGACAGCCTGGGTTGTCCCCCTTTTCTTCCACCATTAGTTCCTTTGTAGACAAAACATCAGAAATAGAGACAATATATGTCCCCTAGATCTTAAAACCATGTTAGAAATAAAAAGCAAACCGAACCTGTGGCTGTCAAACCAAACGCTTTCTTCTCTGTCTAACTACTCCCTGAGAATCTAACATATATCATGTACCTGCGTAGCTTTGTCTGCCTTGCGCTGTCAACTTGTTTAATCATTAGTACTCCGTAGAGGCCTTGCAAGGATATGCGCACGGATCCTCCACGGACTCGACATTGTCTACGGACTTGGTAGGGTTTAGCGCCGGCGCGGATTATCTCTTCGGATAGCTTATTCCAATTCGTAAACATCGATCCGAGTGACTTGTGAACGTGAACATTTTCGTCTGAATGTTCGGACGGCGTCTTGTGAACAACTACCAACCGCTCCCCTCGATCCCGCGGTCTAAGATATTACCTGTTGTGGTGGGCCCGCTCAGGGCACGTTGTGTGCTGTAGGAGGCAATGTAACTTTGCCCAAATGTTTATTTTGTTCGTCGTGCTGGTTGCTCGGAGGACCGTTACTAACGATCAGCTCTGTAGAGAAGACGTCCAAGCCCTTCGTACATCGATGTATCCCACGACGTAACGACCACTCTGATGAAGGCTTGTGTCTTCTGCCAGTCTTTAAAAGCATCTGCTGTCCGAAACGAATCTGTGAATGCACCCTGCAAGACGAGAGTCGCCAGAGAGAACAAGGCTGAGTCTACAAGGCCGACTCGAACGCTCGCTAGTTGAGGAAGATTCCTTTGGATATCTACTTCAATTGGGGGCAGCTTGGTGAGATTGGCGACATCGTTGCCTAGGAGCTTCACAAACTCTCTGGGCGTCCCACCGATTAATTGAAGCCCATATCTTCTGGCCACTCCGAGATCGAAACCTGTCGCTCCTCCCACTCCCCACCACAATACCTCTTTGCCCACTCTTTTTCATGTTCGAAAACATGGAGGAAGAGCCTACTCAACCAGGTACTTACCCATCTCTTACATATTTTGCTAATACAAGACCCCCTCGCCCTTCTTCTTTCTCCGATTCCATCAAGGCCTTTCAAGAGTATATGTCAGCTCACGATCCATACTATGTAGCCACCCAGCTGTACAATGACGAGCGACGCTTCGACCAAGGCAACTCGGGGCTGAGTGATGAGGATGCTGCCGACATTATATGCATTCTCTATCCTCTGTCGATGCCAGCGTATCGTGCTGCCCACGGAATCCACAAGGCGAACCCACGAAACACCCTCGAGGCAAAAGGAGATGTCAAGATCAGAGAAAGAGCCATCGACTCCGACGACGATGCCAATATCTCCAAGGTCGCTGCTGAAGGCCTGGTCTCTTGCGCTATCGTGCTCCGATTGTCTGCCGACCTCAAGGATCCCCTCTGTGGGTATCAATTTGGCCGAAACTCTCAGCGATGTGACTTTGCCATTGGCCACAACGAGCCCTCGAGACGGGTAAGCAATATTCACTTTAGGATATATATCAATGAGCATGGAATCATCATGATCGAGGACCAATCTACCAATGGGACCGTGGTCGATGGCGTCATGCTTCGAGCCAAGGAGAAAGAGAATGGTTTGGACTATAGACGCACTCTTGAGACAGGCTACCAGATCACTCTTGTCATGACTCCGCCCGAAGAAAATTACGATTTCGTTGCTTGGATGCCTCAACGAAGTGATGCTTCCGAACTGGTGTACCAGCAAAACGTGACGAAGTTCTTTCTCCATCTGGCTACCTTGAGAGACCAGCGTGGTGCCGAAAACGCTGCGACAGGTGGAGGAAAAGGAGATCCTGTAAGACTAGCCCTTTCCTTATCTGAATATGCAACTCACATGTAACAGGTCAACCTTTTCCCGACTCCTGGAGTAGGTACTCCTGGTGGGGCTCCATTGTCAACATTTGGCAAGCACTTGAAAGAGTGGAAAGGCGGATCCAAGTACAACAAGGTCTGCTGCATTGGCAAAGGTGCCTTTGCTGTTGTCTACAAAGTTACAGCCAAATTTGATGGGGTTCCGTTCGCTGCCAAGGAACTTGAGAAGAGGCGCTTCATGAAAAATGGTATTCTAGATCAGAAAATGGATATGGAAATGACGATCATGAGTAGAATCACACACGTAAGTGTCTCATTCTCTAGGAAGCTACTAGCTCCGCTAACACAATGCAGCCGCACATTGTTCAGTATATTGAGCATATTGACTGGGAAGATTACTTGTACATCATAATGGAGTACATTCCCGGCGGCGATCTAGGCAGTCTTATCCATGAGCGCGGTCGCTTGCCCGAATCAGATGTTAGGGACGTTGGAGGCCAGCTCTTGGATGCGCTGGGCTATCTGCACGAAAAGGGCATCACCCATAGGGATGTCAAGCCAGACAACATTCTTATCTCTCGCCGCGAACCATTGCAGGTCAAGTTAACCGACTTCGGTTTGTCGAAGATGATTGACAGCGAAGAGACATTCCTTCGCACATTTTGCGGGACCTTGCTCTACTGTGCTCCAGAGGTGTACAATGAATATCGCGAGTATGACTCGACCGGCAAACGAACTCTTCGAGGACCGAATAGGAAATCTCTGCCACCGCAACGTTACGGTCATGCCGTTGATGTTTGGTCCCTAGCCGGTGTACTTTTCTACGCTCTCTGCGGAGCCCCTCCTTATCCAGTGAAAAATGGGACGAGCTATCAGGAGCTACTCAACCAAGTCATGACGAAGCCACTTGATATTAGGCCTCTTCAGCGTGTCAACATTTCCGATAATGGAATTCGTTTTGTTCGACAGATGCTTCATGTTCGTCCTGAGCATAGAGCTACGATCGAAGAGCTGCAGCAGAGCCCTTGGCTTACTGGTGTTGAGGATGATGTCGACGTCTCGATGACTCAGGATGAGATTGATATCCCTAGCAACGAAGAGGGTTCGCTTGACCCGCAGCTTGAGGAAGGAGCGTCGCAGCTTAGTATCGCGGACCCTGTGGATCGCCAAATCAATGACAGCGAAGAATTTGGCACGAGCGACGAGACCGAGATACAGCTACGTGAGATACCAAGCAGTTTTGATACTAGCAATGATGCCTCGAGCTATGGGTTCGCCTATACTTCCGCACCAAATCATGGTCCTGGGCGTTTGTTTGGCGAAGTGAACGTGTCGGTTGTGGGGAGCTCTGGCGCCATACTGCTAGATCAGCTAAACCTTCGCATCCCAGCTAACCATCACGGGATTCACCACAGCCTCCAGATTTCGCAGGATTTGGAATACTCACAAGACCGGACGACGACCCAATATTCGCACATCGACAACTCCCAACTAGATGGTCTCGACGCTGACGTTGCATTGCCAACCACAATGGAGCCTGCAATGCACCTTCCTCCTGTGAGCCCGGCCAGAGATCAAGATCATGATAAGCGCGCCATCAGATCTTCCAGTCTTATGGGCACTGAGTCTTTAGTCGGCCACCTCAATATGCATTCGCCAGCTTCTGTGGCTTCTCCCCCAGCAAGCAGTCCAGCAGCCGACAATTCGAGAGATGTGACCATCAGCCTTCGACGACCTCGTCCAGATGACGATGACGATAGTGATGATAGTTGGAAGCCAGCTGACCTTCCGCCTAAGAGACGACGTGTATCAGCGCGTGAGATTGACATACCAGTACCACCAAGCATTTTCTGGGATCCGGCAGACAAGTCAACTCACCATTATAACTACCCTCGCATGATGACGTCCGACTACTTCAACTTCAAGGAGTATGCAAAGTCTAAGGGCGAGGAATTCGAGCCAGGTACGAAGACTTTTGAGTCGACCATGCAGAGCTATAGAAGCAGCCGCAGCCGCAGCTCGTCAGTTGAACCTGTTCGTGCCCAATCCGAACCTACAGCGGACGATGGTAGACGTATGACCATGAAACGAGATGAACGTCGACTTGTTGAAGGCTCTTCCGTGCGGGAACCAAAAACCATTAGACGTACGATCAAAGACGAGTTAATTCCCTCCACGGCTCATCCCTCGAATGCCCCTAGCCCTGGAGCCGACGCTGGTACTACCGCTACCCCAAACATAGTCCCCGAGCCGGTTGTTGGCAATGATTTCCAGCTTCCGAAACGCATCTTAGCAAAGGTCCTTGCTACGCCAGACAGTTGCTTGCCGACTATCAATATCAACATTACAGATTGCATCACGTCCTGGGGCAGAGGACACTCCACAACAGTCCGCTATTCTAATGGAGAAGAAACTCGGATTCCAAAGTACGCATTCAAGATCATGCTTTTCAAGCCCCGATTCTATCGACAGATCGCCAGGAAAATCCAGCTATGGGACGAGAAAGACCAGGACATGTCATTCTATATCTCCACCAAGGCTTCCTCGGGAATCTGGATCAATGACGTCCATCTACCTAGCTATGACCGCCAGAATCCAAACTCTTATTCCAGGCACTGGGGCGAACTTCGACACGGCGATATACTCACAGTGTGGGATGATAAGACGCAAGGTCAAGCCACCAGATTCCGATTTGAATGCCTTTGGGGCAACTCCAAGGAGCCGAGAAATAGTGGCGAGAAATTCCACACCAACACCAATCTAGTGTTTTTGGCGGATATCGAGGAGTCCTGTCGTACGCAGGAACTAGATATCTTGGCTGAGCAGGAAAAGAGAACTGAGGAGCATAAAAAGCTGATGGACGACGTCAAACGGAATGAAAATGCTGCTGCTCGGGAGGTCAAACTCAAGAGTTTGAATGTCTTCAATCAGTCTTTCGCTCGCGATCCGCCTACGGCCTAAACTTCCAGCAACTTTACCCTCCTTCGACCTGGACGTCTTTCGAACACGGAGTGTGCCTCGCTACTTCACTGAAATTCCAGGTCTGAAGGGAGCAAGCCTACAACATGGAAACATGGACATGGACAACATGGACAGCTACTTCTTTGTATAAGTACTTACTTTCCTTTGCTTTTGTGTCCAAAACCCCACATACCCGGCGTTACTGAGCGGAGAGTTGAGCGGCTGCATTTATACACGCGTACGCAAAATACCAGCGGGAGAGATTTGGCAGGCTGGATATTGATGGTTGCGTGTGCACCTTGACTTTATTTGGTATGCGTGGCATCCTCTAAATGAATGCTGATATGGAATGGGGATGGTGCTATTACGCGGCAGCATTCCAGTGAGCTGTTTATGCGGTATGTGGAAGACGCCCACTTAGTTAGTTCTCTCCATAGGAATAAAATACACAATATATTATATTATCACATGGGAGGGTTTCCGTGAGGCTTGTGATAGGGCCTGGCTGGAACGTTATGGCCGAGACTGCCGCCGCTTGCTAGGTCTTCAATTCCAACTACTGAAGGCGCCCATTCTTCGTGTCCCGTTGTTATGAGCATTCTCCGACACACTTACCAAGCCAAACGCGCTTGTAGAACAAGTCCTTAGTATACGACTTTACGAAATATCGGCCTTTAGAACCAGCAGTATAGTTTGCATTTGTATTTCACACATTGATAGGTAGTAGTGACCGAGTTTACCGGCAAGTTCCTTGCTTGCTTACATCCTTCCCTGCCTGCCTGCCTACCTGGTCAATCCCAGCCAGGCGGGTAAAAAGGCGCATTCAGTATATTCTGAAGCTGTGAAGGGATGTTACAGATCGCGCCCGAGATAGATTGGATCGCCGTTTCAAACCCCCCTCCTCGAACGGCGCGGTCATCGAACGTTACACTCGACGCAGTGCGGTAATCTGCATCATCAGAAGTCAGTGGGGGTAAGGGAAAGTGTTCTTGTGGCGATTTGACAGCTGCAACATGCCGATCAGTGGGGATGGCGCGGACGGGTGACAGCATATCCTCGGGACGGCACGCGATTTTACTCGAAAGGCTTGGTACTACTATGACATGTTTTTTTTGTAGATGGATTTTGATTTCATGATATACGGGGCATTTACTACATACAGGCCAGGTGCCGTCCTTTTCTTTCCAGCAATGACAGAATAGGCCCTCCTTTGTTATTAATTTGCTCAAAAATGAATTTGCGCCCACTGCGACATGCGTGACGAAAATGAGGAGCCCTTTCCGCTTTCCATCCAGTCAAAAAATTATTATATTACGGTACGCAATCAAATAGCTCCACTTATTTCCTAGTGAGTTCCTATAGACATGTTCGGAGCCGGTCCAGCTGAGGGAGGGAGGGGTCTCTAGTTGAGGCTGAGGAGTGCGGCGACGGTGAGGAAGACCAGGGCCAGTGGGGAGGCTAGTTCTCCGGCTCCTGAGTTGGTGTTTGGCACGGTGCTTGTTCCGGTACTTGCAGGCGATGATGAAGTCTTGGTGCTTGAAGATACTAATCATTGGTTTGTTAGCCATCGCAACGTTGTTAGCATGGACAAGGATATTACTAACACTTAGAGCTGGTTGAGCTGGAAGAGCTGCCGGAAGAAGTCGAGGTAGAGTTCGACGCGCTGGTTGAGCTGGAAGACTCAGAAGAGGTGGTGCTGGCGGCAGCGGAAGAGGAGGAGGAGGCCTTGGAGGTGACAGATGCAGATGATGATGATGCGGAGGCTGAAGCGGAGGCTGATGCTGTTCCGGATGCGCCAGCAATCTTGAATTGAGGGCTGAAGTTGCTGGTCAAGCCATCATCGATAACGATCGCATAGGTGTCGGCTGGGATACTGGTTGGGACAGACCAGGTGAAGGAGTCGCTACCAAGACCGCCTTTCATAAAACGTTAGTTCAAGTCAATTGACGACGGTATTTAGTACTTACTTGCGATGGTGCTGACGGTCTTGAGGTCGGTAGAAGGTCCATTCTTCAAGGTGAGGGTGACAGGGCCGGCGGATGCGGACCAGGTGATGGTGAAGGTAGATCCGGCGGTGATATTGTAGGCAGAGTTGGTCAACTCAACGGCGGCGTTGACGGCGGCGAGCGCGGCAGCCGCGAGGAAGAGGCTGGAGAATTGCATTGTGAATGAGGTTTGCGATATCTTTTCAGAGGTGTTAGTTGGTTGTCTTTTATGCGCAAAAGCAGCTGAGGAAGCAAGTAGAGGGGCGCAAAGGTGACGCGTCTTTCTCTACAGTATTCATGCGACAGAGTGAGGGACTTACACAAGTATCAACACGATTAAATAGGGGGTTCGGAGAAGAAGCGACGGGCAGAGAACAGCGAGTGAATATGTATTCTTGACTAGCGAGAGTGGGTGGAGGACAGGACAATAATAATAAGCAGAGAGCAGAGCAGACAACGGGAGCAGAGATGGATGAGGAGAAAGAAGGAGAAGGAAGAGAAGGAGAGAGAGCGGCCGTGACAGGCAGAGTGTGGTAATTAATTCGTATTTCCACAACACCAGGGCGTCCCCGGCGTAGTAATGAAGCCACCAGGGGGGACGGACAGTGGCGCTGGTTGGACGAGCAATACGTTCACTTCAGCCCAGCAAGCCGGGGAATGCGAACAGGCAAACCGCCAATGGCGACAGCGGAAATCCTGCGATCAGAACTATCAACAAGCATCGCAATTTCACCTGATCCACCTCGGAGCTCTTGCGCCGCTGGGCAGCCCGCGCCCCTGAAAGCCTGGGCTCGAGGGAGCTCCTAGCGAGTTAATAGCTTGTTTATTACTGAGATAGCTGGGCAATTAGTATCGAGTTGGTTCGGCTTAGCACCGGCCATTGTCTCTCTGTAATCAGTGTAATGCGAGAATGCACGGCCGAGAGAGACAGAATACATAAACTATAATAATGCATACATATACTTGCGCTCCCCACGGTCCGTCGCATTGCGACTCGATCACCTGAACTGTGTGACTCGAGTACGAAGTACATACGCCGTCCTTGCACTGCTACTTCACCTGCCTCGTCTCCTGGTGTGAAACCTGCGATATCTATTATGGGCTACACCAGCTACTACGTACAGAGTACTTCGTACGTACACATTCCATGTACTTACTTATACATACATTATGCCTCCCAGATAAATGACTTGCTCCGTTTTGGACGACCCTGTTGGCTTTTGGGGGACCCTTTCGTCAACTGGTAACATTGACATACGAGGAGAGCTATTCTCTATTAATCCGTTACCAAAACAGTCAAGAGGGGGTAAACAGGGCAATTTCTTAAAAACATCTTCTATTCGAACCACCGAGTACTAGAAGTAAAGCGGGCGGGTTGAAAATGTCATCATATATATCACTGTGGAGGTTTCGTACTAATCGCGCATTAATTATACCGTGAGCATTGAAGGATCGGCGTTCAACTCGAATCCTTCCCACAGCTGGCTCGATAATAGTGTGGCAACCAACAGAGCAGGTCCCGAAACTCACCAAACCATTGAAACCTCACTCTCCCGCTCGCGCTCGCGCTCCCACTCCCCAGGCACAGAATCCGGCTCTCGGAATCTGACTTGTCTCCTTTCACGCTCTGGTTCCACCTCCACAATCCTATAGCTAGTTGCGATATCAGGGATGTCGTCGGGATAGTGCTCCCTCTCCCTTGAACGTCGAGGCGACTGTACCAGGGCCCGCTGATATTCTCCTACGTATGCAGAGGAAACCCGGGATGAAGGCCGAGATGATGCTCGAGATGAGGCCCGAGATGAGGCCCGAGATGAGGCCCGAGATGGGCTGCGGCCGCGCCGGCTGGCTTCCCCAGCAAATGGAGATCTTTGTCTTGATCTTGTTATAGATACACGGCGGATTGGTGATGGTGGACTTGGAGCTCGGGGAACACCATAGTACTCTATAGCATGTCAGCTGGTGAAGCCTTATTAGGGACAGCCTGGAGGTCTACCATTCCTATAGCTGACTGCGGAATCCGCCAGCTCTGGATCCCGATACTTGTCCCGACGATAACCTCGTTCAGATACTCTCCGCCTAGTGCGTCCCCTTTCAGGTTCTGCATTTGCCCAATCGTCATGATAATATCTTGCAGCCTCCTCCTCTGCTAAAAACCCCGAAGTTCGGCTGCGGCCTTCGAATATAGCCCTATCAACGTATTCTTGTCTTCGCTGCCCTTCACGCAGGTGCTGCCTAGGCTGATAAGTATATTCCACAACAACATCCCCATTTCCTCTAGGGTATATGACATGTGGTCTTTCCAAGGGCCCCGTCAATTCAGTTGGAGATCGGCGTAGCCGTCGACGGCGCTGGAATGCTTCATATCGACGACCTGAGGTTACTGTGTCTCTATCAACCCTGAGCTCCCTTCTTCGAATCGTTTCTGAGTCTAGTACATAATCTATATCTGAAGTTCTTGTGGAAGCAATCGACTCGTTGCTGCTGTCGGCAAAATAAGCAAAACCTCGTTCACTCTCCCGACGACCCAATTCATGATATATGGGGGCGCGGCTGTGGCGGTATACGGGGAAGGGTGAGCGTCGTCGTGAATAATCGCGAGCCTCGTTTTGACCACCTCCTCTTGATGTCTGGCCCACCTCGAGACTTACGGTTGATCGAACTTTACCACCGGACGACCGACTTACTAGCGAAGACGATCGCTCTCTTGGTGTTCTGTTAATATCCGCTTCTGTATGATCGGACCTTCGACGTGATCTCCCCCTCGACGGTCGACTTTCTTCATAGTCGGGATACTCTCCTTCTACCCTGATGGTATTTTCTGATTGTCGATGTCTTCTGCGTGACCTTCTTCGGACCCGTCGGATTAGGCCATCACTGAAATATTCATCGTCGATGATATCTTCTGGTTCAACATATCTCCATCCCTACTATGCGGTTAGATTTTGCTCGAGGAATAAAAGCCCGAAAGAAAGAGCTCACTTCACTCCTCCTAAGTCTTCTCCGCAGTTCAGACTTGGAGTATTCAGGTTCGTCACTTTCGCTGGAACTTGAGATGTATCTCTGAAGAAATAAAGATCAGTGAATTTCTTTTCCGATAACCGCTCCAGCTTACTCGTTCCCTCTTCTTGCCCTTCCGAGTTCTACTCTTTGGCTTCCTAGTCTCCTTCCTCTCTCTACCACTACTGCTTGAGCAGCTTGTAGAACTCGCATCCCTCTGACACTTCCTACAAAAACTAGGAGTCGGTGTTTCCCCAAGCTTAATAGGATTTTCTTTGTGGAAGTTTTTGGATCTCAGTCTTCCACAGCTGGCACATACATGCCTTGTAACTGTGACGGACGTTTTCCCATTGCAAGCGATAAAGTGAGCATCAATTTCCCTCAGCTTTTGAAAATCTTGCTCAGTAGGCCGTGGCCGCGGTGGACCACCCGGTGGATAGGCGCCCGGCTGAGGCTGGGGCTGGTGAAGGTTGAGGTTGCTCCACGGGAAGCCTAGCTGTGGAATAGGAGCCGGGTATGTGAACTGCTGCACGGGGACATGCGTCGCGTATGGAAACTGTTGTTGTGGGATATAAGTTACGCCTCCAGTGAGTAACGGCTTTGGTAGCTCTAGAGTTGACTTGGCGCGCACAGGCGTGGCCTTTTTGATCCCAAACGTCTCTCCTAGCAAGCTGATTGCGAGATCTGCAGGTTTATCTTGCTTCGAGCGGGCCATCATAAGTTTGCCGTTCACCTTCGTCAGGTAAGGTGCTCCGGCTGGTATAACTTTTCTCTCCTCCGAGGCGTCGTCTTTCGAACGTGAGGGCCGATACCTTTTGCCGGATTAGTTCTTCTAAAGCTAATGAATGGATGCTGAAATGATGGTAATTGGGGAACCGCTTACACCGTGAGCATTTTTATCAGCTTGCAGTCGCGAATCAGCCGACAATCATATCATTCGAGGGTCGGAAATGGTTGCGATTGAGGTTCATGAATAGGAGTCAGGGCAGCTGTTGTAACGAAGGCGAATATGGGGAGGTGGGTTGGTGGAGGAAGGAGCGGGGAGGGGTAGGAGAGTTGGTTGATGTTGACAAGGCGACCTGGTGAATGTCAGTTTCAATACTTTGGGCGGTCAGGAGCTGCCCACACAGCGACAAACAGAGCCAAAATTTCGAGACGTACGTACTCTGCCACTCACCAGGTCAGGAAAACATGGCTTACTATGGAGCCCATATATTATCCTTGAGCTTGTATTGTACTGGTACTACGGCAACTCACTAGAGATAAGGATCTCGGATTGCCTTTACAATATAACAGCAGACTGGTGCTAGCTGACAACAGTCCGATGCAGCAGCGTAAACCAGTCTGTGGGTAGAAAAGTTTGCAATGCAATTTGAACTAAAGGGAAGAAACCCAATTACAAAGGCTCACTTGACGACAGCGGGTTATTTAAAAATCGATTCTAGAAGACCTGCTGTATATTTTTAAGCCACGCCAAAGACAATTGAGATATGGTACAAGGCATAATTTTCTCTCCCTTTTATTCAACCCGCAAAACTTTTGGACCTCTTCGTTTGCTCGCTTTCTTCTTCTTGTTTCCCCGATCAAAAGATGCGGCGGCAGCATGGTCTCTGCCAATATTGTCAAGGTCCTTGACCTTGTAGATCCGAATGATCCAGTTCTCACTGGTGAAAGCTTCATCCAGAGTGTTGAGAACAGGCCCATGGTCGGGCATCTTGACACCACGTACTCGGTCCTGGCATTGTCCAGGAGGAAAGAGCGTGTGGTAGTTATAATACGACATCTTGTACCTACGGTATTGTCAGCAGAGTTCAGGGGGTGCAGTCAAGCTTCTTACATCAAGCTGTTCTTCATGGTCTCAGTGGCCCCATCGTCCACTTTGTATTCTCCTCTCTCGGTGAAGAAGTCGCGTTCCTTAACCTCATCAGGCCAGATGCCTTCTGCGATTCTTACCATCCACAGGAACTTGTTGATGTCATCTCCGGAATAGCCCAAAAGACCGCCGAAAACGATGAGAACATAGTCTACTTCATGTTGTCGCATAATAGGGTAGCTGACTTCTTCACGCGAGCTCATGGCCTTCCCAACCGTGGCGATGTGTGTGTTGTTCCAGGTGTTATTGTCGACAAGTGTTGGTCTATCGGCCATACCGCCAATCTGGTATCCATAATCCCACCAGGACATAATCTTTGCATCTTCCTTTGTATTCTGACGAAGCCATTGATACGCCTCCCTATAGTCATCAATGATATGTTGACTTCCATCAGGCATTTTGCTTGCCAAGACTACCGAGGGGGACGAATAAGCGTTCGAGGTAACCCAAGTACAATGCAGAACGAAAATCAAGAGATAGACAGTAAGTGCGCTAACAACCGAGGCCTTAGAGAACGTAGTATATACGCCGACAAGGGGCTGCCGCATAGAACGTAGGCCATCTTGTTTAATTGCTTTCTTGCTGGGAACAGGCGTCGCGTTGCCGGCGGCATCGAGAGCAGCATCCGCAGGAGGAGTAGGAGACTTAATAGTAAGGTAGGTATCGAGCAAATGTGACAAAGCCAAAGCTGCCGCGGTACAAACAATAGGCGTAAGTGTAAGCATAAGTCTAACCATGACACCAGAGAAGTAACTGGCAAGAATGGCGTAGACAACAACGAAGACCTGCTCGTCAGCCAGATTAAGGAAGCAAAGATAGACTCCAGCTGGGAAGAGCCAGATCAGCAGATTAAGATCGAAGAAGAATGCTGGCCAGGCGGTAGGTTGATGCTCGGAAACTGACGCAATGATAGGAATATGAATCTTAGCATATCCTGTATCCCAGAGAGAGTAAAATCGGCCTGTCCAGGGCGCGATCACACCAGACACAGTCAGAAGGACAAGGCCACCGAACGCTATACCAAAGACGGCCAGGGCAAATCCTCGAAGTAATGTTCCGAATTGCTTGCTTGGAACGCCGGAACGTACAAATTCGACGAAGCCAATCAGTTGAAGAAGACCAAAGACGCCTGAAACCCAATTAGTAAATGCCTTACAAGATACACGCTAGTATAGACTTACCAAGGGCTGACATATGCTCACTACTTCGAATGGGCAAGAACCCAACGAATGGAATTTGCATACTTGCCAACGTCCCCAAGGCATACCAGGTGCAATAGCTGACGTATACTCTTGGGCTGAATCGGCCCATACATACTAGCACAAATACGTGCAGTGGAATCAAGTTGGTAATAAAGACATATCCACCCCAAGCAGACACCATGTATCCATAAAACAAAGCGCACATTGCACCCCACATGGCCGATCCGAGCTTGAGAGCCTTTATCCAAGTGTAAAAGGTAAAGACAAGAAGGAAAATGGCGATAGCCTCGTTATCGTAGCTGCCAGCAACTGATCGCGAGATGTAACCTGGAGCAATTCCCATAAAAGCTGCAGCAAGGAGTCCTGCGGAAGGCGACGTCGACATCTCGTTGGTGAACAGGTAGGTTGCAAATGCCGTCAGCCCAGAGAAGCCCGGGGCAAGCAACACACAAATGTTTCGAATGTCAACCGGGAAAGTAAGAGCACGTAGAGCATGGTAGATGGCACCGCTGGTTACCATGAGACCTGGGTAAAGAGTGCCTCCAGTAACTCGACCGAGTGGATGCCATGTTCTGTCGTCGAACCAATCCCAAAAGTCATAAAACCCATTTGATACAAGATATTTCGTCGCTCGGAAGTTAAACCACGGATCAACTGCATATTAATTAGCTCCACGATCGTTCGAACAGCTTTGGTCGTTCTAAAGAAGATATATTCGTATGCTTGGGTAGGGAGGTACTGACATTCGTGGATTATACTCTCAAAACCTACAATTGTATTTCATTAGCGCTCGTTTAAAGACAGTCTCGAATCCACATCCGTTAAATCAGTTCGCGGTATTCCATTGCAGGAGCGGTGCTGTAGATTCTACAAGCTTGGAAGGGAAAACATACGAATGACTGAAAACAACCGGCTGGCAATGGCCGCAGCTGCAATTATACAAAGAATTGATAGTCGTAGAATCCCTCGAGTATTCCTCCCCGTATTCCCTTTCAGAAAAGGTCCAACCATGGAGTCGGCCATTGTGGTGGTTGATGAAAAGAGAACGTCTTGTCGCGGACGATGTCGTATATCTGTTCGCTAGGTGTAATCTGTCTCTTGAAGCTTGACGCGGCAGCAGGGGTAATGGAGCTAAGCCCTTTTGTCTTGGCGGAGGCACTTCGAGACTTCGATCTATCACAAGCCGGAACTTTACTCTCTGGGTCGGAAAACGAAAATTAATAAGTAACTCTATAGTATCCTAAAAGGCGAAATGTAGATTTCCAACGATATACTTATCCTCTCAAGTGTGCTTAAACTACAAGTTTTAGATATCAAGGTACATTTTTAGGAAGGTCTCCGTTAGAAGGCGCCCCCTCTCACGAATACAAATAGGAGTGCTTTAATTAAAAAAGTTATCTCTCTATTTGACTCTAATCGTAGGTACGAGGATATTGAGCTAACGAGAAAAGGAGAGAGAGTACGACTTTTCTAGGGGTATATATCCCCTGAAGTAAGTTACGTGACGGATAGGACCACTTGGACAATAAAGAGACCTATTAAGCCTGCGGGTACGTCTCTTACTCCTTTCCTGGTATATACTGATTCTCTTATTATCAAGGCGTGCCTCGGAGTCATTTTTCGGATTGTCAGGAACTGTTGGTTAGCCTCCCTCCTACGGAGTACGCCAGGCCGACGTTACTTTCACGCTCTGTTGGAGGTAATACGTGGTAAGGGAAGGAATGAAGTTGTATTGTCTAGCTATGAAGCTGAGGCCTTGATATCTAACTTATGGAATATGCGTGGAGCTAAGCTCGAATAGGCAAAGCAAAGCATACAGTGAATACAGGTGGATACCTGACACGCTCTTTTTCCTTGCTCAACGCATTGCGCTCCCCAGCCTGCTTCCTTCGGTGCCGTGGCCGTTACTATGATCCCTCCTCTCTTTCTTCTTTCGCAATAATACTAATTCAACAATGGCATCAATAAGGGGCTTACCGATACAAGATTATGGATGCTATGCTGTCACATATCCTCTTCTTCAACTACACAAAAACCAACCACAGCTCTTTCAGAAACTTGTCGACTTGATCGCCAACTCTCTTGAAGATGACTATTGCCTCAGCTTAGATTCATTCCCAACGAGCCAACACAAAGAAACTACTCGTCAGAGAGAACAACGAAACATCATGATACAAGAATGGCAAGGAGATTTTGAGCGGCTAGGCGTGGACTGGCCAGTTAGGGAGGCAATGAAGATCAATATACTTGATTCTTTATTTTATTCGATATGGAACATTCATTGGCGTTATCCGATATCTACCTCAGCTACACAAGCTTCCCCTGTGACGAATAGTGTACAGCTAGTAGGTGACAAGGGCAGCAGACAGGTATTTGGGAATATTCAGCCAGCAGAGATCTTGGAATATGCTCTTTCAAAGATTAGAGAACTACAAGCTGCTAGATATAGCAAACTTCTAGCTTCTCGAGACGACTGGGTTACGTTATTAAGTATCTATATACAAAGCTCTGTTTGGCAATTATGCCAAAAGCCGCATATCTCACGTCAAGAGTACGTTATCCTATACACTATAATCTAATTAGACAAAATACTAACCTTAGGTCTAGCCTTATCAATATTGGAGGAGATCTCGATTGTCACCGACCTGCTATCTATCTTCATATCATATGGCATCCTGATGACGACAATGAAGAATTCTTTTTATATGTTGGTCAGAGCATTGATCTTAAAACCCGGCTAAAGGATCACATGAATCCCTTAAATAGAAATAAACACCCTAGCCTTCACTACCACGCTTGGGATGCACGCCCTGGGAATCTCTCAGCATTTGTTGTCCTTGCCTATCTGGACGATATTAGAGCAAACAATTCTTCTATAGGCACCAAAGATGATCTGCTTAAGATGAATATCATAGAACTTTGGGGGACACTTATATTTCAAACCTTGCCGAAACGAGAACTTGAAAAATACTTAAATCCAACAACAATTATTGGGAGACAACATCTTAATGTTTTTAATCCTTTATGGCAGGGGGTTTCTAACTTAGATGACGTGTTTCCTAATCTTTCTAGGAAAGAAAGGTTTACTACACTACTACATGGAGCAGACGATATTACACGTTCGTATTATTATTCTCTTAGAGATGAGTTTTTTAAACTTAAAAACTCGCCAAATCCTACTTTAAGAGCATACTACAACGCAGTACGAGAGCTGCCGTTAGCAGCCTTAGCAGATGCCAGTGCTAAAAGGGCTGCACGAGTACTCGAGGACCTAATGTGTGGGTGCGAAAAAGTAGTTCGTCCATGCACGAATGGCTTTTCTTACTACATCAGCTTTGGTAGCGTTTCTTTTCGCATATCAAAAAAGAATTATCCGGAAATAGTACAAGGCATGACAGTTTTTGCACAAGGGATTTTATATGAAGGTAGAGCAAGCGCATGCTATTGCACTAAGACACAAGAATCAGATCCTGCAAGACGATTTTGCCTAAGGATTACAGGATTAAGTTTGAGTCGGCCTTTTACATATTTTGTACAAGCTGGAGGCGACATAACTACTCAAGAGATCAACGCTCTCGTTGATCTACTAGATGGACATAAGAAAGAGGACATCATTAATCGACCACGTCGCCTACTTCCGTGGCGATTCGACATAGAGAGCGTTCGGCCGAAGAAGGTTGCCTAACGGCAAAATGCCATTGCAGGTCCCCGAACTGTACCCCAGTATACTTCCGAAGGGCCCGGACAGACATCGACCAGAACTGGCCCCAATATCTTTCGCGAGCTCGTTGGCCAACTGACCCCCGAATTTTAGGACGGCCCAGCGTACAGATGTAACACCTTGCAGCGCGAACATTTCCATTACTCGCTCAAATCCGACCTTCTTAAGATCCTCATACATCTGTTGCCTACCAATTTTTTAATGGCCGTATGCATAAGCCTCTGCATAAAACGAGTCTTATAGGATGTCAGTTATAACGTACCTGTATCTTTCAATAAACAATTAAATTAACAAGTTCTAAAGGAGAGAATATAGTAATAAGAATTGGACTATAATGAATACGGAGCTATAGAATCACAAAAAGTGTTGTCATATTTTAGGTTAACATTTTTTGTATTCCAACTGTATTTATGAACCTTTACTACGGTATTTTCGCTTCGCAAGGACAGGGTGAATACAGTTAATTACAAAAGTGACCTGTTATCAAAGATATAGGGTTAATACGGAAGTAACAAGGTGATCTCACAGTCGTAGGGGGTCGAATAACTAAAGTAATTGATGGTATTCGTGATGGATGGAACGGATAGAGAGGTAAGCTCTCCAGCCCTGATTGGATTAAATAAGTGTGTGCGCTCGGCTAATAGTTCTGCCGACGCTAATGCCAAGGTCACATGACAGTCACATGACTGATTCTTGACACCTGTTGTAAATTGTTATTAGTTTACATGCTCTTGACAATTAAATAATAATAGTAAGTTATAATAACATACTTTTGTCGGGCTAGGAGGTCAAATGCCCTTTGAAGGCTATACCTCTTTATTTAGAAGTTTTATATTAAAATTAACCTCACTTTTATTTTGATCTTTAAGTAAGTTTCTTAATTTAATCACTTCCTTAACAAGCTTTGTGTATATGAGTTTTAAACTTTTAATATAACGAGTAATAAAACTAGAAGCCAAGAAATATAAGTAAATATATATATATTTTTAATAAATAGCTTCCGTGGTCCAATGGTTAGGATTCCACCCTTCCATTCGATGTTAGGTGGAGGTAAGTCTTGAAATCTATCAAAATAATAATATTATCATACTAATATACTCCTATTAGGTTCGTGTTCGATTCACGGCGGTTGCATTCTTAGCATTTTCTTTTTTTGCACGAATCCATACCTACCTTGTAATTTATATACAAAATGTTAGTGCGTTTAATCGTCGGCTCGCTTGTGCGGCCTTCAATTTTTCTCGTTTCCTCGAAGTCGGCGCTTGTTGACAAGCGGAAGTAAGTGACAAGATTTTGATTTTCCTCAATTTTTCGCGTATATTTTCAATAGTTAAACAACAGATTAACCTTATTTTTAGATTTTATCTATATATTATTTATATTTTAAATAAATTAAATAATAAATAAGTAAATAATTATAGCATAATCAGTTTTATACTATAATTATTATAATTAATCTAATTATTTTAGTTATTTTCAATGATTTTTATTAAAACTGTCACTCGCTTCCGTCTGTCAACCGCTTCTGCCGACTGCGAGAAAACGAGTAAAAAGGCTGTTCAAACGAGCCGATGAATAGTGCGTTTGAATTTGTATAGTGAATTACATTCGCTTGCCATGTGTAATCCCTTGCTACCGACTACGAGCGCACGAGTAGAAGAAAAAGGCCGTTAAGCGAGCTGACGATTAATATGTCAAGAGGTTGAATGGTTATACAAAAACAGAAAAAAGAAAGTACTGAGAATGCAACCGCCGTGAATCGAACACGAACCTAGTGATGTTAGTATAATTTAGTATAATAAGTAGATTTTAAGATTTACCTCCACCTAACATCGAATGGAAGGGTGGAATCCTAACCATTGGACCACGGAAGCTATTTGTTATTGAAAAGCAGGTTAACTTAATTAATATACTTTAATGAATTTGGTTAGATCACGTGCGAGGCTGTATCCGTGTAAAGTACCTTAGCTCGGGCCCTGTCAAGGTGTTATCTATATACGATATTATCTAATTTACTTAAGACTTCTCCTTCGTTTCTCTGAACTTTATTTTTTGAACTTAGATATAATCTTAAGGCTTTTGTGAACCGTGGCATCACCGTAGATCAAACCAATACCCACACAATGGGTCTCCCTTGACAATGCTTTCTACTTCCGCCCATCATTATAATCATAGTCGAACTCAGTTTCCGTCATCTATTTGTTCTCCGCCGCAACAGCATTCAGGAATGCCTCCAGATCGAAATGGGGATCATTGGGGTCTCTTATGGCTATTTCATATCGTTAGCAATTGTTAAAGAACGTTCGCCCCAAAGACTGTGTATAGATAATGCATCGGATGGCGCCCCCCCTATGATTGGCAAGGGAGCGTCAAGTTCGAATTGGGTGGGAGGAACGGGGCCAAACATACTGGTTCCTTCGGCTGTTTTCGCGCTTGGAGGGAGGTTCTTCTTCGCATATTCCGCCTTCGCCTGGTCGATCAACTTTTGCTTGTGCTCATAGTCTCTCTTGATCGCGGCGACCTTCGCGGATGAGGAAAGTGACGCTTGATGGTAGACTCCGTAAAGGACGCCAGCACCCAATGCCGACCACCGGAGAACCTATAAGAAGAAACGTTAGTTTGTAGGTCATGAATCGGTCATTTGTTCTAGCAATGAAGTTGTGACCAGATGGATGCGCAAATATTGAACGTACGTTTACACCTGTAGAAGCCATAACCCTAGGCGCGATGCTTGGAATGAATAAGGAGGATTGGCGAGGGGCGGCCTGTCAAGAGCGATCAATTGACAACTATCGCAAGTATGAGAGTCGCTGGGTGACGTTGTGGACAATTGGAAGCTGGTTTCCTTTGGAGCGCGCGGAAGAAAGATATCTGAGCTTAGATCCGTCTCGGCCCGGCGTGGTCAAGGTACGAGTGGTTTCACGTGACTCAGAATTTCTACGCGAAATGGGCTCCAAGTTGCGCGGTTTCAAACGACGCGACATCCCGTTCTCGCCGTTATCATTCTCACTATTTCAAGTCTTTAGCATTTGAATACTACTTAAATTTCCTTATAATTTGCAGATAAGCTATCCTAATCCCGCAACTATAAGTTTCGATCAGTCAACCAGCAATCCCCTAAGCCCCTAAGCTCTTAATCCTGAGCACCTCACCCCTCCGCTGCGCCCAACGATATGGGCACAAGTCGCAACCATGATGCAACAACGAAAAGATGAGCTTCTGGCAAAAAAGGCCAAGCTAGCAGAATTGAAGAGGCAAAGGGAGCTGCGAACCAATGCTGCCAACAGGCAGAGTACTGGCAGCCCAGGGGATGTAAAGTTACCAAATCCGTGCTGAACGATCTTGTTCTAATGGAAATTAGATTTTAGCCCCAGTTCCAGGACGAGCGGATACCCGACAGAATGTAGACGAAATCGTAAGGCAGCTACTAGGCGATGAGAGGAGTAGAGCTAGTTCGACGGGCCCTCGCGGTCCTGGTTCTCCAGCTGGAAAGGACAGCCGTCCAAACAGTGTCTTCAGCGCGGGACAACTCAGCAACGATAACTCAGAGTCTGCGGACGCCTCAGCTGCCGGTGCTCAGCCCCTTACCATTTCAACTCAAACCCTCTCTACTGCACCTCTATCTACTGTTTACGAATTTACTCCATCACCCGTCAAAGAGGTCTTTTCCTATAGCAAAGGCGTACAAACAACAGAAGAATTCGGTACCCAGACATCACAACCTAAAATAATTGAGGATTCGGAAGATGAAGAGGCAAGGACGCCAATCGCCTCTACTCCCGGCAAGCGGTTGAGTAGAAGAGAACGAGACAGAGAGGAGGAGTTGCGCGAGAAGATTCGAAAGGAAATTGAGGAGGAGTTGCGGATTACCCAAGACCTCGGCCTCGACGGACCATTAAAACAGACCTTACAAAATGGCACGTCAAACAACTTTCCAGCAAGGAATTTGACTTCGGAAGAGTTAAATGCCGTCACATCTTCAGAAGATTTTATGGACTTTGTTGAACGATCTAGTAAGGTCATCGAGAGAGCCCTAGACCAGGAATATGATATATTGGCAGATTATGCACTCCAAGGTGGAGCTGGAATGGATGACGATGATGTGTATGGAACCACCGGTGGGAAAGGTCGAAGAGTGAAGGAAGTTGCTCAGTTTTATGACGAGAGGTGGTCAAAGAAACGAATGATAAGCGCCATCGATTTTTCTCCCAAATTTCCTGAGCTCGTACTCGGTGCATACACCAAAAATCCTTCGGCGCCTCATGATCCCGATGGGCTCGTTCAGGTCTGGAATATGCATCTTCATGACCGGCCCGAGTTCGTTTTCCACGCTCAATCAGATGTATTGACCGCCAAATTCTCCCCATTCCATCCCAACCTGATCATTGGAGGCGCATATAGCGGCCAAGTGCTACTTTGGGATACTAGGGCGAAATCTGCCCCCGTTCAGAAAACTCCACTGACAGGATCCGGTCATACCCATCCGGTCTACTCGGTTGATATTGTTGGCACCCAAAATGCCAACAACATTATTTCATGTTCAACTGATGGAGTTGTTTGTGGATGGAGTGTCGATATGCTTGCGCAACCCCAGGAGTTACTCGTACTGCAAACTCCTGCTCCAGCCAAAACGGAGGATATAAGTCCAACATGCATGGCATTCCCCCAAACCGACCCTACATATTTCCTCGTCGGTTCTGAAGCTGGAATTATCTACCCCTGCCATCGATACGATAGAGCTGGCGCAAAGGCAGGTGTGGACCAGAGAGTCGCCTATCATGGTCATGCAGCACCGGTCATGTCAATGGATTTCCATCCCGCTCGCGGCCCCGTCGATCTCGGTGATTTGGTATTAAGCAGTGGTCTAGACTGGAGCGTAAAGCTGTGGAAAGTCCGGGCTCCAGCTGCTACATCTACCACGGGAATTACAGGGGAAGGACATTCAGTTGCGCCGATCCTTGATTTCAATCGAGAAGACGTTGTTTATGATGCTGCTTGGTCACCTGTGAAACCCGGAGTATTCTCGCTAGTCGATGGTGCCGGCAGTCTAGAGATCTGGGATATTACCGTTGAAACCGAGGTTCCACTGGCCAAAGTGCAGCCGAGCGCACGGAAAGGGGTAAGGAGCATGCTATCAAAGAGTTTGAATAAGGTCGCCTGGGAACCATCAGAAGGCAAGCGTATTGCGACAGGTGGTATTGATGGTGCCATCACTGTCTTCGAGGTTGGGGCCGATTTGGGAGGTAAGGACAGCGCGAGGAATGAAGAATGGACGAACGTTAAGAAGCTTGTGGCGAAGTTGGAGTCTCAAGGCCCGACCGCGAACGGTATCAACGGGTTATAATTATGTGCGGGTGACACCTGATTGCTATTGATTCTTTGGTGGTGTGCTTCATATGGAGTTTGTTGCATATACCCTAGCTCTCTCTATGAACAGCAAATTGATAATTCTACGAACCATGGACTATGATTCATTATAAGAGGCTTCCCTTTTCCAAATTTCCAGGCAATACCACCGTATTCCAGCTACTCTAGCTGATCCCGGCATTTGAACGTTTCTAGTTACAATAACCTCATTCCTTGGAATAACTTTGCTGAGAAATGCTCCAATGTGTCCTCACCAGCATGTGTCCTCCGCCTTAACTGATTCCTCGACGTTGGCCCTGCAGCTCTTGCACTTTTAGAAGTTCTATTTTCATACTCTATACAAGTTGCCGTATAGCTGTGAGGCTTAGAAGTATCAGTGCAAGAGCAAGAAGCCAACAGAGGTAGGTATGAGCGATTATAAATCAGATCTTCAGCATATTGCTAAGCTTTATACGCACTACCCACTCTTATTGGCCCAACCCTTGTCTTCTGAAACCGTACGAGTTTTCATCCCATACAGGTACTCCACTGCCGCGCATGCCGATAAAATATCGATGTTTCAAAGGCAGGAATTGACTGCGGCAAACGGTAAATCGCGTTGATGACGACGCTTAGCTGGCTTGAAAGTTCCGAGGCAACTCATGTACAGTAGCACCAGCGTAGATAACTAAACATAAGATTACCAAGCATTTTCTATGATCCCCACCACACCTATATTCCACATTATTTGTCATGTCCGCGATTGCAAAAATCTGCCAAGAATCGCACGTCAAACAAAAGATACTACCGGTATAGTATATAAGAAGGTAGGTGTGCTCTTCGTTGAGATATTTTTTACTTTCACATTAACAGTACTATTCTCTTCCATTCCCCTTTCATAGATTATCAAGCGGTCATCACTATCTATCAGCAACAATGACTTCAAACCTTTTCAAGCCCCTCAAGATCGGCAAAGCACAACTAGAAAACCGCATTGTCCTCGCTCCCCTCACCCGTTTCCGCGCAGACGATAGCCATGTCCCTCTGCCTTTTGTTTCCGACTACTACGTCCAACGAGCCTCAACTCCAGGCACACTCCTGATCACAGAAGCGACTTTTATAGCCCCACACGCCGGTGGAATGCCAAACGTGCCCGGCATCTGGAACCAAGACCAGATTGAAGGTTGGAAGAAGGTTGTCGAGGACGTACACGCGAAGGGCTCTCTTATCTACCTACAACTATGGGCATTGGGACGAGCAGCCAATGAAGATAACTTGAAGGCGGAGTTAGGGCCTAGTGCCACGGTCAAGAGCAGCAGCAATATTCCAATCGAGGGATCAACGGTACCGACGCCCCTCACCGAGGACGAGATCGTGGAATACGTTGGGCTTTATGCACAAGCGGCAAAGAATGCCATTGCTGCAGGCTTTGATGGGGTAGAGATCCATGGTGCGAATGGGTACCTAGTCGACCAATTTACTCAAGATGTTTCGAACAACAGGACGGACAAATGGGGCGGCAGCGTGGAAAACCGAGCAAGATTCGGCCTTGAAGTTGCCAGTGCCGTGGTCAACGCTGTAGGCGCTGACCGGACTGGTATCAGACTGAGCCCGTATTCGAGCTTCCAGAGCATGAGAATGCAGGACCCGGTTCCACAATTTAGTTATTTGGTTCAGGAGCTGAAGAAGTTGAAGCTGGCGTACCTCCATCTAGTGACGCCGCGAGTTTCTGGTATTTTTGATGCTGAGACAACCGAGACCGTTGACTTCTTGGTCGATATCTGGGGAAAGACAAGTCCCGTTCTCCTTGCCGGGGGCTTCACGCCTGAGCTAGCACTCAAAACGGTGAATGAGGAGCAGTACAAGAACAAAGATATTGCCATTGTGTTTGGACGGTATTTCATTTCGAATCCGGATTTGGTTTTCAAGATCAGAGAGGGGATTGCGTTGACGAAATATGATCGCAGCACGTTCTATAAAAACCAGTCCATAGACGGCTACACCACATATCCTTTTAGCGAGGAGTTTGAGGCAAGGAGTCGGGTACAGGCTTTGAAAATATAGTTATTGAATAGATGGGGCAAGCGGCATTATCTGGGGTTACTGATAAGAATTGCAAAGCAGGTAGCTATAGCGTTGAAACAATAGACTTAAAGACTACACATTAAGAATAAATCTTTTAAATCAATCACTTTGCGCCTTTAATCACTGGTTTTTCGTGCTGAACCCCTTACTACAAAGTACTCGTACTCACACCACTTTACTCCTTACGAAGTATTACCACACCTTCTCTCCCTCCTTACTCCCCCGAAGCGCCCTCACATCCGTGCCACGTCTGTGCGGGGTGGTTGAGTGGCCTAAATACAGTATATTACCCAGATCTCGCCTGGAGAGCACGCTCCCTCGGCTTCCAGAACAACCTTCGCTGGTGTTCTACCGCAAGTCCAAAGTCTCACCATATCTTTCACGCACCTGGTTACAACCACTACCTTTCCCTTCCACACTACCCCCTTACGTACATAGGGTCGTGCGCGCCCGACCCTGCATGTGGAATCGGTTATATACACCCGATACGAAGATACATGTATAAATGGCTTCGATCCCCCGGCATTGCAAGGGGTCCTCAGGTGTACCAGAGTTGAAGGAATATTGGATTTTTGGGGACGCTGGAAAACGGTCGAGGCTACGGCACGTCGGCCCTATCTTCACACCGGGACCCGCGGGTTGGGGGTTGTTCGGGGGTGGCTTGGGAGATGTAAATGGTTTGCTCGGTGCACTTTATATGTGCGCAACGGGATTGTACGTGAATATACTCACCCATCCTTGCTATTTCGTAGTCATACAAAGGAGGCAAAGTTACCTCTTGTTTCAGACGAAGTTGGATTGTTAAAGGTAAGTAAGGGCTACTGCAGTATAGGGAGCGTATAAGGCTTCTCATAGAGCGACAAGGGGGAGATAGCCTATCGATCTGTCTTTCAAGGGCCGCTATATTGCTACCTTATCTAGCAACTCGTTCGTAGACCGATGTATATCCAGAGCATATACTCCATAGGTAAGTAAGTGATGCAATATAGTTGGCCCAGGGGAAGCTAGGCAGTTGAATGCGGGATGGAGGCGTAGGGTGCCTTGGCAATAAATTGATAACCATAGTGGATACGAAGTACAGGTATGGAGAGGTACTACAAGGGGGAAATGGGAAAATCGGACGGGGGATAATGACTTCAGTACCTTGATATTCAACGCGCGGGGTTCAGAGAGGATAAAGCTTTTGACAATTGAGGGGCGGATTCGATAATTCGCATCTGTACTCGATACCCCGTAGACTTGAGAGGCGGTGTACGGCAACAGCTCTGTGCCACACATATCATAGCCTAGTAGGGGAATGGGGAAATATTCAAAGCGGCTGAGTTCTGGCAAGATCATAAAATTGCAGTAGCTTTTGGATAGTTGGCTCTTCGGCCTGAAGTGCAATATATAGTTATACACTCGGATAGTCTCCAAGGAAGCATCCGGACAGATCGACTTACTACTGCCTATCCTCGATTTTGATATAGCGAGGATATAAGCGGACTCTCCTTCTATATGCCAGTCTATCGCCTTGTATGCATGGGAAAGTCGGGAATTTCCCTAGGCACCTGACGTTCACACATGCAGCCACCCATTCTGAAGTAGGACCTGCATCTCATTTACCAGACACTCTATCCCCAGTTCCTCCCTTATCTCCCCACTCCGTTTCCCTTTTGCAATCCAGCTCTCAACTCTCCTCCTCACAACCATATTCTCACTCCAGAACGACAATCCAACCCACCACCTAGCAGCACGATTCTTCCACCTGCCCCTCCACATCTCTCTTGGTGAAGGCCACAACATAGAATCTCTTCCTTCCTTCGCTCTCCGGCTAGCCACGTGGGCCATGAGTTCCTCATCTGAGGTAATGGACGCGGGTAACGGGCCCTGTGGGTTGACGAGCGGGTAGGTACTAGCGTTGAAGGTAACACGCACGTTAGGGTTAAGCCACACACCCTTTTCGGCACGTAGGCGGTAGTTGTCTGCGTGGATGAGGCAGCATTCTGAGCCTTCGACGTGGGAGGCAGCGAGACTATCTGGGATGCCCCGGAATTGGAGGCGAGTTGTTTGGTGTTGCGACTCTGAAGACGAGACTTCAGACGACGGTAGGGAATAGAACGGCGAAGCATCGAAGGCAGCAATCCCGTTCCAGCAGGACTTTACCGGAACGGGCTGCAGTGAAAGAAGGGCTTCGCGAGAAACGCGAGTGGTGAAGTAGGGGAAACTTGCCGTGCCTGTCTTCAAGCCAAAGAAGTCTCGGAGGGCGAAAGTGTCGTAACTGTGACATAGTAAGTTTGTGAGTTAACAGTTGTAGAATGATATGATACTATGGATTTAAACGAACGGGATAGAGGACGGTAACTTACTACGAGTCTGCGCTAGACGAGAAATCTAGGGAGCATGCTGCAGCATAATTACCTTCCCGAGTTGAGAGAAGGGTAGCAATATCTTCATTCTAAGGGCATCTGGTTAGTGGCTGCCAGTGATCTTGGGTTCTTCCTATTCTGAAAACAGGACAGCACGTGACAGCTCTCGTGGGATCTCCATCTATCAAAATAGGAACAGGCATGTACTCACCGTAAAAACAACATCATTAATCCACAAAATTTTATCATATGTCCTCTTGCTATCGTCATTTAGTGCTAGCAAGGGTTCCATCGCCGTATTCCTCAGCTCCGCCAAATGGGGAATTCTCCTCTTCTGCCAGCCCTCCTCCCCGAGACCAGTATAAATCCACCCTTTTTTATCTTCGTCCTTCGGGACATCTAGCAAACCGGCCATCTGAGCGTAGACATCCTCTCCAAGGACGACCTTACTCTCTACGCCCAACTTTGTTAGTTCAGACTCCAAGTCCAGCAAAGCGCCCTTAGTGTCGTCCCGGCTTCCCGATTCGACAATCGAGACGAAGACATTTTCGGGGCCAAGAAAAGAGACAAGTGATAATAGTGCTGCATTCCAGTAGAGACGGAGCATATACTCGCTACTGCGCTGGATGGAGACGATAAATATCTTTTCACGGGCGAGAGCAGGTGACAAGGTGCTCGTCCGGGAGGGCCGAGGGTGAGAACCGCTGATAATGAGAGCATCCAGGAGTAAGAAAACCACTCCTGCCAGCAATATGGAGCGAAAACGATTCCGTAATATAGACCGCCGAAAGGAGCGGATGAGCATCCTTGTTGTGGTGATCCGGAGACTGTTAGGACTCGGGGGCCGGGTTCTGATACTGAAGGGAGCAAATCGGTGGTATGTGTAGGGAGATTGCCATGTCAAGTTTACAGTCGAGTTGTTGCTTTCCAAGCTTGGTAGAGACAGTGAATGTGAGCTTGTAGTTAGAGGTGCTATAAAGACGGAAGTTAAAGAGCGTGGGCGGAGAATCACGAAGTCGTGGTGGTACAGTCCACGTAGTTTACACAGGGCGTGTGTTTTGGCCCCTGAGGTAGTGTTGGTGAGGCTTGGCTATCCTTGGCTGTTCGGCTACGGTGATTGGCCAGAAACCACCAATACAGTCAGCTTCCACCCAGCATATGTTTCAACGTCAAGGACACCAACTAAAAACTCTTGATATCGCCAGTTGACTCCCGTATGTTCTTCCTGTGAAGAGAAGAATGGGGATATGCTTTCTCCCCTTTAGCACGTTATTTGTTCGAAGTCTCCAGGCTCTCATATGCGCGGCGAGAATCCCGTTTGACACAGGTCTTTTGGCGCATACACGCGCGACTCAATTCTCGAGATACATCTAACATGAGAATATGGATTATCCTTCAGCTGCTAGTGCATAATCTTTTGCAAAATGTATAAATATCTTGGCTTGACATTTTCGCACTTATTTTACTTGCTGGGGGCCAAACACCCTGCCTCGGTTTTGGCGTTGAAATTTTCCGCGATTTCTGAAAGTCAGTATAGAATGGGAGTCCCCAATGTCTCAAGTTGGGAACAACCGGACCAGAAAAGGAAAAGCAAAGCGCCGCTTGTCCCAATCACAACATAGCCTCGTGAGATGTCACTTGACAAGCTGTCTGCATCCTATAGGAAGTAATGACCTTCTGACCCATCACATCCTCATTAGGAACGGGTACATCGAGAAGGGCAACAGCATAAAACGGCCGCTGGATAACGTCTCACAACCATTATCTCTCCGCGCAATAACGTTCTTGTGGAATACTATCTCATGCTGTCCTTGGGAAATGTGCTACCTTAGCCCCTTTCCCAGTACCTGGGGTAGAGGCTTCCCGTCTGCTGTACTCTGAACACCGTACAACGGCTTCGTGGACTGGCCACGGCATCGAAAGCGCATGATCTGGTATCAACCAAGGAGTTTGGAGTATTAAGTGCCATTTATGCACGTTACAGCTCTCCGGTAACAACTGCCGGCGGGCGTCGAAGACTCTTTAGATTCGGTGACTCAGATGGGAGCCGTTTATTGCTGGGAATAGATGGACGCTGGCCCTAACATAGAGGAGTTTCTCAGCATATCTTTGACCTATAAAGAAAGTTCGAAATAGCCCATTGCTGAGTTTGGATGTAATGGTGTGACTGTTCCTTACAATCTTTGTGGCCTTTGTCATGTTTATTGCTCGAGAAAACCGAGGACATTGAGAGAACTCAAGGAGATATTTACAATAACAGGCGAGTGCATAATTTAAGATTGTCCATCTGCCCTTCTAGACCATGCGGCCGTTCCCGAGCTCGACTTCTCAACACATTCATCAGAACTTTGGAAGGCCGGTCTGGACTTCGGCTGCGTAATGTGGCATAAAGGTACCAAGTTAATTGTATTGGACTAAAGTCGTGCTCTTCCGGATGCATGTTATTTCAAGTACCGACCCCTAGGGAGAATGCTTGTGGTCGTGGCCATGCTTGCTACGGAGTAGAATTCTGTCGAAACAGGGCCGAGTTGATACATATGGACAGAGCCGAGACCGCTAGAGATCACGGAGAACGGTTGGACGTTGGAGTTAACAATGTAACCATGAGAAGTCGGTACCCGTCATGGAAAAGAGGTACCTGGGGAACAAGCACCCGGTTTCGTCCTACACCAAGTTTCTCAACTTCGGTTTCCGACAGCAGCACGACTCCACGATAGGAACGGGCCGGAAAACAATACTCTTCAAAAGGTCCCACAACAAATGTCGAGCTACCTTTATTAGCCTAATACTTACCCCGAGAAATGCCAGAATAGCTTGCGTCCAACGTAATCTGGGTATATGCCAGATGACCTGCATACGCGGAACTGCGAGGGCGAGCGAGAGGAACCCGGTCACTGGATGGCTAAAGCGTGCTGGTGCCTGTATGACATGCAAGTTCGCCACTTTTCCTATTGAAAATCCTATCTATTTTGTGCGACATTGCTGTTGCCTGGTTCCTTGGGCTGGGAAATAGGAAATACTCAGGCGCATTTTCAGCACAATATGGAAACAGCCGTAGGCTCCCAGACTGTGCATCTAGCAATTCGCTGAGACTCCTCAATTGGTCGAAGCGGCAGGTTTATCTCCTGTCTGAACGCCACTGGGATCAAATATGATAACAAGACTTGGGAACTCGAAGGGAGCTCTTACTACCTTGGCACCGCCCTACTTTTAGGAACAGAATGAAACCATTTCGTTGAGTTGTAGAACGTAGTTCTGGCCCGCTCGGGCTGTCTGTGTACCTCCTATTTTACTCGGTCACCAGCAAGTCTCCGGCAGCTTACCTTGTCTTTCCTCGCCAACCTAGCGTTATGTACGGAGTAGACAATCTTCCCCTTTCTAGGAGATCGAATTAGTTGATAGTCCAGCAGCTTTAGGTCCGAGCACTGTTATGATTAGTCGAGTTGCGAGTATGAGTGGTATAATTGCGCGATATTGGAAACCCGGTTTTGCGTTTTCAGCCCAAACCGGGAACCGGTTCCCTTGGTTGATGGATCGACCAGTAAAGTAAAGGCTCTTGAGAAGTTCACACTTCACAGAGACATGTGCCTACAAGGGCATGCGTTGGTTTTTGCAGGAAGTTAATAAAAAAAGAAATACATTGGACGTAGGGCGCAGGGCAGTTTCGAATTTCACTGCCCTACACCAATAATCTACCTTTAAAGGTGCGAAGTAGAGGTAATTAATGGTCCTGGAATAAGTCTTACGAGTTGGTGGCAGACGGCCGGCATTCCACTTGCGTCCATAGCGATGCGGGGAGGAGAGGAACGGCGCCTCGAGTACTACGTACAGTTATAAGTTACACAGCATAGAGTAATACTCCGCAATAACGGTTAGTACTCTGAAGTCTAAACCCTATATCGACTCCTCAGGCCCGAAAGGCAGCATGGCTTTGCGGGGGGTTCCCCTTCTCCAGGTCTGACTCTACCTCCCGGAGCGTTCTAAAAGAAGGTGCTACTCCGGCGGTCGTACTACGTACGACGTACTGCCACAACGAATCTTATATTGATTTGCGGGGTGAGGGAAAGGGGGGGCAGCAAATACTGATAGCTAGACGACATATACTTGCACGGAAGTACATCGCTAACTTTATATTGGTTGTACTGGTAAGTATCCTGCGGTCAGACACGCACAGCTCTTTGTCAGCGCTTGTGAGAAAGGATCCCTACCCGCCCTTTACCCTTTTACCCGTCAAGTAGGAGCCACGTCGTGAGAGAGCCGGGGGAGGCTTCGGCAAGACATGATCTGCAGTCCCCCATTCCAATATCTCGGTAATCTCTCACGTTGCTCCTCTGCCGATAACTTATTCCCTCGCCCCCTTCCGGAACAAGCTCGAGTCTCCGATATGGAAGGACGGCTGAGCCACATTATTGCCAGTTCCCAATGACTTCACCATAATGCGCCAGCGGCACGCCTGTTTCGACCAAGCCGCTTGCTCGTGTGGCGTTGGATGAGAACTTGGGCTTAGGACCCTCTCCAGGTAGTCTATCCTGTACATGTACCCCGTACGGGGTACAGCACAACAAGCCACCAAGGGAAAGCCTCCAGGCCACTACGCCGCTTCGTACAAAGTAGGTGACGCCATGACGGACCGACATACTATCCTGAGTACAGTGTACTTTGAAAGTGCAGTGCTAAGTATCCCTTGGAGTCTAGGTCCTAGGTACTAGGTACACTGGTACGAAACATAGGCGATCCGTTCCCAGCATGACTCGTCACTGTCAGTCCTGTGGAGAGCGGAAAGGATCGCGATTCACGCGCTGTCACGGTCAACTCCGTAGTGTGCGATGTACATTCTTGCTGGCCTTCCAGAACGGACGAAGGTTGGAGGCTGGGTGAGGCCATCTCGATTCTCGACAAAAGGCAACTCGAGTCTCGAGTGCCATTTACACCCTAAGGGGTGCGTAGCACCTATCCTCCATGATGACCATCCTCGCATGGGAAATACAAAGCAGTCAGTGGGTGATCTACAGCTGACCTGTCGGATCCAGGACCCAACCAGCATGCGCACGTTTTCTGGACGGTTGGGGCCGTGGATCGTCCAGACTGCCACGTTCATGCTCCGATAGTGCCTGTGCTGAGGCGATGCTCGATAGAGAATGGAAGAAGAGACAGCGGCCCCCTGACGGCTGAGTTGAGACCATCGTCAATCCAGGATGGGTGGCATCCTAGAGCACCGTACGTCCCCGATTGGGACCCCGTGGCCGACGGACTTGCCCCGTACGGCCTCGGGATTTACTGCTTGCCATCACACACTGCCAAGTATGTAAGTACTCCCGGAAAAGACGATCAGGAATCAGGATTCGAGAGTAGGCCAGTTGCGGGTTTGACCGATCGTTTAACCTTAAATCGAAGAATGAATGGGAGTTGGGAGGATTCTTGGGGAGCATCGAACATCGAACAGCGAAGCATCCGGCCGGTCCGTCAGTCAGCAGCAGCACTGTACCGATGCACAGGACGTGCCATTACTACGCATACTCCTCCTACTACCATATTACCAGCATGCCACGCCTTTTGCGGGTCTGGGCAGCGGGCGGCTGCGATGTGATGCGATGCGATGCGTCTAATTATGCTTTGGACGGGGATCAAGCGCACCCGCTAGGCCCTGGCTACGGCTCGGTGATTTGTACGGGAAATGCCACCGACAGCCTGAATCTGGTGTTCTGGAATATGGATTCGGGATGGCGATGGCGACGGATATGGATATGGATATGGCGATGGAAACTCTGGCGAGGTGACCGTGGCGCAGGTTGAGAACGGATCCGGGGATGCGCCACCTTCCCATCGAAGCATCGAAGCAGCCAAGTGCCACGGCAAGTAGATGAGATGATAATGCAGGAGGATTGCTTCCCATATCCCTAATAACAACCTAATGTACATGTACCTAGGTCCGGTGCGAAGTACTATGGACTTGTACATCTACAGTGGCTGCCGCTTGCGCCATCACAAACAAAGAACATCTTGCATTATCGCTCTCCGGAGCACGCACGCTGTCGCAAATGGACCCCAATAGCAACCTAATTATGAATCCATGATGGGCGCTGGCCACGCCTGCCACGCCTTCTCAACACGCGGCGCACATCCACAGCCCGCGCGGGGAACAGGGATAGTCCCATCATCAACTCTGGTCAACAGCTTCAACAGGTAAGCTGGCCGTGCTTGGCGGGTAAGCTTAACGTCGCCGGTTGATTTGTATCACCTATTATTGCGGCGTGGGAGAGGCGGCCAACAACTGCCCTACTGCACGATCTGAAACCGTGCTCCAACAACGCAAATGAAAAGAGGTGGTTGAGATATGGCTAACTATGCCTATATTATAGTCACCTAGCTGCATGATAATAGGGCTTATGATGACAGGCCGCTTACGCAACTCTGTTCTCGAACTTTGACGCTGCTTCGCCGTCGGAGACCGAAACAACTCACTAGTCCGGAAAACCAAGCACGTTCGTGGAGCCTCCGTCGTAATATGGGGCCGCCTTAGCCCGAACTACATCGCTCACTGCATAATGAACTAGCTGCTACTAAGCTTTTTAGCATCTATCTAGATGTACGAAGAACTTCACATGATACTGGATATATTAACTCTCCTCCGAGCACACCAAAGACAAGCCCGCAAAAAAAGAGCCAGATGGGGGTACTCGAGAAACAGGGTCATCCGTGCATGATATCCCCGAAAAGAGTCGAGTCGACCCTCAAAGGATCAGTTTGGGGGTCGAACCCGCCGATCCATTCTTGTCTCAGGTGCTTTACTTTCGTACTGGCGCATCGAAGAAAACAGGCGCGCGGGACTGACGCCTCAACATCTGCCCATCTGCCCCACCCCCCATTGTACGACGTACAGAGTACTACGTACAGCATCTTGTCACAAAGCACCGATCAGATCTCGGACGTCATGTCATTCCTGTTTAAGCGCATTGCCATGACATGCCATGCCAAGGTTTCGTTTTTGGGCCTGGAGCGAGAGAAGGAGTCTAGTTGAAGCACCTTACGAGCAGTCCCGTAACCACGCGCAGTAAGTTAGTCGTCTTCCGCTGACGAAGTTTAGCCATATGGTAAAGTGCCTTACGAAGGGCTCGGTATTGGTATTGGCATGGGAAAGGGAAAGGGAATGGTGGGGTACTCTGTCGATCCCGTAACCCTAAATGGCCAGCGGGTGTGCGTGGTTGCTCACCCATCCTGACATCCTCAACGGCTTTCTCTCTTCTCTCCCTGTCCTGTGCCTGTGTGACGATGGCCGCGACAGGAAGGCTGTCCGCTCTTGCGACTATTGGCGCAATGGCGAGATGTTGCAGGGAGAGCGGTGGAAGAGGCCTCCGAGGTGACGGCCACCACTGCTGAGCATACAGAGTACAGTAGCAATGCACGATGTACGGTACAGTACATATGCCTGACTGATCCACCGTGATGACAAGAGCGAAACGGGGACGGGTATGTGCTCGAATCTGGCGTCCACCACGTTCGCGATCCTGCCGATTCCTTCGTGCCACCGGGTGGCAACCGACCTGGAAGACCAAGACAAAATCCTTGCGAGTGGACAAATCAAAAGAATATGTAACTCGGCACTGGCGAAGGTTTTCTGGGTAAGTTGCGGCTTACGATGTCTCGGCCGTCATCCATAATAATGATCCATTTGATCTAGGCGCTCTAGAGTCTGTACAGTGTACAGTACATCACCCATCATCCTCGCCTACACTGCTGTTGCTGCTACTAACTACTTACTACTTACTAGTCGGAGAGATCGATTACGTGCTGCATGCGACCATGCGACCATGCGACCATGCGACATGCGAGTTCCTTCGATTTTCCCGTGCCGGGGTGTTGCTAGACAGGGCCCCTAACTGCTACTGTACGATCTCTGATCTATGGGCGGAGGATTCGATTGCAGACGGGCGTGGCGCCGGGTATCGACTCTGCCATCTAGATTCGCGGGGGCCGGTCTTCTGATAGGCAGGAGACTTGAATGGGAATGGAAAGATGTCGAAAGAAGGCATATACACAGTACATAGTACGCGGTAACGCAGTAACTCAGGGTAGTAGTAGCACCCGTTGTCTCTCGCACGAGAAGTCGCTTTCGTGCAGAGAAAGGCGAGTACAGTACAGGAGACCGAGTACTGAAACTTGTACCGGTACATGCCCGCAATAGGAGAGAGGGTTCCGGTTGGAGTCGGTCGAATGTCCCTAATACATCTGGCCTGATTGCACGAGGTACGCAGTTACGCAGGATTCTTGTTTTGTCTTTTCTTGCCTTGTCTTGCGCACGCATCTCGGATGGAGCTGGTTGATTGATTGATGGATTGGTTGGTTGCATTTGATAGGGGAAGAAGAGCGTGTTCTACAGTACCATCTTTGTCTATTATACTCAAGTGACAGATAGGCAGCCTTCTAAATAAGTCCTACCCCAGATACGGCCCGCTTCCAGAAGCCCACGGCGAATAAACTTAGCGTCTTGGGAGAATTACTCTTCTCCGGACTCGAGGACTGCACTACGGAGTATAATAAAATGTCCTAAGTAGTGTGCTCGGCAGCTCTTCCATAGCCCCGGCTGGTGTGACGGCTCCTGAACATTGAGGCTGGGGGACTTGTGGTCGTGTCGTCTTTGTCGTCTTAGGCGCGTTGCGTTCGTGCCGGAGAGTCAGTGAGCTGAGGATGGAGTGCGTGGTCTGAGTAAGGTACAGCAGTACGAGTACCGGGGGTGGCACTTGTAGGGCCTTTTAGGGGCTTGTGGGCACTTGTAGGGGTCGGAGGAATATGGAATAAGGAAGCATGGAGCATGGAGCATGGAGCATGGAAGAGAAGGATATGGTGAATACTAGTGGCACTCCTCGCAGGCACGTATCCTGAATCCTGCGTCCTGTACAGAGTAGCGACAGCACAGGACCGTGAACCCTGTGCGAGCGCTGTCCGGAGCACCGTAACTTCAACTTCGCATGCTGCCTCCCCCCTAACCTAGGCCCTCCAACCGCTACAGCTACCACCCCGACAGCTTAGGCCTGAGTGACAGTGTTACAGTGTGAAGTTAGCGGAGGGGAGGGTCGTCCGTAGGCACCTGCAACCTGCAACCTGAACCTTACACCTGGCAGCTTGCAGCTTGCACCTTGCACCCTGCAGGCTGCACACTGCACAGCGAAGGAGAGACTGCGACCACTTTAATATAATAAATACAGTGCACCCCACCCCCGATGCCCGTCCGCCTTCTGAGAGGGTACAGGAGACACTGGCACTGACACTGGCACTGGCACTGGAACTGGAACTACTGTAGAACTAGAACTGCGACGGTGGCCACGGTACTTTTTGTATACCACCACACTCCGTACACCACCACGAGCAAGTACTCACTCACTCCACTACCTACCTACCAGTACGCTGCTCCTCCACTGCTTCGACCACCAATACCACTTACCACTACGACAACGACTACTACTACTACCACCTCCTCCTCCATTTCCATCCCTTCCTCCCTCGCTCCTCTTTGTCCTCCTCCTCCTCCTCCTCCTCCTCAGCTCCCGCGCAACATATGTTCGGTATCGCCTGCCCCCCACAAGCGTCGGCTACTATTTCTGGACGGCACTTGATACACTTACTCGGAAAGACAAAGACTCGACAGTCTCAACCCGGATCCTCGAAACCCTTCGACTTGACTTGAATTGAGTTGAACTCGGAGAAAAGACTCTCTGGGGGACCTTCGCCGCTCCGCTCTGAATCGCTCTGAATCGCTCCAGGGTTGCTGGGGCTCGAGTCCAGCCCAATCACGCGCAAACCGTTCAGCCTGACTGCTTCCCTTGCCCCCCCCTGGGCCACTGTCCTGTTCCTTCACCACCCCCCAAAATCGCCATCCATCGCTGTCGCCGTCGTCCACGCCTGCGCCCGCACCCCCGACACAGACCCCCCGACAAAGACAGACAGACACCTCCGATTTATTATATCTGCAAAACTTGGTCTCTTCCCCCCTCCCCGACCACCACTCGCTCTTTCACAACAATCCCCTTCACGTCTGGTTACTGGCCATATTTGTATCCTCCAGTTCTTCTTTTTCAATCCCAGGCCTGCTCCCCGCATCGTGCTTTCGTCGTCGCTCCTTAGCCTTCCGCTTTATCTATTCTCCTCGATTCCCGCCGCCGGTTGGTACTCGCAGCCATGGAACCTGTGATGACCGCCCAGCAGGTGGTCTCAAGACCGCCAACCGCAATATCGAGCATGCTGAACGAGCCCACGGTGCACAAGGAGCCCAGCAGCGCCGACAGCGCCTATGCCTCCCAGAATAACTCAAAGCGTAAGCATGGTCTCCCGCCCGCCCCATTCAAAGAGCTATCTTGGAAGATTCGACTCATTGACAAGTCCGCACAGATTCGAGCCTCACAACCACCCAAAACGGTATTGGCACCCACTTGCCCTGCGATGCGCCGCCTGTGGTCGACAAAACACCATCGCCCGTAACCAACGGAGTGACGCTTCACCCCCTCACCTCCCCTACCGGCACCATGAGCGTTGCCTCGATTGTGTCGCCCACGATACCCGAGCACCAGGAGACAATGGCAGGCGGCAATAGGCTGAGCGTTCAGACAATTGACTCGGCGCTGCACAATGGTTCCCTCAATGGCGATTCCCGCCGCGAGTCCGTCGACAGTCGACTCGGCGCGAATTTTGGCGATATGCGCCTAGGAGCTTCCCCATATACTTCGAACAACCAATCTACCACCTCCCTTCAGAATTCCCTTGCCCAACAAAGGAACCCGGGCGCGACCGATCGACCCCCGCTGGGCTTCCGTTACTCGGATCAGTTTTCCCCACGATCGTCCCGCTTCTCCGAGCGAAGTGATCCAGTATCACCAACCCGAGGGGGTCTGATGTCGAAAACCGCGCCCCCGATCCATGGGCCGCCGTCAAGGGAGATTGCTGAGGCTCCTCATGCCATCCCGGGTCAAGCATGGGCGCTCGACTTCCACGCTGACCCCTCGGAAAGCGACGCTCATATCAACCGACAAGGGACATCGTTTTACAATGACGATTCGAGGCGCAACTCATTCACGGATTCCATCGCAAGCAGCGCATATACTGCCGAGTCACGTCTGCCCCATGGCCAGCGGCGCTTTGATGAACAGTCAGAGCCTACTCACCGTCTCTCGCGAGCTTCGTCGGAGCTTCAGGTCTCGACGCATCATCATTCTCTTCAACATCGGCAAGTTGCTGAGCTGCAAGGGGAGAGCGGTACTTCTCCAGGGGGCAGCCAACCTTACTCGCGCACGCCTGAATTGAGAGTTTCACATAAACTTGCAGAACGGAAGCGCCGGACGGAGATGAAGGATTTATTTGATCAATTGCGGGATCTTATGCCTCAGGAGCGCGGCTCGAAAGCCTCGAAGTGGGAGATTCTCACCAAAGGTATGATAACTCTTCCTGATTGTTTTATTTGCGGCCATGTACTAATTTAATATAGCAATTTCCGAATATACCAGGGCTACGAACGATATCACGAGGCTGTCGAGCAGAATGCGCTCATTAGAGGCAGAACTGGAGACATCCCGTCGGGAGGCAGCCGCCTTGCGACTAGAAAACAGCCAGCTCCGTGGAGAGTTGACTACCTTCACCAACCCCCATCGCCCCGCTCAACAACAACCCGCAATGAACTCGGACTACCCTTCAATGAGCAACAATGTGTACGGTAGAAACGGCCATGACGCAGCTCCCCGACACGACACTTATGTCATTCGATCAGCGGAGCAACTTCCTCCCATCAGAAATGCTATCAATGGACATCCACAAGGCCCTGAAGCCATGAGTGGAGTTCAATATCAAAACGGCTTCCGCTCAGGGGCCGAACATTTCTAACCAATTATTTACTCTTCGCCCCTGTCGACGGTGTCGACATGACTTATGATGCCAATGGGCCGGCCAGCCTCTTCTCATGTTCCCATGGAGACGAATATTTATACGATTTGCCTCGGCCTACTTATGCTAAAACGGGCGCCTCTCATTTACCGGTCATACGATGTTCCTTTTTTTTCGCCTCCATGGCACCGTGTTCTATTTGACGAAACGATATCCATTTAGTGGCGCTTGATGTGTCACGTTCTCGTATTTATACAAACTGGCCTAGACGTCGTTTCGAACGACATCGACATCCCGTGGACACCACAATCATTTTTTTATATCTTCTCTTTGTTGGACATAATCTGGTATATTATATACGCGGCGGCGGCGACCGATCTTCTTGTGTTAATACGGAGTTTCCGATCGAGTTCCGTCCTTGTAGAAATATTGTTTCCTTTGTTCGTTGGCTATATTCTTGCTGCCACCCTCACCATCAAATCGGCTCACCAGGCTCCCACTATTCTCGGAGGAAGCGAGGAAAGCCACGAAGCATGTGGCGATATGGTAGGATTTATACCTACGGAGTGGAGAACTGATGAGGCGCTGGTTTTCTTCTTAAACGATGGATTAAAAAGCATGGATTTGGGAAACGGGTTTGCTTGGCGTTTGATATACCCGCACTGATCTTTCACATATCCTCCTTTTCTTTGCGCTGCTACTCACTCAAACTCATCCCGATACGGGCGCGAGAGAGAGAGATATTCTGCGGAAGGGGATTAGGATTGGAAAGTGGATTTTCTATAATGTGCACCTGGAAATTATTAGGGGCCCCGGAAATGGAATGGGATGGGATGGGATGTGGTACTAGTGGTGGTGGGGTGGGCCCGGAGGAGCTAGAATAGGCTACAAATTTCGCCCCAAATTGAGGCGAAAACCAAATATAAAATGATTTCATAATCTAAGGTTGGGATGCCTAGGTGTTTATAAATGGTAATGGTTCGTGTTGTATAGATATTTTTTAAAAATATGAGAGTTTAGAATTTACTTTCGTAGCCTGTCTTGTGCTTTGGGCGGGTTGTTGTATGTTGTATGTGTGGTGATGTATAGGCAAGTTAGTTTCTATTGTAGGATTGCTTTATATGCTATGAAGCTATTTCTTCGCTCCTTAGTGTACCCGGTAGGTACCTACCTTATTAACAGGAGACAAACTCCCGCTATGTAGGTAAAAACCCAACGTTATGAGCTGATTGCTGATGCTCCCATCATAACCCCAGTTAAAATAAACACTGCATAGATCCAAATCCCATTCAAATATCTCTTATCCAAACCTGTAATTATTATATAGCTATTTTTAACGAAACGGAAAGGTTAACAGAAAATCAATTCACATCATGTAAAATGATGATATGTTAATTGGTAATTGATGATTGTTATATTAGGAGTTGGGTTTATATCTCTTTAATATTCCACATCTAAACTTGTAATTGCGCAATCCTTCGAAGGAAGGAATTAACAATAGCCATTTATATCCTGTAATTCTGATAACTCCTAGGCAGGTAGGAGTAGGAGTAGTAGCAGTAGTAGGGGACAGAAGACGAAAGGGTTGATAATAGGAGGCAAACGCGCTGTGCAAAAAAGAAAAAAGAAATACATTAATTAGCGATTTGATGCATTTATTTTAACATAGCATATAAAGCTTCTAATCGAGAACTAGATTAAATATAAAATAACTCAGATATCTCTACAATGCAATTGCCCAACCCCTCAAAAACAAACTAGCCTATTGCCATCTCCGGTTTTCAAATTCGCCACGCACCGTTACATAACCCAGGGAACCTCAGGAGGTGAGGAGACAATAAAGCCACAGTTCCAAGATTGGTCGCTTGTCTCCGCGTGCGCTAGTGCGGCTTGGCGGACGCTAAGGCCGGTTCAGGGAGATGACCTTGAGAACTTTTTGTTCGCGAAAATAATCTCATCATCCCCATCCATCAACGCAATACATCTCACATTCATTCATTTACATCAGAAAGATATCCATCATGTAAGTACTCGCACGCGTCTAATCCATTGAATTAGTCGCTAATCTGGTCCCAAAGGCATCATATCGTCCGACGTGCCGCGCTCCGCGCTGCTTCCTCTTCCCCTTCCGTTGCGTTCGTCTCAACGCCTCGCTCCATCACCACTGCTTCCCCGTTCCTGCGTTCGAGGTTGCAGGCAACCGGCGTCTCCTCGTCTGTATTTAGACGCTTTGCTAGCGATGATGCCGCGTCGTTAAATTCCGCAGATGGCGAGAAGTCAACCGTTTCCTCCGCCATCGGCTCTGCTGCCGAGTCTGCATCAACGTATTCAGGAGAGGCTGCTGAGAGTCTGGGTAACAGCGCCGAGCAGACGGGCGGATCTTATGGCAACGTTGTTAGGGACACTGCCGCAGGTGCTGCTGCAGGCCGGGCGTTCCAACCCAGAGGCGACAGGGGCGACAGGCGTCCATCGAGACCCGCTTATGATAACCGCAGTAGTGGATATTCCGATCGTGCCCCCAGCGGATACGGCTCCGATCGTCTCTCAGATCGTAGAAGGCCATACCCGCCGCCTGAATTCAAGCCAAATCCATCCCTCTATGTTGGGAATTTGCTTTTTGATATCACGGCTAGCGATTTGGAAGAGGAGTTCTCCCAGTTTGGAACTGTTAAGTCGACCGCCGTTGCAACTGATGCAAGAGGATTGAGCAAAGGGTAAGGATCCCAGTCTTTACAGACCTCGTGATATACTAATGTCACTTTAGGTTTGCATATGTTACGTTCGAGTCCACTGAGCAGGCAACCGCTGCCATCGAAGCTAAACACGAGACAATCTACGAAGGCCGTCGCTTAGTGGTCAACTTCGCCAACAATCTTAGACAAGACCGGGTCCAAAATCAAGCAAGCAAGACCCTCTTCATTGGAAACCTTGCCTTCGAGATGTCTGATGCCGATATCAACAACCTCTTCCGCGATGTTAAGAATGTTATTGATGTCCGTGTTGCCATTGACAGACGAACTGGTCAACCCAGAGGTTTCGCACACGCAGAATTCGTTGATGTGGAGAGCGCCACCAAGGCCATTGAGGTTCTCAAGGACGAGGAAGTGTATGGCCGTAAGTTAAGACTCGACTACAGCTCAGGAAAAACGGCCCGAGATGGCCCCTCCCGCGACTGATTGATGATTTTGGGTGGATGAAGTTGTGAGGCGAAGCTATACCATGTATGATGCTGGGGAGAAGCATTGTGCTTGCATCAAGGGGAACCTAGCCTAGTGTACCAAAAGCCGGTGGGTAGTACATGCGGGTCTAACATATCTGGAGACGTCGCCTTACCTTTCTATATCTTGTCTTAAAGCTCCTTTGTATGTTGCGCTGTAGAATAAGGGGTGTTTTGGGGCAGGCGCAGAGAGGCTTCGGTCGATGAAAAGGAACTTGGAAACCCCACTCATGAAATAGTTGGGAGATGGAAAATTATGTATTTTCGTGTACGATGCGTCAGATTAATAGAACTTCTTGATAAAACTCCTCGTGTTCCATAACGTATAAATTGTGAGCTTCCTAGTAGTACAGTAATGCTTGTGGATATTGATTGAAACAGGGCCCTGGTGTAGCGCCAAGCCGGACCAACATGTGACAAGGCTACGGCGCGGCTTCAATGCACCTCGGCTTTGGAATTGTTTCTCAGGCTCGGATGTCGAGCCTCTTCCCCACATCTAACATTTACCTTACCAATCCAGCCGACCAGCCAACAACAACAGACAACAGCAGACAGCACAAATAGCACCACGACACATCTCCTTCTATTACAGCAGAACATAATAGATACTCCCACATCGAATCTTCATTTAACATAATATCAACCCGAACGTCCGAGTCTCCCCCACCACATAAATCAACTGCCGGGAAAGTGCAAGTGGCAATATATATTTTGCTTCCTTCTCCAACAATTGAACACGGATCATAGCGGACATGTCATTCCTAGGTGGCGCTGAGTGCTCGACGGCGGGAAATCCGCTCAGCCAGTTTACGAAACATGTGCAGGATGATAAGAGCTTGCAGAGGGATAGGTTGGTGGGGCGTGGACCGGGTCCTAGTATGCAGGGCATGAGGAGTACGAATGGGATGGGTATGGCTGGGAGTCAAGATAATGTGAGTTTGGGCATCTGCTCTTGAAGCTGCTGTGGGAGGAGAAATGGGGTTAGGTGAAAGTACGAGCGCTAACAACTACTAGATGATGAATGAGTTTATGCAGCAGAATGGCCAACTCCCTGAGACTTTCGCCATGCAGCATGATATCCACCAGGCGCAGAATATGCGTGCTTCGTCAACGTCGCCCGGCCTAGGAGGGTGGGCACAGGAATTCAACCCCGGAGTGGAGGATCGGGCCCGAATGGAGGCTGCTTTCCAGGTTCCCAAGGGAGCGGCGTTTAGCCCCGCGGATTTTGCCCGGTTTCAGCAAATGGGACAGTCCTCGGCGCGGGCTGCGAGCCCGATGCAACAACAGCAGAATATGGAGAGTAACTACTCGGCATACCAAGGGCGGGGAATGGGTATGGGGATGGGTATGAACAGTATGGGCGGCATGGGTGGTATGGGCATGGGCATGATGAATAGACAGCATTTCCAAGGGCCCCAGGACCTACAGCAACAGGATAAAGGGAAGGGGAAGATGATAGAACTCGATGATGAGCATTGGGAGGAGCAGTTCAAGCAAATTGACCTGCAAGGGCAGGAACAGGACGAGGCCCTGGCAGCCGAGGCGGAGCTTGATCAAATGGACAGGTCAGTGCTTGAATCCGAAACCAATGAATTTGGTGATTTTGAGTCTATCTGGAAAGGAATACAAGCTGAGACCGCGGCTGCTAGGGAGCTGGTTAACGAACAGAATCTCGATGAGAATTGGCACATGGGAGAGAGCGATCAGTGGGATGGCTTTTCCGGCTTAGGCACACACCAGTCGCCATTCCGAGATCCTCAGTTAGGGGACTACATGTTTGAAGAGGAGAATATCTTCAAGGAGGTTGGTAACCCGTTTGAAGAAGGCGTTCGGATAATGCAGGAGGGCGGAAACCTCTCCCTCGCAGCTTTAGCTTTCGAAGCCGCTGTCCAGAAAGATCCACAACATGTTGAGGCCTGGGTTCTTCTTGGCTCAGCACAGGCACAAAACGAGAAAGAAACACCAGCTATCCGCGCATTGGAGCAAGCCTTGAAGGCGGACCCGAATAATCTCGAGGCTCTCATGGGTTTAGCGGTCAGCTATACCAATGAAGGCTATGACAGCACCGCCTACCGAACTCTAGAACGCTGGCTCTCGATCAAATACCCCGCAATTATATCACCCGGCGACCTCTCCTCGGAAGCAGAAGTAGGCTTCACTGACCGACACATCCTCCATGAAAAAGTCACCGACCTCTTCATCCGCGCAGCCCAGCTCTCACCAGACGGCGAGCATATGGATCCCGATGTGCAAGTTGGACTGGGCGTCCTGTTCTACGGCGCTGAAGAGTATGACAAAGCCGTGGACTGTTTCTCCGCCGCTCTAGCCAGCACAGAATCAGGAGCTACAAACCAGCGAGAACAGGTCCATCTCCTCTGGAACAGGCTCGGTGCCACATTAGCAAATAGTGGACGCAGTGAGGAGGCTATCGCGGCCTACGAAAAGGCGTTAACGCTCCGCACAAACTTCGTGCGCGCACGCTACAACCTCGGCGTATCATGTATCAACATCGGCTGCTACGAGGAAGCTGCATCGCATCTCCTAGGCGCGCTGGCCATGCACAAAGTAGTAGAAAACGAAGGCAGGGAGAAGGCGAGGGATATCCTCGGTGCGGGCGGTGATGTGAGTGAAGCGGATCTCGAGCGCATGATTAACCAGAATCAAAGTACCAACCTGTATGATACGCTTCGAAGGGTATTTTCCCAGATGGGGAGAAGGGATTTGGCGGAGCGTGTGGTTGTCGGTATGGATGTCGAGGCTTTGAGAGGGGAGTTTGATTTCTGATGTGTGAATATTGGAAAAACGGAGGGCTGTATAGAAACTATACCTCCGTGATAGATGGTGAGACGACTCTATAATGAAAATGACCTTGATATCACCTAGAAAGGGTTAGAGAAAGAGTTGGAGGATTTGGCGATAGCCATAGAATTGCTTCCAAAATGACTGAGTGCAAATATTGTGTATCATGATATTGTGATATTAACTCAACGGCCTGCTATAATAACTCACCTTGAGAAATAATAATTTCCCTAACTTACTTGCCCTAAAATAAAGTACTAATAAAATACAACGTTAAATTTCAATCAATAGTGCAGTGTTATAAAGGGGCGACATGTCTTAAACTTGGAAATTAGTGCCTCGTAATTTAGGCACCAATCACTGCTCTCCTCAAGAAATAGTTTTCTGTGACGCGATAGCTTAGGGACCTAAACGCGACAATTCTCCCCAGCACTTTCTTAACACCAAACCTCTATTCCAGCCCTCTGAACAAAGTCACAAATATACAAGATGGCTATCTCACAAGCCGCTGGAAATTCCAGCAATGCTGCGTTTAAAGTAGGGATTCTTTTGGGGAGGGGCTTCTTTTTTCAAGAGCTTCGGTTGCTGATGATGGATTTAGGATAAGGAGAAGCCTATGGCTGTTCGCACAGCGAATATCGTCGCTGCTAGAGGTACTTTTGAATATTGCTGCGTCTTTGCGGGTTGGATTATGCTGATTTGCTGTAGCTGTTGCGGATGCCGTACGGACGTCTCTTGGACCCAGAGGAAGTAAGGATAGGCTGTTTCGAACTACGCTTTTGATATGGGTACTGATGGCTTTACAGTGGACAAGATGATTCAAGATGGGAAGGGACACACTATTGTTAGAAAATCCATCCGCGGGTTTATATGGAAGAGAAGCTGACAGATGGTCTAGATTACCAACGATGGTAATACCATGTTGAAGAGCATGGCTGTGATGCACCCTTCAGCAAAGATGCTGGTGGATCTTTCAGCTGCACAAGATGTCGAGGCGGGAGATGGAACTACATCCGTGGTAGTGATTGCAGGGAGCTTGCTAGGAGCGGCAGATCGATTACTTGGGAAAGGCATACATCCTTCAGTCATCGCCGAGTCTTTCCAAAGAGCAGCAGCCGCAGCTGTCCAAGTGCTTCACGACATGTCACATCCAGTTTCCCTTACCGATACATCAGTCCTACTCCAAGCCGCTACCACCTCGCTTTCTTCCAAGATCGTTTCTCAGCACTCGAATTTACTGGCGCCCATGGCAGTCAATGCTATTACGAAGACGATCGATATCAAGACGGCTGATAATGTGGATTTGAAGAATATTAGGGTGGTGAAGAAGGTTGGAGGCACAATTGAGGATAGCGAGATGGTAGAAGGTCTCGTCTTAACACAACAAGTTGTGAAGGGCGGTGGCGGACCTGTGAGAATGGAAAAGGCACGGATCGGACTTATTCAATTCCAACTAAGCCCTCCCAAGCCAGATGTAAGTCTTCCTATCTGAATTTGAAGGGCATCACTCATCTAGCGTGTAGATGGAAAACCAAATCGTCGTAAATGACTACCGCCAAATGGACAAAATCCTCAAAGAAGAACGGACCTACCTCCTGAATATGGTCAAGAAGATCAAGAAAGCAAAGTGCAACGTCCTCTTCATTCAAAAGTCCATCCTCCGCGACGCCGTCAATGATCTCTCCCTCCATTTCCTCGCCAAGCTCAACATCCTTTGCGTCAAGGACATCGAGCGGGACGAGGTAGAATTCATCTGCAAGTCCACCGGCTGCAAGCCCATCGCCGATATCGATTCATTCACGGAAGACAAGCTCGGAAGCGCGGATTTGATCGAGGAGAGTCAGAGCAGCGGAAGCAGCGTCGTCAAGGTCACAGGCACCAGGAGTGCAGGCAAAACCGTCAGCATCGTCTGCCGCGGCGCCAACTCGATGATTCTCGACGAGGCCGAGCGCAGTTTGCACGACGCTTTGTGCGTCATCCGCTGCCTAGTGAAGAAGAAGGCTCTCATTGCAGGTGGAGGAGCGCCGGAGATTGAAATCGCATCCCAACTCGCAAAACAGAGCCGCAGCCTCACAGGCACCGAGGCCATCTGCTGGAAAGCCTTCGCGGATGCCATGGAAGTCATTCCCACGACCCTGGCTGAAAACGCCGGCCTCAACAGTATCAAGGTCGTCACCGAGCTCCGACATAAGCACGAGTACGGCGAGAAGAACGCAGGCGTCAGTATCAAGAGCGGCGGGGTTAAGCTCGATATCGCGGATGAGAATGTGCTGCAGCCCCTGCTGGTGAGCACCAGTGCCGTGGAGCTGGCGGCCGAGACTGTCAAGATGATACTGAGAATCGACGATATCTGCCTATCGAGGTAGAAGGGCCTTGCTGAGATGGGGTCATGGAGCATTGTAGAATAATAGCTTTTTGTAGCAACACTAGATAGAGCCGGAGCCATGACACCTTTCTTGCACGTTTTGTCTAAATAGTGCAAGTCTTGAAGCTCGTTTTGAGGCAATATAAATGGAATCTCCGTACTACTACAACATTACTTACTACGAAAACTGCTTGTTCACGAATTTGTACAGTCATCTAAAATGCTTCCAATCCTCTCTATATACTAGCATCACCAGCCATATGAACAAAACCGCGGCTTTTCCCACGAAAGCCAAACTACACTCAGTTATTTACTTAGCACCACGTTCTCTTCCCTGCGCAGCGAAGCTCCCATCCAAATACTCCCTCAGGACTGTAGCTATATATTACAAAATAAGGTTATTTGTTTCATTCAATTAAGCCAATTGGCATCCGTGCTGGTGTATCGGTAACATTTCCGCCTCTCATTCTTAACAACATGAGCGTTCGCGGTAGCGCAGGGTTCGACTCCCTGGCACGGAAAAATTCTTTTTTCCCTCTTTTTTCCTCTTTTCCGTTTTTGGATTATTATATAAATATTTTTGCTTTCTATTTATACTGTTAATTAAATTAAATTAGCTTACTTGTGAGATATTTATTTTGCAATTTTTTTTTGGCGGTTGTAGATAAGGAAGGGTAAGTGGTGTGGATTCCGGAACGGGCGTTGTGGGTCCAGTTGTGGATTTCTTTTGCCGGGTGGCGGGTTGAGCTCTGCCTTGGCCCTTGGGAGTTAAGGAGTTGAGCAAGAAGGGGACGAAGGAGGTAGGGATGAAGGGGGAGAGGATCTGGGATAGGATTTTTGGAGTTGGTTGCTGAAGAGATAGGAAGCATTGGAAAGAGTAAAATATCTTGGTTGGAGTGAGTGTACCGTGGGCATTTGTAGTTGAGATATATTTGTACGAGGAGTAGGTATTTAAGGTAATCTAGGAGAAGGGATTGGTGATGACTGTCGGTTACCCTTTATATTCGTTAATAGTACGTCTGGCAAGAAGATGCAGCTTCCTTATCATAATCTCCAAGCCGCGAGGTACTACAAACATAGAAATTTTTTACGAGGCTCAAAATAATAGGTCGCTGGACATGTCATCAACCACACCTTCAAATTTTTTATGACTTAACGGGTAAGAAGATGTCTAGCTACTGGCCCATTGTCCAAGCTATCGATAATTTTCGATCCATCAATCCACGAACTAATCACCCCACAAGAACTGTCATCATAATCATAAGAAAAAACAACGCAACGCGTGCTCGGATATCCGTCCACTGGACAATCAAACCATTCAATCTATGCTATTATCCACCCCACGCATCTATCCTTGTTTCGGTTGATCCAGTCTCGCGATCAGAATAGATATCAACGTCTAACATGGCTTAGTACTCGGCCTCGAGTCCCTCCTCAGGGTCGAAGCTATCAGCAGCAACCTCCTCGTAATCCTTCTCAAGCGCCGCGAGATCTTCTCGGGCTTCGGAGAACTCGCCTTCCTCCATACCCTCACCCACGTACCAATGGACGAACGCACGCTTCGAGTACATGAGATCGAACTTGTGGTCCAGTCTCGACCAGGCCTCGGCGATGGCGGTGGTGTTGCTCAACATGGAGACGCTTCGGCTGACGGAAGCCAAGGCTCCATCATTAGGGGAGGTGGAGGGAACGGACACGGGCTTCTGGTAGTTGATACCGAGTTTGAAGCCAGTAGGGCACCATTCAACGAGGTTGAATGAGGTCTTGGCTTTCAGGGAGGCAACGGCGGCGTTGCAGTCACGGGGAACAACATCACCACGGTAGAGGAGGGCGACCGCCATGTATTTGCCGTTGCGGGGATCGCAGACCACCATTTGGTTGTTGGGTTCAAAGCACCTTATACGAGTTAGTAGTGTATGGAAAAGTTGGCTGGGGAGGGGGGAACACACTGAAGAGTCAAGTCAAGAGTCTTGAAGCTTTCATGAGAGCTCTTAGCCGCCGAGATAACAGGCGCGTAACTGATCAAAGGATAATGAATTCTGGGATATGGCACCAAGTTGGTCTGGAATTCATTCAGATCGACATTCAAGGCGCCATCGAAACGGAGCGAAGAGGTGATAGAGCTGACGACTTGAGCGATCAAGCGGTTCAAGTGCTCGAATGAGGGACGAGGGATATCAAGGTTGCGGCGGCAGATGTCGTAGACAGCTTCGTTATCGACGAGGAATGTGCAGTCGCTGTTCTCGATGGTGCTGTGTGTGCTCAAAACGGCGTTGTAGGGCTCGACAACGGCAGTGGAGACACGGGGAGCAGGGTACACGGCGAATTCGAGCTTGGACTTCTTGCCATAGTCCATGGAAAGACGTTCGAGCAGGAGAGAGCCGAAGCCAGATCCAGTTCCGCCACCGAAGGAGTGGAAGATCAAGAAACCCTGAAGAGAAGAGCAGTTGTCCTACACATACAAATTAGTACGGGTTGCTTGCAAAACACACTTTTGCAGCATTACCAGAACACGACGAATCTTATCCAAGGTGCCATCCAAGATCTCCTTGCCAATTGTGTAGTGGCCGCGGGCATAGTTGTTGGCAGCATCCTCCTTACCGCTAATCAATAGCTCGGGGTGGAAGAGCTGGCGGTAATCACCAGTGCGGATCTCGTCGATAGGAGAAGGGTCCAAGTCGACGAAGATAGAACGAGGGACATATTTGCCGCTGCCGGTCTCTGTGAAGACTGTGTCGAGCTCGCCGGAGTCGTGCAGTTCCTTTGCCTCTGGGTCAGGGCGTCCGTCCCGCTGGAGACCATGCTCAAGCAGATACCTGCGGAGTCTCCTATTAGCACACAAACACTCCCCGGGGGGTTATGGAAATGCTTACAGCTCCCAAGCGCTGTTTCCCAGCTGTGTACCAGCCTGGCCGATGTGGAGATGAAGAATCTATATCATAAACATTCGTATCAGCTCCTGTCCTGTCCCATCCCCACAACACGCGCCCGTAACCGCGGATGTACCCGTGTACGGGTGTTCCTGACTTCGTACCTCGCCGCGAGTCATGTTGACAGATCTGAATAGATGCCGTTATAGTATGGGAATGGCGAGGGGGACGAGGATGAGACGACCTGCAGTTGCTTCAATCTTTCTGCTCGCGAAGGCAATGCAGAGCGATTGTTATGTTTATGTGGTTGACAGCTGTGAGGGTTTTGGATTTGGATATGAAGTGGGGGACGGGGTCTTGCAGGGCAGGGGTCCGTTCACCGCCCTTTTCATTCGCCCCCTGAGTTGTCGCTTGTGGATTTTTGTTGATTGTTGACTTACGCGGGACTGCCACGTGAGACAAAGGCCACTGAGTATCTAGGGGTAAGGTCTTTCTGTACCCCCTATTTGTGCTTTACACAAAGGAGCTATGCATTGCAAGCTAAAAGAAGGGCTAGAGGAGGCCAGATATAATCCTGTAAATCGGTAAACACGATCAAGATCTCCATCAGAAGGAGGGCTAGCCAAATTGATCTATTTTGGTTTTATGAACGCGACGGCTATGATACACTATGAGGCAGCAGGGGTTAGCTCAAAATGGCAACCATCAAAGCCAGAGGCCAGCCCGAGCTACATCTACATATCTGCCAGACGCCGAAGTAATTTTCCTAAAAGCAAATCGATGCGAGTATCCTTCAATCCGAACGTGGGTCAGATCGCCTCCCTAATAGTTGAGTTCCCCTGAGCCACCACCCGCAACAGCATCAAGATCCTCGTATGATCTGAGGCTTCTCCCTTGAACTGCCTCCCTGGGTCCGACGGCAGCAACACCGGCAGCTCCATCACCCCACCGACCACCACCAGCCATAGATCCGCCCCGACGAGAACCAGGTGGCGGGCTGAGTCTACCACTCTCCCCACCCCAACGTTGGTCTCTTGGTCGACGATCGTACGGCCCTGTACGAGTGCTGCCCGGGTACTGTCTACCACCTCGCCTGATGGGGCCAGCGCCACGAGGATCCGTACCCATGGGCCACCCAAGGGCTGCTTGTCCGGCGAGGAAAGGTGGAAAGCCTCCTGGTGGACCGAAGCCGGGCATGGCAGGTAGTCCACCCATGCCAAAGTTTTGCAGGTTAAACCCACGAGGGGTACCGGCAGGCATGTGCCCATTAGTAGGCGGGAAATGACCATTGCTATTGGCATCAGATCTTGACGGAGCAATATGAGCAGGATCGAGGGCATATGTATTGATAAGATCAAACTGGCTAGGGTTAGCATTTGTCCAAAATTAAGAAACAAATGGACCTACTTCTTTCTTTAATCCCTCAAGCCATTCAGGATGACGCTTCTCGATATGCTTTTTCCAGAAGTGCTCTTCCTTGAAAAGTTTTGCACAGTCTGGAACACGGCACCTAAACCTATGCTCATCCTCCTGCTTCACGTATTTAACAAGCTCGTCCTTGAGCGCTTCTTCAGTTGGCTTGCCGCCTAATTTCCTAAGATCAACTGCGTCGGGCTCAAGGATCTGCATGATCTTATCCTCGAAAGTCTTTACCCAATTGAAGGCCCGTGAGAGCTGTTGTTCGGACTTCGAAGCGGCACTGTTACGGAACTTTCGATCACCCTCAGGCGATTCTGGTCCCAGTTCCGCATCGTCCATTTCGGCACGCTTCATCCCCGGGAACGGCTCTCCCAAAGCGCTAGCTCTCGCAGCGGCCTTGGCAGAGGAGGTTAATGTATTCCGCGGTCTTCGAAGATGTCCTCCTGGACATTTGCGAGTGAGTTCATGGATGGAATCACTCTCAAAGACGCAAAAGAAGCAGAGGTTGAAGACCCGACGAAGGTATTCCACCATGAGATCAAGCTGCTTCTTCTTAACAAGAAGCTCCTCGTCATCGACCTCATCGTCTAAAGCGCCTTCTTCCTCTTCCTCCCCCTCCTCCACGTCTTCCATCTCCTCGCCGTCATCCATACCTTCCTCCAGACCAAGATAGTCACGAGGTTTCTTGGTCTTTTTCACCGTGGGAGCGGTTACTGGAGGCTGGAGGCGGTTGGAGGTTCTAAGATCCTCGACTCTCTCTTCGATCTTTAGAACAGCATTGAAATCTGAACCAAAATCCTCTTCATACTTTTGCACAAGGCGCTGGGCCAACTCCAAGTCTTTTTCCACCCGCTCGGGGGCCGAGAACAGATCCCAGAGAGCCTTCTTCCGCGGCATACTGGGTGGCACATGGACGCCCACATGGCAAGTAAAGTCTCCGCGAGTCTCATCCTTAACAGTCTTCCCGTTAATCGCCTCGAGGGCCTTCTCCGCTGTAGAGAGCGGGGCAGTTGGTGTGGGCGGAACATCTCCAGCCTCGGTCTCGGCCTCATCTTTGAGTTCTGGGCGGTCAACTATAATTCCGGTTTCCGGAGCCGGGTGTAGCATAACCCAGCCAATTCGGTGATAACGCTTGCTTGGGTTCGGATCGCTCAAACTTAGCCACTTGAAGCCTCCCTCATCGTCGCCTAGGTGTTCTTTGCAGAATGCCTCTAGATTTTGCCGACTGACATGAGGAGCAATGGTCTTGATTAAAAGTGTCGGTTGGAAGGCGTTCTCATCTCTGATATCACTCCCACGGGTTGGCACGAGATCACCAATGCCTAGAACCTCATTGGTTGCAGTGGCCTCGCCTTCCTCCTTCTCAATTACACCACCAGCGCCATTGCTCTCGCTTTTAGGAATTCCCTCCAATGAGTACTCGTCAAAGGTTCCAGATTCGAGGTCTTGTTCCCATTGGCTGTAGTTGGAGCGGCGGAATTCATTCAATTGCTGGCGTAATGGATCCCTGACTTCTGGAAAATATCTCTCCTGAAACCACTGTTCGCCCTTGTGTTCTTGGACGAAGGCCCTCGCCATCTTAGCTTGAAGCTCCTCCTTGTACGCATCGTACGCAACCTGGATCCGGGCCTTCTCTTTATCACGATCTTCCTGGGTGTCACGAGGTCGAACCTCCCCTCGCCTTCCAGTTTTGGCACGCTCACGCTCATCCTTTATCTTCTCGTTTGTGCGCCACCATTCCCCAAAGTATGAAAAGCCAACTTGGAAAGGCAATGAAGCCGGATCTGCCAATGGGTTCACCGTGATTGAAGGACCCGTATCTTGGCCGGGGACGTATCGATCGATATTGGCCGGACCTGGAGATGGACGGCGTCGGTCATCACGATCCCGATCCCGAGGTCTCCCATAATCATCTCTTGGACGGCCTGCGGGCTCATAGCGGTCTACAGCAGGTGGTGACCGGGTCCGGTCACGAGGACGACGTTGGCGGTCGTTGCCTATACAAATGCAACGTTAGAATAAGAGTTATTGATAGAAATTATCGACAGAGTTACAAAGGAGAAGTGCTGCCCAAAGAAAGGTGATAGCGGATGCGCCTAGGTGCTAAACAGACCCCTACTGGCAGACATGCTACACACGGTACGGTCGCGCAATGCTGAAACAGTGACACCAAGATCGTAACTGTGTAACGAGACCGAGAACATAAACATACCTGGAGATCTACCTCGATAAAAGCTGTCACGAGGCTCCGCTCGATCAGGGGCTCTGTAGTTGTCATCGCGTCCGCTCCAGCTTGGTCTCTCCGTTGGTGATCGCGCAAGTGGCGGCTCTCTGTAGCCCGGGTATGCGTCCATGGTGCTGTGTCGTCGTCGTCGTTGGCTTCGGGTCCGGGTCGACGCGTGAACCGAAGGAGGCTCACCGAGAGGACGAGCAGGCAGGGCAAACGCCGTTCTTTTAGGAGGGGTGTAAAGACGCCGGGACCGTGACGAGGGTTGCTGGTCTTCAAGTGACGCCCGGTGGTTCTGATTGTCGGGCGACGGTGGGAACAACGAAGCTACTGCTGTTTGGCGACATGACTGCCTGTCAGAGGAGTATTCAAAAGCAAAGTAATAAGTAGGTGGAGGGAGGGTTCAACGCGCGGATGGAGATTGAAGGGAGGCAGTAGGGGAGAAAAATAGAGGGTAGCAACGAGGGAGCCAGCGTGAAGCCGCTCAAGGTTTTGAGTAGGGAATGATGACCATTGATGATCGTAAGGGCAAAGGGAATTGGGGATTTGAAAAAGGCGGACGGGCCATGATATGCTAGAGCGGCAGAATAAGGGTGAAGGGTAAAAAGGAGGTTGACGAACAAGATTGAGCGTGCTGCGGCGGTGTTTGCGAAGCTGTTGGTGAAGCTGTCGCGCATTCCTGGTCCAAGACGGAGATGGAGATGGAGAGCGGTGGGTGCGGTGGAGCGAGGAGCGAGGAGGGAGGACGCTGGGACTGGGCCATTGGCGGCTGTTGCTGGCGAGGGTTGAGTTTAGCGGTGGGAACCGTTGCTGGGCTCCGGGGGGTTGGTGGCCGGGCTGGGCTGGGGGTTCGGAGGATAACAGACAGTTCATGCTGTAAGATAATGGGTTACCTCCGTGCAAGTACTGTACAGGTACAGGTACAAGTACATTTGGCCAATTCAACGCACTGCTATGCTATGCTATACTGCACCAGTACTACGAAGTATTATTACGATCTTGGTACGAATAGAGAATAGTGCTTAGGTAGAGTACAACCACAAACGAAGCACAAACTGCATCACGTGATGGGATAGACAGACACCAACACGAACTGGTCTTATTCTCATTAGAACTTCAATTACCATTTTCTGCAGCCAAGGTGCAAGTACTGCCCATATTGAATGTCACGTCCCGATACGAGTACTACGTATGGGGCATTAGTCTACGCAGCTAAGATACCTAGGTAGGTACTTGTACTTGTACTTCGTAGAGGGGCAATTTGTTGATTGCTCTCCTAATGCACCAGATGTGATTGGCAACCTCAAAACGACGTCATCACAAGTCACCAACGAGGGGTCTAAACTACTTACTGTATCAAAGCAGCTCCTCCATCCTCCGTCCTCCTCCCTTCTCCCTCTTCACACAACTATCATCCCATTCAGAGTTCAACTCAGTTCTACTACTACTAGCGAGACCTTCTTAACCCATATCCATATCAGAGAAAGTCGTGATACTTGTACCCAGTACAGGAGAAGCAATCATGACGACCTTCATCCCTTCCATCACCATCCCGGCGGCGGTCTTCGCCAACCCCGCAGCATCTATTCTGCTGCCCGTCGCCTTGGGCACCGCCGTGGGATTCTCTGTCCGACGTAAGTATAACTCGATCCTATGGTGCAGTACTTCGTTTTCCATCTAGTCAGCTCAAGATATAGAGCTTCTTGTTCCCCCAATTGCTATTGTCCCCCGCCCTCTTCTCGCTTGTACTCGTACCCAAGTAGCCAAAAGCTAACACCTCCTCCCTCCCCCAGCTACGGACACGCAAAAGACCTACCTCGCCCTTAAGCAGCCACCCTACAGGCCACCTCCCGAAGTCTTCGGCCCAGCATGGACAGTCCTCTACGGCCTCATGGGCTACTCAGCCTACCGCGCCTACAGCGTCGGCATGTCGCCCTTCGCCTCTACTGAGAAGCACCTCTTGGTAAAGCACGGCGCTACATTGTACACCATCCAACTCGGGCTGAACCTCATGTGGATGCCCCTTTTCTTCTGGGCCAAGCGCCCCATCGAAGCCTCCGTCGACATCGTTGCTCTGACTGGCGTGACCGGCTACTTGACCTATCTCTGGGCTAAGGTTGATACCGTTGCTGGCCTCGCTCTTGCGCCGTATCTTGGCTGGTTGGGCTATGCTACGTATCTTTCACTTGGTGTTGGCTACCTGAATGGATGGGACTTCAACGACAAGGTCGTTGATGCTTCCCCGTCTACTAAGGATTCCAAGTGGGTGGATGAGAAGGGCAACTAAATTAAGCTCGGAAGATTTGGTGATTTGCGGAGTCCTTGTCGGTGTGTATTTGTACATGTAGGTGGTGGGGGGTGACGAGGTGTAGAATAGCGAGGAATGGGATGGGATGGTTGGGAATTCAGGTCGGGGCCGTTTTGTTTAGTACCCTGCTATGCTTGCCAGTTGGTTTGCAGATCCATCTTTAAACCCAAATAATTGTTTTGAACTATATAATATGTAATAAATCCCAGGCTATCTATCGATTTTCAGCCATCTATCTTTTCCAGGCCCAGATTCGACCACGGCGCCATATATACCAACAATCCCTTCTTTCCTTTCTCAAGTGGAAGAATACCCACAAGCGTCATCGCTCTCGACAATATATCGACATTTGTTCTCCGTCAAGACCCGGTATCCTTCTATCTATAGTATAAACGCCAAACTACTCCCCATATGCAACTCATCCTCGTGCTAACTCGGGCCCAGGCCTGCCAGTGCCTCGTTCAATACAACCCCCCTGACTAGTTCATTCCTCGCCATATATTCAAAAAGCTTTTGTTCAATCGTAACCGAATACCTAGGACCGTAAGATTAACCCTCCCCTTCAATCAACCCAAGTGGAAATGTTCCTTCATTGCGTCAAAAATAATAAAAATAAAAGCCGAGCTAGGCGCACTTCTAGCAACCGTGATCCCGCATCCCCTATACAGCCCCTTAAGGCCGTACTGCTTCCATATGGCCATACCCTCCTGACGGAATTTAAGGGGTACCGCGCCGGGGGAGATGGCGCTAGTCTGCATGCGTGATTTTATGGTGTCGGCTGGGAAGAAGAGGAAGTTGTAAGACATGCCTGCGGAGGCACCGGCTACGGCTTGCTGCCAGAGGGGAAGCGGCGTAAGGTCGAAGGTTTGGCCTTGTTTGGTGTTTGGAGGAGATGTGGAGTTGGAGGTTTGGGAATTGAGATGGCGGAAGAGGAGGGTGACGGATTCCTTGCTGCCGAACCATGCTGCACAGCCGCCAGTTTCCCGGATCAGTGTCCCCAGCTGTCCATGCCAGAAACCGCGGATGCCTTGGTGATGGAAGACTTCCCGGATGACACTAAGGGGTGTCGGTGCCTTGCTTGCTATTCCACCTGGGCCGACAGGCGCAGAGACGGGGACCTGTATTTTGCACTTGACCAGCTCGACTGGGGTGAGCACCAAGGAGGTGAACGCTCCAGATATGGCGCCCGTCAACCAGAGTGCTGATAGAGGAAGGGGCTTGTCCCGTTGGTAGAATCCAGCTTTGAAGAGGGCCTCCCGTCCTACTCGCTCCCAGAAGAACAAACTGCTTGTTTCAAGGGCCGCACCAACGAGCGGAGCGCTGATACCACGGTATAGTCCAAATATGCCATCGCTACGGAGCGATTGCTTGAAGCAGTCGAACGGGCCAGTATAACGAAGGGGAAGGTGATCTGGCTGGGACTGCAGACGGACTTTGACGGTGTCGAAGGGATACTCAATGTATTTGCCTGCCACGCCGGCAATCTAAAGCTTGTTAGCAAGATACTCAGCATTTTTAAGAGTCATGACTCACAGAGCCAAAGGTAATATCCTCCATCGCGTCTATCAAAGCATCCTTCCCATTTCCTTTGACAATAGGGGGCGTATCGGTCGAAACGACTTTATTAGCTACAGCCATCTTTTGATATTCAGAATAAATCGAGGTTTGGCGTTTAAGCGCGGGGTTGTTGATTGTACTTCGAGTACTAAGTTTCTAAGGCTCTCGAGATATTCGTTGCGTCGTCTCTTTTCGAACAATTGAGCGGTTGGACGCTTGGGAAACGTGTGGAGGTAATGCGAATTGAGGGGCCTTGTCAGAAAATAATATTGTTACGCTTCGCTATCGTAAGCTCTAGCATCGAAACCCTGGGTATGACAACGCAGGATCAGAAAGCGTCACAGAGAACGACGAGCAAGAAGGCGAACGGAGCACTTCTTGCTCTTCTTAATATGCCATGCAGTTGCCCCGCAGCGACGCGTTATAGGCCCAGATGCAAAGGAAGAGAAGAAGCACAAATGTGCGATGTCGGACTGCTTGTAGGGTTATCGTGGAAGCATGTCGGACACAGGCGGTCAGAAAGAGGTAAAGATGACCGATTTCCCGTTTCTGGCAATACTCCGGGCCAATATGACGTCGAGAATGGTGGGCTAGTAGAGTGAAAAAGGTGCGATATTAGGGGCATGTAGGATCGCAGGGTGCCATTCCTTTATAATCAGCTGTACAGTGCCAGTATCAGGCCGCCTTTGCTCGTGAAACAGGAATCTTGGATCTTGAATTTTTTGGTGGCGCGACCGGGGCCAGAGCGGGCAGCGCACGGGACACCCGAGCCTCCTGTTATCAGATCAAATTTATCAGATTTTATCAGATCGGTTGATTTTTTTACCTAAGCGTCGATAAGCCAAAATCGACATTACGCGAAAGAACAATTTAGCACAACTCTCGCATCTATCTTAGCTGAAGCTTCATTGACGCCTTCCATACCTATCTTCTACGATGTCTACACAAGTGACTCCTGCTGCCGCTCCTGTGCAAAGCGATGCAGCCCAGGGCATGCGCAAAAACGGTATGCTTGGACTCGCTGGCTTGCATTGCACAAATTTTACCAAATTGCTCCTTCTAATATCATATAGGCAAACAATGGCATGCTCCTAGATCTGCTTTCCGGCCCAAAGCGGGCAATTCTGGATGGGACAAGCGACAAGTGGAGCGAAAAGCCCTAGAGACCGTAAAAGCGAAGGAGAAGGAGATGAAGGAAGAGAAGGAAGCCGAGAGACAGGTGCGTTTTACACAGCACCGAATTAAGCGTGCAGCGGGATCCAAGCGCTGACTATTATTTATCACAGCGGAGGATAACGTCGATCAAGGAGAAGCGTGCTGCAAAGGAGGAGAAAGCTCGATACGAGAAGTTGGCCGAGACTATGCATAAAAAGCGGGTGGAGAGGTTAAAGAGAAAGGAGAAGCGGAATAAGATGCTGAAGTCATGATCCGTATTTAGAGCGTTAAAGGCATTTGGTGGAGTCTGGGCATGGCGTATGGGCGTTTGTGGAATCGATCGTTACTTTGCACTACTCGTGGTACACTCGTGGTACGGGGCTCTATAACCTTGGTAACATAATAAACCCGAGAGCAGGTACTTGTCAAGAGCGCGTTTTCGCCGGTGTTTCTCCCTTAACCTAGGTAGGTAGGTAGGTAGGTGAGTAGTAGAACCACCAGTGAATGCTTGGTTACGGTTCCGCTTAGTGCGGGTCTACAAACACACCACGCCCACCTGTTTCTATCATATAACAGCGTTGATCTCTATTCAAGAAGATAAACCATCGAAGCCGCAGTTTAAATAATAAAATGTAGATGTAAATGTAATGGCAATGTGGAACAACATCCTTTCATTCTGCCCCACGTAAACCATCACATGCAACCTGCACACTTGGATCCTCAACCTCGCCGTACGAGCTCCCTCCTCTATATCCATATTCATGCGCTCGTCACAACTTCCACTCCCCAATAATATAACATCCTTAATGGCTCCCAACATGCTTCCCTATCTTCCTGCTCTAGACATCTCTAAATCTGCAACGTCCCCACCGCGTCCCCGCCATCAGGTTACACGCTCTATTTCCGAACTCACTCCGACCAAATTTCACCGCCCCCATCATTCCCATCAACCTCATTCCCACCATCGGCACTTCCACCGTCATGAAAAAGGCCGAGACCATGTCCCTGAGAGTGGCCGCTCGAATTCCCAGGCTAATGGCCTTAACATCGGGACGTCGAGTAGCGTAGGAACGCCAAACGAGAGTGGGGATGTGAGTCGTAGGGCCAGTGTCTATGGCGCAAGAAGGGAAGATGGGGAGGAAGAGGAGAGGGTTGTTAAGAAGGGCCAGGTGAAGGAGGAGAAGGAAAAGGGAGCACACAGGGCAAGGTGAGTCTTCTCTTCGTTTGGTCATCATCTGCGAGAATAGATATACTAACATACTACTTGCCGCATAGGGAGCTACGAAATGCCATATTGGGCTTAAACACACTGTCGAATAACACGACTCGGAGGTTGGATAATACATATTATTCAGTGCTCGAAAAGCTTAGCGTCTTGCAAAATACCATAGTCGCGATGAAGGAGCTGGCTGGTATGAACAGACGAGTGAACGAGGACTTTAAAGCAGAGGGTAAGGGGATGATTGGTGATATCCGCGTGCAATTAAATGCGTTTGAGGGATTTACTATGCAAGATAAGAGGATAGTGGGACTGCAAGACCGAGTTAAGAAGGGTAGAGCGAAAGTTGAGGTACTTGGTAAACGGGTGGAAGTCGTTCGAGAACGAGTGGAAGGCTGGGAGAAGGCAGAGGTTGAGTGGCAGGAGAAGACCAGGAAACGATTACGGGTACTATGGCTTATCATGTTGGTTTGCGGAGTGGGCTTTATTGCACTGGTTGTGTTCCAGTATATTCCTGCCGGGTCACAAGGTCAGGGCGGATTGAAGGGGAACGCTTCTAGCCTGGCTGAGCGGATACCGCATTTTGAAGAGATCGGGAAGGAGACGTTTAATATGCAGGAGAGAACAGAGAATGCCTTGGAAGGGTTACTGAACAGGACAGGGGCAAGTCTGGAAGACGACCCAAGACTGAGGCTGTTTGATGAGTTGTGAAAGCCTGTAGATTCTCTGCCAAGTCCACTCTAAGGCTCCGCGTGTTCAGCTAGCCATATTATACCCCTTCTAAGAACCTAAGAATTAGAACAGCGCACCGTACTGGGTCCCTTTCTCGAGTTCCACAAGACGAATCAGGGCGTTAAGAGTAAGGTAGGAGATAATAGTTGTTTCCAAATCCTAACATATAACGTTTCGACGTAAGCACAGTTGATGCATTGCACGTCCCCAATGAAGCTGATGCGGCGACTTCAATATTATATTATTACCTTGTGTATTTTAGTAGCTTGGACCCTACAAAGCGGAAGAGACGGCCAAGTTCCAAGAGACGTCAACAATTTATAGTGTCGCGGGTGGTCCGAAGGAGCCAGCATACAAGTAGTTCCCGCAATCTCCCCACCTACCTAGTTGGTTGGTTCCAGGCTTGATGACGAAGGCTGATTCGTAAGATCCTTGTTAACAACTTCCCGAGAGCTGACTTCCATGCACAGCAACAAACGACCGTAATAATTTCGTTTGGCTTTTAGCACGAAGAAGGAATTTGCTATTTCCTGTTATTTGTTTTTATCAAGTTTCCCTTATTCACATTCCTTAGCTAGTTCTTCACGGCAACGGCGACCACTAGCAAATAGTCAAGAAACCCCTCGGTTACCCCGCTAACGCAGTCAGCGACACCCTGAGCGTAGACTGGCACAGGGACGATCAGCCACAATAAATACGTACGCGCTCAGCCAAGCATCTAGGGACTCTTGGGAAGATACAGGTACACAGCTGAAGGAGAAGAGTCTTCCTACACCTACAACGTCTGGCATCCCTCGAGAGAAGAAGAGACCGGCAGCACTCTTATCAGGAACGGAAATATTGACGACGATTGGCGCAGGCCAAAGTCAGCAGTCATGGTACAAAATGACGTTGGAGGGGCTCCGCAAACCGGCGTCGCGGATAGAGGAAGCCAGGCGCTCACTGGGAAGCAAGAGCATTGTATGTTGCGAGAGTCATGCTATACTGCCCTAGGCAGTTGCAGTTGCAGTTGCTAATAGTGCGCCAGATCTGAAGCGGGAGCTGATTTCCCAACAAGTCAAATTTGAGATTACCGAGTTGAATTCCCCGACGGCTTTACAAAGATTCGGCGCCCCTTTCAAATCCGAGTTTGGGGAGGTCTCCCCTCTTGATTCCGACCTGCCCATCTTGCGGTACATCTTCGTGCACAATGTACGCGAGTTCCCGTTCTTGGATAAGGCGAAGGAGAAGGAGTTCTGGCAGGACAAGTTGCAGGTGGTGAGTTCCCTCTATGCTGATGGTTACATAAGTTGAAAGACTAATTATTGATGTCCATTTCAGTTCCTAGAATCCTTTGCCAATAAGCATATCTCTTCCTCGGAGGATCGGCTCGAAGAGACTAAACGCAGAAAGCTTTCCATAAAAGCCCAAAAGTTGGTGGAGCTAATGATGGTATCGGGAGTACCTACGGCTTCTGGATACGAAGAACGGATACGCTTCTCAGAGTTGGAGGTTGTGGATGCCGGCGCTATCGACCATGGCGTACTGTCAACGTTGCCAGAAGGCCATTATATGAACGGTTGGGATGTCAATGTTGCAGGTGTCAGAGCTACATCCGTGAAGCGGAATATCAGGCACCACAAACATGCGGTATGATTATCACCGACCGCCTGTAACCGCCCCAGCTAACTGTTTAACTTAGCAATTCATCCTCAGAGTGAAGAGGAAAAATGAGCGCGAATTCTTTATTGGTAGGCGCTATGGTGACTTCAGCAGGCTTCATAAGCGGCTACGGACAGAGTTGCCAGGCAAAATCCTCCCGGCCATGCCCAGGAAGAACAAGCAGAGTTCAACAGCATCTAATTTACTGAGTGCCGCTATCGGGCGTGATGAAGATGCTTCCTCTATATCATCTGTCTCTACGACGGGAACCGGGGCTCTTGATGGCTCTGTCAAGAATCTATCAGTCAAAGGTACGGTGCCGAAACGATTCTTTCCAAATAGGTGTGTACTAATTTGGGGTGAAGACCATCGTCACAGCCTTTCCTCAAATTCGCCGGGGAGGTCTTCTCCACGAGCTTCAATGGAAACGTCTGCGGAAGGGAAACTACTCCCCAATTCTGAGCCAGAGGTATGATTCCACGTAAATACTCAAAGGTGGTCACATAAACTCACATTTTCTAGCAAACCGTATTATGGCGCGAGAACCAACGGATTTCACTTCGAGCATTCCTACGATCACTCCTGACAGACCCCCAGATTGCGGGGACACGAGCTATATCCGAGTTTCTAACCGCGGACCCAATAACTCCCACCGTTGCAGACGTGGAAGAAATCGCGCGACGAAAAGCAATGGATGAGAAACGAGTCGAAGAGCAAAGACGATTTTATGAGGTTGCTAGGAAGCGCGCGGCAGAGCTCGATGTGTACATGGAACAGTATGAATCTCTATTCTAAGTGAGATGCCCGTCAGCTGACAGTTTGCAGATTCCGTAGAGATATTGTTGAGAGCAATGGCCTCACAAAGCTCTTTGCAGAAATCAAAGACAAGGCAACCATCCAAGATCTCAGCCTACAGTATCAGAAATTTGCTGAATGGCTGCGAATCGAGGTGGCAGCAACCATTTACCACTTATTCCTAGCGGAAGACAACTCTCCGGAACTTTTCGCCCAAGCCAGGAAAATACACTCAATGATACCCTATACCATCATTAAAAATGCTATTCGGATAGCGAATCCGGCTGCTGTTATGGCTAGTATCCTCGATATATTTCTGGCCCAACCATTCGGCGCTAGATCGCTCATGCAACGGATATTCTCTCTTACGCTACACGACGGCATTAGAAGTTTCCAAAAATCAATTGATGCATTGGTGTCAAAAATTGGCGAGCCGGTTTTCTGCGAGAGGTTACAGAAGTTCGCCAATGCCTCAGAGGTTGACAAGAACACCATCCGGCTCGAGTCAGATGAGGAAAGTGTTGACTTGATCATCTCCATACTGAGATCGGAGTTGATTGAGCCTCCTTTAAATTCTGCACAGATAGGCAAGATATACAACGCTTGGGTGGCCTGGAATAATGCAGTGGATAACGTCGACGAGGAGATGAAGCAAGGAGCACAATTATTTTCGTACTTGAAACAACTTCTTAAGTTGTATACGAGGCAACGAGACAAGGCCATGATGTTGAGTATGATTGAGGAACCAGTCACCTTGCAGCTGCTTCGGGATCTTTTCACCATCTTCTATGAGCCACTTGTCCGGGTCTATAAATCAGCAAACGTCTACAACAGCGTTACTGACTTCGCAGTTTTCATCGACGACATGATTCAAGTAAGTCGGATCCTACTCAGTAACTGAATATTTTGCTAATCATCGCAGGTGGTGGAAAAGTGCCGCGAACAAGACGTATCCGCAGACCCTAATCAAACCGTCCAAGCTTTCATCGATCTTTGCCAGCGTCACGAACATAACTTCTACAAATTCGTCCATGAAGTGCATACACATGATAACGGGCTATTCACTCAATTAATGGGTTGGATCGAAGGTATCCTTGAGTTCCTCCGGCACGGTCCCAAAGGAGGAAAGCTGGATATCAATGCCCTCGTTGCGGGTGCTGTTAGCGTTGGCCAAGTGGATAAGGGGAAGGTTGTTGACGAGATCAACAAACTAATATCATGGCAAGAGGCACGTAAGAAATGGCATCAAGATAAAACGCGCCAGAAGATGGCTGCCGAGGGTGTAGGAACCGGGGGTATAGAAACTATTCCCGGCGGCGTTGCGTTCAAGAGCACAGACTTTGGGCTCGACCAGATGGATCTCGAGGATATCAATTATGAAAATAGCGGGAGTAGTGATGAGTCTGAGAATGAAGATGATCTTGACCCAATTGAGGCGGAGAGGAAACGCAGAGCCAGGAAGCAAGACCATCTGAGGAGGACAGCAGGGGAACCTGAGAAACCCGCTGTGATGGAGGTATACAAGTTACAGGATAACTTTATAGCTATGCTGAGAATGGTTCTCGCGGATTGAGCAATGACTGAACGCAAGCCTTCAGCTGGAAGTGGCGAGGGCCACATAAGGATTGGAAATACGGCACAGTTGGGTATTCATGATGCTAACTCAGCATGGCCTTCGGATGCTGGCAATGTACGAAGTAAGGATTAGCTTTGGATGGGTCACTTACTGGCATGGGGATGGGGGAACTTCAAAGTAGCATGCATAGCGTAGATTTCGGGGAAGGGACTTATGAGCAACGGAATTCAACACAACGACCAGCGAGGATTCAACATATCACTGCTTCCCCCAACTTAAACCTCAAATGCTTCACAAGTCATTCGCCATAACCTACTGATTCCCCTGGGGGTACAACTCCGAGTGCTTAACAAACCATCCTCCGTAACCCACTTGCATGTGCAGACTAACACTAACCACGCCTTGTGGGAATCAAGCCCTTGTACAGAATTCCCCAGCGTTGACGGAATTTCGGAACGCGGGGAAGCAACCCGGGCGGAGGCTCACTGGCACTTCCTTCCGCTGCGGCGTGTGCGGCTGCTAATACCTTGGCAGTAATAGGATTGGGTATTGAAAACGTTCGCGAGGAAGTATATTCAACCAAGCGAGAGCACGGGGGTTTCAACTTTTTTCAATTTGACCGGGGCGTAAGGTTTTTGCGGGGGACAGATTGCAAGGGCTGATTAGAGGATACGAGACCCGAGGTACAGTAAGTACCTACTGTAGTCTAATGTTTAGGATAGAGGCGGGAGGCGTTTCGACGGCAGTTCAAGAAGATGGGGTTTTGGAGTTTCGAGGTTATATATTTATTATATTGGCAAGCTGAGGAGTAGACGTAGGTGCTATATTGTTATTGGAGAATGTGCCGTCATACAGTTTGTTGGAATTTCATTTTCCAGTAAATGAATGAGGGTGGATCTTTGGATTGACCGGGGAGGGGATAATCCTGAACACTTTGGCAAATAGTGGATTATGGAAACTTGCTCAATCTAACCTATAATGGTAAACTTTCAGCATAACAGCCTTTGTCTTGTTAGATTTTGTACACTATATCTATAAACTAATGCGTGGCATGGTCAGCGTTGTAGCAGGCGGGTCCAGATTGCCTAGCAAGTGCCTGATGAGTGCATATGGCCGTCATACCCCTTTACGAGCGGCTTCCCAATACATTGATTGATTTAGCCTTCCATCCTCTCTCTCCGTAGCGCTAGGCTTTGGGGCCTGCGGTCCGTGAAAGGAGAAGTGTCCAGTGCTCGTAACTGACGATCCACCCCAGTTGAAGACGTAGTCAATTCTGAAAGGAGGTTATATTAGAAACCAAGTGGCGCATTTAACCAAGAAGTATACTGGCGGCAAGGGTAAATTAAAAATATATTGTGGATTTGAGCTTATTTTAGCCGCGGTGAAGAACGAAGATCACCACATGACTTTGTACTCCCTGATTAACTTGTAAGTGCCGCATGTGGAGAATATACAGGCGCGAGGATAATGCGTAAGTAATAATGTATTAATGTGCGTTAGAAAATTGGGACTAGGAATGAGGCCCAAAAATATGGAACTGTCGAACTGGCTCATATAATCGACAGGGAAGGATTTGGAATATCAGGGATAATGTGTTAACGTTTAAAAACAACTATGTAGATGCAAGGTGGAAGGTTGGGATATATAGTAGATAGATAAGCGATGTACAAATGTGATGTGTATATACGGAGTATGTCGCACAGAGTAGCTAGAAGTATTTACATGAAGGTGAGATGTGGAAAATATGTACAAAATTCCAGCCGGGGGTAGGATGCCTAACACACAAAAACGAGACGCTTTTGATTCCAGATTCGATGCCTCTGGGATTTAGACACACTATACTAGTTTTAGTATTTGATTAGGTAGGGAAAGGGCCATATGTCAAGACATACCACTGAGAGATTCGGGTTCAGAAACTTGCACTTCTGCCGGTTAGGGCAAACGCGGCTTCCAGTGTAGAATTTACCGCCACACTGAGAACCCTGTGCATACACTGAATCAGTATATACGCTTTATTTAGTAGTCGCGGGCGTAATTACGTGAGGCTGCGGAGGCGCGGTGCCGCCAGTGGCAGGAAGAGCCAGGATTTTCACTGCTGCATGCTCTGCAGCAACCACAATCAACCCGCTCGGATTCGTAGATGGCATTCCAGGCCAGATACTTGCGTCCACGACAAATATGTTGTCTGTACCGTATACCTTGGTGTTCGTGTCTACAACGGAAGTTCCGCCGGTGAGCCCGCTGTCTGTGCCCAGTTTGGCGCTGCCCATCCAGTGGTTGGATCTGCGGGCACCGATATTGGCGTAGGTTAATGGGAGCTGTAGAGCGTTAGATCAAAGGATTCAAGAAGATGGAAGCGGTTCTTACAGTTTTGAGATATTCAGCACCGGTTGTGTTGCTGGGGGGTAGCAGCCATGTCATATTGGCAACCGGACTCAAAGCTGCAACCATGTTGTCAATTGCAACAGCGACAGCTGCTAGATCGTTGGTATCGCCAAATGGAATAGTAGACACTACCATGTTCAATCCTTTGCCAATCGTCGTCCGGCCTCGAGACACTGAGCCACGTCCAAGGTATAGACTGAGTGTCATCGTATTCCCATTCGGTTGACCGCCGGACCCCTCAACTCTGGATGTCCACTGGAATTGTCTAACAATTCCATCTGGGCCTGTGACCTCATCCCACATCATGGGGCCGATGTTCGGTGCTGCTTGAGTAAGGGGTCCGATCCGTTTGGTCAGGTAATCTTGAGCATCTTGCTCGATTGGAGTGTCCCATGCAGCAGGCCAATCGTAATACGAGACGTTTGGATGGGAGATGACGGTGTCCGTATTCAGATGGTCATTGAGATTGTATCCTACTGGCAGATTGATCCAGTCCTTTTGATCAATCATTTTGTCGCCATCGGTGGAGGACTTCACCACTTCAAGCTGGTCTGTCGGGCCAATACCGCTCCTGAACAGGATCTTGGGAGTTCCGAAAGCTCCAGCGGCCAAAATAACACGGCCTGTACCGGGGGTTAAGTTGATAGTACCGTTACGGCCCCCGTTGTTCGTTGGGAGAATATCTAGACTGACAGCATGCCCACCAACACGATTGATGCGCTCAACACTAGAATTCAGCCACATCTGGAAATTCTTTCTAGTGCTGGCAGTGACAAGATAAGTTGCCATTGGGCCACCACGCTCTCCATGACTAGACATATACGGGGTATGAGCGTAAGTTTTGTTCTTCTGGCCAGGAACATCATTTGCCGTCACACTTGTCCAATTGGCAGCGGCTAGACCTGTTCTGATAGTGTCAAATCCAGATTGAACATAGAGCTTCCCATCTAGAGAAGGATGGTCGGTGCCTGGGATTCTTGAGAAGACACGGTCTGTTGCGGCTTTCATATCAGGGGCTTTCCACCCAGTTGGGAAGTTGTAATCCCAGTCGGCGGGGTTTGCCTATTTGGTGGTTAGCTCAGGTCTGATATGGTTGAGCTAGTTATTACCTTCCACCAAAGTCCAGCATTGACTGCAGCTCCGCCGCCCAAAATACATCCTGCCATCTGATCCATATCAGTACAGGCTACTCCATCCGCACCTCCGTTCCAAATTCTATTACACTCTCCTGGGATATCAAACCAAGTGAGATTGGTCCCGTCAAGCCACCCGCTTTCAGGTCGGAGTGCTAAGGCTGTTGTTAGCCGGTTCCCTACATAGTCATATTGAACAACTTACTTCCGCCCCATCTAGCAGATGACGCAACTCCCTTCTCAATGAGCAATACAGACTTTCCAGACTCAGATAATTTGTCTGCAATTGGGATACCAGCAGCTCCACCACCAATTACTACGTAGTCATAACTAGTACTTGTAGGCACTGGAACGCCTGTGAAGGTCGTAGTGGGGGTGGGCCCTCCAGTAACACTGGTAATTGTTGCAGTCATAGTTGCCCAATCTGTGTATGCTTTTTGTGTAGCGGATGCAACCTCAATCGCAAACACTCCCATTCCATTGTTATGTTGTTGAATATCGGCATTTGGGTCTAAGCGATCGGAGACTGGAGAATCTGCTTGAGCCCATCCTTGCTCAAATCGGCCCTGGGATGTGGAGGTGTTGAATGGGGTTTGGGTCGGATCATCAAAGATTAGGCACCTTTCGCACTTATAGACCATCGTCCAGTGCGTCGTGTTGACATCTGTGTAGAGTTGAGTAATCTTGGCAGTGCCCTTGTAAGGAACTGGGGCCTGATATGCACTTCCAACAATGTTAGTATCTCGGACCGAGCATGATACAGGGAGATACGTACGGTGCATAGCGGAGTGAGGTGGCAATCTCCTTATCTTTCCCTGTAGGCCAAGCTAGAAGCATAAGGTGATTGGGCATACCAGCGCCAACATTGTCGCCCTGGAGTACGGACGACCATCCAGTGCCATTAGGCGCTGAACCAATCTAAAAGTACTTAATGAGTAAGTTTGCCAATAGTCACCGGGAAACCTACGATTAGACCAATGTAGTCGTATGAATCAACAGTTGTGGCCGTCTCTGGTAAGGCGATACCGAACGTAAAACCACCCCTGGAAGTCAATGAAAAGATTCCATCTCCAGTAACCGGTCCGTCTGTCTCGTAACTGGTGTAAAAGGTGATGTTGGTGTTTGGTTCCGTGAAATGTCCATGGGCAGCAAAATCTTGTGCTAGCACGGCGGAAACACCTATGAAGTGTTAGAACTGGGATTCGAAAGGAAACGGCAAATGACTTACAATATAACACACCAGCAAGAATGCCGCCGAGGAAGTTATTGGACTTCATCATTACAATGAACTACAACAAAAAGAGGTAGGGAGGTTGGAGGCTGGGATGGTCACAAAAAGGCACACCTTGAGCCATCTTATATTTTGCTATGGCTATGGAGTAGAAACTAGTTGCCATGAATTGATAGATTGTCATTGGACGGCGTAAATGAAAAAGCGTTCCTGGAGGCAATGTTGTGTGCCCAGGCTCAATTCCAGAAACCGGGGTTGATAAGCCTTGAATGGAGAGATTACCCGTTTGATGTATATAGTGCCCTATCATGCCCCGTTAGAATCTCAGGATAGGTCAGCCGGGGAGCGCGATCCGTGGCGGCCGAAATGTGCCCTGAGATTTAATATATGCCTTGATTCAGGCTCATCGGCGCTGACTCTCCGCACTCGCGAAATTGTTTTGCCGGGCTCCACTTGGCCATGAGGCCGACAGAGTTAGGGAAAGATGTGCGAGATTGAAATTCCCACCCGAGGCCAGATCTGGAACGCGTCCGAATATTGAATTTCATGCTAGAATGCAGGAGATATGAAGGATAGATGAGAAATGAACTTGCGGGGAGAGGTAGTTTCGTGGAGATAGGTACACGAGAACCTCACCCATGCTGCGGATCCCGCAGTAGCTGGGTCGGGTACTATACCACAGCTCCTCCGCCACCAAAGATTTGGAATGAATGCAAGATATAAGGAGCAATGAGGGGGGATTTCGAGGTCATTCTCCTCCAACGTCAGCATGGAACTACCATGGTCGTACGGCATCCTTTGCAGCTTTCATGTCGAGTATAAGCGGTTGGAATTACGAAGTAGTGAGAAGTGGCCGAGCTACGAGTACCTATATGAATGGCCTTGGAATACGATTGATGCCTAAGGCTAAAGAAACCAATGGGCACGTGGAGCATCCTTCACGTGACTATTCAGGATCATATATTACTCCGTTCCGTGCCTATCGATACCAACAAACAAGCGCACGTGATAGCGCCGCCACCTCCGACCAATTCTCGGCTCTCGGGCAGCCGGCAGTAGATGCGGGATTCTTCGCAATGAAGGAGAGAAGCTGGCACCTCGTAAGCAAGTATGGGCGGCCGCATGATTGGCTCAATTGCGTCCCAGTAGAGCACTTCGGAAATCCACACGACATCAACATCATTTGAACCAGACCACTCCGAATTGCTGCCAAAAAAACTTCCAGATCATCCTTTTGCTTCTGCCGATCCGTCCCTCTCCCCTCTTTCTGGTTCTCATCGCCCAGTATGTCTTCAATCGCTATGCGGCGGTGCACAGCTGGTTCTTCGGTACGTTTTCTTTACCTCGGCGACAGCTGAGCATGGCAAAGAAATCACGACACTAACCCGCCAGGTGCAGATTTCGAGGGCGTTGAAGAGCCAGGCCAGGACCTTTTCTTCTACAAGAGCTGCAGGTATGTTCCGCGTCTAATTTGACATGAAGATGCGGTAGCTAACAGTCTCGCAGGGCGAATAATATCCACCTCGCCCCTCCGCGCGAAGGAAGCGTCTCCGTTTGTTAGCAATAAATACCCTGTTGTTGTATGTACTGGACAGCCCACCTCAAAAACACATCCTGATGATGATATAGGACCATGAGTACGATGCGCTTGTCGTCGGTGCTGGTGGAGCAGGTCTGCGGGCAGCTTTCGGTCTTGCCGAGGCTGGCTTCAACACTGCCTGTATATCCAAGCTCTTCCCAACTCGTAGTCATACCGTAGCAGCCCAGGGAGGCATCAATGCCGCTCTTGGTAATATGCACGAAGACGATTGGAGATGGCACATGTACGACACTGTTAAGGGCTCGGATTGGCTAGGAGACCAGGATGCCATTCATTACATGACCCGCGAGGCACCTAAGTCTGTTATCGAGCTGGAAAATTACGGCTGCCCATTTTCGAGAACAGAGGATGGCAAGATGTGGGTGGAGCACCGGTGAAGATGATCCGATCATTTTGCTAACGTTTTCCAGTTACCAACGGGCTTTCGGAGGCCAATCGCAAAAGTTCGGAAAGGGTGGACAAGCCTACAGATGCTGCGCTGCGGCGGATAGAACCGGACACGCTCTCCTCCACACCCTTTATGGCCAATCCCTCCGATATAACACTAATTACTTTATCGAATACTTTGCGCTTGATTTGATTATGGAGGATGGCGAGTGCAAGGGTGTTCTTGCCTACAATCAGGAGGATGGTACCTTGCACCGATTCTTGGCAAAGAACACTGTTTTGGCGACCGGTGGCTATGGACGAGCATACTTCAGCTGTACATCTGCGCACACTTGCACGGGTGACGGAATGGCTATGGTCGCTCGTGCTGGGCTTCCGAACCAAGATCTCGAGTTCGTCCAATTCCACCCAACTGGTATCTATGGAGCTGGCTGCTTGATCACCGAGGGCGCTAGAGGAGAAGGTGGATACCTGCTGAACTCCGAGGGCGAACGATTCATGGAACGCTATGCCCCAACCGCAAAGGATTTGGCCAGTCGTGACGTTGTCTCCCGATCAATGACAATGGAGATCCGTGAAGGTCGTGGTGTTGGTCCCGATAAAGACCATCTCTACCTGCAACTGAGTCACTTGCCAGCCGAGGTCCTCCACGAACGTCTCCCTGGTATCTCTGAGACTGCATCTATCTTCTCTGGCGTGGATGTCCGAAAACAGCCCATTCCGGTCCTCCCAACTGTCCATTATAACATGGGTGGTATTCCAACGAAGTATACTGGAGAAGTTCTCACTGTGGATAACGAAGGAAAGGACCAAGTTGTACCAGGTCTTTTCGCATGCGGCGAAGCCGCTTGTGTCTCTGTTCACGGTGCCAACAGATTGGGGGCCAACTCCCTTCTTGATTTGATTGTTTTCGGCCGTGCAGTTTCTCACACCATCCGCGACAACTTCACACCGGGTCAGAAACAAGATCCAATCAGCGCTGATGCTGGCGCCCAAGGGATCAGTGACCTCGACCAGGTCCGGACAGCAGATGGGCCAAGGAGCACACATGATGTTCGCCTGGCTATGCAAAAGACCATGCAGACGGATGTCAGCGTCTTCCGTACCCAGGAGAGTTTGGATGAGGGTGTCCGAAAAATCAAAGACGTGGACCAGACTTTCAAAGATGTTGGAATTAAGGACCGTAGCATGATCTGGAACTCCGACTTGGTCGAGACTTTGGAGTTGAGAAATCTGCTGACCTGCGCGTAAGTTATATTGAAATATTAATAAGTCCTCTTAACTAATGGTTTTAGTGTCCAAACTGCCGAGGCAGCAGCAGCGAGAAAGGAATCTCGCGGCGCCCACGCACGAGAGGATTACCCCGAGAGAGATGATAAGAACTGGATGAAGCACAGCTTGACATTCCAAAAGAAGCCTCATGGAAGTGTTGATCTGACATACAGAGGTGTCGTCGCCCATACACTGGACGAGAATGAGTGCGCGGCCGTACCGCCCTTCAAGCGTGTCTACTAGGTTTGATTTGTGGTGCATGTGAGGAGTAAGATGCTGAGTGCTGAGTGCTGGTGGATGTGGGCCTGTCTGCGAATGGGGAGGGTCGTGAATCTGTATACTTGATCTGGGCTAGACGACGGCTTGCATTGCAATTGTTTCCTCTGTACTAAGTATAAATCCAAAATGGGTAAAAAGTTAAAAAAAACATCCATCAGTCAAATCTGTTTCAGGGTGCCACATTCTCTTGACATTATTCTTAAGGGTCAATACCTGAACTGGTAACTGTATAAATCCTGGTTGGAGGTTGAATCATAGGTCTGTATATCGGAAGCGAGCTGCCACTTCACTAGTTAGCTACTGCGACAAGGCATATTTTAGAAGTCGCACCGCGAGGCTAGAATAGGACGTAGTATAGGTCCTTTGCTCAGTATTTAATAGGAATAATCATCTGCTAAAAATATGTCTTGTTCGTATTGTATTTTGGTTGCGTCTAGTAGGTGCTAGATATATCTATATTAGTCATCACATTGGTGCCTTAAAAGTAAGGGGGAAGATTCGAAGGTCGCGCTAGCGTGTATCGCTGTCTAAGAGGCGTCGTCAGGAAGCTTGCCTGTTCAACTGCTCGTTAAGACACAAGACAACAAACACGGCGACTTCAACAGCTATCTCCCCATATACCTCTGCGGCCATCAACAAGCCCCCCGCACTGCCCCCGATTGTCATCAGCTTCACCATATCCTTGCTGCGACTACCGAACTCTTGACCCCCAGTTCGTCGCCGATCTCCACCATAATGCGTGAGTTCAGACGCCCTTGATTGTTCTTCCTCAACTGACATGTATCCTAGCGAGCGCTACGGGTAGTGACTGGCAGAAGTACACCAAGAAATTCGCAGATGATGAGATAGAGGAAAAGAAGATTACACCATTGACCGATGAGTAGGCCAACCTCGACTCCAAAGTTATATCCCCGTTACTCATTGTTTGACAGAGACATCCAAGTCCTTAAAACCTATGGTGCAGCTCCCTATGGAGCAGCTATCAAAAAGCTCGAGCAACAGATCAAGGAGAAGCAAAATAGCGTGAACGAGAAGATCGGAGTCAAGGTATGGGCGACGAGCTATGGAGGCCTTGGGAATGGACACTGACATCTCTGTAGGAATCGGATACTGGATTAGCGCCACCTCATCTGTGGGATGTTGCTGCAGACCGCCAACGAATGTCCGAGGAGCAACCTTTACAAGTGGCGAGATGTACGAAGATTATCCAAGACGAGAAGGACCCTGAGAAGAGCAAATATGTCATCAACGTCAAGCAAATAGCGAAGTTCGTCGTGAATCTCGGAGAACGTGTCAGCCCCACAGATATTGAAGAGGGCATGAGAGTTGGGTAAGAGACTGCAAGTGTTATTAATATTATAGAGCTAATATCCAGTCAGTGTCGACCGAAACAAGTACCAAATCCTACTCCCTCTACCTCCGAAGATCGATGCAAGTGTTACTATGATGACAGTTGAGGAAAAGCCGGACGTCACATATGGTGATGTGGGAGGTTGCAAGGAACAAGTGGAGAAACTCCGTGAAGTTGTTGAGATGCCACTATTATCGCCTGAACGATTCGTCAACCTTGGTATTGATCCGCCTAAGGGTGCTCTTCTCTACGGTCCTCCGGGAACTGGGAAGACTCTTTGCGCCAGAGCCGTTGCGAACAGAACCGATGCGACATTCATTCGAGTTATTGGTAGTGAGTTGGTACAAAAGTATGTCGGAGAAGGTGCAAGGATGGTTCGGGAGCTCTTCGAGATGGCAAGGACAAAGAAAGCTTGCATTATTTTCTTCGATGAGATTGATGCTATTGGAGGAGCTCGATTTGATGACGGTGCTGGTGGTGACAATGAAGTGCAAAGAACTATGTTAGAGTTGATCACTCAGCTCGACGGTTTCGACGCACGAGGAAACATCAAGGTCATGTTCGCTACAAACAGGCCTTCGACACTTGACCCGGCCCTCATGAGACCCGGACGTATCGACCGAAAGATTGAGTTCTCGCTCCCAGATTTAGAAGGTCGGGCGAACATTCTTCGAATTCACGCCAAGAGCATGTCCGTCGAGCGCGACATTAGATGGGAATTGATCTCACGTCTCTGCCCCAACTCAACCGGTGCCGAGCTGAGGAGTGTTTGCACAGAGGCCGGCATGTATGCTATCCGTGCACGGAGGAAGGTGGCAACGGAGAAGGATTTCTTGAGTGCTGTTGATAAGGTCATCAAGGGGAACTTGAAGTTCAACTCTACCGCAACTTATATGCAATACAATTAGACGTATGGGAAGGACAGGACTTGTATACTAGCAGCCGTAGCGCAGGTGTTTCAGGTAACATTAATGCATTAAGAATGAGCACCCTTCGATGCAATGTATAGTGACTTGTGATTTCCCAGATGTAACTTGCTCTGTGACGTTTGGGAAGTTGTTCATTCGGCGAGTTTATGGTTCAAGTGGCGTACGTAACGGCTAGGAGTGGTATGCTCTAGATAATTTGGAATTGCTCTATGAATTGCTCTATCATAAATTAGCTAGCCTCTAGCCTTTCAATAGCTTGTTCTTTCACTATGCCACAATACAGATTTCACCAGCGAAGCCAAAATTCCCATCGTGTCATGCTCACGGCTTTCGGTTGCAGCAAACGAACTAAAAGCTAACGGAATTGCCATATATCGCTGCGAATGGACCAAGGAACGAGAGTCAGCGCTCTGCCGACCATTACGAGTAACTAGAATAGGTGGTATCTAAGTTGGCGTATTCTTGGTATACCATTTACAGGGTAAGTTGAAAAGCAGGGCTCTCGCCCTCCAACGAATAAAAGGGGGGGCAGTAAGAATAAACGTTCGGTAGAATATCGGCTTTCCTTCCAGCAACATTAGACGACGATGTTTGTAAGACACAACCTTCAAGCTAAATATGGAGATCAACCATTCGAAATTAACGAAGGACCCTGTGTTAGGGAACGGCATCGCCGCTACTAAAGATCTGGACGCTGGAGAAGTGGTTATCTGCATTAATGAGCCGTTCGTGACCGTGGTGGAAAAGGATGCTCTCGAGAGAGTTTGCTCATATTGCATGCTCGAGCATGAAACTTCGTCATTGAAAAGATGTACGAGGTGCAAGGTCGTCCGATATTGTTCAGCAGAATGTCAAAAGCTGGATTGGAAGTTGATCCACAAGAACGAGTGCTCGCTGCTGACGAAACTGCCCCATACACCGCCTACTTCCTTCAGAGCCCTGTATCAGCTGCTGCTTCGTTATCCAGAATTTGGCACTGAATTGGATCCGCGGTCTGCGAATTTGGAGCACCATGTCCATGATTTTAAGAAAGATGAGAAAAGATGGGGTGAGACAATGCTCCAGGCGAAAGCTGTCACGGAATATTCGAAGAGCCCGTCCACCAAAACTGAGAAGGTGGCGACCCTTCTCTGCATCGTAAGTCACAAACCCCCTAGATACTTAGAAATTAACTAATAGATATCAAGATGCGTATTAATGGGTTCCGAGCCGCTCTTCCAGACGACACACCCATTGGACTTTGCTACGAGCCAACCCTAGCTCTTGCCAATCATTCTTGCATGCCGAATGGATTCATCATGTTTGATGGCCGTTGCGTATCAATCATAGCCTTGAATCCAATCAAGAAGGATGATAATATATTCATTACCTATGTGGACCCTACGCAGAGCCGAGACACTCGGAGAGCAGAGCTGCGAAATCGGTATTTCTTCGACTGTAATTGCGAGAAATGTATGGATGACGAAAACCCATATGAGATATTCCGCAAGACTAGAGTAGTATCCTCGCCAGAACTAGACGATTTTGTCGACCACAAAGTCCTTGGAACCAATGCCGGTTCCCGAATTGCAACTATCCAAAGATTAGGGCAGGAGTCGCAATCACTCAGCCTAGTGATAACCAAAGTTTATGGCGTTTTACAGCAAAGCAGATCTGCAGCTTCACAGACCGAGCGCCTTAGCCTCCTGAAGCAAGCATTATCAGACCTATCAGTCTTGAAAGCAAACCAACTGTTTGCTCTACCGCCATACCCTATAATCATGGACGAACTATATATCGCTTATGTCGATAACGGCCATCTACAATCAGCGCTCCTCCTCCTCCTCTTCATTTCCCTTAACTGTGATCCATACAGCTGGCCACAGCCGCACCATCCATTCCGTGTCACTCACCTCTTTACGATTTCCCGACTCCTCAAATACGCCGCTTCTCTCGAGCCTGCCACGCTTGCACAAAACCTGAGTTGCGTACCCAAGGGAATTTTGGAGGGCATTGACTTCATAGATGCCACCCATGCTGTTCTGATTCTTGTGAATGAGTTTGCACCTAAAAGCCATGGGAGGGATACAACGTTTGCGAGGCAGGTCCAAGAAGAGATAAGAGAGGTAGAGGAAGTGCAAAGATTGAGGGGTAGGACCGGTGAGATTTTAAGACGTTGGCAAAGTGGTCGAGATTCGGGGAAGGAAGGCATACTCATTGCAAAGAGGATTTTTGATGGGCTGAAAACCTTGGCGGGGTTTGCGTTTACAGTCATTGAGATACAGACGCTCTAAGAAATTGAAAGTAGACGCCTCTTGAGACAGGATCGTCCGAAGTTACCAAGAATAGGTCGTTTCAATCCCAATCCTTGTAGGGGGATGAGATCCAGGTAAACGAAGCGATTGAATGTTACTGGTAGGAGGCCCCTGTCTAGCACCCCACTGGGCCTACGGATTTTAACAATACCTAGGTTCTTACGTATTCCGCAGCAACCTACGTACTTCATCTACGGTCGTAAATATTTGCTCTAGGAGCGTGTCACAGTGACGACTAGGTCGAAGAGTTTACCCCTTAGGCCTTTGGAAGTGGCCATGGGTTCGTATATGGCACCGAGTACAAGTGCTCAGGTGTGACCCTCTATGATCTTGAGAATGTAATATTACATCATGATAGGGCCGAATCCTTTGCATCTCTGCCACCGAGTTTTACGTTCTTCGTACGAGGGAAGGAGACGGACGTGACAAGTGCATGGTCGTTAAGCTGAATGACGTTTGCTAGTGGTGTTCGATCGAGATATCTTACTTCGTACGACGGATTCACCGGGTCCATGTCAGCATAATCACATTAGCGCGTGGCGCATTCCACTTGGCTGTACGACGTATATTTCTGGATCTTTAACATGGTCATTGCTCTCAATCTCGGAGCATATTACAAGGTCATTGTTCTTGGAGGGCTCTCAGCCGAATAATCACAGCCTTTCTCGTAAAACCAGGGGAATCAGATCACTGTTCTATTATTATTATTATTAGCCTTGATTAAAGTCCTTGTTGTTGTCTTAACATTTAATATCCATCCAATAGTCTTTTAATCCTTATCAAACAGCGAAAATGTTTTTAATCCCTCACTTTCTTTTGATCGCGGCATCTTTCTGCTCTGCCGTAGCAGCCGATGGCTATCCTTTGGCTCACAACAGCTCGTTGGTAGCCCACGATCCGAATATCCTCCAATATAAGGGTTCCTACTACCTCTTCAAGGGAGGAGTATCGATACCATTTTACAAGGCACAAAGTCTTAACGGCCCTTGGGAAGACGTTGGTACCGTATTAAGCGGACTGAGTATAATCCCAAAGGAGAATCAAAAGAGACCATGGGCACTATCTGTCATTCAAAAGAATGGTGTTTTCTACTGTTTTTACACAATTAGTGAAAGGGGCAGCAACGACAGTGCTATCGGGATTGCAACCTCGAATGTGCTGAAATCTGGCTCTTGGAAGGATCACGGTGCGATTATTCAAACTGGAACCGGCCCCGGCTCCCAAAAGCCCCCCTTCAAAGAGTCCAACGCTATCGATGCGCATGTGTTCATCGACCCGAAAGATGGTGCAGCGTACCTGAGTTACGGCAGCTTTTTTTCGGGCCTCTGGCAGCTACCCCCGAGCAATGACCTTCTCTCTCTCAAAAACTCAGACAGCCCAGATGCCAAACATCTAGCCACTACTCTGTCCGTAAAGCGCAACGATGAAGAAGGGAGTTTTATGAGCTACAAAGCACCATTTTATTACTTCTAGTTTAGCCGCGGAAAGTGCTGCCACTTTCCAGACCCGAAAAATCTTCCCGATAATGGAGTGTACGTAGATCAGTTCTTGTTACTTATTCTTTTGTTAAAGTCTGAACATATCGCCACTTACCGTTAGCCGACCATACCGAATATAAGCTAACGAGAAATAACCATAGATATTCCATCCGTGTAGGACGATCGAAGAACGTTCGAGGTCCATTTATAGACAAGAATGGCAAGGCATTGACATCTGGAGGTGGCCATGTCGTGTATGGTTCAAATCATGATAAGCAGGTATTCGCACCTGGTGGGCTTGGAGTGTTGTCGGATGGCCCACAAGACATCCTATACTATCATTATTGTGAGTCTATCCCTCTTGAACCATGCCCTACGGAGCGAAATTAACTAGAGCTATGACTGATGACTTTTTTCCAAAGTGAACAAAAATGTCGGTGTGGCCCATCTAGTAAGTTACACACGTGTATTCTCATTCATAGTCTAGTAGTCATCTCGAAGAATAAATGCTAACACCACTTCTCAGGATGCTTTTATGGGATGGAGCTACCTTGAATACGTCGACGGCTGGCCTATCGCAAAGTATGATCCAGTTGGAAAAGACTCACATATAAACGATATAGTGCAGTAACTGTACGTGTGTATATGTGCGCACGTTTCATGTGTGTATATGTCAAGAGCGAGAGACATCGTAGTCTCCAGTACTATTTGAGGAATATAAATTGAAGTGGGATCGGCCTAGGATTCTAGCGGAGTTTGGGGCTTTTGAGGTAATGGGGAGGTTAGATAAAATAGATACCCCAACATTTATACGCTCTTTAACTTTTATGGGAGCTCTAATATTATCTATCTGTTAAAAGACAGAACTTCGTTATTAAACTCCCAAATTTTATATTGTCTAATTATCTATCTCCTAGAACCTTGACTTTTAAGAAAATAATCCACAATAGGACACCCCTTCAAAAGTGGACGGTACTTCTGATATCTGGTATGTACTCTAGAGTTTTTGCCCGTAGCTAAATGGTGTCTAATTAAATCGAAGGACACAAATTAAACCAGCGATTGATACCCTAGCTTGTTGATTTACTTAGGACTCGGTTCCATTGATTCCCAGAGTTTTGCGGTGATGATCTATCAACCCATTTCATAGCGAGCATGTTCTTGAAACCATCCGAGAATGGGAACGACCCTCCATTGAAACCGTCAGTAAGCACCTGCAGTGTTTCAATGAAAGGTTAACGCAGCGCCGACACATGCTTATTGGCGCATACACAACATAGCATTAAGTTTCATATCCCGGTCATCATCTCTCTTTCTAGCATCTCCGTAACCAGCTTCTCTCTCCTAGCAAGCAACTGCGCCTTATTAACATCCTCAGCATCCTCCGCTGTGACTTGATTCTGGCAAGCTGAGATGCTTTTGTGCTAGAGAGAAACGGTGTTAGCTAGATGAACTTTGCTTTCATTTCCACTGGCAACGCTGATGGTGAAGAAAGAAAGGGGACTGGACGTACCTGGAGAAGGCCCGGTATGCTAGAGTACCGCCTGGGACAGAGTGGGCATTTGTAGGGCTTTTTGTCTTGGGCTGCATTACCAGTTTTAGTGTCTGATGACTTTACTGGTTGCATGCTATCCTGCGCATGGGGATTCGGTGTTGGATAAGACGCTGAAGGCAGAGGTATGCTTCCGGATTCAAACGGCTGCTCATCTCGCTCTATTGAAGAGGAAATTACATCCCTAGACGGATTCTCCTTCTGTGTCTCATTAGCAGCGGAACTTGCCTCCACCCTTCTAGCCTGGTGACTTCTGGATCCTGGCTTCGACTGAAGTTGTTTGTTGCTGCTTTGCGGAAAAGTGCTTGCCTGTTGTGTAGTGCGAGATGCGTCTTGCGTTGTGGTGAGACCTGTGTTTCCCTCTCTTATTTTCCCTTGACTAACTTCAAGGTTCTTGTTGTCGCCTATAGCTGCTGTAGTTAACTCGCTTTGCTTGTGACTCCGAAGAGACCGCCTTCTAGTTTGGCCACCGAGCGTTTCAATAATAGCGTGCGAATCCGGATTCCAAGCGTGGGAGATATCTGATTGGCGTCTTAGCTTCGTTGACTTAATTGTACAGTCCTTGTCCAAGGAACCGGGAGTTGATGCTGTTGAGTTATTGGTAGAAGCCGTTTGATGCACAGATACGACTCCCTTTGGTCCGGAATCAACAATTATCGTATTGGACGTTATAGCATTTTCGGGACCATATTCTGCTGGAAAGGGTTGATCAGAATTCCCAGTGTTCCTCGCCATGTTAGACTTTCCAGGCTCCTCATATCTACTCAAGATTGGAGATCCACCATTCTCAGATGATATTATATCAATCACATCTGGCTTTGGAGTTTGGATTTGGCCACGAGAGTCTCTAGATGGTTGATCGGCGGTCGTTGAGGGAGCATGCTTGACCTTGCGTGGGGGGCCTTTTCTCCTCTTTACTAGGAGCGCAGGGTGTAGCCCACTTTCTTGATTGATGGTTATGGGAGGACTTTTAGCTTGGTCATACTTACGCTTCCGGGAAGGAGCCTGATCATCGTCATAATACTCTAGAATTGGCACACACGATGAGGGTTGTCCGGCGCTAGTTCCAGGTCGCAGCTGCAATTGTGCTGGATGCTCAACTGCTTGAACGGGAATCTCGACACGAGGAATAAGTCGATTTCTCGATTTATTTTCGGAGGCGGTATCTGTATAGTGAGGGCTTGTGTTTAACAAGTTTGCTTGTATCGGTTGGGGTAACGGGCCATTAACAATACATTGCACCAAATCGAGTTGGCTCCTCAATTGTCGCAACTCATTCCTCAATCCATCAATATCGCTCGCCTCTCTACCGCCTTGGAGATTTTCTGAACCGTGCACTGCTCTGTTATTTGTCGCTAGCTGTTTTATGGACTCGATTTGTCTTGTGACTTGCTGCAAGCCAATCTTTACGTCGTCAACCTCATTAGCCTTGTTGCTGACCGTAAGCATATCTGATATGATGATTTCGATGTCTCGATTCAGAGACACTCCGCTTTTACCACGGATATGCTCATTATCAATTTTATCCACCTTCTCATCCAGGTTGCTCATATCGACTTGAAGATTTGCAAGAACTTCTCGGTCCATGTGATGGGCCTGATGAAGGCGTTGACCTTCCTGGAGCTCAACGCGAACTTCCCGCATGAAGTCTCTAAACTGCTGCATCTCGCCTTCAATACGACTCCCAGTGGCGGAAACACGGTCAATGTCCCGTTGCTGGCGGTGGATTGCGTCTTGCGCCCATTCTTTAAATTCGGGGAAGTCGGGAACTGGTTTATCGATGCTCGGGGTAGAGAGTTTGGTTGGTACTGGTGGGGAAGCTATTACCCCAGCTCCAAGCTGTAGATTTCCAGATATCCTCCGAGCAACGGGCTGCACTGTAGATGCTTGCCGAGTGCCAAGGGGCTTCCTTATACTGTCTTGATTGAGCGTAAGTGGGAAGCTTTTTAATATTGAAATATTAGTTTTGGCGCCCGAAGTGGCCGACACCACCGACATGAACGATAGCTGCAATATCAATTGATCTCTAACGGTAGTTTAATATGATATTCCACGATAAGATGCTTATTTAAAGGGGAATAAATCTCACTTAGCTAGAATATGCCCATCAGGAGCACCGTCACACCGTAACCCAACTGGTGTTCCGCATCCCGTACAATTCAAGTTCTGTAAAAAGCTAATGACATTTTTGTCAGCATTACATGATAATGGAAATAGCGTTTAGCTGTATATAGTACCTGTGTGCAATTGTGGACTCCATTGAGGCTGGATTAGGCTCCCCTGTAGCCTTAAAGCCTTTGTCGCAAGTGAGCATAGGATATACAGGGCTACAGTAGGTGTTGCCAATGCCATGCCAGACATTCCGGAATTGGCCCAGCTCATGCCCGCACTTCTGGCAGTAGCAAATGACGGTGTCCATGCTGGTGAGTCAACTAGAGAGCTGGACTATGGCTATGGCAATTCTGAGATGAGCTAAGTCGGGTTAGCATCAGGACATTCGTATCAGCAACATCGAGTTTAACTTGCCTTATGGTTCATAGTTTATGGTGACCGAATGCTGTTTTGGTATTGATAGTACATACCGAGCACTTTCCATGAGGAGATTCGATTTGGTTTGGGTGACGCGTTGGTCGCGTCTTTTCGCGTTATGAATGTAGCTTTACCACAGTGCTCGTTTTCTTCCTCTTTGGAGATATAAGGGAGAATAACTCCAAAACGGGAGGACTTTTACGATTCGATCGAAAATTGACACATAAATTTATTATTTCTGAACAGACATCAGGATTTGGTTCTGGGAAACTCCGGGGAGGCGGGGGTTTGTTCCTCGCAGCCTCGCTTGCTAGCCTTGTTCGATAAGCAGGGAGGAATTAATTTTCGGAAAGACTTCAAGGACCTTACTCCAACCCAAAACATCATGACTTCCACTAAAGGACAGGCTGCTGCTGATAAGCACGGTCAATACCGCCAATCTGAGAACAAGAACAATCGCAAGAAGCGCAAGCTTTCCGAGTCCGAATCATGCACCGGGAAAGAGTCTGGTATGGGCCAAACGCAACCATTACCTCGCCAACCCAAGCTGCCAGAGTTCAATCTGACATCTGCAAGTCGTCGCAATGAAAATTCCAAGTCGCGGGAGGATGAGGAGGCGCGCAGCAGTTCGCAAGAATGGCAGGTTATAGAAAACGGACGTCCCAGGAAGAAGGCGAAGAAAATACCGAAAGCCGATTCTTCATCCTACCCTGTCATCGATTTCTCTAAGGAGTCTAGATTACAATCGCAGATCAAGATTAGTGACCTGCAGAGTCTGGTGTTATATATACTTGCAGATGGGCCATCGCCTCAGTTCGTTTCTGTACGCAACCGTTCGCACATACGAAAGGTCGTTGTTGTTATGGTCCCGGGGCTGGAAAAGTCTATGTTTGAATCGAAGAGCGATGATGGAGCATCGAGCATGGAGCAGCAGTCGCAAGACCGAAAAGAATATGATTACACCTCACCGGATGACTACTACCCTGGCAAGCTCGATGCTGACAATCTACCTCCATCATTAAAGCCATTTGCAGACATGTTCAAACTCATATGGCCAGTCAAGACACCTGGTGATGACAGAATGGGCAAAATGCATTCGCCACTGCATGCCATGCTTACAGCGCCATTACCAAAGGACAAAGAAGATTCAAGCAAACACCGTGGTAGGAAGGGTGCCCGGCCTGCGCAAGCGCCGCCTGGCTGGAAAGATTCTCGGACTCCGATTACTGAGTTTCTTCTTGACACCGAGGATCTTCTTGAGAATGAATATGTACTTCATCCTGCGTCTTACACCAAGGAAGCGGAAAAGAATGCATTGGCAGAGCATAGGCGTTCTACCGGAGTGTCACAAGACCACGGGTGGGTGGATACTTTGGTTAGTAATTTTGATGAAGGAACAGCACCAAACCATGAAATTGAATCTGGGAGTCTAACTGCTGGTCGTGACATCCTCGCAATGGATTGTGAAATGTGCATGACTGGAGAGAGTGAGTTCTCACTTACACGCATAAGTCTTGTTGGATGGGATGGTTCTGTGGTTTTGGATGAGCTTGTGAAGCCGGAGAAGCCTATCACAAACTACCTAACACAGTATGTTACTTTCTTGATGTTCATGGCTATTTTGCTAACTTATCCACCAGGTATTCTGGCATCACAGAGGAATTGCTGTCTCCAGTCACTACCACCTTGGCGGACATACAAAAGAAACTCCTAGAAATCCTTCACCCGCGCACTATACTAATCGGCCATTCTCTAAACTCGGATCTCACGGCACTCAAAACCACACATCCCTTTATCATTGATACCGCCCTTCTATATCCTCATCCTCGGGGTCCACCTCTCAAGTCATCCCTGAGATGGCTTGCACAACGGTATCTAAACCGAGAAATTCAGAAAGGCCATGGCAATGTTGGTCCAGGCGGCGGTCATGATTCCATTGAAGATGCAAGAACTTGCCTCGACCTCGTCAAACAAAAGTGCGAGAAAGGGAAGCAGTGGGGTACCAGTGAGGCATCTGGAGAGAGTATTTTCAAACGCGTAGGCCGAGCTGGTGTACATTATAAGAATCAAGGGGGCTTAGCCATACCGAGCCTATTGGATGGCAAGTCAAGCGCCGCTGTGGATTGGGGTGATCCAAAGAAAGGACCCGGTGCGGCTGCCACATTCCAAATTGGATGTCAGAGCGATGAAGAGGTGGCACAGGGCATTATTCGGGCAGTGAATGGTGACTTTGATGGAAAGGAAATCCCAGGCGGCGGAGTTGACTTCGTATGGGGAAGATTAAGAGAGCTAGAAGCTTTGAAGGGCTGGTGGAATAACAATAGAATGGATACTGAGAGCGCTAAAGAACGCTCTTCAAAAGACGTTGGTACTAAAGCTGAAGAAAACTCAACTTTAGAAGGTTCGTCCACTGCGAACGATGGCGCCACTGGCCCCATTGCTGCAACCTCATCTGCTCTTCCTGTCCCCACTACCATCGACTCCAATACACCCATCGATGTCGCAACAGAAAACCTCACACGGCGGTTGAAGAGGATATACGACGCTCTCCCTCTATGCACCGCGCTCATGATCTACAGCGGCTCGGGGGATCCGCGTGAGATGAGCAGGTTATCAAATATGCATTTGGAACATAAGCGCGAGTTTAAGATCAAGAAATGGGATCAGCTGAGTATTAAGTGGACGGATGTGGAAGACCAGGCTTTGAAGAAAGCTGCTAAATCTGCGAGAGAGGACGGCCTTGGGTTTATAAGTGTCAAGTGAGACGGCGTACGGATGAGAAATGAATTTCGACGTTTGGCAGCCAGGCACTTCGGGCAATAGCCAGGGTGAAATAATGGTCATTGCCATCGGTGGCCTAGAGATGTACGCTTACATCACTTGCTTGACCTATATCTACGATTGTAGGATTGAAAACCCAGATCTTGTATTCGTAGATCTGCCGATTCGGTAGCAGCTCCGTAAGGTATCTGGAGTGGGTTGTTCCTTAAATAGCACAACTACTATTAGCGCGGCTATAATTTTGCGAAGTAGCCTACGTGGGTTGCTAAACCCATTACACAAACACTGGTAAGATATGACGGGTATGCTTTTTGGGGTTTCAAGGATGTATATTCCATTTATAGCGTGCCCAATGCCCATATTCGAATCTAAACCATGCCACAAATCGGACAGCTTCTTCTCTCACTGCCCTTCGTCTATCTAAGATGACATGTCTATGCGCTCCATGCCGCTCTCTATACCGAGTTCTAACTTTAGTTCCATAGTAAACCTATGATGGGAGGAATAATCACGCTACTTCCCCACCGACAAGCCGAGATATAAATCATATCACTCAGCTGCTGGCGTCTGCACTGGAAGTTCCGCGCCTGGAAATGGTTCAACCCCAGTTATGTCATGGGCATGTGCGCCCACTGGTCTGATTCCCTGTTTAGGCGGCCCGCCGATCTCAACTAAATGGGCATTCTCTTCATTTGAGCTCTCGTCGAACTTAAACGTACGAAACTCGCAGGTTTTGTAGGCCGTGCCTGTTTTATATAATTTCTATTAGTGACCTTTTGCTCGGTGGAAGGGGAGAAGCTGGAACAAAACGTGATCACTGACCTCGAGGGGGGATCAAGCCAGTCCAGTCTTCGGTAAGATAATGCAAGAATGCGCCGTGGGTAACGAGTACTATTGATGTCTCGGGGCGTTTCCACAAGAAGCGGCGGAGCTCTGCTGCTCGCTGCTCGACTGCTTTTAAGGATGCTTCATATTTCCCTGCCTAAAAGCAAATTCAACATGATTAATAAACCTTGCCAAGATCACCCGGGATTACTTTGGTGAGTCTCTTACTTTGCCATTCCAGCCCTCCTCCAAAAGGCCATAATCAATCCTCCCGTCCAAATTAACCTTCACATCCACATTTACGAGAACATCCTGCATCGCCGCCTCGAGAACTTCCGGGTCCGTGCCTGTGTCACATGGTCTCGCACTGATTTCCTGTGCCAGCGGTACAAGCAGTAACGGAACTTCAGGTCTTGATAGGACGGATCCGAAGGCTGTTACGGCAGTTTGGATGGTGCGGCGGAGGGGAGAAGCCAGAACTATCTCGACTGACGAGTGGTGGGGAAAGCGGGATCTGAGATCTTGACATTGGGAGCGGCCCAAAGGAGTCAGATTAGGGTCCTTGACAGAGGAGTTTCCCTGTGATGTGTGTATTAGTATGATAAGAATTAAAATTTAACTTCTACTTACTTGGGGGTTTTGTTCGGAAATGTTATGCTCGGCCTGTCCGTGTCGGACAAGATAGATGATCTTCGTTCTAGACATGGTGATTATTGGATTATTGTTGAGTGAGTGATCGACTTGACTTCAGGGTTGTGGATGACGGATATGCCGCCTTTTAAGTTCCGCCTCCAGCAAACAAATTGATTTGGTTTGCGGCGGTACTCGAGTAATGCGCCACCGCCAAGTGGGTAGTCTGTACTCGAGTGACTAAAAATCATACAGTGTACGATTTACTACGTCCACAAGTAACAATAAGTTGCTGCCTACGTCAATACTCTGTAAGCGATCGTACAATGGGCCTAGAAGCCTGTCATTTGAAACCGAGTTAGTTTCTACGCCTCAGAACTACGTTTAATCTTCAAGGCATATATAAAAACAAGTGGACAAGGCTGCGGAATGCAGGGCTATAGTACCTGACAGGACCATGCGGAGGCTAACTTAATCCATAAAGTCCTATTAACCTCGACGACAGTTATTAAATGCCTTCAGCTTGTTCTTATATGGTTTCAAAGTTGGCTAATGCATCAAAGGAAATATTAGCACGGCATCAAGAAACCGTTTCCGCGAACTTTTGCAGTGTTCAACATTAGGAGCTGGTATTGTTTTGCTTCCTCCTGGCAGCTGCGAATGCTGCCATACTAATAACTCGAACGTGATAAGGTTATGGTTAGGAGAGATACTTCGTACGGTTCGATGTAGTATAATAAAGTGCGTCTTGAATGTTGCGTTTTCTTATTATTCGGCTGACTTGCTAGTTTCCGGATCTACAAACGGTCAGCTCGGCCTCGGCAGACTTACTTATTCCGGCTATAGTACGTAGTATCTACCTTATGCGATAAGCGTTGGCGAAGGAACGTTTATCGGGGGGCTGGAGCCACTTCGCAACAAAGCGATATCCGACGATCATTTAGTCGCAATCCTCCGTACGCATCGAACCCTTTTATCATGATCTTACGAAATGGCACCTGATGAAGATGAATACAACCGTGCTTCCACAGTCTACGAATTATCATAGATTCAGAGACAAACGGCGACGTCATGTTCACCACACCCCGGAAATCCGGTACTAGTTCCACCTGGAATACTCCCAAGAAGGTCCCATTGAATGGCCTCTTCGAAGATGGAATCTGGCACTGTAAGTATGCACCTGGAGTGATAATACGGCTTATATCTAATAATAGCTAGGCAATTGCAGTTCCCGCCTCCCAGCGTCGCACTTTCAAGTGAAAAAGGAGGGCCCAAACAAAGGAAAATGGTTCTATACCTGTCAAGAACCCAAGGGGCGCCAATGTGGGTTTTTCTTATGGGACGATAAAGCTGTGGGAAGGGAAATGCGAGCAGTACTGAATAATTCTCGATCCAAGCCCGACGAGCCAAGCACCCCCGTCGATCCATCGAAGGACATGAGGCCAATGGAGGGACATTCTGCTGCTAGGAACAAATTCATGCAAGGCCAAGTAAAGACGGAGGAAGATGAGTTTGGGGATTGGCCGCTCTCTGTTGCAGATGAGGTAGATGTAGTAGAGCGTGCGTCTACTCCTCAATCCTCGAACCCGGAGACTCCCCGAAAGGCCATCAAGACTAGTCAATTTGCGACTCCTGGCAGCAAGAGGAAATGGGATGATACAAATCTACCAACTCCGATGACAGAAGGGGGAAATCGCTCCGGATTTTCTAATGCAAGGGGAGATGTTTTCACTACACCATCCTCAATATTCAAAGAAAACATGCTGTTTGGGCTTCGAAGTCCTTCTGCGACACCTACGCCGAGTAGGTTTCGAGACACTACACTCCCTGCTAGCAGTCATGGAGAAGCCCCGCAACCCAGCTACGATATTACTGATGAAGTGATGGACCTCCTCAAGGATCAGCAAATCGACAAAGAAACAGCCACCAGTTTACGCCAGCTTTTGGATAGACACGCTCTCAAGGTCTCCGGCATTGCCAGAGGACGTGATATTACACGGGTTGCCTTGAAGGCTAAAGACGCGAAGATTACGGATCTGCAGCAGAAGGTCGCTGCCCTAGAGTCAGAACGCGAAATGGATAAGACGATTATTAAACATCTCAAGGGTGACATCGCGCAGAGTGTTGCTGATAGGCGTGGAAAAGGACGAGGGAGATAATATCGATTCCCCTGGATATCTTAGTATATCGAAACCAGAAAACCATACCTGGCATTGTCCATGTCTAGTTGCAAGCTGGAAAATAAAGTGTGCTTGCCACATACGAGCTATCGAGGCTTTTGCTAGGGTGTTATCACTACCCTGATCCGCGCATTCGTTCTCCGAAATATCTCTCTGGGTTGGGAAATACTGTATTGCAAAACACACCCTCCATCGCCCTTGGCCGATGTATCTGCGAGTTCGCAAATGATGCACACAACTCAACGACCAAGCGAGAGACACTTGACGACTGAAACTGTCCTCAGATGGAATTCTTAGGCATGTTCTGACTATAGGCACTTTGGATCACTTTAGGTATCTGAGTTATATCTGCTGATGAGCCTAAAGTACCAACCAACCAACCATATGACTTCTGCTACAGTCTGTAGGTAGAGGTTTGCAAAGAGTATACTTGCCTGCTGGATTGACAGAGCCGGTAGTCCCGGATTGTATTACCAAATAGCAAGGGCGGTAGATTATAATTTATGTCATATTATGACTTTCAAGACTAGCCATTAGGGGGTTAACCATGCAGTAACAAAACGAGGCCAATAAGTTAAGCCTCTAGGGCAAATACAACTTTAGTTTTACTTTGAGGAGTACTTTTAGCAAATTACTAGTATTTCCAGACCAAACATACAACCTTCCCAGAGGCATGCCTTCCTTATCCCACTCTAAATCCCCATGATTTGAGTTAATATACGAAGTACTGTACTGCCTTCCATGCGCCCCAAATATGTTTTGCTTCCTTAACGAAAGGAGGGGGAGCCAAGCTAGTCATTACCGGACCGCTGATGCAGAAACTCCAGTTGATGCCACTCCCATATCTATACACCTCTCCACACCAAAGTATACAGGCCTTATAATGGCCTATTGTTCATATCCGTCATGGCCGGTCTTGGCGGCCCCTCTCTGCCCGGCGACAGTTGGTAGCTCTCCTCTCTCCAAAGCACTATCGCTAGCAACAGCCTGCGGACTCACAATACCCGTCCGGGGATCGATCATACCTGGCACCGAGCCAGTTCTCGAACTCGCTGGTGCCATTCTCCCCTCCCGCTCCCACATCGAATTGTCAATCTGGCTGTAATCCGAATTCATGGGATTGGATCCAGACACCTCTGGGATGTCCGCCATAGCATACTCTCTGGGGCCCGCTTCAAGATCCTCGAGGTTGGTGCCTTCTTCCGGACCACCTAACTTGCTTCGTTTGCTGCTAAAGAAGCGGTTTCTATGCGTACGAGAACTTCCCCCACTTAACATCGTTCCAAGTCCGCTTTCACGGCTAGAAGTTCTCGCCATAGAAGCGTCATCCTCGCTGCCTCGGCCATCTCTGGAGGTTGATTTGAGACTCGACGACCCTCGGATGTTGGCGCTTGGAACGCGGGGTGGGGGATTATCGTATATATCACCGTAATCGTCACCGGAAGACATGGAGGACATGCCGAGCGAGAAGTCGACGCGTTTGCCCATCTGAGAGATGGTCTCTCCGCGCTGGCGAGACGAAGCATCATCTCTGTTGCGGAGGATTGATGGGTGTGCCTTTGGCGGATGGGGATGGTGCGGAGGTTGGGATGGGTCGTGTGGAGCGAAACTATCTTCATGTGTTGAGGTTCCATGAGGGCCAGAATTTGGATCTGGGTACGGGGTGTTTTGGGAAGGTATAGATTGTGGATAGGCTCCATGCAAGTGCATCGGGAATTCATTGGCAGCACCCGCAAGACGCATGCGTGGTCCTTCCATGCCCAGCTCAGTCATGGTGACCATCATAGCACAGATAAATTTATTTCGTCGCTGCAGACGCAAAAGCTCGTTTTGCCAATTTGACTTGTAGAAGAATACCACGTTCAGAGTAATGGAGTGGGCTTCGTAAATCGTTCTTAGTTCGGTCAGGATCTTCTTCTGGTATTCCCGGTTCTCGGAGCTGACGAATTCTAAAAGGCGTTGACGAAGAGTATCGATCTGCTCCAGTGTCGTGCCAAACTTCACAGTGACCGGCACAGCCTCTGCAAGTCCTCCTGATCGACGTTGATTGAGAATGAAAAGGGTGTTGAGGTAGGAATTTGGAGCTTGGACAACATGGCCCTCCATTTTCTTGAACTCGGTGAACAACAGAGATATCTCCTTCACAAAGTAATCGTCTCCTTTCAGTTCGGACCCAGTGTTTCCATAGATTGTAACTCGATCACCCACATCGAAGGGATGCTTGACGAAAACAAAGATGCAAGACTGTAAGAATTCTTGAGCCGTTGCAGAGAATAGCCATGAAAGGGCCAACACTGAGGATCCTAGTGATGTCAATACACCCGACGCAGATGTCGATATGAGAGAGATAAACACAAGGATGGCGATGACAGCGACGACGAACAAGAAGACATCATCTAGCTTGCCAACAACCGAGTCCAAGTCCTTGAGGGATGCAGTGATGGCCTTTCGCTCTCGGCCCATTTCAACACATACTGCTTCAAGCTCTTCCATGGAAATATCGCCATTCAGGTCCTTGTCGAACATGGTAAATGCTGCGTCAGCCTCCTCGTCGTTATCGAACGCGAGTCTTAAATCGTCGGAGATGACTGTCTCCGTTCCTTCCTGGGCAAAGGTACGGTATAATCGCCGGGCCAAAACCTGGGCGCCACTTGTGGTGTGTAGAAGTTGGAGAACGCTGAATAAATGTTAAGAGCTATTATACCATCGGATAAATACAACTTACACTTGTTGAGGTTGGCTACTAGTTGACACGGCTCTTCCTGTAAAATCGCCAGCCACTCGTCCAGCCAAATCACCAGCCTTGTGGAACACCTGGCGTGCATTCTTTTGCGCCTTCTTTTGCGCCTTATTTACATAGAGCATTGGCGTCCTCGCTCCAGAAGATGGCCCACTTGTAGGGTCCACTTCAAACTCTGAATCTTCCATCTTGATCTTGTCCTTGGAATAAACATAAAGCTTAACCAGACTAGAGATCTGAAATTTATTGACTTCAATTCGGTCGGCGTAAGTTCGGAGATGGAAGCTGATGGCGATAAGCTGGATAATGATCTTCTCGATGAAGTTCAAAATGGCCGCAACAAAGATAGATATTATGATCTTGTTGACCACAAGCTCCCAATTCCTCGTAGTTTTGTCACCATCTACATGGTGATTTTTCACTGTGGGCAGAAAAGATATTTCGATGGCAAGTAACCAGAAGAAGAGCGTCGCAGGAAGCTCAAGCTGCTTGCCAAGATCTCTCCATTTCTTTTCACTGTTAGTGAAGATGCTGGCTACGAGTCCCATAGGCCAAGGAATAGATTTGGCTAAAATCTGCGATCTATCAGCGACTGGCAATATAGATGAAAGGTATTATGGAGGGAGAGGTACTCTAGCAGCCCACAGTGTTAACCACACAATCTCTAGCCAAATTCCGAACCAAAATAGCTTTACCCCACCCACGCTTGTCTTCGTGAACACGAAACGTCCAAGAAGAGTTGGTATCAGTAACAAGACGCTCACAGGTATAATGTAAGTAAAATATCGAACAAGGAAACTGGATTCATGTATCCTTTTCACAAACTTGGAGAATGTGGTTCTCGGAGCTTCCGGTGGTTGGTAGACTTTTGTTTTCTCATGAATAGGCGTCGTATCAACATCGAAATCATCAACGGCCACTGCCGGAGTCCGGGAGTTCGACCGGTGCATTGATTTGGATCTTCGCATACTTTCCTGGTTGAGCCGTTCGGCATCGGATGCTTCACGCTCAGCGCGTAAGAATTCAAGTTCATCATCGAGACGGCGAGACTGCTCCCTTTGCGCGGAGGGCGACATGGGCGACCTGCTTCGATCCAGTTTGTTGAGGTGGTCGTCCCCTTTCATGTAGCTTGTGGTAACGTGCAGATGGTTGTGATCTATTCCATCATTGCCCTCGCCACCTAGTGTGCCATCCTCATCCGAGGAGCGGCGGCCGCGCCTGTGTGTTTCATGGTCTGCAGGGCCGTGACTGCCAGCGAATTCGGGATACGAGTATTGTTCCTGCTCGTGTATTGGCGTTGTCATTATTGGGGGTTTGGTGTCGTGTATTCAAGGTCGAGGGACTCGCTCAATCGTCGGAGTCGCGTGTGGTATGGGAACAACGCGAGTGCGATGTATAACGGGCCTTTCGTAAAGACAATCGATAGACTGTGTGAAGGCGTGGGTGGCAACTGGCTGTAGAATATCGCGGTGTACTGTAATGAAGCTTCAATCACAGACGTTTTGTTGGAAACGAGAGATTAGCAGGTAGCTAGAAACGACGGACAAGTCGAGGAAGAAGGTGCAAAGCGAACAAGACAATGTAGTAACAAGACGGATACAGATATGAAATTGATATAATAGAGAAAGTGAATATGATCGAAGCTGGCAGAGAGATATCAACCCCATAGCGGGGGCAGCATTTTTGTATTTTTAGCATCCCGAAAGAACCCTTCCTTCCTTTGTTTTAAGGCGGGTCAAAATGTGGAGCTCAGAGAATAAATATGGGTACTTGCACAAGTTACAACGTTGTACGTATATTACCTTTGTTATTACCTTTACCTATTTCATGCAGTGCCTTGGTGCGAAGTTGGTTGGCCAGTGTGAATTCTTTTCTTTCTCCGATCGTTGCGTGATAGGGATTAGGAAGAATAGGAGTGGGCCGCCGCTCGTCTAGTTGCAGGCGCAAAGTAGGATTTGTTGACAAGCTGGCCGGTGGTCTCCGACGTCATCACCTCGGGTGGTGCAACTTTACAACTTCTTCCGGGGTGTGTTCAGGGTATCTTCACCTCACAACTGTGCTCCCAACCAATTCAGTCATTCGTATCGTACAGAGTACAGACAGACGTAGTACCAGGAAGGTCTGAAAAGTTACTGAAGTAAAGTATCAGCCCATTCCAGCGCGTTTCAGAGTTCTGGGCCGTGATACGGAGTACAACTACAGTAGGCCTGAGCTAACTTTATACGTTTTTCTTATCGCGTACCGCGGCCCTGATTTCGAATCCCCCGGGCCCGTGTGGAGCCAAACGATAAGGGGCAAGACAATCCACCAGATCTACACAGTTGCCCAGCATTTCCACTACAATAATACGGGTCGGGTAGGCCTAGATCCTGGATTTCATTGTCGATTAGCCATATGACGCGTCAGGCCCCGCCCGCTCCTTAGGACGGGTGGTGGCCCTTTATATTCAATGTTTTTGCAATTCAGTCACCAGGCTGATTGGACTTCAGCTTCAATACTCGAGTAATGCGGAATATACGAAGCACGTGAAGCCGCCAAGGGCAGAATTGGCCTGGTACCAAGTTGTCGTTCTCTCCGCAATGTGCAATGCTTTATCTTTTGGGATTGAGGAATGAGCGATGGGGTGAATGCGCACACACTGTGTCAAGCAAGAGACGGAGAAGAGCGAGTAGGTTAGGTAGGACATGATTGCTACCAATTGCCCATTTCTCCCTGGCATTGCGCTCAATGATGGCTGGTGGTAGTTTGCCGGGTTTTAGATCTACACCTTGGATCTTTAATTTGATATCGTTTGTAATAACGTATCATGCATATCCTGCCCTATAGCCAACCGTTTTCTTTCAGGGGACGAGGACTTCTGGGTTTCCTGTTGTGGTCTCATAAGGGCATAGTGATTTGCTACGGGATGAAATTCGGTCTTAAATCGCTTATCTTTACAGTGGAAACGTCCTCTGCAGTTTTCAACCATCCCTTTGTTTAGAGTACCGGTATTCGATTCATTCGATTCCCCTACAATTATGTCGGTCGCTTTGTTTTGTCCCCCTGCGCTTCTGTTAGCCCATTATCAAAGACCTGGTTACAAAATCACAGGATGGCTGAACTGTTTCAATGCCGGCTCCTAGATATCGAAATTGAGCAGGTATGGAAATGCATGGTTGAGTGCCACGATTATAACATGGATATGGACTATAGTTGTGCTGGTGTCTCATCTCCTGCCAAACCACAGCATAGAGTATAACATATACTTTTACAAATAGCTCGACGTAATATCTGATATTCCGCCGCCAAATCGATACCTAGATAGTCCTTTAGTTAGAAAGAGTAAACAAGGAATCCCGTATCGTAGGTAGGCTATAGGACCAGCGCGTCGAGAAGTGACACAAATGCTTCAACCAACAGCCTGTTGAACAAAGACAATTAGAGTTTCAAAAGCTATTAAAGTGAACAACTCCCTAGAATTATTTTAACTTTGACCTAGTAGCACGTGCCGTCCCGGAAGTCTGTACCTGGAGAAACCCCTGAATGTCGTCGCGCACGGGCACCCTGAACGGGACTTGTGAAAATCGAACGCCGTCTCAGAGTAATAATGAAGTCTAAGAACAGACATACAACACGCCCCTTCACAATTGCCAGCTTTACCTTTCCCTCGGCGAACACACCAAGGGCCAATGTACTCGTCAGAAAGATCTCTACCCTCTGAGATTATTCCTTCCGGCTGCTGACCACTCTCTATACTTAACGCGACATCCCTCACCAGCAGCCGATCATGGATCAAGCAGACATTCCCTCTCTCCTCTCCCGCCTCAGCAGCGATGAAGATGCCATGCGCAAGATGGCAGTATTCAAGCTCCAATCATCAATCAATGACCCTGCCTTCGCCGATCTCTTCATTTCCTCGGGCGGTCTCAACATCCTGCGCCGGTTGATCATGACCACGGGTGGTAACACACTCGCATACTCCCTACAATCGCTTTCTCGTCTCCTCGAAGTAGATATGGGCTGGGAAATATTCGAGTCCAGTGGCAGTGGAGAGTTGGTTGAGCGGCTCGTTGAGCTGATCGTCACCCATCCGCTGGTTAACATTCTACGCGGGGCTATGAGTATATTGGTCGCTATCGTTTCACATTCACAGAGTGCCAGAGGAGCTGCAATGAGAACGCCTGGAGCGTTTGGGTTCCGTGCATTGAAACCAGCTGTTGCCGTATACCCTCAATTCTTCGAAATGGTCGTCAGTCAATTGAGTAGCGCAGATCATGCTCTATGCGCCAATGCATTGATGCTGCTGAATGCCCTGATGAGGGATGCCATTTCGAATGACAAAGATGGAGGGAAGACCGGTGGGACAGTCGAAGAATGGCCGAAGTTTATCAAACGATTACAGGATCTGGGGGTGATTAAGGCGGTTTATATATTGATGCAGAGCAGTTCTTTGCAGGACTTGGCGCATCCTCTGCTCGAATTCCAAGCGTTGACAAAGGTCCTGCTCAAGAAGTGGAGGGATGTCGCCGTTGATCTAGAAAAGCCGGAACATAGGAGGGCGTTGAAAGGGTTGCATCTGGCCAGCGCCCCGGAGAGGAAGGATTCTGCCAGCGGCACCACCAGGTTAGAGGGGTTGGTTGAGGGCAATACGAGGAAGGCGAGTAGGAAGCATAGTCCGGAGAAATGGCGAAGATTAGGTTTCGAGACCGAGAGCCCTACGTACGAATTTGAGCACACAGGTTTCTTGGGCATGATGGACGTGACAGATTACGTACGGAAGCAAGAGGATACTTTTCAGAAACTTCTTATGGAGCAGTCATCACGGCCTATGCACCAGAGATGCCCGTTTGCCACGGCCAGTTTGGCTTGTACTATGATTTTATATCAGCATTTCGAGGTAGAGAAGTCTGATGTTGAGGACGCTAAAAGCTACTTGGTATTGGATGGGATGAAGAATTACGACAAGATATTTCGGCCCCTGCTCTTGCAGTGGTCAAGATTACATGCGGCTAGTTTACAGACATTCTTCAGGTTATGGAAGGCAACTGGGGCGGAGCGTGATGATTTTGACAAAGTTGCAGATCTGGTTCGGATTTTGGTCGAACAAGTAGTTGGACAAGCGTCACGGACCAAAGACGTACATGATGTTGAAGAAGAATTGGCCGAGTTCGAATACCCCCGCTTGCGAGAGTTGCAAATGGAGTTGCTGGAATTGACATTCGAGGATGAATGGGGACAACATCTCCACCAAGTCCGAGATGAGCTCAAGCACGAGGCTTTGCAATTCGTCAAAGAACAACGGGTACGGTGCCTCCTACAGGGTGCTTGGTTTCCTAGGAATATCCAGCAGAAGGCCAATGCCGGCGAGGATGCCTATGCAGTCCGGAATGGGAAACCCCAGTCAACATTATGGAGATATGTCAGGCTCTCACATAACCGACGATTTCTGCATTACGCAGACTTCGATGCGGAGCGCGACCATGAGCCGGCCCTCGACGAATTACATGAGAAGATAGACCTCTCTACTGTCAGCTCGGTTGTCTCTAACGTCTCTGCATCAAATGACGACGCCTCAAGCACCCCGAGCACATTAACCGCCAAGACGCCCTCAAATACACAGAAATCTAACTCCACGACCAAAATCACAATCAACAGCTACACAGGCTCGGCAGACCAGAAGAACAACTGTTCACATAACGAACAGGCTGAACGGGCAATATTAACACTCATGCCAATGACACATAGCCTTGCCTCGGAGTGGCTAGATGGACTTCTGATGCTCCTGAACCAAACCCCTATCACGGCCGAGACGAACAAGCTAGTTGGCTTGGTGAGCGATTATTCATTGAAAATCAGGCTACTGAATGTTAAGCTGGGTGATGATTTTGCAGCAGAACCTGGGGCGGGAGCTGTGCCGAGTCGCGAGGGATTGGATGAGGATTATTTCTATGAAGTTTAAAGTTTAAAAGGTAGTTGTGTTGTTGTGTATGTTTTTGCGGAGTGGATTTTGTAAGGATTTGGAATGGGATGGTGAGAGAGAGAGAGCGTTTGCGCTGATACCCTTGATTTCCGCCTTTTGAGTTGGGTGAACTATATGTTCGCGCAGTTGAAATTCTGTATGTATGTCTTTATAGGATTGCCTTAAAAATGTACTTCGAGATTGGTTTCCTCAATATCCCTCTTATATATTTCGAGTTGTGCTTTGTTTCGTGCCAAGGTAGTAGAGGGGAGGAAGACGTGAACATATCCGCGAACTAGCCCGAAGATCCTCCGCACCCAACACAAAACCTCGCGGACTAACTTACGACAGCCAGCCCGCCGCATATACACCCCGAATATGGACCCACCACTACCTGGAATAGACCATCTGATGGCTTCACGGCAAATATATAAGCCCTCGAGGGGTTCCCTCCCCAATGACATTATACGAGCACTCCTCCCGGGTATTCAATTCTACAGACTCAGACTTTCCTCTTCTACTAATAAATCTTGAGCTAGAACTCCCGTTACATTGCAGACTAGAGAGCTCGCCCAATCGATCTCCCCGGTCCCAGATAGAACCCATTGAAGATGGCCGCTCAAAGCTAGAAGCCTCTTTCTTGTTCGCGTTCGTGGTTGGGCCTAGGGTGGCATTATCTAGGGTATGTCCGGTCCCTTTCTCCTCCCAGTCCAATATCTAATAAACGCCTTTCCTTCTCTCCCTCCAAAACCACATTCCAACATCAATCCGTAGTGGAAAAACCGTCTCGTCCCCATACACCAAGTATCCTCCACCCAACCGCAGAGCCTATCCTACTACTAGGGGTCCGATACCAATGGCGAACCCGACACGCTCCGAGGTATCGAAGACTACTACCCCAATGGTTTAGTGACCATATCGAGCAATAACCTACAGTTAAGTTTTAATCGCGCGGGGTTTATATTTTATATAACCAAATTATATTTAGATTACCATCAAGGTCAGAGGGGGGCTAGCCAACACAAATCCCCCGCTCCTGACTCGATGCACTCAGATGCGTAATCCGGCGAGGCAATGTGTCACACCAGTATGTGGATAGCCCTGCTGCTTTTCTCTTTTATAGGCGACTATATGGCCAGCTGGATCGACCGCTGTTCCCTAGCATGAAGACAAGGTGCCTAAACGCCGCCTACATTTCCGTTGGGACCCTTCCTAGCCTCTTGACTTTCCCAGATGCGTACTCTTTAACTTCTGTTCTTTCCCCACCCCATTCTAAATCCGGGCTCTAATATGCATCCTTTCTTTCGCCTCGAATATAGGCCCTCCGTGACAGGTTATTGCTATCCTCGAAGGGGCTATGTATCGTGACCGATCAATAGGGTGGGTCCAATAGGAGCAGCCTTGCCACCCGCCTCAGGAGAGGCATTTCCTTCGCCTTGATACTTCTCAAAAGAAGTCTGACGGATGTTACGTGCTTGAGGGTTACCAAGTGGTTTCCAACACGACTTGGGTGGGTAACTTCACCACTTCTGCTTCATCCAATATAAGCTCCCGAAAGTACCTCATCGAGGTACAGCGAGAAGTCCATCCCGCTCCCAAAGTCCCTCATCGCATTGAACCCATCATATGTCGCCGAGACCGTCATATTGCTACTACAGTCATTAGCATTCGCCAGGTTCATAAGGCTGTTCATGGCTGTCTCTGATGCGAGGGCATCAAATGGTGTTGTCTGCTGTTTTGTAGATAGATCACGTTCCAGGGCTGAGGAAGAGGTCGTGGTCTCGGGTACCGCCTGTGAGGTCACAGGGTTGCTACATACAGCTATGGAGGCGTTGGAATTGGCTGGTGATAGATAATGTTTGTTCTGGGTTTGCTGGTTTTGAAACTGGTCTTGCTGCTCCTGGTTGTGAACTTGCCACACACTGGCATCATTGCAATATTGTGTTTTTGATAAGTTGGTTTCAGCATTGAAATTGGCCTGCGTCTTGTTGGCAATGCCTTCGTAAGAATTTCCTGAGGAGTGTAAGTCTGAGTACAACGAAAAGGACTGAGATGCGGGACTTTGTCAACATCCTTATACTTACCATTCGGACCCATATCCTTGTGTTCTCCTGCTGTCTTTTGAGCGTTGTCTTCATGTCTCGGTTTGCTGCGTTCTCCTGAACCTTGTGTCTCATTTTCCGGTTCTTGTGATGCGGCCTGGGAATTACCCAGTTGTTCTGCCAGTTGCCCCCCCAGTGTCTCCAAGTTTTGCGGCAACGCGTTGGACATGTTCCAATATGATACAAATTGGTCGTGAGTCATGCACAGAACCTCGAAATTCGAGTTGGCTAGGTCTTTCTCAGCGCCGGGGGCTCCCAATTCTCGGTGCAAAAGTTGTACCGCGGCGGCTAGCCATATTGTATTTGACATGAAAGGATTGACATATTTGTATTGGACCTCACTACTCCCATGGATGACGCGTAAGACCTCATCGGCTGCTTCGCAGTATTGATCGAAAGCTCGATCCTTTTGCAATAAAAGGCCATTCTCGGCTGACGCTCCATGTTCGGTTGACATCTTCTCTCCTAGTTGCAAGCCGCTCCTAAATATATAGTATTTGTGTATCATCAATTTGGTCAGCTGGGTCATTATGTGGATACTATATATGGCACTATGAAGATGGCGTATCGACGATGTGGCTCCTAGGTCATTGCCGCGAGAATCAAAACTCAGGTACTGGTTACCATATTTAAGTAGTGGTGGTATTGCCATGGTGAAACAACGTAGGGAGTTGTACAATGTTGAAAGCTTGTGCAGGGTCTCAGTCGTTCGCTCTTTTTCAGTAAGTCGCGAATTGCCGGGCTGCCTCGCAGAACCGTAAGCTCTCCATCCTGTCTCGCCCTGAGGTGCTGAACGACGGATTCCTACTGGGCTGGAAATTCCCTGAGCTTCCTTCATCAGAGAGTTGACGACAATGAACCACGCTCTTGGAGATTTATTTCCAGTTCCCTGTAAAGCTTTCCAGCGATGGACCAAAGGGATCTCCAGCATGCAGCTGGCCTGCGGCTGGCCTTGGAACCATTTTTCGTCTTCAGCCGGTAGTACCGTCTCATTTTGAGACCAGTCAATAGCTGTGGGACATCGGCGAATGACACTTGCGAAGACGTCCATTTCCCAAATTGCCCACCATGCGCGCCTCCGCTCCTCGTCCTCGCACCACTGCGCTGGCTTATTTAAATAGTAATCCGAGGTCTTGCCCGAGTCGATAAGATGTAGGTTCATCTCGTATGCGATTCTAACACACAATCCAAGATATCTCCAGGCTTTGCCTCGAACCCCCTGAATTAAAAGCCAATGACTGGTCAGGATGAGCGCCTGCAATAGCGCTATAGATGGTGTTTCATCGCCGCACTCATTCAGCGCAGTATCAATATATCTCTTTGCTAGCTCGCTGAAGTAAGTGTCCGATAACTGCTCACATGAGCCAGTTGATTTTGAGCGAGGTCCTGCCGACTTAGCTCCAAATGCCAACATTGATGCAACAAGGGCATTCAGCTGTGAGCCATTCGTGATATGATGAAGTTTCGTACGAAAATGAGGTTCTCGAAATAGGCGGAACGAGGTGAATGTATTGAAATACTCGTCCAGCCTTAACACGGACAGTCAGTGGAAGCTCATCTATAAATATGGGCAAATACTTACAATCTGTTCATGATGTCTGGGCTGATGTCGAGGGCATAGCAAGTAGCTGTGAGCATAGGCTCTTCATTGCTAGGTGGATCAGGGGTATGGACTTGGGCTTGCTCCTCTTCTGGGCTGCAGCACTCGTGGGAAGGATGAATAATGAACGACAGGCTTTGCATATCCTTGACCTGCTTATAAGAGGTCGTCGAAGTTACTGAGTGATTTGGCGACGTGTAATCGCCCCCGACTTCAGTATTTTCGTTCTTGGCCCCTTCCAATGGCTCGACGGCATGACGTTTGCTTGGTTTCGAATTACCTTTTTCTAAGTTGGAGCTGTCGCGCTGTCTCTTGCGACCATTCTGAGTGCTCCCAATTTTTGGTCCTGGCCGTGCAGCTCGTCCAGGATAGTAACATGACTGGGAAGACTGCTCACATATCGAACAATGAGGTATTTCTCTCCCACACTTAATCTTTCGTTTCCGGCATACATAGCAGGCGATATTTGACCGCAGCTCCCCCGTCTCCTCGTCCATGGTCGCATTCGACATATTGACTTGACTTATGCGTACGGTAATGGCAATAATGACATCACAATATTGTAGTGGGCATCAGATTGTGCAGAGGAAGAGCCACTCCAGTGAACCAAGCCGTGGGTATCGTTGTCAAGCGTAAAAGAATGAGGTGGATCGTTAAAAAAGTAGGAACGCAGCTCATGAGTGGGACTAGTACACTTTAGCTAGGAGGCCGGATTATAGCTGGTGTGGGGGATTTAGGCATATCCCAAAACTTGGGGTGCAGGGCGGGGTTTGGCTGGGTGCAGCCCATACGTAACTATCTAGATAGGCTCTTGGACTTACCCTAGTACTGTTATCTAACTGCCAGGCTGTATCATTCCATGACCCAATGGTTGGGCTCTGCTTGCAAATACGAAGAGCGTGCTAGGCCAAGAAAAAAAGCCTAGAATTCCCTGTGTTGTTGATAGGAGATAAAGTGGGTGGTAAAAGGGAAAACCGATGTGGAAAACAACTAAACACAAACTGGCACCCCGCAGTCCCCGACTCCCCGAAGTATTATATCCAGGCCTTTCCGTGTCAACCACTAACAGTGGGGCCAGTTACAGGGGATGCTGCACAACCGTCCCAAGTCCCGGGTTTAGACCCCTGTCGGACTGCAGTAAGCCCCGTCTTCTCCGTGTTTGTCATCCTAAATCCTGGAACCGTGGCTTAAGCCCCACGGTGCATATTCGGTGTGTCTTCGGACTCGAAGACAGGTCGCGGGCGGACGACTATAGTTGTTGACAGTGTGCTTTTCGAATTGAGCGATGGGCATTTTATTAGAGCGATGAAATTCTTCCCTCTCATGTAAATGAAATTCCTCATGACAAATTATACTGTCTCTATCCAATATGACAAGAATTGAACTAGAATTATGGGACCAGGGCAATATTCTTGGGCTTAAGTGCGCACCACTTGCTGATTGCGACTTATCACCGTCAATGCTCCTATTTCCACACTGCTTTATCAAACGTTTGCGTAAAGACTTGACTCATAATAATTAGCCTATAATAAGACATATACCTAAAATAAGCCTCAGCAACTAACTTCCAATGCTACATGAACCTTAAAATTGAAATCTATATCTATCCGAACTCTCGAAATACCCATATTTTATGCTCAATGTCCAAAAAATTATTCATAATGAACCTTGTTGATCAACGTCCCGATATTCTCAATCGCAACCCTCATATCATCGCCATGGTTCAGCACAACCTTTGGATCCCTCATGCATCCAATTCCTGGTCCAGTACCGGTCATTATGACAGTTCCTTTCTCAAGAGTCGTTCCACTCGATAAGAAGGACACGAGTGTTGCAATGTCGAAGATCATTTCTCTAGAATAAATGTCAGTTACACTACATCGCCTGACGGAAAGCGACAGCCATTTTAGAAGTCTTCATTTTATTTACCTGGTATTTGAATCTTGGACGACACTTGAGTTGTGGATCGCTTGGATGCTCAAATTCTTAACATCACCGACCGCAGCTGGCGAAACAAGGACAGGTCCTAGGGGAGCAGAGCCATCGAGACCTGAGGTATATATTAGCCAAAATGCCCCACGTTCCCCCTCCCACTAAATCCCCAGCATCCAGAAAAATGGAGGAAAAGGCGAGGAGATTCAAAACTTACCCTTGCTAAAACACCACTGGCTATTCTTAAACTGTTGCGCCCGCGCACTAACATCATTCCCACACGTATACCCGAGAACATAATCTAGCGCCTCCTCTACGGGAATATCTTTGCCGTCCTTTCCCATAATCACCGTCAGCTCCGCCTCATAATCCGCCGTTCCATCCTGAGAAATCTTGGGAACATTAATCTTCGCGGGGAACGGTCCATTGATAGCTGTTCTCGGCTTGATGAACAGGACAGGCTCTGCAGGAATCGGCATGTTCGCCTCTCTAGCATGATCGCGGTAATTTAGGCCGATGCAGCGGACGAGTGGGACTTCGTGCGCGGCGATTGGGCCGAGGAGATGTTTGACGGTGAGGACGGTGGAGGTTACTTTTGCGTCAAATATCGAGCCAGTTGCTAGATTTGCTTGGATCTTTTCGCCATTGAGGGAGGAGAGGCCGACATCTGGGTATTTCTTCGCGTCGATGTTTCCAAGATGGATTTGTCCGTCTTCCTCGGCAATGAAGCGGATAAGGTGCGTCCAAGGTTGTGCCATTATGCTCAGCTTGATTTTGGGTTTTCTGGAGAGGCGTGTTGTTTCACGAGAATTTCTGGGAAATTGCTAGAGTATAAGGAAATTTGTAGAGTCGAAAGGTATCTGAATCGTGGGGTTTGATTGTATATGAGGGGTTTCAAGGTGGGATGTGGGATACTGAATCGCAATATGCGCCCCACACCGCGGGGTATCTTCCATGAAAGTCGGACTATTTTCGCAGTTTACAACGACGAATTTCTCCTGCTGTGGCGGATTACACACTATTCGTTGGTCCCCGAAAGTTCGAGTGTATAGTTGGCAGCCAGCCATCCTGCCTACCAGCTTGCGCGTCTCAATTACCTGTGCATACTGAATAGGTTGCTAGTCACAACCGCACCGAAGTAGTGTTTGTGCCACGAGCATTCTTACTTAAGAGCTTGTCATTTTGGCTTTTGTAAAGCCTATTTCAAACTCACTTTCGGGAGCATAGTATAACCCCGGAGTCGTTTGGGTGCCATTGTCTGCCAAATCAAGCGTAGTACGGCCCCCCCAAGCCTTATTCTCATTCTTACTGGGCAAGCTATACTTCGTAGAGACGAGACATATAAGACAGCCAAATTTGAAATTCCCCAAGTCACATCATTAAATAACCATACATCCCAAAAACGATCGTTGAATCATATCAGTCCGTGAGCAAGGCAAAACGAGCCCCGGACCAAACAGTCGTATTAACTCTATCGCAACAGAGGACTGTACAGTATTCTCAGCATCCTTCGCTCCGCTAGACTTCTGGCAGGGTAGTGTTGTACGGCAAATGCGCAATAGCAGACCCGATAGCGGCCAACGGTGTAGTAACAGGCCCCATAAATTAAAGATTCGGTAGGTGATGGTAGAGAACATCGTGTGGAACATGGCGATTTGTAGGCGCGAGAAACATTTCAAAGTAATCGTGAAAGAAGTGACGCCATTATCTGGGGCTTGTGAGCCTTAAAAGTACCTAGGTACCTAAGGTAGGTAGGTACTGTAGCAGATTGAAAAGGGGTCGCACCACGTGTTTCTAGCCCCTTTAAATGCATCGACAAACAATGATCTGACGTGGTTCCTTGGCATCATATTCAAATACCGGAGTCCAAGGATACATAATAAGTTTGTTGCACTTCGCAGTACTGGCCTAGACACATTGGGTGGCTGGGTGTGAAGGTTTTTGCAATGCGCCGTGGAGATCTAGACTTCACAAAGGATCCAGGCCTTGCGAAGTTGCGCCAAATGCTGCTTGAGTCTCTCGCTTCGTCGGTAGGAGGCGGAACCAGGCCACACCACGCGAAAACATCGATGTTACTTCGTAGAGCCAAGACATCTGATGTCAACCCTTCCTTCCGCCCCGTAAGAGGTTCTCCGGATCCATTAGCTCCATACGCGTTTTTGGACATGCCAACTACCTGTGTAGACAGTGAGATTCCGTCGAAAACGCGACGCGCTGGTCGTGGTCGTGAGTGGGCAATATGGGGGATTCGAGCATGGTTCGCGTGGACACCGTGACCTGACCGAGTTGAAGTCCTCGACATAGTCTTCCGCCCACGAAACTTACCCTGCTATCAAATTGCATCTAGGAAGTCCTGGAACGTAGTTTTGATTGCTGATGTGGATGTGTCGGAAATGAGAAACCAATCAAACATTTCAACTCTTGTTTCATCGTTTACTTGTGATTCCACAATTATTATCGTTTGGGGTTCTACTGCCCAGAAGCTATTTCCGTCGGAATTTCGTTGCCATTTCCTGTTTGTTTGGCCTCCAATACCCGATTTAGGAAATACGAGACATCATCTTTTTAGTTAAAGATTTACTTGATGACGACGCTGAGTTTCTTCAACGAGGTACTTCTCACGTGGAGCCAGATGCGGCGAGCGTATGTCACGTGAGTATGACCCAGGTCTATATTTGGGTAGGAAGCTCATATATGTCCAAGGGGATATGAATCGTTTGCCGAATGGGTAATACCGATATCTAAATCTACCATATTGTATCCTCGAGTTTGTCACTGCCAAGGCCTACCCCACAACTAGTTTCAGATCTCGGCAGCAGCCAAAAGTCCAATCGAATTCTACAAGGATAAACTGTTCGATCCGGATAAACGCCGGAAATCACTAGGTCCGCAAATATAGATACGATACGGCCCGCTGTACCTTTGCTGCGGTCATTAAATTTTGATGAGCGTCTGATGTCAGCCAATTGAAGCGGATCCTGAGGGCTAAGCTCAAGGTTAAAGAGCCTTGGGCTCGCCATGCACTGGCATTCTGTCCCTTGGTTTGATCTACTTCTTTCAACTATTGCGAATTCAACGTCACAGCCATTCTCAGGAAACCACCACCAAAATGGTCCTCCCAAAGACAGTCCTCCTCGCTCTTCTCCCCTTCTTCCTACAAGTCGACGCCCAGGCTTCTGGCAATGGAAAGACTACACGTTATTGGGACTGCTGCAAGGTTAGTTTTTAGTAAATTTTGGGGTTGGTTTTATAAAAGCTCTTCCTTCCTTGCCTCCTTCCTTCCCTCCCTCCCTCCCTCCCTCTCCTTCCTTCCTTCCTCCCTCCCTTCCTTCCTTCCTTCCTTCCTTCCTTCCTTCCTTCCTTCAAAACACTTCTCTATATTTATCTAATTGCTGCAAGGCTTCCTGCGGGTGGCCTGGGAAGATCAGCTTGGCCAGCGGCTCTAACCCGGTCAGTTCCTGTGATGCCCACGACAGGCCGCTGAGCAACTACAATGCCGTATCGGGCTGCAATAATGGTGCCACATACATGTGCTCGAACCAGAGCCCTTGGGCCGTCTCCGATACTCTCAGCTATGGCTTTGCGGCTACAACGGTTGCGGGCGGAACGGAATCCTCGTGGTGTTGTGCATGTTACGAATTAACTTTCACTTCTGGCCCTGTGCAAGGGAAGAAGATGATCGTACAAGCTACTAATACCGGAGGTGATCTGGGCTCCAACCAGTTCGATCTTGCTGTAAGTGTTCGATTTATACCCAAATAAACCCTTCTAACAGACTCCCTACAGATTCCTGGTGGAGGCTTTGGTATCTTTAACGGTTGCACCGCAGAATGGGGAACTCCCTCAACAGGTTGGGGTGCTCAGTATGGTGGCATTTCTTCACGCTCTCAATGTGATGCCTTTCCCGCGGCCCTCAAAGCCGGCTGCTACTGGCGTTACGACTGGTTTATGGGTGCAGATAACCCCGCCATCAGCTTCAAGCAAGTGGCTTGCCCGGCTGCTATCACCGCCAAATCTGGATGTGTGAGAGCAAATGATGCTATTAATGAGACACCTACTGGCCCAGCCTCAGTGTCAACCTGGACTTCTGGCTCAGCTTCTGCAACGGCTGCTCCGGTAGTGGATCCAGGAACTAATACTGGGAATGGAGAAACTGTTGGACAATATAAGCAGTGTGGCGGAGGTGATTATACAGGACCAACGGTCTGTGAGGCTCCATACACGTGCAAAGCCTCGAACGAGTTTTACTCGCAGTGCTTGTGAAAACGCCGGTGTAATTGGTCTTGCGATACCTACTTTGCGTATCAAACGAGGAAACCAAGGCTCCTGGTGGATATGACGAACTGGGGAAAATGATTTGACGCTGCTTGCTTGTTATTTGTACATACTTTCGAACTCAAGTTTGTACATATTGTTTTCTAGTGTTGCGCATAGTAAGTAGGACTTCGGGTTTGCACGCAAGCCTTCGAGGGTCTTCTATTTACTATTCTGGCTGGATTAACTGCCGTTCCCTGATCTAAATATATTTTATTCAGCCTACATGTGCATGGGACTTGGGCATCGGATGAATAGAGTAATTGAAAAATTATGAAAAATTGTATTTAATTGCCTACTCTACGGCATCGTATTAATTTATTCTTCCAGAGTACCCAATACGCCATCTGCGTGAAGAAGTTTCTATTCGGTGTTGTTCAACTTAATAGGATTTCTTCGATATCAATTTTATACATGCCCCCGAAGAATTCCACGAAGAAATGGAAAATAAGAAGCAGTCGCTCTAGGTATCAACACAATCTAACCACCCTGGGCATACTCGTCTCTCTCCAGTCCTTGCAGTATTTCAGTCCTCTCATTTATAACAACCTCAACCCACTTTGCCTCGGCCGCCCGCTTTCTCTTCCATTCCACCTCATCTATCTGAGCCCGCCCCTCGACAGTTCTGACTTCGCTCCTTTGCTTCGCTCTCAAAGTATCCATCTGCTTCCTCTCCCCTTCCGCAAGGGCCTGCAGCTTCGACTTCCGATAATTTTCCCAGGACTTATATTCGATATCTTGATCCCTTCTCAACTCATCCCTCGCGGCTCTTACTTTATACTCCCCGCCTGGTTTCCCCTTCCAGTATGCTCGTAACTCATCCACGTATTTATGTTCGATTCTTTGCTCCTCGGCTAGGAGTCCATGGTATTCCATCTCGAGTTTGTGTTCCATGTCGGAGATTTTAGTTTGTGACTCAAGGGCGAGAACTTGCGTTTCCTGTGGATGCCGGATGGATAGCGTCTCCAAAGCATTTTCACGTTCTTTCTGCAACGTTTCCTGTTCCAGATCATAGCGCTCTGCGATTCTAACATGCTGCACATCATGCAGTGATTCAAGTTCCGTGCTGAGATGAAGGAACCGAACATTAACAGCAGCAATACGCTCCTCCTCTTGGCGTCTCTGTTCCTCCTCCTCTTGTACTCTTCTCGCCTCCGCCTCAGCAGCTTCCATCTCAGCTTCCCTACGCTCAAACTCTGCTACGAGCCACAGCGCACGGCGCTCTTCTTCAGCGGCTGCAGTTTGTAGTGCTGTACGAGCTGCTTCCTCATTCCGGCGAATTGCGGCTTGTCCCTGAATATCCGCTAGTTGGTCATTGGTACATGAACATGTGCGCCAGCGTAGACCGCAGATGTAGCAAAACTGGGCGTTGCAGCGGCATGTCATGTGGCGGCAGCCCTGGGTGTGCTCAACTAAGGCATGGCAGCTATAGCAGCGTTTCCAGCCTTCTTGATCAGCGAGGTTGATGGTGGCGATTAAGGCGGGGTCATGGGGGCATTCTGTTCCAGTGTGGGAGATACCCCGGCAGCTGGTGCAAGTTTTGCGGGAGCACTTAGGGCATTTGGCGCGGTTTGATTCCCTCTTGATACCTTCTGGGGAAATCCAGGTGCCGCAGTTTGGGTGGGCGCAGTAGATACGGTTGCCGACAGGAATAGACCATTCAGCTTCACGGCCATGGTATTTCTTTTGAGTTTTGCGGTCTAGATGCGGCTCGATGGTTGAGGAGGGGATTTTGGTGAGGCAGCATTTTACTGGCCAATGAGTTTCTGATTCCAGGGCGTTACTGCTAGTTGTTAGTAACTGGAATGAGTTGCCAAGATAGAGAGACATTTACTTGATAAGTCTTTGGAAGCAGTCAGCACAATAACTGTGACAGGTGAGCTTGATAAGGTTTGTTGTTGCAAAGTCATCCAGACATGAGACACATTCCCTAGCAATAAGTATTAGACTGGGCAATCAACAAAGTTTATGATCCTACTTACCCTGTTAGTGGCACTGGAATTGCATCGTTTCCTACATCCACCTGACCTGGTGGTTCTTGCATTGTTGGCAAGACTAAAGCGCTACCGTTTTGGTTAGGAGTTGCAGGGTGATTAGGTGTTTTATCGGTGCGTTTAAGTTTGAATCGAGAGCTAATAGCAGAGAGGAATTTCTTTTCAACCCTTGATGACGCATGGTCAGGAGAATTGGCCGCCGGTGATCTAGACCCATATCCAGAGTCCCCCGATGATAGCGAAGCTCCACTGCCCTGGCTCGACCGAGGACTATGTGTAAAGATAGATGGATCCAAAGCTCCACTCATCGAGATCTAGCATTTATTAGTTGATGAGGGAAGTATTTATGAATCAGAATCTCCTACATCTCTTCGAGGTTTCGCTGACGCCCTTCCAGCTCGACCCAGGGGCTTTTCTCGGCGAGCAGCAGCAGTCCGCATTTCCACATCGGCCCTATGGCGGTCCCGTATTCTTTCTATGGATGGTTCCAAAAGGCTACGGATATCGGTCGATGTACCATCTTGGAAGTCTAGCAGCTCCCTAGGAGGATCGTATCGCCTCCAATTATCTATCGGTTCCGTTTCTGAAACACTAGACACAACAGGCTCGAACAACAGATAAGAAGGCGAACTCGCTTCATTACTCTGGTTGGTGTCGATGAACAGCTCATCGTGAGCCGGCGGCGATGGTTTTGCCGTCATCATCGAAGAGGAAAACCGGGGGAGAAACGGCTCATCACTCATATCTTCCTCCTCGGGGCCGTCCTTGGGCCAGTTGCCTGGCATGATAGCAACCATTGCCATTGCGGGCAAAAACCGTGGAAGATACAAAGAACAAAAGAATGTATATTTAATAAGATATGTCTCGATAAAACATGGAAGCAGGAAATACTCGCAACTCGACCGATCTCTCCGAGATAAACAGGCACAAACTGCAGTCTATCGGGTTTAAAGATACAAGATACAGCGTAGACAGAGGCAATGCCGAACACACATGCTATGAAGCTCCAATTAAAAGACAGGCCGCAGTCCCGCTCTTCGATGCGAGCCTGGGAGAGTAAACTTCGCCATAGCCACTGGAGTACCATATACAGCCAAAGCTCGTGCCTCCAAGCTGGAGAGCAGAGTCGGGCGACTTCACAGCCCGCATCGCACTCCAACCGCGAAATACATGGATACATCGAACCAAGTGCTGAAAGATAAATCCAATACACGGGCAGTTGAAAGGGATGTGGTTGGACAATATAAGTCTGCCTGCCGTGGGAAGGGGCTGAGTCGACGCCTGATGTTCGATGGCGGCATTGGCATGGCAACCCTGAGCGCATCGACAATATCCTTATCGCGATTGCGGTTCAGGCTCCCATATGAAGCAGAGTAGGCACCAAGGCATACTATAACGACGACGATCACTGTGGGGAACTCCACCAGCTCTCCATCGCACGCTGCGCAACATTGCATTACATTGCTCTACCCATCACACGATGCGGGATTATTACTACCACTAAGAGCTCTAGCTCACACATGGCACAGGTCAGTTCTGGACGAATGTACAGGCTTCACGACAGCTTGCTCTTGGACATAGACGCCTAACATGAATCCTACTGAGCAGGTAGTCGTTTACGAAATTGTCTACCCGTCTATATTATACGTTTCTGCCGTAGACAGACCCCCCTATTTCCACTACCGTATAATTTCCCTGCCTACTATTCGAAACTGCTTGGTCCCTGCCCAGCAGTACTAGCCAGCGAACTTACCTCTGAGCCAGGCGAATTACACCCACTCAAGTACTGATGTATTATACCGACATCTAACACAGAGCAAAACGAGCATCAAACACCCCAAATACTGCGGGGGTACCGAGTCTAGGATATGTCCATACTTCCTACATTGTCCACCAGGTTGTGTTATCTCATCTTCTTGAGAGACATGGGATATAAACAATAAGGAGGCTATGCCATTAGGTTCGCTATAAATCGTTCTATGCTAGTCGTCAACCTAGCAGTACTTGGCGAATAGATTGAATGCATTGTTATGCATGCGAGGACCTTTGGTTTCCGCTCTATGCCGAATAATTGATCAAGTGCTTATTTGCCATACGACAGACGTTCGATATACGACAGACGGCATATGGTTAATATATGGTATGATATCCGACATGCAATGAAATTTAACCCTGTTCCCTTTATAACAATTGAAAGCGGCCTGGTACGTACCTACCATTTTCTTGGAAACGCTTTTATAAGGCTCAAAGCCCATCAGCCTCTGTCAGTTGGGTGGTACGCTATTGCTCCTACTTTGTCTATTGGCATAGTATTCAGTCTTCCACGTTGAGATCGCTGTTGATCGCCACAAGCTAGGAGTGTCAGAGGATTATTGGCTTGCTTTATGGGAGCTTCGGCGCGAAGTATTGGTAAACTACGAGTCGAATGATCCTAGTGGTAGGCTTGCCTGCTTCCCTCCACCTGCGCCCCAGAGCAAAGGGTGCCTAGTCACTGCGCCTGTGGCCTATTCTTCTTTACTCCGTATGACGGTCAAGTTTGCCAGTCACTCGGCCCCTTATCCCATGGGAACAGCACCCAAAGCCCGCCGCCTTAGTTAAGTTTTGGCTGTTAAGGGTTGCAGATCCCCGTCGCTGTCTGGAAGGAAAATTTCAATGAGATTATCCCCAGCTGGTATTTCTCCTTTGTACGAGAATCTCAGTGTCGTTGTTTCATCTTCTAGGTCGTTAGAAACTTCAAGCTCTTAATTACATAGAGCCCTTTCGACCCTCTACACAACTTCAAACTCTCCACAATTTAGCGAGAAATTTCATACTTTCAGGCTCCTATTGTCTACTAGTATAGTAGAAAATTTTCTATCCACCTTGGACTTGCAACCTATGGCTATGTTTAGCAAGCTCGGGTTTCCCTATGGTCGTACTTGTGACCGGTCTTGTTGTTAAAAACCGAGGAAAGGAGATTTAAGCTATTTTGTGCCGGTTACCCTTCCAATCCAATCAATCTAGTATGAGCTCGGAAATAGGGTAGAATCGGCGACGCTGGCCCACATGGCAGGTGCAAACCTGATTGGTTTTGGCAGGCCCGAGACCACGTTGATATGATTCAAAGAAGCTATGACTATATTTCACTGGGTGCTAGAACATGCAAGAAATCCGGACTAGGTATTCTTATTTGACTGTCTCGATGGAACCGCGCCTCCCTTGGGCGGTGCATCGAGTGTCTGATAACCTTGAGTAGTCAAATAGATCTGAGATAAGAAGCCTTCATTCGGAATTGCGGGATTATTGAAATCTCACCTATCTATTCTACAAGACTAAAAGATCATACTACGTTCACCGCGACCCCAACATAAGACGTCCTGATCCCAACCTCAAAATTCCGAAGCACAAGCCCTATATCATTATACAACGACTCAAAACCAAGAGACGGAATACTTCTCTTATATCAAGGCTGAAATGACTCGGAGCTAATTTAACCGCCAAACTATTGTCGACTAGTAAGTCGCATGAAGGGTCGTTAAAGAATAAAGCCCAAGGGCCGTAAATTCCCGAAAACTTAAAAGCGCTCCCAATGAAAGGATCACGAGGTATTGCTCAACGGCCAATTTCCCGGGGGGCGGGGAGGGGGGAGACCTGCACGATAAGCCACAGCAACTTCGTGGATAGATTTCATGCACCATGACGAGCGTGATGCTGTTATAATGTGCAGTTATTGGTTAAGTTGCTGCTTATGCATTGAGTATCGTGCAATAGAGACATCCATGAAAACGAGGCAACCGAACAACTCACCTGGTTATATGTTGTTGGTCGTAAGGCAGCCGAAAAATTCGAAAATATAAGGCTCAATCAAGATATAGAATCTCCGCCATGAGTTTGATTGGATTAAGACAAGGCCCATGACGGTGCTTGGTAATGCTTTGGGCATTAACAGTTTAATAGAAAGGGCATGTACCATATATTTCATACTTCCTAATCACTGCTCGTCAGCCTCGTCATTTGCATTTAACCAATCGCCCAGCGCCACGATAATACGTATCAAAATGGCGACGAGATGAGGTCCCACTCAAGAGAGCCGCATACTTTGGTAAACAAAGCATTAAAATCAGCTCACTTGCGCTTGGATCGATAACGATATCCGATCGAAGTTAGTGAAAATGTCAGTTTCCGAAACGGCCCCCACGCATATCATTGTTGGAGTAGATGTTGGAATGACTGGTACAGGTATGGGTACCTTATGCTTCGATCCATCAACTAATGTTGAAGGCTAATTCTCTATGTGTCGCTGTGCTTTCAGGAGTCGCAATTGGCTCGTACTCCAAGAATTCGATTCTTGGACCACAGATTATTCAACGATGGACCCCCGACCCGAACAGGGTTGATAATAAAATTCCTACTCAAGTTACCTACAGAGCTGCCACGGCAGCTCATGTTCACTCGGTGGGATTTGAGTGCCCCTCGCAAGAAAAAATTGGTACCGGAATGCGATTGATAGGCATGTTCAAGTTTCACCTCGATGATAATTTTCTACGGGAAAGGCATAAAAACAGCCAAACAACTAATACTGATACTCTTGATGATGTCAAGTTTTGGTACCAAACATTTTTGACTGCGCTGCATGGTCATATTTCGCGCCAACTTCAGGATATATGGAAGGTTGATATCACTCTGACAAGGGTCGAGTACATTTTCAGTCTGCCAACATCTTGGCAAACTAATGATATATTGAGGAAGAGATTCCGAGAGATTATACACGATTCTGGGTTTGGGAATGATGTTACGATGGAATTGACCGAGGGGGAGGCTGCCGCTGTCTTCACTGCAAAGCATCATAGCCGGGAGTTCACTGTTAGTTAATGTTTGCTCTCCCGTGGTATGCTTATGCTAACGTGCAAATTGTAGGAAGGAGACGCCTTTATTGTTTGTGATTCCGGAGGTGGAACAACGGTATGTCCTTTTGGCCTTTTCCATCTTCTAATGAATATCTAATACTGTTTAGGACATGTGTGTGCTGCGAGTGAAACAATTAAGTGGTGAGGCCGTCGAACTTGAAAATGTCGACGAACCCAAAGGTGTGTATTCAACTCTCAGCTTTCAGCTTATTGAATTACACTCTTATACCCTTGCTTCTTTAGTACTTCCAGTCGGCTCCGTCAATATCGATGAGCTTTTTGAGGAAAAGATTCAAGGACCTTTAGCTGAGCTTAGGCGAATCCATCCAGAATTATCAGAACATGTCGCTCACCAAATAACAAGAGACGAATTTCAAAAAACAAAGAAATCGATTGGGACAGGATTGAGTTTACCAATTTGGAAGTTCCAGGTGCCAGACCCAGTGACTAATGAAAGGATAGAGGTTTCTAAGTAAGCAAGCACTGTGACTCATTACTATTGGATGATATTGACAGAATACTGGTAGAGAAGACATCCAAGCGATGTTCGACAAACAGATTCATCAGATATTCGAATTTATCGACTCTGAAGTGACCTATCTCGAGGCGCGCAGACCTGATGTTCATTTAGTAAGTACAGTTTATAATCTTTGGTTAGTACCATTTCTTCGAGTCTAATTCTAATGTCCTTTAATAGTCTTACCTTGTTCTCGCTGGAGGGCTTTGCTCTTCGGAATACGTGCAAGCCAAAATTAAGAGGCACTATGAGAAGAACATCACAGTGCTATTTGCGGGGGCACCCCTAGACCTGTAAGTCCTATATCCCTTTTGCTTGATGGTGTTAACTTATCTGGCAGCCCGCTAGCTGTATGCAGAGGGTTGGTTATTGACCGACTACAACATTTGTCCAACCAAATTTCTGTTATCTCAATCCCGAGTGGAAGCGCGTCGTACGGAATCCTACATTGGAAGACGCATAACAGCAAAGAGGAAACAGGTCAGGACCCTACAAAAACTACCAAAAGTCCGGTTGATGGCAATAAATATACCCCCGATCAAATCGATTGGCTCATTGTCCGAGGCCAACAATTTGAGTCTGGCGAGGATATCAGGAGGAAATATTCTCGTTTACTCACCCCAAAAAATCAGACACATCGCTGGAAGTTTGCAGTTGTTCGATCCACATTGCTCCCGACAATGTTGCCCAATGAGTTCGCCCCCAATAATGGCGATGCTACCATCTATTGTCTTGTCATAGCGGATCTTGAGCCAGGACCAGAGAACATTGGCGATGTTCGAAGGCGTTGGCTGAGGGGCAAGACAGGCGTGCAGGTAGACTACGAGATATCTGCCATCATAAAGCCTGGAGAGCTGAAATTTCGAGCCAGAATCGTTGGGCAGAAAGAAAGCGAAGTCCGGGACCTCGAAGTGAAATGGCTGGACGACTTAGCCATTGGGGCTGGGGAATGTAATGTTGGATTTGACGATGGCCTCATAAAGTTCATAAGGTGATTGATTCCCATCTTTCATGGTTACCAACCCCTATTTACTCATCCTTTGTCTCCCCCGGATATCCGCATCGTACGATTATGTGCAGTGTACGGAGTAACCCCTAGAGTAACCAATTGTGTATAACTACATCTATTTTGTGACACCCTCGTTTGCTAGGTGCTTTACCCGTAACTCGATATCCAACCCTCGCCGAAATCGAGTGGCTCTCGTGGACGGTGGGTTGTGGAATCTTCGTGGCTGAATGCGTCAGTATTGGGAATGGATGCCTGCGCCACCCGTTTATTCAAGCCTCGCCAATTAGGATCCGGACAAGCCCCTCCAATCCCATTTCAGATACGAGACAAAAGGAACATAACTCCAAGGCCACGGTGGATACACCTCGACGCAAAATACTCGTACGAAGTACTATCTGACAGTCTGACTTCTTCGTCCCCTAAGCATCGACAGACCTTAATAGTATGATGAGGACACACTGTTAATAAATAAAACGTTGAACTGGCCACCTGTCATGATAGTTCCCTAGATGAAAAGTTCAAGTTCTGCACTAGTCGACTATTGACCTACCAGTTGGCGAGCCACCACTCCTGCCCCAACGGGTATGCTTTTTCCCCCAACCTCAACAATATAGCTGGCTCCCTTGAGCAACGATCATGAGCTCAGCAATACCACCATTGTGCTAATTCAATGGCATGAAATAAATGAAACGATGGTACCCTGCCAGTCGACAGGGCCACCTGCAGTCTCACGAAATTCCAGTCTCTGTGTTACGACTCCTGGGCCTTGCTTGAAGCATTTACTAGCATCATTTAAAACTCAAGGCTTTTCTTGACTTTTGTGAAAGCATCCAATATCGGTTTGCAACCTCGATGATCCGAGCCACTTATCCTGGCCTGCAGGAGGTTGGGATATTGACCTATAAAGGGGTTTAAGAGCATCCTCATCATGGCGGCTAGGATCCTATCCCCACTAAGTAGACACGAGGCTAAAGAATGTGTGGTAAAGCAGATGAAGCCCATACACCGGCAGCACAGCCAGTCAGACTGAAAGAAATTCCTCCAACATCCCGCCCACCAACCAGCACCGCCAGAGATCGACCTTCCGCTTCCGGCCGCGAGCGACCAGCCTCGGCGCGAAGACACAGACCAGCGAGTTCTTCAGCCTCCTCCGCCAGACCATCTAGTAAATCAACCAGGCCATCTAGCTCGAGACGGGCTCCAAAAACAGCTGGGGCTGAGAGGCATAGCTCATCGCGTGGAGATCGACCCCAACGACCTCGGCCAAGGTCCCAATTTCCATCTATTCAAGAGTATCCCGAAGACAAAACAATCATCAACAGCGTTGCAGAGCTTGTAACTCTTATCGATCAACACGTGGAGTATTACTACCCCCACGATGGTCCCCATTTGGAAGGCACCACTGCTCTCGACAATCCACGAACACGGCATGCAACTATCCGCAAACATATTGCAAGGGAAATTATCAGCTCGATAATCATGACCGGTAATAGGTATGAGACGATCCCATTCGATAGTGTGTTACTCAGATGCTACTTAGCTAACCAAGTCCCAAGTTCGCCAGATGTATCTCTCGTCGCACATCGGATATCTGAGTATGTGGAGGAGTATTCAGGCCGGACCTCCTACGAAGCTAAGCGCAAGTCTCATATTCTTGAACTCTGTAAACTTGGAATGGAAACCAAGGAACTTATCGACTCTCATCCTGCACATTGGGAGTTTGGTTCATGGGATGAAGCGGGTTTTATCCTCCTGCTTCCAACACTTTTGAGGGATGGAGAACAGGTAGTAGCGAGGCAGATATTCAGGATATCCTAGGCAACAAAATTCGAGATAATAAAACACTTGTAGCTTTGAGTTCCAGAGGCATATTTCCGTTCAACGTAACTTGAAGTAAGCAGCGGTTGAAATCTTTGAAAGTTTCGCTGCAGTGAGCCTTGCTGCAAATTGGAAACCAAGAAAGGGAAAGGGAACCCGAAGGGGGACTTATAAGGACTGTCTGACTGCCGACGAAGGTGGGACGGGAATGAGAGTCGTCTGCTGTCTCCCGACAGCTGTGACATTCGAGAAGTCCCGACAGCGAGCATAGGAATAGAGCGGTGGAGCGAGAGAGTGCTGTTGAAGAGGTTCGAGAATTCGCTGCAAGGACACTCGTCGCGCCAGTTGAAAAACGGGAAAGTGTGTTAACTGGAAGAAATAAAAAACCGGAAGATAAATAAGTACACAAGCACGTAAGTGCCAACTGCGAGTACTTGTCAGCTAAAACCGAAAATAGCACTCGGATTTGCGCCCGTGCTGCTGCATTGCGGCCTAAATGAAGTACCAGTTGGGTGGTTGGGCGGCAACCACGTGGCAGGCCGTCTCTATGCGCGATTACGGCTTTTAATACGATGGTATGAGTGTAATGTGCATTTTCAAATAGTCTCGAATAGTTGAGGATTGGCTTAGATTAAATGAGTGATGGCTGGCATGCTACTTTGGACAATATAACGGGCACTTTGAGGAACTTCCCTTGTTATTGTCATCTCGGTTGGAGTTATTGAAGGAGGACTTGGATACCGGGATGGATGGGCCTGGGATAGGGGGGCTGGCGGAAGAGCTTGGGGGAAGAAATATATTGTGAGTATCAATATAAGTAACTGCCTGGTGATGTAGCACAAGTAGGGTATGGAAGAATGACTAGGCGTTGCCAAAACATCAGCCTGTAAATGGCTGGCTTCAAGGACGACGAGAAATCCCTATGTAGTTCCGTTTTATTGCCTACCGTTTTACTACATATCCACAGAGTGATTTTGTCCCGATATTTGTGTTTGGTTTACGCCGGTACAAGGAGGCCGCAGTCGAATTAAAGTTTGAGGCTGGGCTGCCCGCAGGTCCTCAACCCAGTAAAGGTCACCTTAGATGTAGATTTCCCAGACCCACTTTGTATGTGCGAGGGTGTTAGAATTGTTATTTAGGTATACTCCTTGCGGGATTTGACTTGCAAAAGCTGGGAGAGTAGGCTCAGTAGAGTAACCAAACAACTGTTCCAGTGATATAAATACATATAAACCACAGTTGTTATATAATCATGCGATTCCATCATTATACTCGACAAGAAACCCCTTCTTTATCGGGGGTGGAACCTGCTTCTGCCTCTTACACGAATCAACTACATCTTTCGTCCAATCTGTAAGCCGGACGTTATGACTGCCAGCCAGGTGGAGTAGAAACTGATCCACCCTATTGAATTTGAGCGTAGCTTGGCACCTATCCATATTGTGCTCATGTTTCAAGTGCTTAATCCGAATCTCCCAATCTGCAGAGCATTCCATGATATCCTCACCGTAATCCTCAAATATTATGTCGGAGGGATCGCCACAATAGGGGCAGACATCTTCCTCGCACAATATTGGAAGTGAAGTATTTTGAAATAAATACCATGCCATTGGGCCAGCCTGGAGATAGGTAGCAGCTCTAACATCGTCCATTGTGGGGCATGACCAAACATCCTGGGGAAGATGCCATACTTCTTTGTGGCGTTTAGCATCCCCATCACTTCTAAAGCCAAGGTTGCAGCGGTGGCATTGGCGATATTTACTAGCAGAATGATTGCTGAAATGGCTGGTATCAGTGGCGTACAGGTTGAGGAGAGGAGATATATAAATTACCTGTTAAGTTTGTTATACTCTGCTAGCTCTGGAGCCAAGAATGTCCCTGGATCCCATTGCACAGAAGAAAACCAAGGGACTCGAATCCCTGTAGTCTTACTGATTGGATAAGGTGGCACAAGTGGGTTCCAGCAGGACATAGCCGTTCCTGTTTTGAAGTGATTACCGATATGTATCGCTCGTTCGCTCCACCGCGGCAGTAACGTATCGCAAAATCCACATTGCCAGTAGTATGCATCGTCCTTCGGAGGAAATGACCAACTTTCCATCCACACTGTAATAGTCTGCTGGTTATGGTGATTCCGAAGGTGTTCCTGAAAGTCCTCTCTGCTCCTATACGTTCGATCCTCCACTGACCGGCTCAGGCAGGATTCACCCTTATGCTGCGAGCAGTGCGAGCTATCTGGATCAACAGTACCGCAAAACGCACAGATCGCTTTCTTATCCTCTGATTCCTCTATAGCACCCCAAGGCATACAAATCCAATCCCCCCCCGCATCGAAGTGTTCGGTTTGTTCGTGCTGCCCCCATTCCTCTTGGTTACCAAATCGTTCAGAGCAAAATATACAGTGAAACAGCTGTGAAGAACTACCATGGAAGTCTTCGGGGTTGTGAGATGGTGCGTGTTCAAAAACGCATTCCGCTATGCTCCCTCCATCCTTCTCCCATGGTGACTGTGAGTCGTCGTCAGAGGAAGTTGATATAGATTCCTTGCTAGAATGAAGTGGTTGCGACGATAAGGTCAAACTCGATACCACACCAAGATCCAAGGGAATCGTTAAACCAGAATCGCGAGAAGGTAGGCCCACAGACGAAGAATATGACTGGATGAACGTTGATGGCGAGCTCTTAAAAGAAGAAGTGTCATCCGTCTCATCTTCTACAAAGGCCGAATCTCCATCACCGAAAGGGACTGGTGAACCTCTGATCAAGAGCACTTCATCATCACCGCCCGGAGAACGTTCCATATCCACTGCGGGGGAGCTTCCAGACGATTCGGCCTTTTGGGGAAGGTCGTGTCTTAACTTCAAAGACCACATACCTACGCGACCTAATTTCTTGCTTCCTTCTAAACTATAGTACGGGTGGTCTCGGAGCGACCCTTCCCAGGAGGGGAATTCTAGGATTTGTTCTGCACGAATCTCAGGCGATTTGAGGTTTCCTGGCATGCTACTAACCTCGGTCCGTCCATAGCAGCATTGTTGGTAGGTTTGGGCACAGTTCCAGCAAGACGGACTTGCTCCATCACATCCAAGCTTGTGCACCCGGCATTGTTGACAGCTACAGAAGAAACTTTCGGTTAGTAATCCATCAGAGGACCAGTAGATTTCTGACCATGAGAGCAACTTACGACAAGTTTAATCGGAAGCTCTTCAGAGCAGACAACTCAAGTCCCACATCGTAGCCAACTCGCGTAGTCGTTCCCACAATGGCACAGGATTTGGGTTGGGTATCTACGTCCTCTGGCTCCAAAGCTGAATGAAACCCAGCAACGTTTGGGTGGACACCTGACACGCATGAACGAACGATTCGTTGGCATGTAGTCAACGTGGCCGACTCGCTATCCTCACTGATAGAAGTAGCTGAGCTGGCAGTTTGGGCTTGTGCGCTGAACAACGATGCGGAGCTACAGGATTGATTCTGACTGCAGGCTGTAGAGGCTGAGCCTCGCGATAACATGCTATGTGCATCATAATCATAACCCGCGACGGCCCTTTCAGCGATGCCCCGAGGCAGATGTCGCTCGTGGATCTCACTCTTAGCTCGGAGAACGATGGTGTAGAACTCTCGGAGCTCTTCGGGAGACCGCACTCTTGGTAAATACATCTCCTCAATCAAAGTCGTGATCATCGAATCGGCATCCGTGGGAGATTTGGGAGATCAGTTGTAATCGCATATTGCTTGAGATTGATGGTGAAAGGGGTTGGTCTCGCTTTGGTTTGAGGCAGCGAAGAAAAAGCATTAGCAAAATGAAGGGCAAGCTGAGAATAAAGGAGATGACTAGACATAAATAAATCGCCCAATCCTATTTGTAGGGGCCCGAAGAGGTGCGGACGTGCGAGAGGGTAAAAGCCATGCTGGTGATGATGTGTTCTGCATTGAATGGCTTCGCTACAATGCACGACCGCCCGCATCGTCCGCCTCACCGCAATATGATATCCAATTTGACTCATTCCCATTCACGTTAATATCCCGCCACCAACAAATAAGTAACTCGTGGTTATGACAGCTCCAGCCCCTCAGATCCAGGTTCACTGAGCACATGTAACTAGAGGTAGTATCGCGCACAGGTAAGTGTCAAAAACAATTGAAAATGACATGTTTCTTCCTACCTCCTCATTGTGAGCATAAACATGTTGAGCAGCAACGCATCTTCACCGTCTTCGGAGCCGGGGCCCCTCTCTGTCATCCCAATAGCGACGGAGTGCATTAGGATCGTGCTGGAGTGCATTAGAATCATAGGAAAAGTCCCAGCTTCACCATACGAAATTAATGCACATAAAGACTTGCTTCAGATGGTCTCAACCCGTTTTGATGATGTTAACTCTATCCGGGCATCTATATATGGCTCGAGCGCAAAATTCGATGTGATAGATAGTCAGCTGCAATCTATCAAATCCTCACTTGAAAATGCCAAGCAGGCGATGAGTTCGGCGGCGCACAACAGGACAGGCAAAGAACGTGTTGGAATCGCCGACAGTTTAGAATGGCAAATTTCCTATAGTCACATCGCAGAAGCCAACAGGGCGTCGCTCCTCACCTGTCTTTGGAGCCTAGGGGAAATAATGACGGAGCTGGAATACGAGCAAAATATGCGACTGCAGCGTCGAGAGACAATATACTTTAAGAGTATCCAGGAGCAACTATGGGTAGCATTATCGAGACGCGCCGAAAGGCATTCGATTTTGTACTCAGGAAGGGGAGAACAATTGTCCAAGTGCCTAACAGTAAGCTCCTATGCTCTCCTTCAGTTTGTTTATTCTCAGGCCAACATTGCCCCAGAGTAGGAAGGAACAATTTGCTAATATGTGCTGTTGACAAAATAGTAATAATTGATACGCGTTTTGACGGTGGTTTCCCGCTGGGGAACCGGGAGCATATATAACGCAAATTCAGGTCAAAAGGTTGAGGTCGCGTTCAGGCTGTTATAGTTTGTGTACAGTATTGTTAAATACGCATACAATGATAAGAATATGCAACGATGTTTGGCGACCAGAGGAAGAGCTTGATAAAGACGTGAACTCTGACATTCAAAGCAATATGGAAATCAAGGTGCGGTTTTCGACGCCACAAATTATAAAGAAGGGATCACGCTTAGACAAGAAAGCGGCACTGCAAATTTGCAGGGAAGAATGCGTCTAGGTATGGCAGGCTTCTAGCTATCCGCAAACCCAGCTGCCATACCAGCAAATAAACCGATGCTTATTCCTTAAACCGCAGACCTCTAGACTTCTTGAAGGTAAGTGGTGTTTTGAGGATTGAGATTAAAGGCTGAGAGGTAACTTTGGTCTGAAGCCCATCGGTAGCGGGCCGCGACCCAAGAACGCGGCCGCTAGAGTCATTAGCGTATAATGCCCCGCGATCGTGGTCCTTGATTGCACTCTCAAAGCTTCATTTCTCACAAGCAGCACAGCATCTCCCCAAATCTCCAAAGATATCAGAAAACCACAAAAAAACCGTCAATATGGTGGATACCGAATCACAAGATTCTCACGCGGCGCCCGCAGAACCCCAATCAAGACACGTAATATATTGCGGAGGTACGCAATTTTGACCCCGCCATCTACACTTCCTACCAGTCTGTTCTAACTCGCTCTTTTCTCAGTGTGCTCATTGCCTCCTGAGGTATACATAATCCGCATTTCCGGTTCTAAAGACCTACATGCTTACTAGGCCGGGGAAATAGTATTGCGAATTCGGCGGCACTGTTAAGAAATGCCAGGATTGGCTGCAGAAGACACAGTCTGAGATGTATGACCGGCTGTGGTCTGACGGTATATCCTTCCCATTTCTTTCATCCCTCGCCCCCTCCTTGTTCCCCAAGCACTTTTATTTTCAGTTCCACCACTCGTGCCCCACTCCAAGCAGTGCTAACTCTCCCGCTCCGAACAGACGCTCTCGCAGCAGCAACCTCCGCACTCTCCGTCGATGCCCGCAAACGCGCCGAAAAAGACGCCCACAAGAAAGCCCTCAAAGCCGAAGCCGCGGAAGCGAAACACGCCCAAACAATCGCTAGCTCTAAAGTGCTAATCAAGCGCGTGGAGCGCAACAAGCGGAAATACGTGACTGCCGTCTCAGGATTAGAGGCCTTCGGACTGGATAACAAGAAATTGGCGAAAGAGCTAGGGAAGAAGTTCGCGACAGGATCCAGCGTGAGCAAGCTGCCCAGTGGTGGGGAAGAAATCGTTGTTCAAGGGGATGTGAGTGACGAGATTGAGGAATTTTTACTGGATAAATACGACGTTATTCCAGAAGACAATATCGAGTTGATCGAGGATAAAAAGAAGAAGAAAGATATTGGGGCTGGCGGATAGTTGCGTAGTTTAGGAGGGAAATGAGGGTTTGGATATTGATATTGATGGATGACCATTTCATAACATTTCCGCGACCCAAAGCAATATGCCCAGGCGCTAGTAATTACACAAACTCCGATATGACCTAACATAATTCAATTTCTCTTCCTGAGAACTCTGGTGCCCGTAGCAGGAGCTGCGGCCTTGGCTGCTGGCGCCTTCCTAGTACCACCACCTCCCATACCTTTCAGCGTACTCATAACCGTTCTCTTCGCAGGTTCCTTCCTAGGCGGCATAGGCTTTCTCACAACGGTGGCATTACTCGAATCGCTTGAGTCACTGATCGCACTACCTCTCCCTCTCGCAGCCCTTGGTGCTGGTGCTGGTGCCGCTGGTGCTCTTCTCCCTCGTCCCGCTCCTGCGGTTGCAGCTATAGTTGTTGGTGCTTTCCGTGCAGCTGGCCCTCGCGTCGATTTTGCCTTTTCAACCATATTGGTGAGCATGCTTGATGGACCCCCTGTTGCTGAGGGTTTGAGTGGGGACGCTGGGCGGGCCGGAACTGACTTCGAAGGTGGCCCAGATGGGCGAATTGGCGACCGAGGTAGAGTTCTCGAGTTCGCAGATCTCGGTGATAGTACTTGAGAGGGTTGTAATTTCTCCCGCGATGAGCCATGAGAAGGAGGGCCGGGTCGAAGCCGTTTCTTCGGATTCTCAACATCTTCATTCTCCTTGTCAATCGAAGAAATTTCGTCGCTACAACTGTTAGTACATCCACAATATGGTTTATATCAGGAAATATACCTTAGCCGCTTTGGTGCTCGTCGTGGTGAAGGGCTCGCTCGAGATTGCTCACGAAGATCCTCCATTCTATTCTTCGCAGGAGAATTGGCCTTGACTACTCGTTGAGGGTTCCTGTTTGTGCTCTTGGCAGCGGTCTCGCTATGCTTCTGCAGTAGTTCTCCCATTTTCGCTCTACGGAGTGCTGTGGGAATCCGATTAACTCGAATTTCAATACGTGTCCGGAGACCTTGAGCTTGAAGCATATATTGCGCGCGGAGTTTTCTGGCGCGTTCCGTGACTGCTCGACATAATTAGCATGCGTTTGACGCGCCCATCTCGAACGTGGCTGGAGTTGTCCTACTCTCGAGTTGCAAATTATCGATGAGGGCTTGCTTTTGGCCCAGTGTAATTCCGGCTCTGGCCTTTTTGATAGGGCTTCTATTCGATGGAGGTGTCCGTATAGGGCTGCGTGTTTTGGTCGGTACCATTCTTGGGGGGGCTGGGAAGCTTTGCATGTCTACAGAACTGGCTGTTGATTCAGTCGACTTGCGCTTCTTCGATCGCGTTGGTGCCATGTTGCGGCTACAGGGAAATTTTGCTGAATTCGAGGATTTGTTTGGACGTAAGTGTAGATTAGCTGCAATCAAAAACCGCCCGCTGACCAAGTTATCAATTCGCAATCAAACAGTGTCCGTAATAGTTGGATATGACCGAGGACGTACGTAGCGCTTGTAGAACCCCAAAGTAAACAAACGGATCCGCCGCATCGCTTGAAATCCGGCGCTAGCCCGAACAAGCTCATAGCTACAGGGGTTCCCACGACGAGATACGCGCAGCCAGAAGCTACCTGGAACCACCTCAACGCCATCAACTCCATCACCCCCATCATCTTCCTCCAAATATCGCCGCGCGACTCTAAATCACCCCGCTTCGACCAACTCGGCATACTTCTTCCTCAAACGCAATATTGCCGAAGCCCTCAACTTGAGGCAACGCACGAAAGATGGTTCTCGAAGCAGTAATGGTGGTAGTGGACAACAGCGAAAGCAGCCGGAACGGAGACTATACACCTACCAGATTCGAAGCACAATCTGACGCCGTATCGCTCATTTTCTCCGCTATCACACAAGGCAACCCGGAATCCTCCGTTGGGCTTATGAGTATGGGAGGCAAAGGGCCGGAGGTGCTAGTCACATTGACGACGGACCACGGCAAGATATTGGAGGGATTACATCGTACGAAGTCAAAGATCCGAGGAGAAGGCCATTTGACTACGGGAATTCAAATTGCAGGTGTGAGTACAGGTCATAGTCTCAACTGCTCTAGGAGACACCACTGAAAGGATTCTAGCTGGCGCTCAAGCACCGACAAAATAAATCACAACGTCAACGTATTATCGTCTTCACTTGCAGTCCCATCCCCGAAGACGAGAAATCCCTGGTCAAGCTGGCTAAAAAGATGAGGAAGAGCAATGTCTCGGTCGATTTCGTGGCTTTCGGTGAGCTAGACGATGACACTACCAAGAAGTTAACAGCTTTCAACGAAAATGTCAAGGGTGGCGAGGGATCATATCTAGCAATAATCCCTCCCGGGCCAGGTCTCCTCAGTGACCAGCTAGTCACAAGCCCGATACTGAATGGCGATGGCACGGGTGCAGCAGCTGGATTAGGGACCGCCGCTGAGGGTGGTGAAGGTGGCGGGTTTGAATTTGGCATTGACCCAAGTGTGGATCCAGAGTTGGCTCTTGCATTACGTATGAGCATGGAAGAAGAGAAGGCGAGACAAGAGAAGCAAAACAAGGAGAAAGCGGAAGCAGATGCCAAAGCTGCATTGCCTGAGATAAAGGAGGAAGACGAGGCTGCACAGCCATTGCTGAGCAAGGATGGGGAGCCTAGCAAAACTGGGCCGAAGGATACGAAGAAGGACGATGGGGGTGATGATGCGGATAAAATGGACACGGCATAGGCGAAGGAAGTTGGCAGACCTTGCATTGCTGACGGCGTTGGGATGTACCAATAGATATCGCCATAAAATGGATAGTTATGGAGGACTCTCGCCCGCTATCCTGCTGCTCAATTTCCAACCCAAGGTCTAAATATGTAGGCACAGGGAATATCGAACTTCTGCGCTTCCCCCCAAGGTCCCCAATTTTTGGGAATACATCCCTGACTCTGTGTCCTGGCGTTGGTAACTCTAAGTACCTTCGTCCTCCACGGTCTAGAAGAGCACTCGCTCTAACCTCCTACCGCTACTACAGCCTTTCTCGTACTCCCTATTCCAATCACATCCATATCCTTGCGTATAATTTGTATCAATCTCTTCCCGATCTAGATTCCTATCCCTCCCATCCGGTCTCTCACCTAGAATTAATACCCCTCATCTCCCTAATCAACCTCCTCTCCCAGCCCTCACTCCTAATCGGCATCTCGAGACTATAAAACGGATTCTTCATCACATAATCCGCATATAGCTCATAAATCTTCCCCATAATCTTATCCGTATTAGGTTGCTGCGGTTCAGTAAATAACAAGAACTTTGTCCCGGTTAAGGTAGAGAAGCATTGCAGGCGGAAGTTCTCGGTTTCTAGCACTTCGATTCCTGAAGGTTGTTCTGGGCGTGTGATGGGTGCTGTTGAGGAGCGCGGGTTGTGCGGGTGGAGGGGATTGAGACGTGTTGATATTGCGTGGATTCTGTGAGAACGGATTGGTTAGATGGATGTGTCGACAAACGGGGGGAGCTGCATAATGTACCCGTGAAATGTCCCAGCGAGGACGAGGTAGTCGTTTATGCTGAGCTTGTTGAGGCCTTCAGCAAAATCCCGCTGGTAGATTAGACCGCCTGCTTTGTTTATGACAATGAGTGCGTAGACGACCCTGTATATTGAATTTATTTGTTAGCACCGGCCTTTGTTCTCGTCTTGGCCATATTAAGGGAAGAATTGGGTATGCGTACATCGTTGCGGCTTATATGGAGGCAGGGGAGGTATCAGAGAATTCAAGAAGCTGGAGATCCATATACAGGACCTGGGACCAAATTTGAATTGAGGGTTTAGAGAGAGTGGGCGTTGTGCGGTGTTGGGCGCATCACATTGTCAGCGATTGGGGTGCGGTTGATGAGGCTGAAGATTCCCCAGATTTACGAAAGAAGCGCGACCCCCGAAGTCCCAAGCGAGAGCTTGAACTTTCTTCACGCGACAAAACCCACCTTCACCCCACCACAGCAGCGCGGCGACTGTTCAACTCTTGCTCTACAATTATCACCGCCTTTTGCGCCGAAGACTACAGCTACACTCTATCATACGAACCCGAGATGTCTGGCCCGCCACAAACGTCCCGCACGCGCGAAGCTCCCCAAGGCGACGAGGAAGCCGCCGCGGAACTAAAGCTCGGCGAATTCCAGGACGTGGACGCGCTGACGCACAGCGAGGCAGCGCTCGTTATCAACGCCCTGGTAGCAAAGCGGAGACTGGACCGGAAGAACGTGAACGAGACGGAGTATGTGACCTCTTCTCCTTGCGAAGCATGTTGTTTAGGATTGAGCGTGTAACCGCAATCTCCCCAATATACGACGGCTGGATGGATGGATAGCTATAGCCTTATTCTAGCACCCTCTACAGATATATTGGGCAATCCTTCTCATTTCCAAGAATTCCCAGCCGTGTCCTGGGGACTCCAGGCGCGGGCCTGCGCGCTTGCACGACGTGATACGCGATGGGCTGAGCTGAGCTGACATGCATTTCCTCCCCCTAGGATCCTGCAGAAAACCACGGATTATCTAGAGCACTTTGCGCGGTTCCGACGGAAGGAGAATGTCGAGGCTGTAGAGCGGCTGCTTACGGCGCACAAGGAACTGGCTAAGTTCGAGAGGGCGCAATTAGGTATGGGTCGCTCATATCTTCATATCACTATCACAAGAAGACAAGGAGGCTGACGGATATTTTATTACACCAGGCTCGTTATGCTGCGATACCGCTGAGGAAGCAAAAACCCTTATTCCCAGCCTCCAAGATAAAATCTCCGACGATGATCTACAGGAACTTCTAGATGAGATCACGAAGCTAATGGGGTATGGAAACTGAGTTTCCCCATCGATCCCAGCATTTCATTCACGTTCGGGCTGGCTCTACTCATACCTAAAGTCTATGCTCCTCTTGTGTTTCTCAGAAATGTTAGAAGATGGTTGAAGACGGAACAAACCCTGTTTAATGAATGAGGTCGATCTTCCACCTTCCAACCCACCCTATATCCAAAAACGGACCGAGTGGCGGAAACGGGAAATCACCAGAATCCAGTACAAAATTGCAGGCGTTACGGACGGATAACCGACATTGGACGATAAGCCATGCATTTCCACGGCGTCGGCGTCAGTAGCCCTTTATTGGTTTTTATTTTACTTTGCTTTTTGAATTGATTGATACCAGTCTCTGTGTTTTTTTCTGCTTTGCTCTAAGAATCTTTACTTTACAGGGGTGTTCGATCTTCGAACTTGCTGAGAATAAAGGGAATACATAAAATAGATTTGTGGAGGGAGTGGAGTGGAGTGAGTGGACTACCTGCTTGACTTAGCTAGCTAAGGCTATCAAAGTAGATTGAATAAACATAGTAGAAATCCAAGATCTCGACAAGGTTCTTGCTAGTGCGGGAAATGCCGTACGTGAGTTTCGAGGGGCCATATCGTATCATGAGACTGAGGCTGAGTAAGAAGGATGAGTAGCGTTTTTAGGGGGCCGGTCTCATATTGTGATGCCGAACCAGTTAAGGAAGACGAGCGCATTGTGTTCTGACTAAGTAACGAGGTAGGCAGAACATAAAACTCCTCCCGTCTTACCTGTTGCGCCTTTCGCCCCATCACGTACAGGCTTACGAATACACAAGAAATCCCATCTTGTGCCGCACTATCAGTTACAATCCTTCCCATACAACAACAACCCCCACCAAGAAGCAAACGTCACGATTCCAGGATTTGTATGTAAAAATTTTAGCTTTATTTTCAAGGTCTGAATAACCAAGGTTGCAACTCATAGAACAGCCTTCCTAGCTAGCTAATGTCTCGAGCGCTAGAGAAGCAATAAAATCTTTCCTGAGCTTCGCTCTTGCGTATGTATAGAGAAGCAAGGTGTGATCTGCTATGAACACTTAACACCCCAAGCTGCCATATATAAAAAGACAACCAACCACCCCTCAATTTCAACCCCCCGTTTTGACTCCGTTAAACTCCGCGCTGTGAAAATGCCTGCCAACCGTACCGTAAAAACTCCAAGCTCGAACGAAGTATGAGGGTCGTGTGTAATGGTACAAAAGTGTGGTGGGACAGAAGATTTACATTATCATTTTGCTAAGGCGCCGTGGGTTTCGTAGGGTGGCGGTCCCTGTGTGTGTGTGTGTTTCGTAGTAACGAGCGTGAGCTTTCCATGTCTTTATTGTATCCCGGGGTATCATTTCGATCGTTCGCAAATTCCAATCCTTCCGAGGCATTCCTTCCCTATCTTCTAGCCCAACTCTCCCTCTCGGTCCAACTCTCGCGGTACACTGCGCTCAGCGGTGTCTCTGGCAATTCTGACCAAGCCGAGTGCACTCTTCTGGGAGGAGGACCCATCCAATCCCTCCATGTGGAACCCCCGTTTTCCTTATGCATGTTGCCCTCTGATGAGGGTTCTCGAATTCCAAGGCTTCCCTGTTCAATTTCCCTCTGTCTTCGAGACCGCTCGCTTCCCGTGCTGTTGCTAGGTCCAATGCCGCTGAGATTTCCGGCTCCATACGCGGCCCATGACATAACATGGTCATCGCGCTCATTCATGTTAGACCTCATGGGAGCCTTGGGTGATGTTGGAGGTGGAGAGGAATGGCGTTGCAGAGGCAGGTCAAAGGGGGCTTTAGATCCTTCGAGTCCTAGTCCGATGGGGATACTGTAAGTGCTCACTCCTGTCTTGCCACTGCCGCCACGAGAAATGGATTCACGGGATTTAGACGACTTTTGACTTGGTTTGGCGCTGAAACGAGAAAGCATATCTGGTTCGCTGTGGGATTGGGAGCGAATAGCATGAGTATGTTCGCCAGGCAGCTCACTGCGGCCTGCTGAGCGGCGTGGGCTTAGCGGACCGCCGTCCAATTCGTTGCGTGGGATGATTGGAATACTATCTAGTTGCTGTGCTTCGCCCTCTGGCCGGAAAGCCGGATGGCGCCACAGAGGGGGTTGGTTCCGTGGGGGGGACGCTCCAGGCCGGAAAGCTGGATGACGCGAGAGTTGATGGAGGTGGTAGGCGGGATGTTGCTTTTGTTGTGGGGAGTGGATTGGGGTGGGTGGAGTTCCAGGAGTGCGTGGGACGATAGGTGTTGGTAAGGGGAAGATAGATTCTTCAGGGGATAGTTGACTAGGAAGAGATTCATAGTCAGGCTGTCGACGGGTGAGTGGTGCTTCAACTGTGATCTTCTCTTGGTCGTCGTTTGGGACATGGACCTTCTCAGCAGAGGGAGATAGCAGAGCCCTGGATAGATAATTGTTGTCCCTTTGGGGTTCTGGAGAGTCGTTGGTTCGGTAGCCTGAAGCTGTCAGTGTGTGTTTTGAAACTAACTAAAGGTTCTTCAACATACCTCCATACGAATCTGAATTAAGATGTTGCCCCTCATAGTAGGAGTCGTGTCTTTCTTTGCCTTCTTTTGAGCCATAGGTTGATATAGTAAACCTTGATCGCTTTTGTTGTCTCCTCCGCCAGCAGAACCATACAACGACCGAGAGGATCGAGGCAGCCACTATTGCACAGGTGACTCCTGCGATGAGAGGTACATTGGATGTTTTCTCCCTGCTGTTTGGCGGGTTCGTTGAAGGATTTACTGGTAGTATCGTCGAGGAAGCTGTAGCCAGGAGAGCTGGGGGTTTAGTGTCGGTAGTGGTAGTAGCAGCAGTAGATGAAGCCGTAGTCGTTGATGAGCTAGTCAAAGAGCTGGAAGATGAGCTGGATATACTGGATGATCCGGATGGCAGCGGTGTCACCGGCTGAGGAGTCAAGGTGATGATAGTAGTAATCGAATTGGAAGCTGGTGTGTCTGGACATCCCCCTTTCACACATGCGTCGACCGAGCAGCAACCTCTGAAGCTGGAAGAACCACACACCCAGAAGCTCTTGCCCGTGGGACAGTCGGCGTCCCGGTGGACGAGGTCGTTGAGAGGCATATTGTTCCCATGAAGCCTTGGCCGTGAGAGGACAAGATTCAGAGCAGATGAGGAGATGATAGGGGAAAAGGAACGAGGGCACCACGTTTAATTGACTGAAACTGAGGTGCAGATCAGGACGAGGGATGCTGGGATACAAGTATACCACGTTGAGATGCAAAGAGCACTGCCAGGCCCGGGGACCACTAGGATGGAGGTGAGATGGAGGGGGAGAACGTGGGAGCCCAGACGATGTGCCGCGGTGAATGGCGACGGATTTGGGGGGGTGGAGGGGCACGAGAGGGTATTGCAGGGGAAGCTCGAAAGTGAAGTGATATGAAGTTATTTATTATGTATGTGTATGTACCTACACCAAAGGTACTACCTTGGCTCGTACTTCACAATTCACACCCCAAGTGGTCAGATACACAAGCAAGATACCCAAGGGAGGCTAGATCCGCACTCGACGGCGTATCTGCAGAAATGCAAATGCATGTACAGGCATTCACCGCCATCCACTCAGGATTGCAGTCGACCTCGGCAGCTTCTGCAGCAAAAGAGGTGCTCATGGTGTGAGCTTCGTATACCTGGGAGGTGGGTAGTCACCTCAGGTACCGCCACTGTGCAGTCCAACATCTGACTGCTGGCTGCTGCTGCTGGTGCTGCTGCTGCTGCTGGTGCGTACCGAGCCTCCGGAGGAAGTTGAAGGAAGCCGAGGACCGCAGCACCCAGAAGTGGCACATACCTGTACATCTACTCCGTAGCGTATACATCTATAAGTAGGACCAGATGGCACCCAGCCACCCCACATTAGCACTCCCCCCTTATACACATCTAGATGTGTATAAGGGGGGAGTGCTAATGTGGGGTGGCTGGGTGCCATCTGGTCCTACTTATAGATGTATACGCTACGGAGTAGATGTACAGGTATGTGCCACTTCTGGGTGCTGCGGTCCTCGGCTTCCTTCAACTTCCTCCGGAGGCTCGGTACGCACCAGCAGCAGCAGCAGCACCAGCAGCAGCAGCCAGCAGTCAGATGTTGGACTGCACAGTGGCGGTACCTGAGGTGACTACCCACCTCCCAGGTATACGAAGCTCACACCATGAGCACCTCTTTTGCTGCAGAAGCTGCCGAGGTCGACTGCAATCCTGAGTGGATGGCGGTGAATGCCTGTACATGCATTTGCATTTCTGCAGATACGCCGTCGAGTGCGGATCTAGCCTCCCTTGGGTATCTTGCTTGTGTATCTGACCACTTGGGGTGTGAATTGTGAAGTACGAGCCAAGGTAGTACCTTTGGTGTAGGTACATACACATACATAATAAATAACTTCATATCACTTCACTTTCGAGCTTCCCCTGCAATACCCTCTCGTGCCCCTCCACCCCCCCAAATCCGTCGCCATTCACCGCGGCACATCGTCTGGGCTCCCACGTTCTCCCCCTCCATCTCACCTCCATCCTAGTGGTCCCCGGGCCTGGCAGTGCTCTTTGCATCTCAACGTGGTATACTTGTATCCCAGCATCCCTCGTCCTGATCTGCACCTCAGTTTCAGTCAATTAAACGTGGTGCCCTCGTTCCTTTTCCCCTATCATCTCCTCATCTGCTCTGAATCTTGTCCTCTCACGGCCAAGGCTTCATGGGAACAATATGCCTCTCAACGACCTCGTCCACCGGGACGCCGACTGTCCCACGGGCAAGAGCTTCTGGGTGTGTGGTTCTTCCAGCTTCAGAGGTTGCTGCTCGGTCGACGCATGTGTGAAAGGGGGATGTCCAGACACACCAGCTTCCAATTCGATTACTACTATCATCACCTTGACTCCTCAGCCGGTGACACCGCTGCCATCCGGATCATCCAGTATATCCAGCTCATCTTCCAGCTCTTTGACTAGCTCATCAACGACTACGGCTTCATCTACTGCTGCTACTACCACTACCGACACTAAACCCCCAGCTCTCCTGGCTACAGCTTCCTCGACGATACTACCAGTAAATCCTTCAACGAACCCGCCAAACAGCAGGGAGAAAACATCCAATGTACCTCTCATCGCAGGAGTCACCTGTGCAATAGTGGCTGCCTCGATCCTCTCGGTCGTTGTATGGTTCTGCTGGCGGAGGAGACAACAAAAGCGATCAAGGTTTACTATATCAACCTATGGCTCAAAAGAAGGCAAAGAAAGACACGACTCCTACTATGAGGGGCAACATCTTAATTCAGATTCGTATGGAGGTATGTTGAAGAACCTTTAGTTAGTTTCAAAACACACACTGACAGCTTCAGGCTACCGAACCAACGACTCTCCAGAACCCCAAAGGGACAACAATTATCTATCCAGGGCTCTGCTATCTCCCTCTGCTGAGAAGGTCCATGTCCCAAACGACGACCAAGAGAAGATCACAGTTGAAGCACCACTCACCCGTCGACAGCCTGACTATGAATCTCTTCCTAGTCAACTATCCCCTGAAGAATCTATCTTCCCCTTACCAACACCTATCGTCCCACGCACTCCTGGAACTCCACCCACCCCAATCCACTCCCCACAACAAAAGCAACATCCCGCCTACCACCTCCATCAACTCTCGCGTCATCCAGCTTTCCGGCCTGGAGCGTCCCCCCCACGGAACCAACCCCCTCTGTGGCGCCATCCGGCTTTCCGGCCAGAGGGCGAAGCACAGCAACTAGATAGTATTCCAATCATCCCACGCAACGAATTGGACGGCGGTCCGCTAAGCCCACGCCGCTCAGCAGGCCGCAGTGAGCTGCCTGGCGAACATACTCATGCTATTCGCTCCCAATCCCACAGCGAACCAGATATGCTTTCTCGTTTCAGCGCCAAACCAAGTCAAAAGTCGTCTAAATCCCGTGAATCCATTTCTCGTGGCGGCAGTGGCAAGACAGGAGTGAGCACTTACAGTATCCCCATCGGACTAGGACTCGAAGGATCTAAAGCCCCCTTTGACCTGCCTCTGCAACGCCATTCCTCTCCACCTCCAACATCACCCAAGGCTCCCATGAGGTCTAACATGAATGAGCGCGATGACCATGTTATGTCATGGGCCGCGTATGGAGCCGGAAATCTCAGCGGCATTGGACCTAGCAACAGCACGGGAAGCGAGCGGTCTCGAAGACAGAGGGAAATTGAACAGGGAAGCCTTGGAATTCGAGAACCCTCATCAGAGGGCAACATGCATAAGGAAAACGGGGGTTCCACATGGAGGGATTGGATGGGTCCTCCTCCCAGAAGAGTGCACTCGGCTTGGTCAGAATTGCCAGAGACACCGCTGAGCGCAGTGTACCGCGAGAGTTGGACCGAGAGGGAGAGTTGGGCTAGAAGATAGGGAAGGAATGCCTCGGAAGGATTGGAATTTGCGAACGATCGAAATGATACCCCGGGATACAATAAAGACATGGAAAGCTCACGCTCGTTACTACGAAACACACACACACA